TGTTGTGAGATGGTTTGATATCTCCATTCTTGCTGTGCAGCAAGATCTGCAGGGTTCCGAAACCCCGGCATTTCTATTGCAAGCCATCCACGGTGGATGATACTCGATGAAAGTTGGAGATTGAAGGATGGAACGACCTTATTGTTCTTGTTCCGCAGATCTGGGGAGTTCAAATGAGCAGATCAGGCTGACCTTCATATTTTTTAGCACGTATTTGACCACTCAACAAGCTAGTACTGTGGTCAGTACGAGTTTGGTCACCACCACGATCCCTGCATCGTCTTTCACGCAGACTCAGACGTTGACCGCTACAACGACGGCTATAGCCACGGCTACAGCGACTAGCTTGAGCTTGGTACCAACGACAGCTTACGTAACCAGCTATGCTCCAGCTTCCACAGTGACAAATTACGTGTACACTGCAGCTTCTAGCTCTGCCGCTGCCATGACAGTAGCCTCTTGTCCGGAGATCGATCAACAAAACGTCACAGATTCGAATGGTGTCACCTATGGCATGTACTGCAGCTCGGACTCTACGATTCCTTCGTTTGAGAGCCGCGCGGCTGGGCTGATTGCTTAGGCATCTGCGACTCGGTTCCAAATTGCGTTTCTTTCGTCTATGGTACGTCAAGCACAATCATTGTTGTTCCTGAGCTAACATAAGGTAGTTGGACAACCTAATGGCACCGGAAGTAAGTTTGATATTTAATTCGTGTTTCTCAACTCTCCGACACAGGCTAACACGTCCAGTGGGTACGTGCTATTTGAAGAGTGACTATGGTTCTACGTTCGGCTCCGGTGGGAACTATATCGCAGGCTTCAGGAGACCTCCAGGCACTCCAGGTAGTCTACAGACAAATACTACACAGACGAATAGTGCTGCCGCTAGTAGTGCATCTCCGATCTACCAAACACTCTACTCGACAGTGTATGGAACACAAACACAAGTCTCTACACAGATTCAAACCACGTAAATCAAATATCGAACGACTACACACTTTCGGAGCTAATAAGATTCACTCTAGGACGCAAACAGCCACTCAGACGATCTACCCGGCGACACCATCTCCTGTGACAACGACCCAAACTTTGTGAGTACCTAAACATTTGATCAGCATCACTTCTCCACACACCCTGGAGATATCACGATTCGCCCTTATAAGAAGCAAGATATTCTGAATTCAAGGCTTGTGCATGAGCTGAATCATTCGTGGAAAATTTGCATGCCAAACAGACTGCTAACGAACAATTTAGAACCACGACTGTCATTAGTGTAGTGACACAAACTTCTACTACTACCGCTCCACCTCCTCCTGCAAGCACTTTGTGAGTGATCTCGAACAGATCTTCGGAGAAGGTGTCATCTCTCACTCGAGCATTTGCTGATATTCCTTTCCAGAACAACAACATCTACGCAGGTGATTACCACGACACAGACGGCTACGACTACCGCTCCAGCGCCCCCAGCAAGCACTGTGTAAGAAGATCCGATTCAGGCTCCGATGCAAGGGACTGTGAGTTTTGCTAACATAAGTCCAAAGGACAACGACATCCACGCTATATCCGGCGACACCCGCGCCTGTCACATCTACTCAGTACATGTAAGAACCAAAGGCCAAGAGCCAGAAAGTCCTCCCGAGATCCTCTCACACCGAACGATGGGATTGATATCCAAAATCAGACGAGAGCTTGTGAAAGAGAAATGCTGATATTGTTTTACAGAACCACGACTGCGACATCGACTGTTACTACGTGAGTAAACACCTTCAAGGCTTAATAAGCAACGAAACCTGATGGATGAACATGAACTGACGAAGAAATACTCCAGAACTGCTACGACAACACAACTCAGCACAGTCTACGCAGCTACACCAGCACCAGTTTAAGTCAGAAGATGATGTTGCGAGCTATCAGGCTCAGCATGTTGTTGAGGTCATGTTGAAGGCTATCATCAATCATTAAAAGTCTTGAGATCCTGAGCTAACGCGTCATCTCAGAACCTCGACAGTATATCCTGCAACTCCAGCACCTGTGACGAGCACACAGACCCAGACAGTGTAAGTAAAAACATTCGCATCTATCGGCAGGCGCGATCTGGCGAGTTTTCGCAAGCGTGATTCATGGGATCTGCTGCTGCTTGAGAAGGAGCGCGTGACTGTCTGATATCCGAATTATGCTTCGGATTTCGACCCTCAACAATCCCAAGAGCTGGTCACTAGCGAGAAACCGTTGCGAAATTCGTCTTGAATGATGCGCTCGACTCATTCGCCGCTCTCGATATGAAGCACTCGGCTAATAGATATGATTTGCTTTCTAGGACTGCTACGACGACCCAACCAGCCAGTACGGTCACTTCAGTGCCTCCCGCGGTGACCACCACCCAGACTCTGTAAGACCAATTTATCCCAAGAACGATGCTGAGCTTCGAGGGCTTCTGATGGCATCCTTGATCATATATCGATCTGAGTATCGATCTGTGGAAGCCCAGGCCAGCCCAACTTCGTGTAATTTGGTCATCGAGTGCTGATGAATTCTACTCGCAGGACATCAACATATACTCAACCCGCACAGACAGTCACTGTCACAGTTACACCGGTAAGCTGATACTCCCCACTAATTGGACACTTGGTCTAATGCTTATGGGAAGCAATAGTCTTCTATCACCAGTATGAGATCTACAGCATCGCCTGCAGGGGCTTCACCACAAGCAGCAGTAAGTCTTTAGCATTGATTTTCAAACAGTGAAGTAAGGCTGATATACATCGTGTAGACTGCGGGATCTCGAACTACAACTGCATCGGTAAGCGAAAGAATAGAGTGGGAATAGTCTCTGATTTTGCTGACAAAAGCATCCAGTCAACAACAGCAGCGCCCACTGTCGAGCTGTCCTCTCCCACCACCATCTTGAATTCCTCGCAGAATTGGGACGACAACCTTGCGTGGCGGGTGATGCCTTTCCCAATCAACTTATGTGGTTTCAACTTTACCAATGTGACCGTCAGCACAAACGGTGTCTTGGGTTTTGGTATCACAACCAGTTACTCCCCAGCTGCTTTACCTCAATACACTGCTCTCAGTCCTTCTGGTTATGCGGTTCTGCCTTTCTGGGCTGATCTCTACATCAATCAGGGAACTGCTCAGGGTATCTACTATCAGATAGATGGCTCGTCGCCGTCGAGAACGCTCACTTTTGAATACTATGCATCTTACTTCAATCGCACAGCCAATTATTATCACTTCCAGGCTTTGTTCTATGAGAACAATACTGGCTCCTTCACGTTCAAATACTTCAATATTACGGATAGTGGGGTTAGTGCTGTGGTCGGGTACCAATGTCAACCAAGTAAGTCCGGAGCATGCCTACACTCCTTGTCCTGAACAAAACGCTGATGGTTTCTTCCTTCTCTATCAGAGAGCAAGTACAAGCAGTACTCGAGCAAGCAAGCCGTTATCACCAACGGACTCCGAGTAGACTACACATACAGCAGCGACACATTCGCATCGAGCCAGGTAGCGGCCAGTCGAACCGTATTCAGTCCTGTGATCAACTTCATGAATCGTATTGCTGGCCAGGTATCGGACACATGGCGCTCAGCGACTGGATGGCTGCGAGGCAATCCCACTAGTACGACGGCGGATGATGTATACCTGCCAAAATCCACAGCCACGTTTGCGGAGAATGTTGGAGATGCGATTGATCGGAGATGGGTCGGCGGACATGGCAGGCATACGAATTTCTCGACGTCAGCGTAGTTCTTTCTTCTGTTGTGCTTCGAGATCTTGGGTACATTCTTCTTTGTTCATTCATTAATCAATCAATCAATCATTCTTCTCAACCAAGCGCTTTGTTCCTTTGCGTTGAGCTTACCAAATTCGCAACAAGTCAAGGTGATTGCAAGGAGACGCCATCGAAAAGCGGCCATCTCTTCTGTGTGCTTGGGGAAAGGAAATCCTCCCCCTGCGGCTCAAAGGCAGAACAAAGGAAGAAACGCACGTTCTTTCTATCGAGTAGGAAGTGCTGGTATCTCTGGCATAAAGCTAGCGTAGAGAGAGGAGGAAGTGCGTTGAGGTAAAAGAAACTCTCCATAATCGTTCGACTGCGAGATAGAAAACGCAAGTACCAACGCATGGAAAAACGATCTGCCTTCCTTCTTCAGCGCTGGCCACAAATCACTATACAGCAAAATTTTGGCAAAACAGAAACCCTCCTAGCCGCCGTACTGCTAGGAGGGGGAAGAGAAAAGTTTCCTTTCATCATTATTTTTGTCGGATGAGGATTACTGGGACCTCTGGCAGAAAGTTGGCGATGAGGAGGATCGAACCGGTGGAAGCAGGCTAACTTTAGCTTCACGGGAGACACGAGCTACTACCGCTGCGCCATTCCACCAGTTCGATGGGAGAAAATCCATCTCACATCATTGTAACACTACTCTGTGCCTCACTGGACATAGCAGAAGATGAAAGTGAGCTGCAAGACTCTGCACAAAAGTCCAGCTATCCAGCTCCAGATACTATCGGAGTGTGGATAACTTGATTGCTCATCCCAGTTCAAATCTTGCTCACTAGTCGGTATTTGCTTGCAAGGATGCGCCTTCCTTTGATAGAGCTTGCTGAGCGATGCCACATTGAAGTGTTGACAAAGAGGGCAGGAACGTCCCCGCACTCCTAAGCCATTCCTTGCACTTTCCAAATGTTTGCGCTGAAGTTCATACACCTCGTTTCACTCTTTGCTGTCAGAAGTCCCACCCTCTTCTGAAGCGCACTCTATCATGCCTGGTACTTGGAGGACAATCACACGTATTGAAACCCCTCCGTGCCCAAAGCACGTGTTGGTGCATGAGATGGCGCGTGCAGACGCGTCATAGCAAACGGAGTTGGCGACTGTGAAATTGTCAACAACACCAGTGAAGCGCGGACCTAAGCGCGTTTGACGATCTGCCGCACACGTTGCCAATTTCGCCTTTGGAAACTATCTCATTGCGAGCTCACGTTGTACCATGATGTCGTCGCCCAAGCAGTCGTCTGCCGAGAAGAAGGGCAAAGTCCGCGAGACCTGCCGCCGCGGCCCTGAGGATGGCTTTCCTTTCATCGTTGATGAAGTNTTTCGTAAGTTCTACCCGGTGGTGACAGAATCGCCTTGCGCTGACGATCACGTACAGACACAGCGTGTCACCAAGCCGCTCGAGGAGCCAGTTGTCGTGCGCAGAGGTCCACGCCCTGCCGGTCCTCATCGTGCCATCAAGAAAGTTGCCGCCGAATCCGAGCGCAACGCCGTTCCCGTTGGAGACACCACCGAGCGCAACACGTCCAAGCAAGTTGCTGCCACGCAGACCTCAGCCAAAAACCCTCCCGCCGTCTCCGCCAGTGATTCGAAGTCGTCCTCTCTCGTCTCCGACTCCGCTCGCGGCCAGCACCACACCAAGGACAACTCGAGAATGATCAAACCTGCTGGCGAACCTGAAACACTCTCCACTACCATGCCTGGTTACGCTGACTCAGACGATGGCGGCGTCGGTCTTCCTCAGCACATCACAACCAAGAACGACCGTGACACCGCTCGCAGCGTTGCAACTCAAATCACCTCTGACAGCACTGGCTTCGCCTCTGGTACTCCTGAGAATGTCCCCAAGCACGACGGTGATGGTGANAGGAAGTAAGTCCAAGGGTCTGGTCGAAAAAATCCTGAGTCTTTGCCGACAGAACTAGGGGGTCAGCTCAGCGCGGCCGCAGACAACATGGGCGCTAGAGGTGTGACTGATGAAGGCGATGAGCTAGCTCGCATATTTGCAAAGCTTGATGCACTCAACAGATCCCGTCGCGGACGCTGAGCAAGACAAGGGTTGTTGGATATTCAGCTGATGCTGACGAGCCGGACCTGATCTGGTTTCTTGGAGACCAAGACTGCGCAGGATTGGCAGCACATCAGCAGATACAAGCACGGAAATTCAGTCTTCTTTTTCCTTCCCTCTTTTCTTACCATCATCCCCCGACCTCACGTCTACAAGAGAAACGATGTCCCGAATGATACATGTTGGTAGATCATCGTCAGTTCGCTGCTAACGCGTGTCGTTTGAAGCAGATGACGTTGAGATAAAGTTGAAGTGCCGGCATCTCTACCGAGATCACGACAGGCGTCCATCATCCACCCGGGCGCGAGACTGACAGATGGGTATGGATGTTTTTGCAGTCCAGATGTCAAAAGTACAGGTTGCGAGAGAAAGAAATCAGCATTGCTCGAAAGCATCGAGTCACCACAATTCCCTTATCACATCGCTATCTTTCCGTTGAGCCAACCAGGTTTCCCGTCCCAAGAGATTTGCAAACAGGCAAACCGAAACTCCGGCATCGTCCCGTAGCTCCAGTGACCGGACACCATGTCATTGATATCTTGCCTTTTCTTATAAAGCAGCTACACCTCTACTTTCTCGCGATACAATGCTATCAAACATCTCACGTCGTTTTTACAGTGCAACCGCTAGAACAATGGCTGCTAAGAACTTGCAAGTTGGCTGGGTAAGCTTTGCCGGCGGGCATTGCCGAGGACATTATTCGGACTGATGGCTAATTGTGATTGTTAAATAGTATGGCCTTGGATCTATGGGCAAGCCCATGGCAGAGAACCTCCAAAAGTACCTGGCGAAAAATGACCAATCGCTCATCTTCAACAACCGCACAATGGCTTCTGGCGACAACCTGAAAAGTCTTGGCGCATCGCCGGCGTCGAGTTTCGGCGAGTTGGTCCAGAAGAGCGACGTCGTTTTCACAATGGTAATTTTTGAACTCATCAACGATTTTGATAATGTGGATCTGATGAAGAGTTAAAGNGTCAACAATGATGACACACTCAAAAGTCTCCTGCAACAAGCCTACGATACCAAGGACCTGTCCGGCAAGATTTTCGTCGACTGCTCAACCGTGCATCCAGATACCACAAAAGCCGTGACCGAAGAGATTAGCAAGCACAAGGCAACTTTCCTCGCAGCACCCATGTTCGGCGGCCCAGCAATTGCCGCACCCGGAAAACTGGTTGTTGCAATTGGAGGACCTTCATCAGCTGTCGAGACCATCAAACCTTACTTCCAGGATGTAATTGCTAGAAAGGTTATTGTGTGCAAGGAAGAGCCGCAAAGTGCTTCTATGCTGAAGATTGCTNNGGGTAAGTCTTGCTGCAGGCAATCCGAGGACCAAGGAGAAGGAGAGTTGTGCTAACATGAGCCATGCAGAAACATCATCACAGTAAACCTCATGGAAGCAGTCAGCGAGGCCCAAGTTTTCGCCGAACAGACTGGTATTGGCTGTGGCCCCATGGAAGAACTTATTACCGAAGGTTTCGGTCCCGTCGCTGGCGGCTACTCTGGCCGCATGACAAGCGGCAACTACGCACCACCACTCGACAAGCGCCCTGGTTTCGGTGTCTCGCTCTCAATCAAGGATGCTGATTACGCCATGGCCATCGCCAAGGAGAAGGGCGTCAAGTTGCCTGCGACCGAGGTGGCGAACAAGAACATGAAGGCTGCGAGGGAGGAGCATGGCGAGGTTCTGGATTGCGCCTCTATGTATGGTACGTTGAGNAAGGAGGCTGGCCTCAACTTCTTCAACGAGAAGAGCAGGCAAAGCGATGAGTAAGTATATAACATAGAATAAAAGAACTGACCATTACGACGCCGAACTTTCTCTGTCCAAGGACCAGCACCTCCGGAAGCATGATCAGATTGATGACCGAACTTTGGGCGACTTACTGGTGAAACAAGAACAGCCGCTGGATATCTCCATTCTTCGATTCAAGTTAAGCTACGCAGAAGTATACTTGTTGTTAAGGTGATAAGAAAAACTGAGGCCATAGGAATATCGAAGTTATAAGCCTGAAAGCTATCGTGCATGGCTACAGCCATAAGAAAATCAATGTCAGCACCGAGCGAGAGGACATGAAAACGCCAGATGGCATATGGTACAATACGCTGACGACCTACACTTGGACCCCTTTAACCACCAGCACAAGGCCAGTCGATCAATGGGATTTTTTATACAAGGTTTACTCCTGTCGGCGAGGAGCACAATGCTCACTCGAACCTGTTGCGAAGAGCACATTGCTCATTCAAATCATGTAGATGTGCGAATTAGTAATCACCGAACAGCGCCCAACGCAGAAGCCGGTCAGGACTCATGTTCTGTTCATCACCGCGACCGGTTAAGCGGTACAGCGAACGCAAAAGCTGATCAGGACTCATGTTCTGGTCATCCCCATGACCAGATGGGCAAAACACCCAACGCAAAAGCTGATCAGGAGTCAAGTTTGAGCCATCGCCGCGACCAGACAGGCGGTACAGCTCGCGCATGTGCTGCACAGGCGTCAACTGAGCAGCTTCAGCTCGGTGAAAGCGCTGCCGCAAGGCAGCAATGCGCTCAAGACGAGTCACCTGGCTCTGGTAGCCGCGGTGGTCTCTGATGGCGCGCTGCATCTGCTCATTGAGCGATGCATCAGTGCGAGCGCCCTCTTGGAGCGACTCTGCCACCAGTACAGCTCTGTCAGCATGGCGCCGAGCTTCGTCCACAGACTCACATTCAACTTTGTATGGGGGAAGGTAAGGAATCGACATCTTGAATGTGTGATTGTTAGAAAACTCGAAGATGTTGTGGGTGAAGAAACGCAAGTCGGAAGTGTCAATTTGAGGTGCGCAAAGGTAGGTGGACTTCTGGAGCCTTGGCGTTGATGCCCCTTTTCACGATACACGGCCCACTCGCTCCTGCCTATAGCGTCTTTAAAAGGACTGTCACAAGCAAGACTGTCCAAATGCACAATTCTGCCTGTCTCATAGATCCTGCCGAGGAAAGTGTCAGCTTACAATGGAAAGTCAGTCTTTCCTTCACCGTTCACGCACTCGTTCTATGGCACTTTCGAAGATTAATTAACATTTGCTCTCTACATATATACAAGCACTTGGCCTATCTTTCATAGGTGCTGGAAGTGCAACCACTTTCTGTGGCTTCAAAACAATAACATAACGGTGTCCCCACTCTTGCAACTTTGGAGTATGCTCGGATTGGCTTACGCACCATGAAGAATCTCTGGCGAATCTTTGAAATTGGCCGTCTCCGCTCCCCCTGTGCTGGATGGCTCTCGTCAAGTGACTCCGACACAGGAACATGACGCCATTTTCCCTACACCGTTACTCACCTCTGAATTGAAAGTGAAAGTGGTTTGGTTTGGCTGCCTTGTCAAGGAGTCGCCCAGCATATATGGGTTTGTGCACAACTTGACCAAACAAACAGCGCAAATTAAGACACTCTACTCACCAGCAAGTCTTTCCTTTTGTGCTCACCACTAAGATCAATTCATGATGCTGTCTCTTCTCAACCACCTTCGTTACATCGTCCGCAAGCTTGTCAGAGGTAACGTATCACTTCGTCAGCAATGCTTCGACGCCCACAAAGATCTCGTAGCTCTACTGACTGCGTACCTCAGGCAAAAACGCTACAAAACTCCTGAACGCGAGTCCGGAGTCACGTCCCTGGACGAGGAGGCACTAGAAATTGACGATCATGGTGAGCAAATTTTAAAGAGGCTGCTGAGGGTGATCACTGACAGCGCTTGATAGAAGATCCATTAGATTACACTGTTCTCGACGATACTGGCTCTGACCACCACCAAGTCAGCTATCTGGACGACTGGATTATCGATTCGGGAGCCGAAACGCACCTTGTCAACGACAAAAGTGGTTTAGCGTGCTTCACGATTCGCAGCGTATCTCTCAAGGTATAAAAGCCGGAAGTTATTTCAGATGCGAAGGAGTAGGAAGGTCAACCTCAAACTTGCTGACAGCAAGCGTGAGCTGAATCTTCAAAATGTTGATTACGCCCCGGATTGTAATGCGAACTGTCTTTCTGTGTTCGCCCTCGTTGCGGAAACAGGATATATTGTGGTTTTCGCCGACCATCGTGTGGGGATCTTTGACACGGAAAGAGACTTAGTAACGGAGGGCATACTCTGTAATGGCTCGTACTACCTTGATGTTGCGCCCTGAGACGGATCTTAGAAGGATAAATGCGAGAAAGAAACTGCGGTGATGGGCTGTACCATTGACTAAAGGAAGTCACAAGCAAGAAGCATGACAGAAGTGCAAAAGTACTGGTTCGATGTCATTGATTGCAGTTCGAGATAGAGTACCAAAGTCTGCCCAGAAAGACCGTCAAAGAACCTAATGCAATGCATCCTCCTTTGTTCATTCAAGATAAACATCTTTCAAGCTTGCGGAGATGGCAAGACAATCATCGGCAGCAGTTTGTTGTGTTTAAGTGCGGTCAGAGCCGTGGCTCTTGATAGCGGCAGTATAGCCGTCGAGAGCGGCGGTGTGCTTGTCGAGAGAAGCGCTGTGCTCGCGAAGAGCTGCGATCATGCGTTCATCACGTTCGACCTGGTCGACGGACTGTTTCTCGGTAGTGGTGGTGGTGGTGGTGGTGGTGGTGCTACAGCCACTCGGGCCATGAACTTCGGCAGTTTGTTGCTGGGAAGCAGCGAGGTCTAAATTGATCATGGAGCGTAGAAATCGACCAGTGGTGCCGAGAGGTCCTGGGTCAGATGAGTCGGATCGTTTCTCAACGTCGGAGCTGGCCTAATCAGATGGATTAGTGCTGGAAACAGAACACTGTCGAGATGACTAACGGAATGCTTAGGATTCTTCTTAGAAGAAAGCTTCGGCAGTTTGTCGAAGTAATCACTGGCATTTCTGCTCCCGAAAGCGCGGGGATGCAAGACAGCAGAACGAGGAACGGGAAGGGAAGCGACGTCAAGGTCCTATCCCGAGTTAACATAGAGCATGTCGAAAGAACCTTCGATTTACCTGTTTGGGACGGCTCAATTGATTGCGGCGTCGCGGCAGTTGTAAGGCTGGCATCTTTCAGAAGAACGATTGTGCTGCGCAAGAGGAAAGTGAGCTCGGAGTAAGTAGAAGATTGAGGCTGCAGGCCAATACCTAAAGCACGGTGTGAAAATGAATTATCCATAGTGCCAATATTATCGATTGCGAAGTGAAATCAGCCCGTCTGACCGTGAGGATCTTTTGACAGGTATCGTCGGCAGGACAGTACAAGATCATTAGTTGAGTTTGCCAGAACAAAAGAAGGTTGAATCGTTCTAGATATGCCCTACCTATCCCCATGCGCTTTTGTCAAGATCGAAATACGTGTGAGAAGCACGAAATATCGAGGCTCAAAGAGCAACAAGTGAGAGTAACCTTTCGTTTGATCCTCATGTTAAAGGGTTCTGGAAGCGACACTGTCACGGATTTTCATCTTCTTCATTTGTGGGAATGCTTGCAGCTCCATCAAAGAAGAAGAAAGCTAGCCGTCATGTTGGGATGACTAAAATGCAGCTTGATTGTTTGTCAAGTTCTGAGATCCTCTTTGTTTCACTGGAGGCTGGCGGATGCTTACCATGTTCTCAAATCCCATCTTGATGGTGTTATGCAGAACGAAGAACATCCCAGCATTTGAATGATTGTGGAGTGGGTGTAGGATGCGTGCACAGCAGCGATAAAGGTCGACAAGCTGGGAGCAATGAAGGATAATCACAAGAGCAGCAAGGCAGCATGATGCTATTCTCTCATTTCTCTCTGTGAAGTGAAGACAACAAAGTATGACTATATAAGAAACCAAGTCTGATGTGTTTTCAAGCCGAATGCGTGACAATGGTCAAGCGGACAAGGAGGCGCAAATAAATTACATTTATTACGCCGGTCGACCCCTTCGGGAGTTGATTATTGCCGTGGGGGGGGGGGGGGGGTGATAGACATCAGCCAGAAGCAGCCCTAACCCGGTGTTTCACATGATACTACATACTGCGATCCCAGACCGTCGGGCAAGGCCTTCAGGCGCCAGCCTAGCATCCCTTTTTGCACCTTTTCTGTATGTCTTTTTGATATTGATGTTGGTGAGGACAAAGGTGGGAGCAGATTTTGAGTTGAAGAACCTTGCGGAACAGCATAGAAGTGAACAATTTGATTACCATCATTTAATACGCGTGTTTGTTGTTGGTTGTGCGTTCAACTCTCTCAAGAATCACACGCTTTTGCACAACATCGATACTCAAGAAATGATCACTGGTGAACGAGACTCTGTTTTCTTGCTTTCCAGATACGACTTGCTCACCTAGTGGCACACATATAGTTGGAACATCATGTCTGTGGCATCGGTAAGTTAATGAGTGATGGCGATGGTGATGTCGCATGCATGGCATGAGACCCACGACACTGTTTGCACTTACAGTTCTTCTTGCCTGTGTCCTGTTCAGTCTGTGATTTAGCCTGGGAATTCACGTTGTCCGCCATGTTGGCTCGACGGAAGTTCGAAAATCGAGCAGTCAAGAGTAAGGGATGTGGAGATTGAAAGTTAGGAAGCAGTTTGATTTTGAGAACGAACCGGATGCTGGCTGTAAAGTCTTCATAAAGAGTCGTGAACCTCGATAGAAGTGCACAATGAAAGTGTTGTCAAGAGATCAAGGGGTGGGAGTGTTGAGACAGGCGCAGAATATCACAACGCCTTTCATGTTTCAAACATTATCTCACACGCGTCGAAGACATGTTGTCTCTGCTTCAGACTCCAGACAAATTCGTGGAGACCTGCTCATGAAAGAAAAGATGATGTGTTGAAAGGCCACCGGACTTGTCCTGTACCGTCCTCAGCAGAGGCAAGCACGTCCCTTGTCTTCTGCATGGTTCTTGCAGATAATTGGAAAGCAAATCCGCAGACAAACTAGCTGCCTTGCTCGTTCACAGTCCATTTGTTTTTTTCCTTTCTCTTCGTGCTCAAAATGTCTTTGTTAGTGACTAGTGTGAATCAGATTTCTTTGTTTTGTTTGGTGGACCAGAAACAAACGCTTGACTTGGAAATTGAGGCCATGGTTATCCCTACTTATCCCTGCAAACCAAGTTCTTGTTCACCAGCGGTAAGATGGCGCAAGTGAGATCCGCGTCGCAGATCGCCTTAGGTCACTTCATGGCTTCTGCCCGTGTCATCAGGTTGTTGGTTCGATTCCAATGTGGGTTGCCGCTGGTCTTTTTGCACTTTTTGAATCAATCACTCATTTCTCACTTCTGTTTTATCCTTGGTCAGAATGTGTTTACCAATGAATCGTTTTGAATGAAATCCTTACGCTCAGGATGACTATTGTGGCCTGTGAGGTGATTTCTGGCCGAGTAATTATGCTTGTCGTCATTTATTCCCACAGATCCGATTCTTTCCAACCAGCGGTACAATGGTGTAGTTGGAAGCCGTGTTGAAGACAACATCCGGTCGCTTCACTGCAACTAGCTACACTGTTAGGTTATTGGTTCGATTCCAATGTGGGCCACCGTTGGTCTTTTTGCACTTTTGCATCAATCACTTGCTTTTTGCTCTGCCGGCCTCATTATTTCATATATCTACTTCTTTGGTCGAAGAGGCAAGTAGTCTTTTGAGTCAGTGAAGAGGTAGTATTCTGTTTGACAAGAACGCTGGTGTCATTGTTTGCTACCAAAACTCTTTGCTCAATCTCAATCTCTTTGTCAAAGCGCTTTCTCTTGGTTGTCACCACCAGAGCTTTCAAAAGGAAGTCTCAAAGTCATGCATTCAGACATTTCTTGCTCATTCGCAAGCTGGCTACCACATCAATCTCCACCATCTCGAAGAGACTCTCAATCATTGCCGTCTTCAAGAGACATTCATCCTCTCCCTCAAGAAGAAAGCCTCGATAGCCATGAGCACAAATCTTCCTGGTGAGCCTTCTGGCATTGGCGTCATCACTGCCGTCACAGCTCTCAACAGGTCTCTCATGACATCAGTCTGATGTCTTGCTTCTTCTTCCTTGCTCTTTCTCTGCTTCTTGTCCTTCTTCTCCTTTCTTTTCTTCTCGATCCTTCTCAGTTCTTCGGCTAGCAGCTCATTCTCTTCCACAAGTTGCTCAATTCTGGTTGCCATTGCCTCAAAGTAGCGTTGAAGCTCAGGAGATGATACGATTTCGTCTTCCAAGTCGCTGGGGAAGGATGCTTGACTTAATGCAGGAGTGTGTACTGTTGCAGTTGGCATCAAGGCGAGATCTTGGTCTTCCTCTTCGATGGTTTCGAGCTCGAAGCCATTGATTGTTGACGCTGTGCCAGCCTCAGGGGCCTGGTGAGGTGTGTATGGGATTGCTGCAGGGCAGCGAGCCGTCAAGACTGACATAGGGGATGGGAGTAGTCTGAATTNTCTGCGTAAACCGTCAGTCACAAGGTCTTCATGAAGATCTCAGAACTGTACTTCTCCTGAATGGAGCCCCACAGCCGAAAGAGCGCCAAAAGACACAGTACTGGTAGACATGTTGATGGCGGTTAAGGAGTCTCGATGTCAAAGAAGATGGTTTGCAGACCTCTGCCGAATGTTTTGATTGACAAGGGAAGAAAGTAGCACGACTAACGCAGTGAAAGACGATATAGTTTGTATACATCATCAGCCAGGCTGCGACCAGCGCTGCCTGACGAAAGCGACCGTTCATGATCGCTGTCAGTACTACAAAGCCCCTGATGAGCTGTACGTGTGAATGCGTAGTTGGTATAATCGCTCATATGCACATATCTGAACGAACAGCCAATACTCTCGCTGATATTCTTGTAGCTGCAAGTTGTTACTGCCAATCTACCAGGCTGGGAATAGCAATTTGATATACGCACCCCTGAATGGCTCGACGTCACCATATCAGTACTGGCAACAAGATCTAACAGGACGCGTCATCTCCGATGCTGTATGATCTGCAACTGAGTATTTGGAATCTATATTCTGCTGGCAATGGTATAATGCATCCACGAACACTTGACGTTCCCCTCTCAAGGAGGCGCAGTCATCGTGTATGTGCAAGCAACGTGGCCCATAGCACCGCGTCAGAGTGTTCGAAAATATGCCGAATCATATAGGCAGCTGTGCCAAAGAGCAAGTATCAGCGCACATGACCTGGGTTACTCTCAGGCATGGCCAATTGCTGTTGGTTGGCAGTCACCGAGCACAAGTCGCGGGCTGTGATGCTGGCGAATGGGAAGCCTTTGCGAACTTCCCCTAGCCAATGACCTTTTCCTTGGACCACCCACCACAATTCTCAGTTCGCAAACAGACCCAGATCGAGCAGCACTTGGCTTTCTCGCAGCAGGACTTCAGGATGGCAAATTCGTGCTACCCCTCAATGGCAATGAGACTGAAATGAGTAGAGAAGTCAACTGATCAGATACCCAGCCAATGCAGGTATGGAACGCCTCGAAAAACTATCGTGAACATGTTCAAGGAGTCGAGGAGAAAAACGAGCAACCCAGAAGAGTAAGCAAACATCCAAAGGAACACCGAGATGCAGAATTGGATGGGAGATAATCAGCAATTTCTGAGCGACAGAGGAATCCAAGATTCGAAGCCAACAATTAGCGCAATCATAGCGAAAATCATCATCATGTCTCTCAACTCCTGAACGCCAGACCCAAGATGAATATGATGCAAAGCAGAATAACAATCAGCCATACTCTCCCCAGACGAAAGCCATCATCGTAGTCCAGCCACTGGGTACCCTCGTATTCACTTGGGCCTTGCAAGCTTCCAGGTAACGATAGCTACGAGCAAGGTCCAGAGATGGACGATAATCCACACGTAGGAGGCCTTGAACCAGTTCAGGAGCATTCCAGGTGCTTTCTCTGTCTTTCGTTGACGTATCAGGGTTTCGGTGCTGGTGAGGATGACTCGTGCGGGAGAGCCTTCCTTGAATGGAGTGACCAGCATAGTCGCACCGATGAGCATGGCAGCACCGAAAGTGAGTCCTGTGCCTGAGGACTTTTGCTGGGTGCTTTGAGCCTTCAGACTTTCAAAGATGGACTTGGGCTTGTGGAGTATCCTTTGCCCGATGGACTGGTTTGGTGTTTGATGTTTGGGAACAGGTACTGAGACAGGTCTTGTGACGGGCTAAGATCACGTGCTGTCAGTTTTAATACTGAGCAATAGATAAAGTGAACTACCTGGTATCTGATAATGGAGCGTGATAGAGTTGATGATCCTCTTGTGAAAGACATCTTGGACAACATTATTCTGTCGCATTGATCAGCCTTACTGCCTCTGATATTCTGACAAAAATACCTTTCTTTGTGAATGGTCTTGAAGTTGTAAAAGTATCTGGAAGGATACGACAGTGGATGCTTCGATGCTTGGTTATGGATTAGAAAAATATGTTTGCGAACAAGAGGGGAAAGAAGAGCGCAGCAAGTCTCACAGCTCATAAACGCCTTTATCGTAGGACCAAAGATGGTGTTCCTGTCGATCAAAACAGTATACCAAGTTCAGGGAGGGATTGAGGTCGAGAAACTGGCAGCAACAGACATGAACTCTCATCTGTACCACCAAAACGTCAAAATCGGAATATCGCTCCGTGAGCCGATAGATGCAGATCCACCAGCTATTCCGGCACTTGTCATGAGCAGGTGAGAATGGTTGGTTGGAATTTTTACCGCTTATTCATGCACGATTTCCGCGACCGTCAATTGTTGGGCGTGGAACCACACTCGGCAGGTCCATTGGGATATCAAGGGGCGTGACTTCCTGTTCATGTTTTTGCAGCAAGATCCTTGACATCGAAATTCGTTTGCTACTGCCTCCTCTGACTACGACGGCTGCAGTTGCTGGATCCATACAGGCCAACACATCGATCAATATTGCATCAATCGAGAGGTTCAGCGCGGAGATGCCTATTGCATCAGTACAGTCACAATGGAAGAACCTATCAAGAAGCTTATCAGCAATTTTCGGTGTTGAACATCTTGCATTTGGATGTTTCGAGTTGTAGCACATCCGCTGGCTCAAGCCAACAACGACACGTCCTCTTTCTTCCATCCATTTCTACTTTCCAGATGCTTTTTGCCCACTAAAGTCAGATCGGAACTTGAGAGGGGTTGTCATTTAGTCATTCTTAGCTAATAGCACGGAGAAAAGCGATGTAATGATCTACCTATAAGCTCGTACGGCATCTACCCGTGCTTGAAGCAATTGGCGTCCGCCATTTTGAATTGACGAGAGAGCATGCTTCGGCTGTGTTCTGTGAGAAAGCAGAGGAGAGCAAATTGGAACCTTTGAGCCATCAAAGTCGTATTATCATCGTGTGGAATCTGCGGGTTGACGCCATTGGCCGTCTAAGGAGTACTGGGAGTAGAGCCGTCCTCAGAACTAGTCTTGTATGCACGATCGTTCACAACGTCGTTGAAGGAAGTGTGAGCCTGAGCCTGGATGGCCATGTCCAGTGAAGCAGTGAGCTTGTCCACGGCAGTGCAGAGGGCCCTCTCGGATCCAAGACGCTTTGTGATGGCAAGCGTGAGCTCTTTAATGCCAGAAGCGAGGGTCTCGAGAGTGTTGACGAGTGTATCGTTCGTAGGATCAACAGGAATAGAGGTTGTGGTGGGTTCATGGACGAAGCTGTCGACTTCTTTGGTAGCTGCCTGCACGATCGTCGTTTCGGGGGGAGTTTCCAACGGAAGTCCGCGACGGGAGAACACAGTGAGAGTAGGACTGATGGTAAAGCTCGTTGCTTCTTCGAAGTGACAGCAAGCCTCCCAGCGAGCAGCCACATGGCGAATGAGAATAGCTTTTGCGTTTTCCTTTGCATTACCTATCAGGTTGATGCAGTCGTACTCATCAATGTAGAGGTCGTATGTGTCCCTGTGTCTCTTGTGCCAGGAATAGAGAACATCGTAAAGATCGCTGGACGAAAGAGCCCCGTCTCCATTGCCGTTGCTGAGATTGGTGTGCTGGGTCTGAACTGCTTTCAAAGCATCATAGAATTGCCGTTCAAGACTTTGGGACGACCAGTCAAGTGGACGGGTGGTGGTCTTGTCGGTAGCCATTGCCATAGCTAGAGCGTAAATTCCAGATTCACGGACTAATCAAATCAGTACTTCTCAATCAAGAATGACACAAGACATGTTCATACCGCTACCCGGTGCAGCGAGCCACTTGCCGCCAAGGACATAGTCGTTGGTCTTGGGATCGATGGGCATGTTGGCTCGGAGTGGAAGGAGTGAGAAGTGAAGTGGAAAGATTGCAATGTGCTTGACTTGTGAACGAGAAACCCACGAAGTTACTGCACATTGGCAGAAGGTGTCGGAGAATTCGAGGAAGGTGCCACTCGTGCAAACAACAAGCCAAGCCACGCGTTTGTCTTGATACCACACCACAAACATCTTCGCACGCGACGGAAGAATTGGACAATAGAGATGCTAATCCACGAGACGCCGTATGAGGTGTAGAGTAAACAGTAGAAAAGAACACGGTTGTTTGTCGAAGAAGGCCCATGGCCCCATCATCCATGCGACTCGCGAGGGCACTCGCCGTGCTCATTAAAGCCAAGCGACCAGATACACAATATACCCATCAAAGCGAACCTCACCATGGACGCTTGTCCGTCTCATATCTATGCCTGTCCCCTGTCGCTGCTCTCGGGTTTGCGAACCACTGCGAGGATTTTCGGCGCCAAGCAACTGTCCTGTATGTTGGTCAGAATTGATTTCGCTCAAGCTGAGCTGACACTGAACCCTGAATTATTGTACGTCGACCATGCACATTATAAGATTATATGATCCTACAGGATTGCAAGTATAGAATGGTGGATGCCCAACGGCGAGCTGAGAGCCGTTGAGAGCTGAAAGCCGCGAGGGGTATTGAATTGAATCCCCGTTGCACTTTCCAAGACATCTTCCTCCTCCACTCTAGTTACAGCACCATCTCTGGTACCTGAAAATTACTGCAATTCTGCGAGCTGATGCACCGTTATCCACATAACAGATGGCAAAACGCCAACAACGGCAAGAAGTATCACGAGTCAGAAAACGATCCACGTCCCCGTTGGGCACAATCACACTCGCGGGGTCTTAACACAGCGAACCTCTTCTAACGAGATAGCATACTATCTCGTTAGCCTTGTCTCAAACGTCGAGAGATTGAAGAAAATCCGAGGAAACCCGATTTGCTACCATCGTTCTATGCACTACACCTCGCTCGATTTTGGGTACCAAATCCGAGAAAATGGAAATGGTGGCTCGAATGCAGGATTAGTGTCTGTATGCTGAATGAGAACAGAAACGTCGGTCTTTGATCCCTCACGGGCACCCCGTGTTGAAACTGGGCTCTGAAGACCATAAGTAGCAGGTCCTACGTCTCAAGGAATGAGCTATCTTTCACTTCATCTTTCCTTGATCCGGCATCTCGAGTGCTTCAACAGACAAGATGCGGACCTTCTCTGGATTAGCTATAGCGTCAATCTTGACAGCAGCGACAGCACTAGCTTTCAATGGCACTGTCGAGACTGTCACAGTCACCCAAACATCCTGGTCAACAATTATCTCGACGCTGTCCTGTCCTGCGCCAACGACTGTCACTTTGTGCAACGCTCAGTGCGCTAGCCCAACCTCCGCTATCGCCAACAATGCAAATGTTGTCTACCAGACACTCTCAGAATGCCAAGCTGGACAGATTCTCACCATCGAAGGCATGGTCACCACTCTCGCGCAGTCTACCACCTTGCCTGTAGAAAAGACCATCAGCGATCTGGTTCTTATACCGGGGTCTGCCACTGATATCGACTACAGTGCAGCCGCCACTGTCACCAACATCGTCTACCCTTCGTCTATGACCGGCAGCAATGGTCAGGTGATTACATGCGGAAATGAGGTCACTACCGTAGAAGGGAACGGAATTGTTCTCACAAACTGCCCCTGCACGGTGCAGTCGACGGTCCTCGAAATGACTGCAACTGGTTCGGGAGCTGTACCAACAGCTCTAATTCCCTCAACCAACTATATTGTCAAGATCATTTATGTCTATGTCATTGAGACTGTTGTAAGCGAGGTTCCGACAACTATCACTCGAACGGCCACCAGCACCCTTACCACAATTCAGACGGATGTTGAGACAGCGACGGCCACAGCCACGACCACGACTACAATCGCACCTCGTCCTACTATGTTAACTGTAGGTCAAGTCGTCTATCTTCTGGAGTACGATACCGCTTATGACGGCGTTGCTATTAGCAATCTGCGCAAACGCCAGGCCGTTAGTTTGTCAGGAATTTCTGCTGCTCTGTCTGGATGTCTTGCTCAATGTTCCTCACAGGAAAATTGCGTAGCTGCTTCTTTTGATGAGAACACTTCGTCATGTAGTCCACTGAGTCAGTTCGACACACAGAGCCGAAGCGATGCTTCTGGCGTCATCTTCGCTATCGTCGTCTTCAGACCAGCAGTATCAAGTCCGTCTGTGAGGCCCTCGACATCTGGAAGCTCCTCAGCATCGATTAGCTTATCAGCTTCTACAATTCTCTCCGCAGTCACCGATTTGGTCTCATCAACACGACCTTCGACATCCGCAGGTCCTTCCGCATCGACAAGTCCTTCTTCGCTGACAAGCCAAGGACGGCCCACCAGCTCAGCAGACATTAGCACCATGAGAACCATTCCAGTATCGGAATCAATCAGTAGGGTCCGCTCGAGCAGTGTCTTGTACCCGATCTCGAATTCGTCAATCATCTCTACGACGTCGAGATCAGTCAGTGCATCCAGCTCAAGTACTGTCCTGCCTGTGACAGATTCATCGATCACCTCCACAACTTCAAGTGCTATCCTTTCTGTCACAAGCCCTTCGGCCATTCTGACAAGCTCGACGCGTAGCACCATCATCCCTGTTTCAAATTCTTCAGTTGCTTCTACAACCTCGACTTTCAGCAGCAGTTCCAGTGCAAGCATAGTGATACCAGTCAACAACTCGTCGACAAGTACCATATCGTCAAGCACCACACCAGTTGTTCCTCTTACCGACTGTGCGGTTGCAACTGGTCTGTTGGAGTATGCCCCTGCTAGGTCTTATTGTTCTTCGGCCTACCCTTTGACTGCATCTACTAGCCTGATCGACACTACGATCACGAGTATCGTTACGACATCAGGACCAGCGACCACGATGATCAGCAATGTGACTCTACTCCCTGAAACAATTACTCAGACCTTTGGAAGCAGCCACGACTACGACCATTTATGTACCCAGCGAGCTGAGTGTTACAGACTTTGTGACAATGTGAGTCCAGTACGATATACGACGAGCAGGATTGAGATACTGACCCCATACTCACAGCACCGAAACTGTATACCCGACTGTGTTCGTGCGTCGTAGACAAGCATTGTCTGCAGCGCAATCTAGCATATTCTCTAGCATCCTAGCTCGTCCGTCCTCAGATCTTGCATTTTTATGCTCCTGCCTGCAGATCCCAACCACCACTTCGATCACCGTCACACAAACAGCTTCCATCCAAACAGTTGTCACGCCTATGGTTAGTAACAATGTCACCGTTACGCCTCCTGTTGTCACTTTGAAGACCACCGAGACTGCCACGATTACTGAATCAATTACAACAATCGACGCGACTGTCACGCTGGTTGAAACTGTGACTACGACCACTAATTTGCAACCAAGTCTCACGCCGTATCCATCCTGTGATGGCCTCGGCGCATACAGTGATTGTGGCTACAATTGCCAGTGTTATTACTCTGCCGCGGGCCCCGTGGTATGCGCTCAGAGCAGCAATTGCGACCTCGGAAGCTGTAATTCAGACGCAGATTGCAGTCCATCGCAGATCTGCGCAGTCAATACGGGCTGTGGAGCACAGGGAACATGTTTATATAGGACATGTGAGAACCCCAGTCGCAAGCTGATCAGAATGGCGCGTGGAGAGCGGCTGAGGACGAGTAGATTCGATGAAAGTAGTCATAATGGCTCTTGATAGGGTTACTGCTGCCTTTGGTCAGAAGCGTCATGTTTTCACCAATAACATTATCTTTCTGGCAAAGCTTGTTCTTCTGATTATCTCTTGAGTTCCACTAATGTCTATATGGGAGGTGATGGACTGTTTGAGCTTTTATTTGATGTTTGTGAGATAACCCACAACCTTGTTCAAGCTTCCCTTGATCCAACATGATCTACCTACAATTACAAAGTTTGCTAGGTCTTTCACGAAAGTGCGAGACCACACTCCGATACCTTGTGACCATCTCGCTGGCGTCCATGGAAAAAAGAGGAGAAAAGGTTGCAATCCTTCGAACGCATCACAAGAGCAATGTGTTGATTAGCCCGCTCTATTCCGGTTTCATTACTTGGCCTCAACTGTAGTGTTGTACAGTATTTATCCGGTCATGAGGTTGTGCTTTGTACCTCTTTGTAGGTCTGCAAGGTCTCCCCTCTTTCAGTGCAGCCTGGAAGCATCAAGTGTCACTGTCTACTTTGTAACCTAGCTTTGCACTTCTTCAACAACCTCGCCGGCATCAAAAGGTGTTACTATAGCTATGTAGACCAACCGAGGAAGGAGGATGAACTTTCTGTGTTGTATCGCAGCACCGAGCAAAAGTGCAAAAGAAATTGGTCAACCCCTAGGGATCGGCCGGGGGTCGACCTGGAGTACTACTCCCAATATACCCAGTTTATCAAGGATGACCCGAAATATGTTACGGTATCAGAGCCCCTACACCACTGAACACATTTTATCTTCAGAACTTGGCTGAATATATACTCACACAACTAAGGTCTGTCATTGACTTTTACGCTGCGAACGTTTGATATTCTCTTTTCTTGAATAGCCTTGATGCTCAATCCAAAACACCATTGCCAGAAGCAAGTCCAGATGTTGCGGAACAAAAAGTGCAAAAAGAAAGTGATCTACCCCTAGGGATCGGCCGGGGGTCGACCTGAAGCACTTGCTTCCAATGTGTACTTGTTTCAGAGTTTGATGGACCGACCTATGTTACGGAGCCAACCCCTACACCACTGAACACATTTTGTCCGCAGAAGTTGGCTGAATATATACCCATGGCATTTGGAGCTGAAATTCACTTGTGAGCGGTCGGCCCCTATCTCTTCCTTTGGCGAGCTTGAAGTAGATTGAAGACACCCAGTCACAGAAGCGAGTGCAGATGGAGATGTACAAGAACTGACCAAGGGACTCTTTTGAAAGTACTGGATGGATTAATGCTGGACCTGAATCACCTCACGCAGTTGCATCTCGGTACCACTCATCACATATGCCTTCTTGACCTATCCATATGCGTGCCTCCACTTGATCGTAGGGCTATGTCGGACATCGACAAGCTCATCTTTGGGACCATGCCAGGAGTTCGACTGCAGTCTACTTCACGAGCCCCTGATCACCAATTTTGTTAGAGCAGAAGTGACAGATGTGTTGCAGTTAACCAGTCTTTTACGAACATGTTGTCGAAACGACTTCTCATGAAGCAGAGATTGTGTTTGATTCTTCCCTTGACGATTGAGTACTGGTTCTGTCTACTCGAGGATCTCCGTTCCGCCACTGTCAGTCCCATCCACTCCTCCCACTCTCAATCAGAATCACTGCATGAGTCGTAACGGTCTTGAGCAGCATATAAAGCAGCTACTGCGTCGGCGTCCTTGCGCTTTCCCTGCGCGCCATTCTCGTCTCCTTTCTGCTCGGTGACTTCGTCTTTCTTCTGCTTGGCCTGTTGCTTCATTCCGTGATTAGCAAGCTCCTCCATCTTTGCGAGCACTTTCTGCTGCTCTTCAATGGCGACAGTATCGTCAACTGTCTTCAAGAGTTCGGTCGCAGCAACAGCTACGTTGTCAAATTTCGAGCAGAAACGGCCGACAGTTGGTAGTATGGCCTCTCTGCGGGAGACTTCAAGCACCTTGATCGTGGAGTGTAGCTCTTCGACAGCACCAAGGTATCCATCTGAGAGTTTGCTGAAGGAAACAAACATGGACTCGAACATTATTTTCTCCCATGAACCTTCAGGCAGGCTTTGTCCAAAGGCGCGAGCGTCATCCAATGAGTGGGTGCTAATAAAAGGCTTGGTATCGATCTGTACGATAGCTGAAAAGGTGTTTGATGCTTGTACCGGGCTTGTAGTCGTTGCAGACTCTTGGAAGTAGCCATAACCCTCCCAACGCAAGCCTTTCTGGCGTATGTAGACCGATTTGTAATCATCACTGTCACTGGATGGCACAACGATGTTCTGTCCATCACAGGATATGTGAACCTTGATCTTGCGCTGCATCTTAACATTCCATGTGTCGATGAACTTGGAGAGTGGGACTACACTCATAGGACTTTGTGGGTCGAATTCAGCTCCTTCTTTCTTCATCCAAACGAACATCTCATTATTGTAATGTGGTTTGAAGGAATCGAGAAACAGCCTCTCATTAGTGAAACCTGACCAGTTCAGAGGTCTTCTGACGGAAACACTGGTTGCAGTACCGATGGCTAGTGCATAAGCGGCGCTCTCGAAGTCTGGCAAAATGTCAGCGCACCAACTCCCACCACAGGCAATGAACAGTTCATGACATACTAGTTCCAGGCCCCGAAAGCCATCTGCCATCAGGCATACGTTCTTCTGCGGTCGGCATCTTCTATCGACCGCGAAGCGAGAAGCGGATGATAAGGGATGTTTTGAAGGTGGTGCGAAGATCTTGGAGGATAGTCAAAACAAGACAGCGCAGATTGAAGCGGAAGTTGACCAGCGCAAAGAAAAGTGAAAGTCGAGCAACCAGCTGCGCAAACAAAGCAATGTCATGTGTCTGTTTGTTTCCCGAGTCCACTGTGCCAAGCCACAATCGCTGCAGTGAAGACAGAGTGCAGTGAATGTTTCGGAAGAGAACCCTTCTCGACCTCTCTCGCAATGAAATTTTCGTCTGTAAAAACTATCGTGCAGTTTTCAGAGTTGTGCAAACACTCAGGGACTTGCAGTTTGGGACAGCCGACTCCAAACAAATGAGTGTTTCTTTCCATTTACCCACTCAACGATTGGACGAAAAGAAAATTACAGAAACCATATCTTTCCCACTCTCCAGCAACCTACCTTGTCGCCTGACCGACCGATTGGAAAGCAGCCTATGATTGATGAAGGAGCGGTTCCTGGTCTTTGACTCCATGCTGACGACTCGAGCCAGATGATGCTCAGTTCAGGAGAGATAACGAAATCCTATTGTTCAGATGTTCATTGTTGAAGAGGAGGACAATTCAAGCCCAGCAGAAGGAAGTGACGTTCGAGCAAAAGTGGGGCTGCAATCGACCTCCTTCCTCCCTTCACCACACAAACAAAAAGATGGAACCCATGACAAGAAAAAGTAGAAGCAATAATTATCAATATCGAAGCAGAGATACCCAAACCCATTCTCAGCTTACAAGACCCACGATTTGCCGATTGCTCGTTACATGCCCATCCTTACGCCAGGAAGCCCACCAAAACACCTCGCAAGCCCGAGAATCAAGAACCACACCAGACGTCTATCAAAGCCAGTAGACAAGAATGTTACCGCCATGGACTACTCGCCCCACCAGCCCCTAGACTCGCACTCTCGAACTCCATATCCCAATTGTCAATCTCTGCAAACTTCTCTCTCGCTTTCCTCAACTCGTCAGATATCTTCTCGTCAGATTTGGAACCTTTGATGGTATCGATGCTCGTGTCTGCAGTCTCATCTGCCTCGATCTCATCGCTATTGAGTTCGGACAGACTCGAAGAGCCAGAAGAGAGATTAACGATAGGATTGTTCTCTTTATTGTTGCGGGCGTAGGTTCGTGATGTCTTTTTGTCGCTGTTGCAGTCGTCTTCTTCGATTTGACAGGTGCAGGTTTCTTGGTCGCAACAGACTTTTTCGTCCTTGCTTTCTTGCGCTTCTCGTCTTCGAATGCTGAAGACGACGCTTCCAGGGCTGATGAAGAACTGAAATCGAATTCGTCNCTTACGCTGAGAGCGACGCTTGGGCAACATGGCTCGCAATGTCGCTGTTGTCAACGGTTTGACCTTATTGGTCTGCTGTCCACCGGATCGAGCAGATTTACGGATGGCTGAAGGAGAAAGGGCAGGTGTTCGACGATGCTGGTCGGGAGAGGAGGGACTAATGGGATGAGGTGGTGGTGAGCTGCTCATAGGTTCTGCGTACGTGTCGCTGAATAGTCTGCGTTGTTGCGACTCGGTAGTTGCTGGTTCGTCGTCGTCGTCTTCAGGTGCTGTTGCGGGAACAGTTTCGTATTCTTCTCGGTCGGCAAGGGACCTCGAAGGTGATGGTAGCGAAGGCGACGAACGGACGATTTGAACTTCGGACTCCTCGATGGCATCTGATTTGCGCTTGCGAGTCTGCCGTTGTGTCGACTTTTGCGGTGTTGCGCCATAAAATTCATCGTCCGAGTTCTGCAATGCTGGTTCTGGTGTCTGTTCCTTCTCCTGCTCTTGCGCGACCTCCTCTTCGACCTCATCTTCTTCTGGCTCTTGCTCAATTTCGATTTGTCTGCCCTTAGAGACCTGCAGAGGCGTGCTCTCGTCATGTGGCGCAAAGTCATCCTCATCGCCCAGGCTACCAAGAGTAAAGTCTGTCGTGTCGTCGATCGGTGTACCAACAAGTTCAGGATTCTGCACCATCTGGAGCAAGCTAGGCTGACGGGCGCGTCGTCTGAAGTTCTGCAAAGCCAGAACGGATGATTCTGCTCCAGGGGTACTTTGCATCTTGACAGCGGATTGTGGACGCACGACACTAGCAGGTGCCTTGACTGCGGTTCCGGGTACTGCAGTCTGCCTGGCTGGTGAAGGCGATCGTGGAGCAGCACGAGCAGGTACCAAAGCAGCATCTCCATCGTTATTTGTAGCTTCTCGGATTGCGCGTTCTGCCTGTCGCGATTGAGATTCGGGTGCAGATTGAAGGACAATTCCAGCTTTTGTGGCTCTGCGTTCCTCTTCCATACGCGCTTTCAGCTTATCCATTACATCCTTGTTCGCCTGACTAGGCGCTGGCTTCTTGACTGTTCTTGGGGGACGGCCACGCGTTAAGGGGCGCTGTTTCGTGCGAGGTTGAGGAATCGCATCGCGTGTCGCAATTTCCTCTTCCTCCTCTTGTGCAGATGCATCTTGCTCAGTGACTGTAGATTTGCGCGACCTAGTGCTGCGCGCAACACTGCTAACTTCTGGCTCTTCTTCCTGCGGTGGAGTCGTCTTTGGCGCACGCGATCGAGTGGCTCTGGTTGCTGGAGTTTTGGCAGGCGCGGCTTTGGCTGCCGTCTTTGCGGCGCGTTTTGGCGGCATTGGATGAGTAATTGTCGTGGAATGGGCTTATGCGATCGGGATAGAGCGTGTTGCGAGTAGCTATCTGGTGGCGGTTGTGTCTTGCGACGGCGATATAGACGTTGTGGTAGCTGCCTCGCTCATGACGGAATCTTGGACGCGCACATTTCGCGTTTCGTCCGACGTCTTTCCCCATTGGGAACTCTACCCCTCCTTCGTCACTGCTTCTTGCTCTCCGATGACAAGAGCAATTCATATTTTATCGTGATACACAAGATTCAGAATCGAAGGATGTCCAGAGAGACTTCTTGACACGACATCTCTTAGTGATGGGCACTCTGTTTCGTCAAGTACTGTGCATTTCCATAGACACGATATTGTCATTCATTCTAGTGGGGTATCATCAGAAAAGAGACTCTACAACATAACTACTGCCATCTGCCATCATCTCTGTCTGGTCCACCTAGTGCTGTGGTGTTTCAGGAATGACCCTGTGTTCGTCTCTCTTCTTCTCCGGGCTGTCTAGATCCATCATGTCGACATCATCGGGCGTGATAACCTTATGCAAAGTAGGAAGGTCTTCGAGCATTGATCTCGACACTCCATTCCCGTGGCCAGATACTGGATTGGGACCGCTTGGTCTGGCTTGAGCAGGAGCGAAAGGGATCGCCCCAGTGCTAGAAAAGATTGGGAGGTTGTTCTGAGGATGCGTGTATGAAGGGTTGAAGAACGTTTGGTTGTGTTGTGTGACTGGAGCGAACTGGTGTTGTGGTTCGGGCTGAAGCGGGGAAGCCTCCAATTGAGGAGCTTGACCCTGGGTGGATGGCCTGGCATTGTCAAACACTTCCTGCTTCTCCATGGTCGGCATCTGTTGAGAGTTCACAGCTTGTGGTCGACTTGACGTGGCAGACGCGCCAGCAGCCTGTTGCGGTGTACTCTCCTCCAGGTCGAGGTATAGTGGCGAATCTCTGTGCGTCAACTCAGAAGGCACAGTCTTCGAAGCCGAAGCTGGAGGCCTACGCGAGGCTTGTTGCTCTGTCATCTGTGGATCAGAACTGGGTTCTGTCTTGGGTGGATCGGTTTGTAGAATGTCCTGTTCGACCTTTAGAGCCGCCTGCTCGACTATTTGTTCGGGCATTGGCATCTCAGGCATGGTCGGCTTCGGTCTAACTTCTGCTTTGGCTTTCTCTTCCATCTCCTTTACTTTGCGATCGTGTTCCTCTCTCGTTCCCACCTTGAGGTGAATTCGCTTGATACCGGCAGGTCGTAGAGGCTGGATGTGGTTGATGGGTTTGGTATAGTCGATGGTCAGAGGCATTGCAGTCGGTACAGACGGTTCTGAGGGATAACGCTTCGGTTCGGGACGTGTCATGCGGTTTTCAAGCTTGGAAAACGGCTCCGGCTCTTGCTTCACGAAGGGTTCTGACTTGATAACCGGCTCTTCTGGCACCACAGGTTTCAACACCTTTGCACGCGACTTCTTCGGGCTGGGAGGTTGTACTTCCGTAGGCATGGCAGGCACTGGTGGAACCTCTGCAGCCTCCGATTTCATATCGAACATATTGCTGGTTCTTCTTGTCATTCGTTTTGGCTGTTGGATTGGCGCAGGTTCAACACTGGCTGATGTTGGCAGTTCCGAAATCGTCTGGCGTCTAGCAAGATCGACTGGGAGAGGCTTGACCAACATTTCTGCCTCGGTTGGTGGACTGACAGTGCCTGCGCCCTTTGGCTTTCTGGTTCGCAATTGTCTTCCACCTGCGACTGGCTCTGCGGGTACAATGACTGGTGCAGAGAATCTGTCCTTCTTGATTCTGACCGGAGCCAGATCTTCTGGCGCATGGCTTCTTGTCTGACGATCGGAAGGAATGATAAGCTTGCTTAGTTCGTGGACAGCGACGATCCAATTGACCTCAGGTGGTTCCCTTGGTCCAACAGGCCTGGGTGACATCGGACGCATTGTGCCTGAGATTGACCTCTGAAATTTGAGTGGATCGACTACTTTTCCTGTAAATGACTGAGTGGGCGTAGCATATGTTGGCATAGCGGTGCGTTGTGTTCTTGTAGGAGCTGGTGGCGGCGGTGGTGTGACGTGGGTCTCCAGAGCTTGCAAGTTCTTGACATCCCACCAGCTCGGCTCGTATTCAGGGGTGCGATTCAGCGAGCCATTGGAGATGTTCATGCTCTGCATTGCACTTGCGATGTCATCGTCGGCAAGAGATACTTGCGACCCGTTGGTATTTGTCGAGCTCGGGTCCTGACAGAGACCAGAGATATGACTGAGCACACCACTACAGAGGGCTCTGTCACTGTAACCTCCTTCCAGCACGGAAATAACACGACCATTGACACCCGTTCCCTCCTCTTGAGCTAGCTTGACGACATCCTTTGCAAAGCGAGCATAAAATTCGGTAGGCACATTGACTGCATGTCGCTGCATACCAGCACCTTCCCACTGACTTGCGTCGAAGCCAGCAGAGATGAAAATAGCAGCTCTTGGCGGAGCTTGCTTGTGTGAATCTTTGATCGTCTGCGTATGCCTTTTCAAGAACGTTCGAGCTTTCTCCAGCAGAATCAAGTATTTTGTTTCATATAAAGCCCAAAATTCGTCCATGGTCTTCCAGGCTTCTAGATGGACATTCCAAATTGATTGATTGTGGATGTTGTCAATGCAAAGACTGGCATTGGTGACTTTTTCCTTGTCTCCATCTTCGCAAGGATATGAGTTAATGTCGTGCATACTGTAGTAACCAATTGCAGTCTTTTTCGTGAACGAAGCATTTTTAGGCATTCTTGCACTCTTCGCGTTTCTGTCCCAAGTGATGTCCTGAGATCCATCACCGTGATGCAAGTCGATGTCCAAGATTACAGCATGTGTGAGACCGTAGGTCTGTGCAGCATATTCAATACCAATGTGCACATTGTTGATCCAACAAAAGCCAGAAGGAAAATCAGAAGAGCAATGGTGACCAGGTGGTCGGATGGCCACAAAGGCACGTTTTGGAGAAGTCGGGATGCTGGAGAAGATTGTGTCAACAGCATCGCAGACACCGCCGATCGCACCCTGCAGTGCATTCAGTGACTCCGAGCAGAGATACAGATCGCCTTCATGGAAAGGTTGCTTTTCTGTTGTCGAGCCTGGCACTTGCGGTCTAGCCAATTCCTTCATATGCATTTCCAGTTTCTCTCCAGCGGCGTTGCACATAGTCTCGAGCTCCTTCATCCACTCAGTCCCGTGAACAGCAGAAACAAATGGCGAAGTTAATGGCACTGCCCGAGAAGTTTTCCTGATTTTGAACGGGATGTGCGAGTCTGGTTGTTTGTCTGGATGAGGAGCATGTTGCCCACCGGAGTGCCTCGATCCAAGACGGACGTAGGCAGCCGAAAGGCCCAAGACTGCGGCCAATACGCGCTCTGGTCTCTCGACAATCATGCTCAGCATACCCTTGGAAGTCTTTGGCCTCGAGAATCTGTGTCCGTAGCAAGCATCATGAAGAATGACTGCGACCTGCGCAGTTGTGAACTCGGATTCATGTAAGGCCAGTTCTTGGGCGAAGTAAGTCGATGCAATTTGTGCAGCTGTCAACTGTGGAGGTTCCTCAATCAATGCATGCGAAGAGTAAGATCCAATAGTAGAAGAAGAACGATCGCCACGGCGAGGAGAACCAGCAGGAGAAGTCTGGTTAGTCATGCTGCGCAAGGAAGACATGGACGACTTCCGTCTCGGAGGAGTTCCTGTGTGGCTCATGCTCATTGAGCTGGAAGCTCTGCGCAGAGCTGATGGTGAATCGTAAGCGCCAGGAGTCGTGGATCGATGTTTTGATGTTATGGGACTTGAAGCAATTCGAGATGCACTTCTGTGATCAGCTGGTGAATTAGATCTGGCCAGAGATAGTCGGTCGAGATTTCGCGACAGGGATGGACTTTGTTCTCGGCGGTGCCCTTGACCGGGACTTGAACGAGGATATTCAGCCATTTTTGTTTATATTATGCGTTTGCGAACTTTTTGATTCAACGTGGTGTTTCTGCACGGCCAGGCATCTCCTGCATGTTGTCTGATAACAACTGAATATTCTTGCATTGATTCATCAGAAGCTTGAAGTTGCATTCAAACCCCTGGAAAGCTTGCTGTCCACTCTCGTTGACCCGTCCCATGTCGACTTGCACGTGATTCTTGGCACATTTCATCGTCCTTCGTGTCGCACCTGGCTGTCTCTCTCATGCAGCACGGCGACATGCTCTGCTGACATTGAGATATGTTGCACGCAGAATCCAGACAAGGCCTTGTCGCACTGGGTTGAGAGTAGGTCTCAAAAGAGTGGACCACAAGTCCGCCGATGCTGTCTCGCTCCGAGTCAGACCTGCATCATCCAATCTATAATGCTCTGCCGCTATCGGATCAAAGTCAATCCGATCAGGACGACTTGTTGAGACATGGCTCCCCATCCTATCCTTCGTGTATACACGAGTCTCTGTTGCCAGACGGGTTGCAGTGCTTTGCGATGATGGCTCCCAAAAAGCTCACCGATCACCTCCTTGCTCACAGTCCAGATGCCTTTACCACCGCAACCAATCACCCATGGCTCCGTCTCGCCGGCACATCGAAGCTACCTACTTCAGCCCTACTAGCCTGGTTGACACAAGACCGTCTTTACATCTTCTCCTACATTCCCTTCATGGGCAACATGCTCGCTAAAGTTTCAATTCCATCTGCCTCACGCAAGAAGTCGCTCGAATGGCGCGTTGCCGACTGCTTCATTAACGCTCTCACCAATGTTCGAAGGGAGCTTGGCATGTTCGAAGATGTTCTACAAGAGCATTTCGATTGGAAAGAAGGAGGCGAGACAGCGACAAAAGAGACAAGAGCATACCAGGACATGTTCGCTGGTGCTGGTGCACCAAACCAGAGCATACTCGTTGGCATGACAGCACTCTGGGCCACCGAGAAGTGCTATCTCGAAGCTTGGAAGTATGCTCTGAGCTTCAAGGATGAGGTGCCAGAGGACAAGAAGTCGCATGTCTTGCATACTACCTTAATACCCAACTGGACTTGTGGCGAGTTTGAGGAGTTTGTTGTGTGCATTGGTGAGCTTCTAGACGAGCTCGCGGCAGATGTTGCTGAAGGCAGCAAGGAGTGGGTCAAGTGTGAGCAAGTCTGGGAGCAGGTCTTATGGGCTGAGGAGAACTTCTGGCCCAAGGTGACGCAGGAGTAGGATTGTTCAGATGTCTTGAGCTCAAAGAATTTCCACTGGTGGGATTTGAATGCATAGTCCGTTCATGCTCGTAAAGCAACCACTTCCTCCACTTGAAGCAAAAGCATTCCGTAACTTTATATTCCTCAAACTTATGGTGATCATTGGGCTCGTCCGATACAGCCATGCTGTGTGATTCACGATCGAGACAGGTCATACATATGGAAGCAAGCAGGATCTACGAATATCGTTGGTTTTGTACTGCCTGTTGTACTGTCGACATGTTGTTCCAGTGGTCTAACTTGTCGATCAAATCATATCGTGACAAGCATGGTAGTGGATGTCTCCAGCACAGACAGAATTCGCCCAGCAACTCGTATGCGATCTTTGTACACCTGACTGCAGCTCACACAACACTTAACAGGTAACATGAGATGACAGAGACTTGGATGCACATAGTATGGGAAATCATCAGATCACTCACATTTGGCATTGGGCAAGAGCTAATGTCTGTTTAGAGCCAAGACCTGGTCGAGGGATGTTAGTGTCAGCGTCAGCGTCACCCGGCACAGCGCAAAGAATTCAGGGTCCAAGATAACAAAACAGATGTTCAACACTGTTATACCAACAAAGGTATACCTCACTGCCCCCTGACAGATTCGAACGTCGATGATATTGATTTCTAGATGTGTCCGCAAGAAGAGCAAACTGACGGAGTCGAACCTTGGAAGGATGAGGGCGGCGCTCGGTAGATGCTACACCGACTTCCCCGCATTCTGACAGCCCTTGTACAAAGCTTTATGTTAGGCTATGCAGGCTTCAGCTGCATAACCTCTTCCCACCAAAAAAATCTCCTCACTGAAAATCGAGTCCCTGATCACAACCACTATCTTTTCTGGTCGATTGGCAAAGGACTGCCCCCTGACGGAGTCGAACCGGCGACCTCGGCATTACTAGTGCCGCGCTCTACCAACTGAGCTAAAGGGGCTTGTTGGGATGTGCTCAGACGATTTAGTATATATCCCAACCAATATCCCGGGCGAACCATCAGCCAATTCCAACGTATCCCTTGGATGATGGTCCTCAGACATCAATGTCATCCACAACAGGCATCCTCTTGAATCTTTCTTTTTGAGGTCTCAGGCGGTCATGGACGGTATCTGAGCAGTATATCAAAGCTCTTTCGATGGTGTGTACCTTTCGGCTACGATCGGTGGGAGAGCAGCGAGTTATCCTTGCTACTCAACTACCTATATATCTTGACGAAGGAATTGCCACGCACGTCATCTGCTATTCTGTCCTTTCTATAGAGTCCAGAGACCTTTTATGGTTGAAGAGACTGATGAATATTCTTTCTTAGTCTCCTTGATGCATGGGCGAAAGACTCTGAACATCTTTTAAGGCTTATGTAGTGATCATAGTCTCGAGTCAGGGTGACACGCTTGGTGAGATGAACTTGGACAAAAACGGCACATCGTCGGGCCAAAACTGAAGCTTGAAGGACAACCGGATTCATCGAAGGCAGCAGCAGCTTCATCTGTATCAAGACGTGTAACATTATTTATGCATCATCTCTATTTCCCCTATTTTGAATCTGATGCTGGACTTGAAGATCTAGGCTGCTTACACGATCCTACACAGCAATGGTTCCCGGACCGGAGAGGGAAAGCTGCAGATAAGTTATTAACTCTCGAGGATAGACTGGGTCATTGTGAGCTGAAGACCTTGATAATTATCATGAAGGTGAACACTGAGGTGCTGCCGCTCCCAGAGAGTGTTGTCCCAAGCGTGGGTGGTATATCCACTGCTAAAGTGAATGGTACATGTCATCTGCCTCAAAAGAACGCGTTATTTTTGTGAAGTGGAGCTTGTCTTTCAGTCCCAACACCCGCTCACTCTGACCGTGTCTCCTACTGTTGGTTGTTATCATCGGTTCTTCTTCCACAATTTCTCTTCCATCTCCATTCATTCTCGACACCGAGCTCCGTTCGCGGATCGCTTCTACGCATTACGCCTGGCCCGCTGAGTCTTCTACATCAGTCAACCGAGACTTCTTCTATCGTACGACCTACCTGCCTTGTTTGTTACCTTGAACACTAAGCAAGACAAACAACTTCATCGTCAACACCTCTGATCGCGAGTATCTTATCAGTGACGAGCAAGTCCTTTGTCCTCAATCCGCTCCTTGCGCATATCCTTGCAATGGGAGACACATTCTACAGGACCTCGCAAGACGAGAATCCGGTCAATCGCGCACTCGTTATAAACCAGCCTTCAGTCAATCAACCCAAAAACCACTTCAACACGGCTGCCGAACAGAATGATAGCGGAGATGCCGCTTGCAAGCCCGATGATTTTGTTGATTCTATTGCCGCCGACAACAAGGAAAATTTTTCTGACACTGAACCTGAGGAGCCTTTAACCATGAACAGCATCGAAGATCCAGACGGTGTCCCTGCCTGCGGCCATGACGCCGCGCAAGTCGTTCCCGAGAGGTCGTTGACTGCGTATGTGTTTTCCTAAACTATGCATTCATGTAGACATCTTTACTAACAGCTGAAAGTTCGCAGAGTACGGCGCCCTACATCGATGTCGTCGTTGAGGGAAAGTCAACTCTGATCTCCAAGCATCTGCTATGTTCACAATCTTCCTTCTTCGATCGCGCTCTCAATGGATCATTCAGAGAAGCTCATGACAACAGAATCATCTTAGAGGAGCCCTACGAGTTGTTCCAAATCTTCCACACCTGGCTCCTCGAGGGTAAGCTGGACTTTGTTAAGCCAGACTCCAACGCAAGCGTTGATGATCTTGTGGAACAACGTCAGCTGGCGCTTCTCGAGACCTATGTCTTCGCCGACAGACTAGGCATCCCAAAGCTGAATGACGATGCGCTTCTACAACTGGACAAGATTCTCAGACCTTCAGGACGCCCGGGCCGAGCAAGTGTCGATTGCATCTACAATGCCTCCGAATTTCTTCCCGAAAGCTCTGGTCTCTGGCAATATCTGATCGCTCTTGAGAAAGACGCAAACAGATGTCGCTCGCCCCGTCGTGCGCTTGCGGATCTTGTTGATCTCCCTAATTCGTTCATCAGTAAAGTGCTCGAATCGACCGCAGACAACAGTGAGGTATACGTAAGGATCAAAAATCAGCCTTTCAATCTGTTCTCACTCTCAAAACATGTCTGCGACTACGGTGGTTACGGAAAGGTTGAGCAACTTCGCAAGTGGGGAGTCATATGTATGAAAATGGGAATCAGCTTAAGCTTCCAAAGCAAAATCTTCTTGCAGGTGCGCGATGCCTACGCATACTGGCTGGCTCCCTTTGACGAAGAGTTCTCATCAGAGGAGAGGCTGCTGCTCGAGAGCAAATGCTCAAGACCATTCGTCAAACAGTTCTTCCAAGCACCTGTGGCTTCTACGGTTGGCGCAATGGCTAGATTGCAGATCAGAAACTAGAATTTCTGTTCGAGTACTATGTATCAGCAGTTTCCAAGGATGATTGTCTGCTATAAATGGAGCTCGGACTCATGCAGAAGAGAGGGAACTCGAAAAGAGAAGATTTGGTCAGGGGTTGGTACACTTGTAAAATCAATGGAGATTCGAGACGGAAAGAAGGAACAAGCCTAGCCATAGCCGAAGGAGATACAAAAGACCATCAATACAACCAGCCTCCCCATGTGTTGAAGACAGTCACAGTGTAGCTGCAGACATGCATAATACTTTCTCAAAGAATATGGTGTCCACAGAGAGAACCCCAATGAAGGCTATCCCAATGGCCAGACTTATGATTGATTTACAACTGTGCATCTGGACAGCTTATAACAACCCTTATAGCTCGGGATGGAGAAGGGGTTAGCTGCAAGCAGGAAACTTATTGATGACCAAAATCGAAAGTTGAATGTCTTTGTGCTCATTGCGTTTCGGAGCTGGCTGCAGATCAGGGTCGGCTTGCGACTTTTGGGCAAGCGCATGCAGTTGAGAAAGTCTGGGGAAGCCGCGTGTTCGCTTTGTCAACGGGGGCAGTGACGAGGACGGCTGAACTCCTTTGCGACTCGGTCATTCCAAACCTTCTCGTTGTAGCTTCTTGACAATCTTAGAGGGGTATCGAAAGCTCCTTATAACAGTAGAAGCCTCGTAGGACTATTCTTTGTTGTAGAGGACACTTCTCAGCATTCGAGCTTCACCCTTGGCATCCTTATTCAACGACGACAACGATTATATTCCAACTGGCATGAGGTAGCAGAAGCGCATGATGCATCTCTTCCCAGCCTCTCCTCATCGCAGGAGTCAAACCACATGGACTGGATCCCTGGCATGTGGCCTACTATACTGTTCCTCATGGATGACGGGCGTTGTCGCCGACAAGACGGCAGCTGACTATTTTGTCTCGTCACTGCCTGGGGCTCCTGAGCCCCTACTCAAGATGCATGCTNNGGGTATGCATCTCCTCCCAAGATCACAGAAGCTCAATGCTAACCTTGTGTGCAGTCATGTCGAAATCACACCCGAACACCACGGTAACCTCTTCTTCTGGCACTACCAGAACCGACACATCGCAAACAAGCAGCGCACAGTATTATGGCTCAACGGAGGCCCTGGGTGTAGTTCCATGGATGGTGCTATGATGGAGATTGGCCCGTACAGAGTCAAGCCGGATGGTACATTGGCATACAACAACGGCTCCTGGGCCGAGTTCGCGAACTTGCTNTTTGTCGACCAGCCTGTCGGAACTGGCTTCAGCTACGTCGATACGGATAGCTACCTTCACGAGCTGGGTGAAGCTTCCCAGCAGATGATACAATTCTTGGAAAAGTTCTACACCATATTTCCCGAGTACAGCAAGGACGACGTGAGTACATGATTCTGCTTACTATCCACCGCCGCTGACGTCTCCTAGCTATACATCGCAGGCGAATCATACGCTGGACAGTACATTCCTTACCTGGCCGAAGCCATTCTTAAACGCAACGCCGAGAACAAAAGCAAGAAATGGAACCTCGCTGGTTTGCTTATTGGCAACGGATGGATCTCGACAGTCGACCAGTCTCTCTCATATGTGCCCTACGCAAAGAAAGCCGGTCTTATCAAGGATGGTACTGAAAACTCCAAGAGGATAGAAGACCAGCAGTCGAAATGCATCGGAGACCTCGACAAAGGTGGGAAAGACCACGTTGATGTGCCGTCCTGCGAAGCCATTTTGCAAGAGATTCTGCGCGTCAGCAACGAAGAGAAGGGCAAATGTGTCAACATGTACGACGTTCGCTTGGACGACGTATATCCCAGCTGTGGCATGAACTGGCCTCCGGATCTTACTCAAGTCAAGCCCTACCTCCGTCGCAAGGATGTTACCGATGCTTTGCACATCAATCCTGGAAAGACCAGTGGCTGGACCGAGTGTAATGGACAGGTCGGTAACGCTTTCAATGCCCGTAACTCAAAACCTTCTTACGAGATTCTTCCTGCCCTGCTCGAACAGGTTCCAATCTTGCTCTTCTCTGGCGACAAAGACTTGATCTGTAACCATATTGGTACCGAGGAACTCATCAACAGAATGGAGTGGAATGGCGGTAAGGGTTTCGAAACATCACCCGGTGTCTGGGCACCTCGTCGTGACTGGACTTTCGAAGACGAACCTGCTGGTATTTGGCAAGAGGCTCGCAACCTGACATATGTCGTCTTCTACAACGCTTCGCATATGGTCCCATTCGACTATCCTCGCCGCAGCAGAGACATGTTGGACCGCTTTATGAAGGTGGATATTGACAGCGTTGGAGGCACACCCACCGACAGTCGAATTGACGGTGAAAAGGGACCGCTTACCAGTGTTGGTGGACACCCGAACAGTACTGCAGCCGAGGAAGCCGAAAAGGAGGCCTTGCAACAAGCAACATGGAAAGCATATTATAAGTCTGGCGAGGTCGCGCTTGTTGTGGTTGTTATCGCTGTGGCCGCTTGGGGATACTTCATCTGGAGGCAGAGAAGAAGTGCAGCTGGTTACCGTGGACTCTCGCTCAACCCGGACATGGATGGCATGGGTCTCAACTCTGAGCGAAGGAAACAGGCAAGACGAGACTTGGAAGCAGCTGATTTCGACGAGGCAGAGTTGGATGAGCTGACTAGTCCGCACGACCCTGAGAGAGAACGATTCAATGTTGGCGATGACAGCGACGACGATGATGGTAAGCCATCCTCTCATGACCAACGTGGTAGATAGAACAGTGTCGTAGTCAAAAGCAATTTCGAGATCACAGCACATAAAATGTACGAAAGGCACAGGGTGAAGAACAGATTGTTGTACAAGAATGGTATTTTCATTTTTTCTTTCTCATCTTGCTATGTATAAAAGAGTACATCAAATCGTTCTGTCAGATACCGTCGTAGGATAATGTAGCATCAATGGATCAGCCTCAGCCCCAATGAAGGGTACCGAAGTGAAAAATCTCAGTGCTTGACTCTATTACCTTTTCATCATCATGTAGAACGATTTGTGTGTTTGGTTTGTGTAAAGGAATCTGGCACGTTTGACCGAGCAGAGGCGTGAGCAGAGCGCAATGGAAAGCGACAAAGCCACCCAGACAGATTCAGAAAATGAGTGGTGAACTCCTCGCATCAAGAATAAGCCCCATCGAGTTACCTCCCTTCTTTCGANNAGAAGAGGCAATCGCATATCTTTCGACCTCGACGAAGAAGATGCCGGAAGCCCAAACCTGTAACTCCCACAACCCACAAAGACCGCGAGATTACCAAGACGAACCCATTGCCTCCTCCTCACGGCGCCAGAAGGACCCCAAAGCCAGGCCTCCATTGCCCGGCCACGGACTCATATCCTCATCCCCTTTGCAGGCGAGGCGACCGAGCGAAGGACCAGCAACAGAGAACCAACAGCGCACATGCGGAGTGCAGACGGCGATGGGGACGGTCCTCGAGGAGTGAGAAGGAAGGGGCAGGCGAGTAAGCCGCAGGTGTGCTTGCATCTATGGCGGCGCGTTTCCGCAAACCACGAGAAAACCCATGGCGTGTCCGGGGACTTTCTCCCAAAGCAGTGTGTAGAAGGTGAGAAAGAGAGCGGAACTCCCTTTCAGTGTGGAAGCTTTGATTGCGATTGTTTGAGCGAGGAGTTGAGGGAGAGAAAGGGAAGAAAGTTTTGCGCAGAAGCTTTTGTAAGCTGCTTGGCCGCAGTGACACGGCGGAACATCGGCATTTCGGATAGTGCCGGGCGGTGTAGCTAGCGTCTCGCGTTCGTTCGGCGTCGTGAGCTCTACAACTTTCAGTAGCTACGTAGAATAGTCTTGCTGTCGCATACCAATTCACCACTGGGCTGGTCTTGCTCATCCCTCTCAATTGGACATCTGCTGAGTCGTCAATATAATACGGTACGTTATAAATTCTCGCGCCCTGTGCTCAGCGCCTACATGGCCACCGTCTCGCTCTGCGCCAGTTACACATCCACGCGCGAAAGATGCATCTTACCGACGAACACTACGATGCGGATACTGAAGAGGATCTTTCCCCTCCTCTTGCTCCCTGTTCCTGCACTTACTGCGAATCCTCCTCGTGTACCGCGTATATCTCGTTTCGTCGAGACAGGTCTAACCAACGAGCCTTTAGACCCACCTTGCGTGCCCATCGTCCATCCCGGCATTACTCGCCTGACTGCCGTATACCCTCAAAGACTTCTCGATCAGATCGAGCGCAACGAAACCGAAGGAGAGCTCAAAAACTACGCTTCCAGACCCACTCGGCGCTCTCGTTTACCCTCTACGATCAACACGACTTTTACCCCTCAGACATCACAATGGCTGGTATTTTCGGTAGTGCCACCTCTGCTGCTGCCACTTCGGCCACTGCCACCCAAGGCAGCATCGCCAACGACGTCCAACTGAACCAAGGCCCCGAGGACGGCATCCAAGACTTGGCCTTCTCACCCGTCTCTGGCCATCTCTCAGTCGCATCATGGGACAACAAGGTCTACATCTACGAGGTTCAGAGCAATGGCACCAATGAGGGAAAAGCTTCCTTCGACCTCAAAGCCCCCGCTCTAAGCACTTGCTGGTCNAAAGGTACGCTACATCTGATCTCCATGCTCTGCGCGCGCAAGCAGTAACTGACCCCAGCGCAGGACGGCAGACAAGTCTTTGGCGCAGGCGCCAACAACCAGTGCATGATGCTCGATCTTGGAGCCGGTGCTCAAACTCCCCAGACTGTTGCCGCTCACGATAACGCTATCAAGTGTGTTGAGAGCATTACAGTCAACGGCCAGCCCATGATCGTCACTGGTTCCTGGGACAAGACAATCAAGTACTGGGATTGCCGCCAACAATCCGCCGTTGCTTCGGTTCAGTGCAAAGAACGCGTCTACGCTATGGACACTCGCGACCAGCTTCTTGTTGTCGCTACTGCTGATCGCTGGGTTGAGATCTTCAACCTCAACCAGCCTACTGCTGCCTACAAGCAGATTCAGAGTCCTCTTAAGTGGCAGACTAGAACTGTCAGCTGTTTCGCCGACGCTACTGGTTTCGCCATTGGCTCTATCGAAGGCAGATGTGCCATTCAATACGTCGAGGACAAGGATTCGAGGTGAGTTTACCCAAATTCTCACACTTTGGACTGATCTCTAACACATCATGCNAGCTCCAACTTCTCCTTCAAGTGCCATCGTCAGAACGCCCCCAACACTCGTGACCAGTCCAACGTCTACTCGGTCAACTCCATCTCGTTCCACCCCGTCCACGGTACCTTCAGCACTGCCGGTAGCGACGGCACTTTCCACTTCTGGGATAAGGATGCCAAACACCGTTTGAAGGGTTACCCCGAGGTTGGTGGAAGCATCAGCTGCACTGACTTCAACCACGACGGCACCATCTTCGCCTACGCTGTTTCGTATGACTGGCACCAGGGATACGCTGCCAAAACCCCCACTTACCCCAACAAGGTCATGCTGCACGGTATCGGCCCCGATGAGTGCAAGCCTAGACCNAATGCCAAGAAGCGATGAACGTGATATTCTGGTGCGCTCTTGACTACAAAATGGGAGCTGAACATATCTTTGCTTTTTCACGACCAATGCTGGGTGGGAGGTACACAAGGGAGCTGCCTGTGGAACAACAACACATTTGAGCATGAAGCGCGGCGCACGGCGTTCAAAGGGCTTATTACTGGGATGTGAGAAAGAAAGCAGAATCAGGGGATGTCCAAGTCAGTCTCACCGAAGAGGATACATTGCTGTTCATGTTCAAAGAAGAAGGAAAAGGGAATGTTCGCTTCGATCATACATTGCCCTCTCGTAAGAAGTTATATAGCTTCGAGGGTGTCGGTTTCGAGTAGCTTTGCTTCGGCCGTTCACTCCATATACAAATTAGTGGAAGACAAGGATCCCGCTTAAGACGGCATCTTCTTCGACCAGCAATGTACTATTGACCTTCTCCAGTGTCTGCATTGCTTCGGCCTTCTCGCCGCATGGTATAGCCGATACGCATCGGCAGTTCTGAATTGCTTGTTTTCCTCTTTTCCCCAGGCCAACCCCTCATGCCAAGGCGCATGGAACCTGATGTTCTTCGTCCATCTTGCACCTGCTTCCCTGTCTTCTCCACATTGTATCCTTGATACCCCGCTGCTTGTGTATGGCCATGAATTAGTGATAGCCGGTGACAGGATGCTTGTTTGGCACTGCATGTTCACACGTCAGAGTGCTTTAAGTGGGATGATGGTATGCCCCTCTCTGAGTTCTAGGTATATAAGAGCAGTGCAAGGGTAGGTCAATGGCTCCTTCTTTTCATATCCTCTTTCCCCTTGTCTTCAATCGATTTATCGAAACATGCATCTATCCGTGGTCGTTGTTTCCTCTTTGGCCGCACTGGCCTTCGCTCAGACGGGTGCAATTAACCCCTTGGTCCAGCAATGCGGTCCCTCTAACGTCGTCTGTGTAAATCATTACGCAGCAGTCATACCCTACCACTTCTTCCGCCCTGATTCCTTCAACGGCACTTCCATCTCCTTTTCCGCCACTTCTGTTCCTAACGATACTTCCTTTGGTCTTCTCAACACTTCTAACTTTGTTGTCTATGATCGAACCCAAGGACTAGCTATCCTCGGCGACTCTCCTAGCTATGAAAAAGTGTTCAATGTCAGTGAGGCTGTCCATGAAGCCCCCGTCTATGTTCCTGGCTTGAATAAACTGTTTTTGAGTCAATTGGCTCCTCCTGCGGGCTTCTTGCCGCAGTTGGTGGTGGATCTAAACAATGAGCCTCCGACACTGAGTGAGTTTTTGAGTGATCCGCCGGTGTATGCCCCTAATGGAGGCACTTTCCATGGAGGCTTGATATACTGGGGTNNGAGTACTATTTATGACCTTGATTGGCGGGCGTGTTGACCTAGGAATAGGTGCTTCGGGGGTAACGATTCAATCGGAGGTACAGAGCAGAGAGCAGGCATCAGAACATTGGATCCCTACACCAATAAAACAACAACACTGCTGAATAACTACTTTGGCTCGTACTTCAACACCGTAGACGACCTCTTCGTTGACTCCAAAGGCGATGTCTGGTTTACTGATCCTGGTACTGCCTTCCTCTACTCCCCACCACTTCGATTAAAAGTACTGACGATGATACGTATAGATTACTCATGGTTCAACGCCCTAACCGACACACCNCCTCAACTCCGCTCCCAAAGCTACCGTTTCCGTCCTTCCACAGGCCAAGTCTGGGTTATAGACGACACGCTCGGCCAACCCAACGGCATCGCAATCTCTCCAGACGGAAAAAACATCTACATCAGTGACACTGCCTCAGTAAACGGTGTGATTTCTTCCGCTTACCCTGATATCCACGGCTCAGCTTGGAACCAGACCTCCGCACACACAATTTACAAGTACGATGTATTGGATGCAGACACCGCTCCTTCTCTAATCAACAAACGCCCGTTCTACTATTCGCAAGAGTGGGTGCCTGATGGGTTGAAAGTGGCTGCTAATGGATTTGTGGTTACTGGAGCTGGTAAAGGTGTTGATGTCTTGGACTGTACCGGAAGTTTGGTACTCAGAATACAGACGGATTACGTGGTGCAGAATTTTGCTTGGGTGGGTGAGAATCTGACAGAGTTTTGGTTGATGGGTCAAGGAGGTATTTCGAGGGTTAGGTGGAATTTGAAGGGCCAGGATTTGACGAAGTAGAGCGAGGGAAGGATAACTAACACTTCTCTCGTGTGCTGAAGACTGTTATAGTGTAGCTGAAGAAATGGATAACAGTGAACCCAAAGAGTGCGATTCCCACAGAGATAACCCCATTGAAGGTCATCTCCATGGCCAGACTTCAATCTAGAACACAATCGTGTATTTCGATAGCTTATAATATATCGAATCTCGGGATGGGGAAAGGGTTAATCGCAAAGTCTTTTGTACAAAGCAGCATTTCGAAACCAGGAAACTTGTAGGGACAGAAGTTGATAAAGAAACAACACCTCCCCATGTGCTGAACACGGTCACAGTATAGCTGATGAAATGCACAATAGCTTTGCAAAGAGTGTGGTGTCCAGAGAGAGTCCCAATCAAGGTCATCTCAATGGCCAGAGTCATGTTCAGGATACAACTATGCATTTCCATATGGTAAAGGGGTCAACCACAGTCTTCAATGTAAGGAGAAGCATGTCAAGGGTTAGGGAACATGTAGGGACAGGGCATGACAAAGGGTTAACATCTCCTGGTGTGCTCATGACTCTCAAAGTGTCTATGGAAATGCACAACAATAAACGCAAAGAGTGTGATGTTCACAGAGACAGACCCATCGAAAGCCATTTCTATGGCTAGAATCATATTGAACAAAACTCTGCATTTCGATAGCTTTTGATGTGTCATACATCGGATCGGGAAGGCAGAGAAGGGAGCAGATCGTGCATTGATACTTTAGCTACACTGTGATATTCATTCTTCGACTTGTCAATCATCTTCAAGGGGGGAATCCGACAAGGATGAAAACACTGTCGTCCCTAACGGACTTGAGCTCGATCTCCAACTCGTCTGTACCCAGGAATTTCAGATTCATGCCATCAAGCACGAAAGTTTCCTCATCGGGACCATCGCAGATAGCATAGGTTGTCGTCTCAGATACAACCTCATCCTCTCCAGAAGGATTGAGTAAACAATAGAGGGCGCAGACGATGTGAGATGTGACCATTGCTTTCCATAAAGAATCTTCTTTGCTGACAAGCTCTTGTAAGAGATGGATCATTTCGGCAGTCCAGATAACATGCTTGCCAAACTCAATTATATCAGTCAAGCTCGTGTCACTGACAAGATAATCGATGTCATATTCGGATGAGAATATGAACATGCGTAAATTAAGCATTTTACTTGTCAGCGTGCGAATCGCCGTTTGGACATCTATGGATCAGCTGTCAGTATCCTTTGCATATTAGAGTCAGTAGTCACTACTTACTGCAGTGGGGAGTGGAGGTGTCTAGATATATTCTCAGGCGAACATGTCTTAAGCTGGCAAGAATCGTCTCAGGCAACATTGGAAGTTGTGCTCGACCACTTTGCATCTCTTCATGAGGTGTGTCGTGATCCCAGAGTGTCCAGTTGAGGAACAGCAGCACTTGGGGAATGCAAACAGAAGCATATTCGAGAGCAAGCTGTTTGTTGGTGCGCATGACCGCTGGATAAAAACAATCGACGACAGTGTTTGTGTCTAAGACGCAACCAGGCAGTCCGAGGTCAGGAATGGTCACTCACGCGTCTGTCCATGAGGTTTTCATACACCATGTAGCGGATCTCGATGGGTAGGTCCAGGAAGCGGAATGGCTGCACCTCAGGCAGCGCGGGCGTGGCTTTGCCTACCAAGGAGCAGGCAGGTGGCATGATGGGTCGGAGGTCGAACAAGAGATTATTTGCAGCTCAGGTACACATCGAGAGCTGATGCGCATAATGCTGTCAGTGAGGATGAACCAGTGAGAGATGGGATGACTTACACTCCTGGAGACGAACCGCATGTGAGGAGGCTTGCTGCACAGCAAGATAGAGATGGAACTGGCGTGAGGGCGACTCGGAGTGTCTGCAAAGGTCGTGAGTTGTTGTTTGCGTCAGAAGAGATGATGCAAAGGCAAACCTCTTTGTAATGAGACGCGTGGTTGATGGACGTAAGAAGGGTGCGGAAAGTTCGAAGAGAGAAGTTCAAAGTGGCGCGCGCAGATTAAAAAAGGCGTGGATTGTGAAAGTGATGAGATAAGGAAGGAACCACTCGTTCACTGCCTTCACTTGTGGCCGGCCCAAGAAACTTTCCCAGACGCAAAGTGCAGTCGCGGAGATTTGAGCTCTTCCCTGACAATCGCTCCTTCTTATATTGGTATCACAGCCACTAGTTTCGCTCACTTGATCTTCAACTTCACAAATGGCCAGGTCTTGAGTTCTCGAGAGTGGAGTGAAGGTGCTTTTGTGACTACCTACTGTATTTGCAAAACTGCTTTTGTTTCTCATCCCATCGTGTCTTCTAGACTTGTGTCGGCGGTCTGAACAGCCGCGTGTGGGTTTTGACTCCTAAGCTATCCATGCTGAGTGTGCTTCGAATGTGACATGCACGCTCCGTGAGCAATTAAGCCAGTAGCTGCAGACTGTGTGTGCAATGTCGACTACCGCCCAGCTGTCCTTGGGCTGAACTCATGTCCTCCACTCTCAAAGCACAGTCTTGTCTCTCATGAAGTGCCGTCATTAGGGTTGATGATTTCGCGAAGCAGAGCGGTGATGGAGGAAGTGTACTACATCATGTCCTCGGCACGTCTGCGTTGAGTATTGCGGTCTCTCATTTTGTCGGCGAACAGGTCGTTTGGCTCTCCTCCGTTACTGAACTTCGATGGGAACAACTCCTTGACCTTAGGATTGACTTCTCGAGAAGCGCCACGGATTGAGAAGCCCGGTACATCCGCTTGAGCGCTGCCTCTGATGCTAAAGCCGCCTGTCTCTGGACCTCCGGTTATGCGATCAGCCAGGCTGCCTGTATACTGGGTTAGCTCAGATCCATGGTTTCGATTGGCTAAACACAACGTACGTCTGATGCCAGCAGTCTCGTCAGCGTCAAGGGCATCTGATCGGCGGTGATTGCTACGAGCAGATTTGTTGGGGAAGAGTTCTCTGTTGCGTTTGGGAGGACTTGTCGAGGTAAGAGGGGTATCGAGGCCAAAGGTCTTGGAGGTGCTTTTGCNTGGCAATAGTTCTACCGGACCGTTGCTGGCACGGGCTGCGGGAATGAGGTCTCNTTTGCGAGGAGCGGGCGAGATAGTTCTGCGACGTGCAGTCCTGCGTTCGGGCTGCTCCTGGTTGAAGCCATATCTTCCATCTCCATCTCTGACAGGAGAGGCGCTACGGTCGCGTAGTCTGCCTGTCTCCTTTCCGGCAAGCAAATCGCCTCCGCGCGGCCTTCTTGGACGGTCATCTCTGCGTCGGGTATTTCTGCGGTCGTCTTCATCATCATAGCTCAGTGCTGGCGATTCGTCTTCTGCATCGTCGTACATGTTAACGTCGAAAGGCTTGGGAGCATCATCCCTTCGCCTGTTGTCTCTTCTCGGACCTCTCCTTCTGTTGTCGTAGTCCCCCTTGCGTTCTCTCGGATCATGGTCTGGGTTCATGAGATAGAAACGACTTCTTTCGTGTGCGCGAGGAGCTTTCTTGTCGGCGAGAGTAGCTTGACGGATATAGAGTTCGGTATCGGGATTTGAGGGTAGGGCTTTTGCCCTGCGCAATTGTAGAGGAGCGACATTGTTGGCAGAGTCATCTTGAAAGTCAGAGAGAGCGATGAGGGCCTCTTGTGCAGCTTGCTCTGATTCGTAGATGAGGTTGGCGGACGTGTCGTCGATCCACTCGACGCGTTGGAAGTTGTCTAGCGAATAATACTCGCCAGCAAACTGTCTGATGTTGTCGGTGGTGAGGTTGTCCAGACCGCGAATGTGAACCTTGGTCGGAGCAAGTTCGTCGGGGTTGTCGGCAGGGGCAGTTGTGGAGACGTCTCGGGCGTCAATTTGGGCGGAGCGGGCTTCCTTGACAAGTTCAGCGTGTGTTGTGGGAGAAAGCGATCGGTTGGCGTACAATCTTCATGGCCTCTGCCTCGAGTTGGGCGATTTCGGGGTCCAAGCCGAGGTCGATGTCCATGTCGACGTCCATGTCAATGTCTGCCATGATGAGTTGTCGCGTGTCGCGTCTGTCGTGAGGTCGTGGATGGGGGATTGGCTCTGTTGGCGAACGACTCTTGCGACAATCAAGTGCAGAGGTCGGGTGAGCAAGAGCGAAGGAGTGGTATGGACGGTGTTGGCTTCGAAGTGATCAAGATGCGAACGAGTGACTGACGGCTGACGCGCATGTGAAGTCTCAAGCCCTGGTCCGAGCTTCCCTGCCCGCGAGTCAGGGGCTCTATACCACAATTAAAACTCGCAGACCTCATCTTCATATTGTCATACAATGATTTCGCTTGTCATGGACCGACCGACAAGATGAATCTACGTTGCAGATTGCTGACCGGTTTGATCCGCACGATTGCCCCGAATAATTCTCAGAGTACTACGCACAGCTGCATGTCCATCTCTTGTCGACTTTCAAACATCCATTGAACATCGCGATTCTGATCATTGACACCTATCTTTTATTTCAAAAAGTACACATGTAGATTCTAGCCTTCTGAGGCTGTGTAAGTCTCTACATTGGTGAATAGGCCTGTTACACAAAGCAAGGCACAAACATTGGCGTTGCTTGACGGAATGTCATGCAGTCAACTGTCAAACACACTCAGGCAAGCTGCAGCTATCCTCCGCGTCTTTGCATAGTGTTCCGGTTTTCTGTTTCTTCTTCTTTGGTCAACCAAGTTGAAAACACACTTCAGCTTCACTCTCTCATTCGTCCAACTCGCCTTCACTTCACAAGCTCGATTTCGTTTAGTCTCACAATCCTTCGAAACCAACATTCCTTTGAGCCCGCCTTCAAGTCCGCTGCAAAAGAAGTTCACGTCTTGCGACCACTTGAAAACCTATCAATATGTTCTTCAAGATCTCCATCGTCTTCGCAGTCTTTGCACTGTTGATCCAGGTCGCCGTCTCTGCTCCTCCTGCCTGTGTTCTCCAGGCCGTCAAGTAAGTATTGCGATGAGCAGCGATTCCAGCAGTGGACTGACAATGCGCAAACAGCCAGGCTGGAAATCCTCCCAGCGATGTCAAGGACATCTGCGCTAGTGGCAGCACTGTCGAGCAGACCCTCGTTAGTGACTGTGGCAACAACTTTGACGCTGCCATGAGCGCCTTCTCCAGCATCTGCTCTGGTGTTGGTGTCACCATCTGTAAGTTCTATTCAAGCAATCCTTTTGTTACATAAGCTGAGTAATGAAAAGCTATTTGGAGTGCCGCTTCCTCATCTGCCACTCCCGTCAGCTCGAACGCTATCAGCACATCTGCCACTTCCATCACTATGGCTACCAGTGATGACAAGTCTGACTCCACCTCGACCTCGACTTCTGCCCCTGCTCCAGCCTCCAGTACTGAGTCGATGGTTGAGTCTACCGATGTTGCTGTTACCACTGCTACTGGCATCCTCACAGCAACCGACACTGTCACCACTACACAACCTGCCGGCTCATCAGGCGTCTCAGTTTCATCAAGCACAGTGTCCACTGGTGCTGCCGAGCACGTCGAGAAGAACGGATGGGTCATGGGAGCTATGGCTGCTGCTGGTCTCGTCATGGCCTTGTAATGAGACAGACAGATCATGTCCGTAACGCAAATCCATGAGCAAAATGAGCCAGTCAGTCACTGATGGTTGCCATAGAGGGTGATCATACAGAATATGGAGGTGTCTCTGGCATATCTCTGTAAAATTGAAAGATCAACAACAGAAATATGCAATCCGAATCTCACATTCGCAAATCAAGTGTGAACGGCTCTGATCTATGACATAATCCACATGTTTGACCACTCCAGAAACCAAATTTTGTTATGAGAGACAAATGAAGTGAAGACCGAAAACACGTCAGAACTTAGAAGACCTCAACATAGCTCCGGCAAAACACCGGCATGATCGACGTACATCCATCACATCCGCAAACCACCCTCCTATATCCTCTCCATCCAATACCAACTCTCCTACCCAACACAAAACCATGCCTTTAGCAACTTCCAACCGCTTAAGTCTCACACACGAAGACACAATAGAAGCTCTAGCCGCCCTCTTGACCCAATACTACACCCTCCAACTCCTCTTGCCCTCCCACTCTACAGCATATATATCCCAACCCCCTCACACACCTTCATCCTCAATTCTCTCTCAATGGCAAAAAGCAGGAATGAGTAATCTCGTCATCGAAACCCTAACACAATTACCCTTTCTCTCTGGTCCGCAGAATACAGAAACAGCGCCAGACACACGAGCACTAGACTACTTAGATGCAGAAGGAGAAGCATTAGAAGTTTGGAAAGANCCCTTTTGTCTGAGTGAAGAAGGAAAAGACAAGGTAGAGGGGTATCTGGGAAATGCTATTCCATTGACCAGTTGTATTGGGAGGGATGGTTGGTTGTTGCTTTTGGATCTTGATACCAGTATGTATTCTCCTTTTCTTACACCTATCTCTTTCTAGTAGTGTATGGTATTGATAATGTTGGTANNAGATAGTATCTACAAGATCAGAGATAAAGATCTCCAAGCGGCACCTACACAATCACTCCCAAAAGATGCACCGAAACACTATTACAAACACTTTCCTCACAAGCCTGCGCTCACGGTCCTCAAAGAGTGGATCGAGAAGACGAAGAAACTCGACTGGGTACCCGATCCGGAGACTGGACTATGGATGCAGAAACACGAGGATGACTTGGTCGATACTGGAAGATACGACGCTTTGAAGCAGTTGTATCTTGATTGTGGGTGGCCTGAGAGGTTTGACCAGGAAGATTTTCTGTCGAGATATCAGCTTTTGAGCAGATCTCGCGGATGGAATGATGATTGAGTTCGTCTGGAAGTACGTGAACCAGTCTCCTTGTTCAAAGGCGGAAAGGGCAAACCCTGGCGTATTTCGATTGTGACTTCTTCCGGAGGACTGGCACAGACTTGATTAAAAGGGCAACAACAACACGGTACAACAAGGCTTTGCACTTTCTGTATCTATGAATGACTGTATCAGGGCATGCGGACCATCTCAACATCTAGGACGGAAGGCATGGACGATGCCCGATCTTACCTCTCCAGATCTGAGTCTCTCCCGATGTTCTCCAGCTTCGCTCTTGGAAATGCTCTATTCCTTAACACACCCACTGCATGCCGATGTATCACGCTTCTTCCTCCTGCACGAGTTTGATCACTCGTATGCTCGCGCACAGGACCACAATCCCAATCACACTCCTTCAAGTCAAGTCGATCACATCTATACCATTGAACTTCTCAACAGCTGGCTTCTTCGATGACCGCAGCTTTTCCCGTCGTTCCTTCTCCTTCTGCGTTTTCTGTTCTAGGGCCAGTCGAATCTTCTTGTCGACCTCGTCAAGCTTCACGTGGTCGATCTGAACCTCAAGGATCTTCGTTGCGCCATCGAGGCCAACATGCTCAACATCGACAAAGATGGTCTTCTCTTTGCACTTCAGAGAACTGCAAAACAACCACGTAAGATGCTCCACCCGTCGTTGAGCATTCATGCAGAGCTTGTTGTATTGAAGGATGTGTCGACACGATCCTTGCTGATCTTTGAGAGCTTGGCAGCCCCGGTGTGCCTTTGCTAGGTCGTGGATATCACCTTGAAGCCACTCACTGTGTACGTGGATTCTTGCCCAAGCCAGGTTATAACACTCCTGCATGAGGCGCCTTAGATCTTGGTTTTGCTGGCGTATAGCTTCGAGAGTCTGGTTGTTGTTACTGTTCAAGTGCGAGGGATCGTAGCAGGCTAGATTGTCCATGTCGTCTAGAGCCTCTAGATCGATATGGATCATGCCTAAATAACCCTTGATACGAGCATTGAGACCATTGAGCACAGCTTCAAGATGCAATGCATTGACAACAAAGACGTTGTTTTTCCAAANATGGCGCTGTGCCTCTCGCCATACTTCCTGAGATTTGGGTGGTAGAAGGCCGAGAGCCGAGGCAACCAAAAACGAACGGGCGTGTTGGTTGGAGCTCGAAGCGATACAATGCGTTGCTAGGTCGGTGCTGATAGTCGAGGGGTCGCATATCTCGATCATGCCCGGAGCCTCTAGCTTGTCACGGTATGTTGCCAATCTTTCCATCACTGGCAATTTGAGGAAAGCCTCGATGCTGTAACCCGAAAGTAACTCATTTGCTACCATAGTTCTGAAGTCTTTGGCTTGCTTGGTACGATAAGTTGCTGGTCGAGCTCGCGGTGACTTAGGTGACTTGACGTTTTGGTTGTGAAGCTCGGAATGATGTTGTTGTTTCTGTAGTCTCTGGAGCTCCTTAGCCCAATGTGGAGTCCATTCTTTCATCTTTTCCGAATCAATTCCTGCTTCCATTCTGTCTAGCATTGGTGGCAGAACAAGGCTTTTGTCAGACAGAACAATGTCACGGAACATCTCCGGTCTGTGTGACATTCTCGTACGATCAGGGAGTTGCGGGAGTGCCGAGAATGGTAGAATGGCTTCCTCTTTGTCTTGGATGTTGTCGAACTTGCCGAGCCAACGTGTCAATCGCTGGGCATCGTAAGGATCTTGCATGTGAAATACAGTCGAGTTCTCATTCTCGAGTTGCTCATCTGCAAACGATGTAGAAGGAGTGAAGAGTTGGCTGACCATGTCTCGATCCTCGGGTTCGTCATCATCAATGATAACCACCATTTGGCTACCCATGACGGATTCGACTTGTGTAATCCAATCAGGAATATAGAGTTGCTGCATGAAGTTCACAACAAAGATCGACTTGAACCGCTAGCTTGAAGATCCGATGTATGAATAATGATAAAGAGTGAAAGCGAGCCTCACAAAGTTGCAATTCGAGAAGCAACGCAGAAGGCTGTGTAAAGTTATGCCCTCCGGGGCGAATTGAACAATCCACAAAGAGTGAGTTGAGTGGTCGGTCGTTATTGTCGCGTAGATCGTGACGGAAACAAAGTTGAACTGCGTGAAGATCAGCTATATGTACCAGATAGAAGAAGCGAGGTATTATACGTCGAAAAGAATATATGCAGGTTGCCGAGCATGCAATGCAGGTACCCGAAAGCAGGAACAAACAGGTCGGTCACTGTTTGTGATATGTTGCAAGCCGATTGTGTTGTTCGCTTTGTAGGTTCTCGAGCGAGGGTGTATGTAAACAAAACGAAGATGGAAGCGAGACAGAAAGCGGAAGGTTATTTGCGAACTAGGTAGCACGCCAAGGATGTGAATGCTTAGGCAGTAACGACTATGATATGTTACTTCCTCATTGCCAATCACATATCACCTGCTATATGTATTCATAAGATCTAGATGTTTCCCTCATTGCATATAGGCCCAACATATTACAAGGAGTTCAAGGAATATCATAAGATGTTGAATGAAAATTTTCAATACATACCACAGCAGTAGATTAGGCTGCTGGACCCAAAACCTGTTCTACAAACTCATCAGCACCCCTAGTAACCCCATCCACATCCATCTTGGCCAACGCCTCGTTGACAGCTTGGACAACATCTCTCTCCTCCAAAACCTCATGCATGACCTCTCCTTCTTTTCTCCAATAATCGCCTACCTTGGCTCTAAATCCAGCCTCCCTCATAACGACGTTTCTTACTGCACCCAAAGATCTGAATTTGGCCAGTGATTTCTCAAGGACTTTGCTTTGGGACTCGATGACGAGAGCTGGGGAAGGTGGAAGCACGAAAGCGCGGTTGGTAGCGGAAGCCCAGATCAGAAGACCAATGGCGGCATCTGTTACGCAGACTGCCAGATGGGAAGCCAAGTAGCGTGTCCAGAAGAAGTTCTCGATGGCGGAGTAGGTCGTGGCTCGAGCATTGCGTTGGTGCTCGTATGTAGCAACTGAAGCAACATCTGCAATCATTACTACGATGCCTGAGATGACGGCAGCAGTTCTCCAGCGAGCAGAGGTCGTGCCGCCGATGAGGGTTGAGGTAGCGAGACCGAGGAAGAGTAGATGCATCAAGTGTGTCTTCAGTAGCGAAGGCAGGGCGCAGATCAGGTAGCTGGTACCTGCATCCTGAGCCTTGGGGTCGTCGACCAGAGGGCAGTTGCACAAGATATCAGGACCGAATCTGAGGTGTTGCAGTCTTGCTTCGAGTCCTCCTAAGGTAAAGATGTGGCGCAATGTCTCATCTTGAGGAGTGGTAGCCGACAATCTGTTGAACAGGACAGGGGTGGGTGTTTGCAACCGCGAGCCAGTCTTGGCAAAGATGTTGGTGGGAGTGAAGTAGGGGAGGGTGAAGATGAGCGAGACGACGGCACTGGCGAAGATGAGGTTGAGGGCACGAGACGCTTCTGGAGATACGGGGATTCGTTGTGCGTTGTTTGGTGCTCGGAGGCTACGGTAGAAGGCTATGATTCGAGGAAGGAGCATGGGCCCAAAGAAGATGAGGGCCGACCGGATACTGCATTTCGATTGTCAGTCTTAGCATGGGCAGTCTGTTGTTACTGATGCGACGTACGTGCTCCAGGACACCATGGTTGCGGCCGCGTGTTATTCTCACTGAAGTTGTCGCGTTTCGCAAGGTCGAATAATCTCTGTCCAGCGTCCAGCGCGTAGTAATTCCCCCTCCGGAAGAACCAGTTTTGACTTGGATAATGTCGACTGTTTCTACCATAAAATGTACAATGATGGTTGCGAGTCTGGCGAAGCTGCCAATTGTCCACCGAGCTTTCTCCGCAAACTTGAACTTCGACCACTTCGAAGCCTCCTTTGAATCTTGATGAAGGCTATCTCAGTGGCTAGACTTTATATTCGGATTACAATCGTGCATTTCGATAGCTTACAACAGCCCTCATAGCTCGAGATGGAGAAGCCAGTTGCAAATTTGTGACTGTCTTTAGCACATGAGGAGGTAAATGTAGAAGCCGAAATTCCGTACATTTTCCCCAGTTGCTCAGGACGCAGAAAAATCGTTGCATTGCACCACGAAATGTGACTTCTTAGCTGCAATGCCATTGGAAAAAGCGAGATCCTCTTCGAAGACTCTCTTCACTTAAGAACGAAAAACACCAGACTGCAATAGCGGCCGGCGAAAGCCCGTGCGAGCATCGGGTCCGACTCCTCCTTCCTCACGCCGCTCTTGACATTTTCCAATCCACTACATCATTGTCTGCCGCGCAAAATGCTTCTTCGTTCATCAAAGACGACCTTCAACTCTACGCCAGAACCCACCATCTCTGACATGTCGGACGCGACCCCAGAACAGCCGTTTCGATTTCTCGACCTGCCGAAAGAACTCCGATTCATGGTCTACGAGGAGCTCATGGACAACAANAAGAACAACATCAAGTTCACGCAGCCTAAAGGATTCGAGGTCGATGATGTATACCTCGACGACATGTACTATCCGAACCTGCTCAAGGTCAACAAGCTGGTCCGTGACGAGTACTGGCCTCTATGTCTTCGCACAGCGACCTTGTGGATCAATTACGGTTGGGACGAATTTTTGAACTGGCAAGACGAAACAGATGACAGCGATCAAGAAGAGACAGCGCTGTCGTTACTTTCTCAGTGGCTTCATCTACCAGACGCAGTTTTGGCCAAGTTGACCGATGTCGTCTACAAATTCCAAGCTCATTGGGAGCTTCCCGAGTTCAGTAAGTCATATAAAGCACTCTTTCAACTCTGCTTCTTCAAACAGTCTCTGATCATCNNTATAGACCCGTTCCAGGGTATTGCCGACTCTACTGTGGAGCTGCCAAGCTTGAAGTTCATCGGTATATGGTCAGAACTCGAGATGTCTGTTGTAGAGCGTGGTCAGGACGAAGCAGAGCGGGATGAAAAATTCCAAGACTTTGTCGGTGCCCTTTTCGACGAGGAGATGGCTCTTGTCAACCTTGACGAGGAAGAAGACCGCAATCTCAACATTCGTGTGGATTGCAGTTTGTACACGCCGCTGTTCGAGATGAACAAGAATTACGTTTGGCCCCGTCGCAGACATCTTCAGCAAGGTCTGGCGCCCGCGGCTGGTCTTCCAGAATGGGGTCACTCGATGTACCGGGTGGCTGCTCCTTGGGAACTCCCGCTCGACGATTCGTTCACGTATTGCGGCGAAGAGCTGGTTTTCGTGCGTCTCGATTACGAATTGCCTGTGCTCCCTAGGTCCGAGACGGAATGTGATAGTCCTAGCGAGTGGGATTACGAGTTTGACGAGAGCGGCTTTGCTACAGGTAACACACCAGACTGGAGCTCAGGTGCAAGACCAATCTGGATGGATCACGAATGAACGAGGATTGACGAAACACGACTTTGCTTTGCTCGCACTAAGATCCCATGTCATAATGCAGAAGCGTTATCTCTTCTTAGCATTGTACTTCGATCATAAGTAACAGCAAAATGTAAACTATGGGAAGGCACAGTTGTTTTGAGAGTAGAGGCGTATCCACAGAGAATCGACGACTTATTGTCTCTCAGTGGATACTATCTTGTTTCCTATTGCTATTGTGCGTTTCTATAGCTATACGCACTACATACCCTAGTACATGGGGAGGAGGAAAGGAGGCTTCGCGAAAACATTGTGCATTTCTGCAGCTACAGTGTGACTGTCTTCAGCACACGGGGAGGTAGGCACGGAATACAAAATAATCTGATGATCGGAAAAGACGAAAAGATGATCAAAAAGACACAAGATAGTGGTATTGAACATAAGACATATTTGGAAACAACTTGGGAGGCCTTCTAGAAACGTTCCTTGCCGTAGCCACCGTTAGGGCCGTGAGGCGAGTTGCGCTTGTATTCAGCCAACTCTTGCAAATCCTTCTCCCACTGGGCATCAGCTGCCGCACGCTCACGGCGACCAGCACGTCGTGACTTGATGCAGCAGAAGATGAATGCGACCAAGGCGATAGCGAACACGGCCACCGAACCAGCGGCAATTGCAGCCTGTGCCCACTTGGGAAGAGCTTTGTAGTGTGCCTCTGCACCATGAGGTCTAGCGAGGCGTGTTGCGATGGTGCTGTTGCCCTCGGCAATCTTGATAGATTCCCAGGAACCAGTGTTGTCGCCGTAGGTATAGGTGCTACCAGAGCTGTAGTCGGCGACGTAGACGCGTTCCATGAGCATGGTGAAGGGGGTCTGGTGGTAATCGACAACACCGCCAGCCCACTCGACTGTTCCCTTGGAGTTCGAGTCTGGGTCACCTCCAGCCCAGATACCGATCTTGAGCTTCATGGGAGTTTGCGGGTAGTTCTGGCCGTTGAGAGCGTCTGCGTACTTCAGGGTGCGCAACACATTGTCGTCGACTATCCATTGCAATTGCTCTTTAGTCCAGTTAAGGGTGTAGTTATGGATTGTACCAGTCACATCGTCAACGTCGTAGTAGATTGCTCGGTCGTACGAGGTTGTGTTGCCCTTGCCGAAGTAGTTCGTTTCGACGCTTGTATTGTTTCCACCCAGCCATTCCCAATCAATCTCATCGAGGTCGTCGGATTCGAGAACAACCGAGGAGACGATACCGACGCCTGGAGCGGCTTTCATAATAACGCTGACCTGACCGAAGAAGATATAGAAGTTGGATTCGAGAGTCGGGGCGTCGCCTTTGCCGCCAATNNCTGCGCCAGGTCAGTAAGAAGCTATACTCTGTTGCGACAAGAGCGTGCATACCGTGAACTGAGTGCCGACATCAGCGTAGTCGGGCTGGCGACCACTAGTTGTGTTCCAGATTTTGTTGTCGGGAATAACTGAGTCTGTGAAGTTCCAGTCGTGCCATGTGCCGAGGGCGGTGTTGGGTGTGCAGCTCGTGTTGAACAGCGGGTTGCATTCGGAGAAGGTCTGAGCTGAGACCTTAGAGACAGTAGTCGCGGCCAGCACGACTGCTGCTGTCTTGAGGAAGGCTGACATAGTGTTCGTTCGTAGGGCTGGCTGAGATGGTCTTCGAGATGTATAGTAGAGCTGAGTCGCTGTAGTCGGTGCTTATCTTTGAATGTTCGAATGAGTGGACGCGTGCTGGTATTGCACGTCTGGTCAAAGGAGTGGCTGCTGGGCAAATGGCCTCAAGCAAGGGAATGTGGGAGAAAAGGAAAGATTACTGTCGACACGCAAACTGGCAGGGGGAAAGGAGAAAAGAAAGAGAAAGTGGTGTGCCCAACCTTCTTGATACCGTCAATCTAAACTTACCGTAGCTTCCGATCCCTATCGACCACTCGCCATCACTCGTGGATGGACGAAGGGCGTTTCAGAAGGCGGTCCCGGCTGCTCAGGGGTCGTGCCTTGCAGTTCGGGAGTGGTCAAAGAGGTTAGTAGCATGCTCCCCACATTCTTGAGGCACGTACAAAATCTGGCTAAACATCCCCCAGAGTTTCACCGGCGCCTGTTTGCTTGTCGCAAGTCAGAGTCCTTGACGACGTCGTGTGACAATCTGCGAAATCACTGCATGTCAGCCAAGATAATCAGGCCTTCACTCACTCGACGTGTAGGCTTCTCAAAATGGCAGCATGCGATGGTCTCTGAAGGTAGGTAGTCACGACATGAAAGCGCTTAAGCCAGCCATGGGCATCTCTACCCGGCTTGCACAGCAAGGGCCCGACAACTTCTTGGCGCTCGTCTCAGGAATTACGATCTGCTTCGAGACTTCTGACACGACTCACAGTATCACTCGAACATGATCAGAATTTATGAGATGAAAGCTTGAATTTGAGTGCGCGAAGCTCTGATGGTATTGACGCTGGACGATTAATGATAGCAGGACGATCCATACGACAAAATCTTGAACAGTGCTTGTTTTCACGCGTTGATTCATTATGATCGAGCTTGGTTTGGCTCGAGTATTTCGCCTTTTGGCACGCACGCCTTTGCCATGGCGAGCACTGCATGTTGCAGGAACCAACGGAAAGGGTTCAATATGTGCATACATATCCGCCATGCTCGCAGCGTACAATGCTTCTCAGCTACGGATTGAATCTGGCAAACCACCAATTAAGCACGGCCGCTTCACCTCACCACATCTAATAGATCGTTGGGATTGCATCACCATTGATGAGAAAACAATATCCGAAGCCATCTTCAGGCAAGTCGAGGCAAAAGTTCTGGCGCGCAACATATCCGAAAACATTCAAGCAACAGAATTTGAGCTGCTTACCGCGACTGCTTTCGAGATATTCACGCTGGAGAATGTGGACATCGGTGTCATCGAAGTTGGTATGGGTGGTCGTCTCGACTCTACCAACATTCTAGGTCAGACGTCTGAGTTTGACGAGTTGGAGTCAAACCAACAGAACAGGCCAAAGCCACTAGTGACCGCCATCTCGACTATCGCGTTAGACCACCAGGGATTCCTCGGAAACACATTGGTCGAGATCGCCACACAGAAAGCTGGCATCATGAAGCCAGGAGTGCCGCTTGTTCTGGCAATGAACGATGAAGCAGTGACTCGGCACATTCTTCAACTTGCGTCTGAAGCAGGCGTGACACAGATCTTGCACTCGAAAGACACAGCAGGCTTCGACGTGACACGCGCGACTAGCACAACCGATGCAGCACATGCTCGTCAACAGAACGGCGCAATGGCCTTTACAGTTATCTGGCTAGCGCTCAAGCAGTTGAACCGTCTTCCTGCTCCACCTACTACGCAAGCTGCTTGCGGCTCCTCTACCTTGCGCAACGAGATACGCACATCAAGCCTCTCAGCACTCGCAAGCACACTACGCGCCGTACCGGAAGGAGTCGTCTGGCCTGGTCGTCTGCAAGATATTGATCTTTCATCTCTCACCAACTACAAATCCCCCGCCCTCCTCGACGGCGCGCATAATGTCGAATCAGCCACTGTACTTGCGAATACGGTACGCCTTCGTGCTGGCGATCGTCCGGTGGTCTGGGTCCTTGCTGCCTCAAAAGGGAAAGATTTGACATCCATGTTCGAGTTATTGCTTGCAGGCAGATCTGAAGATCGTGTCGTAGCTACAGAGTTCGGAGCTGTCGACGGCATGCCCTGGATCACGGCGACGCAAGTGGAGGTTGTCAAAACAGCTGCCACGACCATACTGCCTGGGGACAGTGTGACTGTAGAGAAGGAAATTAGCGTCGCTTTGGAGAAGGCATCTCGACTGGCCGAGGAGACGAATGCTCTTCTCGTTATCGCTGGAAGTCTTTATCTTGTCGGCGATGTGTTACGTCTGGTGCGTGATGCAGGTGGTGCAATCAAGTGATCGCTCGTATCTGGAGTAACTCAGGCGGTGCCTATCGTATGTATATATCTCACAGAACTTTAACAAAATACCCAGAACGCCGCCTTCTCGATCCATTATATTCACTGTGCCTGCCGATCGTCTCGCTTATTCCTCTGAACATCAACGCCGTATGGCCCAGCAAGTCGAACGTTGACAATGTCTGCCATCAGCTTCGTCTTGTCTTTCAATCGGTGCCTTATCGTCGGCACCCATCCTCCGATATCAGATCTTGCCGATACGTTCAAGCGTTTACACGGCCCACCCACATTTCCCAACCACCATACCCTGTCTCTCATACTCCCTCATTCTCCTCGACGGCATAGATGACTGCCTTGCTTAGTCAGCTACGAATGCGAAGCGCACAAACAGCGCCACTGGAAGACGGGTACTGAGGTGTGCCCCGAAAAGCAGCCTGTTGGCCTTTTGGCTGAGCGCCAGGGTCACCAGTGAAGAGACTTGGTCGTTTTTGGCGATGGCGCGTCCCTCCAAAACAGATGGAGATGAATATCAGTGCTGCTGGAATGCAGGAAGGTGTTTGTTTCCGAGTTGTTTCCAGCGAAATGAGGTGGTGTTTCTGTTTCTCTGTGGATGTTTCTGATATCAGGATATTACTGTGCATTCTTACAATAGGTTCAGATCATGAGAGCCGTGCTGGGAGATGGTATAGGGCGCAGACGAGATTGTCGGGCTCGGACAGAGAGATGCGCTCTCCCAATGTACCCTCCACCTACTGAACGACCTGTAGAAACATAGAGTGTTTTTGTTTTACTCGGTGTCTTCAAGGAGATGCGATAGCGACAACCATACCCCTGAGTTCCTGTATATCCATCGGCACATCAAAATGATATTATGCATTCCCACAGTCATATCACAAACACAACGACACAGACAGATGGATGAAAGTAGTTGATTGTCAATTTGCGCTGACCCATGTTATGAGTTTGGGTATCTTCGCTGATGGACCACGTATGGGCCTGGGTATCTTCGCTATGTGTATTCAAACAATAAAAACCAAAATCCTCGCAACAGTATCTTGCCTCGCTAAAAACCTTCTGCCAATTGACGAGCAAAGAAGGGGAAAAGAGTTACAAGAAGAATAAGATGAAGTTGAAAACTGTGCATGCACCCTCCTCTTTGTACCAGAGTCTATATTTCAACTCTGCACTAGCCTCGGTAAGACTATCTCGAATCGTCACGAGCGATACCATCGTACTGTTAAAGGTCAGAGTACCTGTAAGGGGCGGGAGAGAAGTTCTGTTTGGTGAGGTAGGTCAGGGTACCTAAGTGGGCTCGTTAGCATATTGGGGGAGACAGGTCAGCGTACCTGTGTAAAGGGGCGGGAGAGGAATGACGAGCAGAGGAGAGAGTGTGATTAGTATCGTCTCCTCCAATTTTGACTGCGATATGCACCATGCCTTTTTTGGTGAGGCACGGCTGGGGCGCCAGAGGCCTTAGGTCTGATCCAAGGAGTGTGTTTGTCGAAGCGAGGACACTTGACAAACTCATAGACCTGCTCGAAAACTTGTGGCGACAGACCTGGTGGGGGCACACCAGGGCCGTTGACCGTGAGGTCCTCGAGCCATCTCCAAGGTACGATGTACCTGCTGGAGACGTTGAGGCTTGTCGGCTTGGGAAACGAGCCGCATAGAGCGACGGGTCTACGCCAGGGGTGCTCCTGGTCTCCAAGCGGAAGATAGTTCTCCCCCAGCTCCTGGCCTTACAGTTCTTCTTGACATCCTTCGTGGTGGTAAAGAGTATCTGGACCAACTCGGGATGATGGGCATCGTCTGGAAGAACTAAGATGGGGTGACCTGTCGGATCACCCCCATCGTTAGTTTGGGAGCAGTTCACCCAAGGGGCACCTGTTGGCAGGAACATGAAGGTGCCTGATGCTGGACGCTCCTGATCCAGGGGCACAGGAGCAGCAGCAGGCTCAGGAGTAGCAACAGCAGCAACAGCAGGCTCGGGAGCGACAGCAAGCTCAGGAGCAACAGCTGAAGAGACAGAGATTTCCAAGGCCATCTTGATGGTTTGAATGAATTTGCTGTAAAGCAGAGTATTCTCTTGATTCTGACCTTGGTCGACGGAGCGATAGAAGAAAAGGAGAGAGAGGGAGAAGGGCGAAAGTCAGGTCTCTGATATACTGCTCGACCACGTTGTTTCGTGGCAGCCTTGCTACTGGAGCTTTTTCTGAACTCCCTCAAAACAACCTCAGGAACCTTCTCTTCAAGCTGGGGAGGACTCCCTCCATGACCCCCTGGTGCATCTCAACGAGCCCCTGATGGATCTGAACGAGCTCAGTCTCTGTGGAAAGCCAGTGTTTCCAATAATCTTTCTGCGTCGAAATGGTCGCTATACGACCTTTGGGGCACGCAGGAGAGTCGCTTCATCGATATCAAGGTGCGAGTCGTCTAGGCGTCAATGAGCAGGTTACACGGACCTCTGGCATCTGACTGGCTCGCCTCTTGAAAATTCGTTCTTGCACGCGTGCTTGAATTTCTTCGAGCTTCGAGAAGCTGCAAATAGGTGCTTGGAAGTGAGTCAGATTGCGACCCTGGGGTCGCCAATAGTAGCATGATGGGGTCTCGGGGTTGGTATACCCAACGGGGTCAGGGCGTTTTCGAGGCTGATGGAAGCTTGGAGCTTGCGATTGTGATGCTCAGCGACGACATGATGGTGCACAAGCGAACATGGGAATGCTCGGAAGTGTAGCTGTAGTTCAGGGGTTCGGTGGCGATGACAGTATGGAGGAATACAGTAGGGGTATATGAGAAGTAGAGCAGCATTGGTGATGAGTGCAGAAAACAGCAACTCAGAACGGGATCTGGCGCTCGGCTGGCATTGTGACGAGGACTTTTGTCATTTGTCCAAACACGACTAAACAGAATCGCCCATCGACAGCCGCGCAGTCGCTCGACACCTACTAAGAGACCCGACCATCTCGAACGAGCGATCCAAGCATGACAGGACCGACACAGGAATAATATGCGAGCTGAGGACAGTGCGACCCACCGACAGCAACCAGAACTGGCCAGGCGAAGCAACACAATGCAGAAGAGACCCGCACTCTCAAGCAGACAAGATCTCAGAACAACAGCAAGCGCGAAAAACTTCGACACCTACCTGGAGAACACAGAAGACCTACCAGAAAAAACGTCGACGGCGGCGTCCTACAGCAAGTGTAAATCTTCACGAGTGCTCTACAGAACGCATACTATTGATTATACATAACTCTCGACCTCTATCATCATCTCCGTTCTCATTCTTCCTCATCACATCTTTTTGGCATTTTTTTGCGATTTTCCAACTTTTCTGGTTTTCGCCGCTGGCGTGACGCATCTCTTCTCTTCGGTTCCAGTATGACCGTGACAACCAGAAGCTCCTTGTCAGATGGTCTTGAGTTCTTGTCGATGCAGTTCCTCGAGTTGCTGATTTTTGTACAGTTTTTCGCAAGTCCAGATTGAAAGTTCAGGAGGGAGCGAGGTCGAAGTACCCTCGCTTAGACTCATGTCATCAGCATGTGGTTTTGGGATATACGGCGCACCGCTTGCTGACTTGTGCCATCTAAGAGCACATTTTATGCAGGCGCTGACTATCTCGGGTTAGCACAAGCTTGAGTCGTTGGCTGTCAGCGTCTGGCATACAATGCAGTGACCATCAGCCATAGGCGAGCAACACGTGGTGATCATGCTATGACAGCCCGAGCTGACCTTCTCTTACTAGCAGAGACGTCTCATTGATTCCCACCATGTCCAGCTTAACGCTTGCACTCCGTCAGTCGATCGGTTCGAGAGTGATGCGACTTCTCCGCTCAGCACCACCAGTCCCTACCAGTGCAATGTTTGCTCTTGCCTCGATTGCATCTTGCTCTACTCGACCATGTATCTGGCATCCAGCAACACGCTCGTTCTCGTATCTCAACCGTCTAAGACAAGAATCAGCCCGGAATGCCGAAGAAGAAGTCGCCCACCAACAGGCATCTGAGCGCAAGCGACTGGCAGACCGGGTGGCTCGCTTCCGAGAGCGTTACGCGAATGATCCTGCGTTTCGTCAGAAAATGATTGACAATGGGAGGAAGCGTTACAGACAACCCGAGAGGAGAATCAAGGCTAATGCATGTTACCGCGCGAAATACCAAGCGAACCGCGAGTATTATGTCAAGGCTCACGAGCGAGCCTGGGCAGAGGATCTTAGTCGCAGGCGTACGTCTTACTTAGTTACCCTTATTGCCCGAGGGGCGGCAGAGCGCGCTACATGGAGGACACACGCGCCAATCGCATATACAGAACGGGTCGAGCATTACTGCACCGGCTGTAATCGCATCCGCTTCTTGAGAAGATGGTGGAAAGAAAAATCAGAGGCATTAGGAAAGGCAGAACAGCCGGATTCTGATCGCTACATGTGCAATCACTGTTTTGCCAATGACTGGCCACGCGTAGTGCCAGAAACATACGAAGGGAGGCTGCCTGGTATATTCAAATCGCCCGAACTTCCACTTACTACAGCTCATCAAAAGAACGCTCAACAGGCAATGGTGACGAGAACAACACACCCCAGAAGAAGTACTAGCGGTCCGGACTATACCATGAACAGTGTCCAAAGCTCTTACGCTCTGTCACAAACGCTTCACTGTAGCTGATTACGGCAAAACACGGCCATCGCAAGGATGGATGTGTTGATTCAGTGAAAGCACACCGAGTAATAGATGATGCTCCACAAGCAATCGAAAATCGACCATATTCTGAAGCTTTGCGTCTTCTGACAGCTATGCTTCGGTCATACAACAACGAAACAGCTTGTTCTTCTTGATACTCAATTGGATGTGTAAGATTGCCACATCTCGTTTGGTGCCTTATGTTAGTGTCAAACATACGGAAGTACACTCCCGGCGGTAAGGTTGTCAACGGAGCATGGATCGAGAAGGCTCTGGGGCGACGCCGAGTCGGTCAGTGATAAAGTCGATATGGCAAACAAGTATGGATGAGGCGAACGCCTCGACAGGCTGGTAGAGTTCGAAAGGGCACACCTCAAGCTCAGAGTCCTTTCACTCACTTTGCGCATCTGTGTGGGAGTATGTCGATAAGGTACCTGAGGCTGCCAGCTGTCATCCCTTGTCACCTGCTCGACAGCTCGTTTTAACGAACGAAATTCCAGTGCTAGGAAGAGCTGGGTGTCGAGAAAAGTTGCACGTCGTCAGTGCAAAAGCTGGACCAGATCGCGAGAAAAAGAACACAAAGATCCTCTCGACTACGAGAGCACGCTCTTGCCCGAATCTCTCATCCACTCGGCTGCTGGTTCGTCACTAACATCACCCCTGACTGCGCGGATTTTTTGCCGTCTGTTTGGGCCCCTCTCGCCAAACTTACATCAGTATTATCCAGTTCACGGTCTGTGATCCGAGCTTAGGCATGAGTTGACTGTTGGAAGCTGTGGAAATATGAGACATGTCTTCGTCATTCAAGCAGTATTGGTGTACTTCCTCAATAGCATCCACTTATGTACGTTGACCGTACTCCAGACTATGATGCTAGTGTTTCTGATCGAGGTAGATCACTATATTCTTCAAGTCACTCTTTGTGTGGCAGGGAGTAAGAACGAACCGGCAGATATTCCTGCAACCAAGAGTCTACTGCATCGTTCTGCCTAGGACTGTATTCCTCAATGGCTCAGAGAAGACAGACACGATCCGCCACAATTGAATTCATCAATCTTTAAACAGATATGACAAAGTATGCTTTTCCAGCTTGGAAAGAAGACAAACTGAACGCATGGTTTCATTGTTCCTTACGGATCTTCTTTCTCTTTCAATCTTCCTCACCACTAATCCTCGCTCATACGTTCTCAAGATCATCTGCAACTAATTTCACTCATACGTTACAAACTTGGTTGGATACACGAGAGTTGCAGTTTCCCTTCTGTGTACTAGGTCGCTCCTTCCTTCTCTATAAATGCCCCTTCCTTCTCTATAAATGCCCCTTTTTTCTCCATAATCGCTCCTTCCTTCCCAAACTTAAAGATAGGAAGAGAAAGAACATACAGTCAAAACAGAAACGGAACGAGCAGCCCAGATTAAGACAGAGATATAGAGTGCGATCGAATTTAGACAGATGAGAAAGGAGCGATGCACTCGAAACCAATTACGAAGGAACCATACAGCCGAGAAAGATGAAGAAGGAGCGATGCACCCACCTTTGAAACTCATTGGGAAGGAGCGATGCACTTCAGAAAGGACTCGAGGAAAGTATCGATGCAGACAGAACGTTCAGGAAAGGACGTAGCTGCTGAAAACACAAAAGCGAGAGCAACACTTGCAGAACCACGATTGAGGTGGAGTGGGAAAGTGATACTGCAAGACAACATCAAATACGCAATCGAAAGAAAGAGAATAGATATGAAATCGAGTTTAATTAGGTAGAGCTGGTGATTCCATTCTGGGCGGACTTTATAGTACCGCTGTTCCTCTCGTCTAGGATTGGTATCATACTTTTGCCTAAACAATAAACTTTTCTCTTCTCTCATGCTGGATCGTAACACATAGGCCGTGACTCTATGATGCAAAAATCTTCCCCAAACGCCATGCAGAAAATGCTCATACAATGCAAACAATAGGAAATCAAACAACACATAGAAGCATCTATGAGTTATCTCCACAGGAGAAGGCGCTAGCACTGCCAGAGTTGTTCGAGATGTCAACAGCAGCGCCCCAGACACCCAAGCCACAAAGAGCGAGGCCGACAAGGGCAATGACAATGTTGACAATAGTGAGGGAGATCTTCTTCCAGTTCGCGGTAAGCTGTCTCTTGTTCATCATGATCCACCAAGCAGCGGGCAAGATCATGGAGAACCACGTGCAGAAAAGAGATCCGAGGAGACCAAGGAGCTGACTGAAAACGGGGATGGCGTTTGCAATAACCCAAGCGACAACCCAGAGCAAAATGGTGAGTCCGTACCAGCTGCCGAGCGAGCGGAAGCTTTTCTCGTTCATGACGTTGGTCTTGCGCCAGATGCGGACGTAGACGTTCTTGGTGGCAACGTGAGCGTAAATGACACCAGCTACGACGATGGTGGGAATGGCGATTCCGTAGGCGACCTTGCGAACAATAGGGCTGGCAGAGCCAATGGCGGGAGACTTGACATCAGTACCGGCGAAGCGGTAAATGACGACAGCGACGACGATGTAAAGAGAGCAAGTACAAATCTGGAGCATACCCAAGGCCTTAGGGAAATCTCTAGGCTTCTTCATCTCGGAAATGAAACCAAAGTAGGCGATGTTGGAGCAGAAGGAGACGAGGATGTTGGCGACGGCTACACAACCAGTGCGGAAAGAGGTCATGCTCGAGGGAGTCACCGCGTAAGCGTGAGCGCCAACGGGAGGATCAACTCCGATACCAATCATAGCAATGAAGATGGCAGTCGCAATGGACAAGCAGGAAGCGACGGACATGAGCGCGACGTTCTTCATGGTTCTCGGAATGCAGAGGATCATGGACACAACCATACCAACAACAGTGAAAACGATGGTGCAGGTTCCGTGGTTGGTAAGGACGTTCATCATGATGGAGAAGGTCAAGATGTGAGCGGACATGATGAAGACCAAGAGGATGATCTGAGCAGCTTCGAAAAGCTCCTTGGCCCATGTTCCAAAGAAGAAGAGACCGGCGTCGGCAAAGTTGTGAATACCGGGGAATGCGATCTTGACTTGGTAGGTGACGTATCCGGTGTATGTTGTGAGGATACCGAAGAAGACAATGAGGATGCAACCAGGAACGAAACCCATGCTGGCGACGACAGCAGGAAGAGAGAGGATACCCAACGAGATGGTCTCAGCAACAAGGAGGAAGCCGGCATTGAGCCACGTCAACGTCCTGTACTCAGTCTCGCCATTGGCATCGTTCTCGAATGGATTCACCATCAAACCCTCTCTCTTGCTGTCCAAGGTCATGGTCTCATCTCCCTCGGGGATTGCATCTTTCTCTTCAGGAAGTCTCATGGCGGCGCCTGTTCCAAGTCTGTGTTCGAAGCTGAGCTGACGCTATCAGCGGTGTATCCGCCTCTTTTCTCTTCTCCCAATGCCATCTTGGCAAGCAATGAATCAGGGTCGAGGTTTGATGGTTGCGACGTAGGTCAGTTGTGTCAATACGATTTGTCGGGAAGCCTTGAGAGTCGCAGGAGGTAATGAGTTAATAGAAGGCGAGAAAAGTAAGGAAACAGGAAAGATGGTTACAAGGCGGATGACGAAAGTATAAAAACTAGGTCAGCAGAAGTATGAGTCCGAATGAGCGAGACGTCCAACAGCGATCTCGGAACACATGGTCGACGTGTTTGTAAAAAGTCTCGTGCTCTGGACTCAAAACACCGAAACAAGCAGTTTCTATTACTTGAATATTATCAAAAAATTGCGGGTTAGTCAAGCGTTTGATGGGGATAGTGGCCCAAGCTTTAGATGCGATGCCAGATGGACCACCAAATTGTCGAGGTTGGAAGCGGCATAAGGGGCTGGAAGGAGATGAGAAACGAAGGTGCAAGAAATAGCTCGTATAGCCGATGGAAAGAACAGTAGAGACCTAGCTTGTATGATTTACCTTTGATAGGTGCGAACGTCCAGAGGGACGAAGTTGAAGTTTGAGATCCGCGTCGCAAGGTGGACCTGAACTTTGGCAAGCGAGTGGCAAGAGCGAACATCAAAAAGCAGCAGCTTGTTGGCAAAGATTCGCGATCGTGATGCCATAATCATCGCCGGCTTCTTTGACCTTCCATACAGTCAATTGATATGGCTTGGTCTCTGTTGGAGAGACCAGGCATTCCCATCCGACTTATGAGAGGACTAGAGACAGAAGGCATCTCTACTCGTAGCCAAGACGTCAAAGCGAAAGTCAACTCCGATCTCGTCGCAAAAGTCGGTTCTCGAAGGGCCAGAAGAAACACCGGAGATTATTCCATCGCCTCAGGTTGTGCTCCAAGAGTCGCAAGCTGCAAAAAAAATCGGAGGTCGGCGGCGGTCGGAGTGTTCGGAGTGAGTTGGCTCGGCCTTGCTGGTAGTAGGGAAGCCGCTGGTTCCAGGTCGAATTTGCCGAGGGCGGGGTTGATCGCGAAGCTCTCCAGAGCTGGCGCGTAAACTGCTCGAGAGCTCCTTCGAGCTTCCCTCGAGCTTCTTGCTGACAATTGCTCGCCGGACAACATTGCCAGAACTCTGTCGTTAGCCAAAATAACGTGTGAAATCACCGCTTGATCTATCGTGCTCGTTGCGAAACCGTCACTCGTCTTGTCATCCACATACTTCTCGCCGTCATGGTTGAACTCCGCAAGCGCAAGACTCCTCCTCCAGCCCCGACCCCGGCACCAAAGAAGGAGCGCAAGGCAAAGGCGACCAAAGCAAATGGAAAGACCGAGACTGCTGCTGAACCTGCTGCTGAACCTGCCGAACCTGCTGCGCCCGAGCCGAGTGCTGTTCCAGCTGCCGCGCCTGAGCCAGAATCCAAGGCCGCCTCTGGACCTCCCAAACCTGGAGACAAGATTGATTTGGATGGCTTTGGTGGTGAAGTTGAGATCAACGACGGTCGCAAGGTTACGCTCAAGGCGCTGGTCGACGAGAGCAAGGAAGGCCTTGTGCTCTTCACATACCCTAAAGCATCAACCCCGGGCTGTGAGTTCGTTCCTACTGTGAAACAAGTCATAGTTTCTTCTGTGGCTCGCTCCTTTTGGCTTACAGTGCTGATTGCTGACATGATGTTCAAAGGCACGACTCAGGTTTGCCTTTTCAGAGACTCGTATGAACCTTTGACGGCAGCTGGACTGAGCATCTACGGTCTGAGCACCGATTCGCCCAAGGCAAACACGACATTCAAGGACAAGCAAAAGCTCCCATACCCTTTGTTATGTGATCCCTCAGCTTCGCTCATCGGAGCAATTGGTCTGAAGAAGGCACCCAAGGGAACCACTCGTGGAGTTTTCGTTGTCAAGAAAGACGGCGAGGTTCTCGCAGCTGAGCCTGGAGGTCCAGCAGCAACCCTCGAGGTAGTCAAAGGTGTTGTTGCGAAGATGGGCGGGTCCGGTGTCGGCGAGAAGGCTGAAGCCAGAGCCGCTGAAGCCGAGAAAGAAGAAACCAAGGGTGCAGGCGAGACGGCAGCAAAGTTGTAGATAATGACGAGATACGAGATATGTTGTTGATGAATATAAAGGTTGACAAGTTCTGTCAATCGTTGGACGAAATCAAAAAGTTGTCATGCAGAAGGCGTGCTCTAGGGCGCGATGTCTCGAGTAATAATATTCGTGAGCACGGCATAGCAGCCGGGCAAGACGGATGGCTTCCGTGCTTCCAGACTTTTGCATTTGGTAATGACAATTGGTTGCAACCCTGATGGACATCGCAAATCATCGATGACATGCAATTTCAAGCTCGTGTTGCGCAGAGTTGTCAAAAGGGTTGTGAGTTGTGCAAGAATGCCTAGAACAGATAAGAAGTTGCTGGGGCCAAACCCCTTGCTTCTGCTGTGGTCGAGCAGAATTGGATTTCAGCATCAAGCTCATCATAGTCTAAACAGCGGATGCAAAGGTGCAAAAGGTATTGTAGCAGGCCATTGCGTATTATGAAGAAGCCCATGACATATGGACTATGCTAGAAGAATAGCGAATCGTCATGTTGAAAGACGACTCGGGAGATGGTTGTTCAACTGTCGACCCCACTGCGGGCTGCATGGAGACCCTGAGTTTGATTGTTGACGAGGCGCAAACAAAGAAAAGCGAAGTCTCTCCTGTCACAAGCAAAGAAACGAAAAATATAGCCGGCGCTATATCTTGTATTGTCGCCTGGCTATTCTTCACAAGCCAGGGTGATGCGAATGCCATTTTCAAATCGATAACAATAGGCAACGACTTGTCGACTCGTAGCGCGCGAGGCGCGGCTACCTACCTAGTGCTTGCATACGTAACCCTGCACCTGTGTCTGTCACTCGACATCTAAGTGCCCTTGTTTCTTCGAGACTTGTGCAACTGTTCTGTCTGGACTGAAAGGCGCAATTCTTTTGGTGGACTAAGACAAGGCAGACTGTCTGTTTCAGCATGAAGGCCTTTGCACGAGGCGCGACTCGACTTCGCAGCACATCGCTCAGTGCTGTGCCTCCACCTCGATCCTCTTCAGAATACATCGATGACTACGCCGACATTGCTGCATCCATCCTCTATCGCTCGCCCTTGNNGCCTCCGGAGTCCGGTCTACCCGTATACATTCTCAATGCCGCCGCCTTTCCCGATGCCTTTGAAGTCGACTATGATGCGCTTCTACCCTACGTCCTCGCCAGACTGCCAGGAGAGGAAGAGTTGATTGCAGGTGAAGAATACGAGATTGTCTTCTTTGCTGGTGGACAGCCTGAAAGCGCCACTTCCGAGAAGAAGACCGGACCTGGTATGGGCTGGTACTTGCAGGCGTACCACGTGCTGAGCAGAGCGGTGCGAAAGAGGCTGCAGAAGCTCTATGTTGTCCACGAACGGAGCTGGGTGCGTGTGCTCATCGAGGTATTTGGCACCATGGTCTCTCCCAAGTTCCGCAAGAAGATTGTCCATGTCTCGACTCTCTCGTCTCTGGCACTACACATCCCCATCGAGAAGCTGCTCATTCCGCCGAGCGTATATCTCCACGATCGTCGCCTCTCCCCCGATATTCATTCGCCTTATGTCAGTGGCCGCAGAGCCTTCTCCGCCAATGACCCCATGCCTCGCAGTCTATATGGACAGAGACGCCTACCTCGCGTCCTGAGAGAAACAACAACTTTTCTGTGTCAGAGCGAGAATATCAAGACAGAAGGCATCTTCCGCATCCCTCCTCAGTCAATCCTGGTTGGTATTTTGAAAGAGGCCTACAATCGCGGTCAACAATTTATCGTCTGGAAAGAAGGTGGAATCACTTATACTCAGCCTGATATGGATCACCAAACTCTCAGACACATCCACCAGTCGGATGCATATGGCGTGCATTTGGCAGCTGGTCTCATCAAGCTCTGGTACCGAGAGCTGAAGACTCCTATATTTCACGAGACTTGCTATGACGAATTGAGATACAAATTCGGAAGCCCCGATACTGATATTGAGCTGGAAGATCTGATCGAAATGCTATCGCCAGCCTCAAACACCTCATGTCTCTCTCAGACGGCGAGACTGATACTTATCCTCCACCTTATTCCACTACTTTCGCTCGTCACAAGCTACTCGGCAACCAACAAGATGACGCCTGACAACCTAGCCATCTGTTTCTCCCCAACTCTCGTATGCGGTTCGGATCAGCTGGCCGATGCAAAGATGACGTCCATCGTTCGTCGGATACTTGAGGCCGCAGTCGAATATTGGCCACATGGCCTGCGAGACGCTTGTCAAACTGCTCCAGACTCATTTGTCGCTGCTCTAAGGCCACCGCCTGCTGCTCAGGACTATGAAGACCCTCTGGCGGAGAATTACAGGGATACATCACACGACTCGGAAGAGCAATCACACAGAATCGTCCTTCAAGACGATGAGTCTGAGAAGCCTGTCCTTCCTNNCCCTCGTCCGACGAGGCAGCCTGAGGAGTCCACATCGACGTTTCCTGCGAGATCTGACAGCCTGGCTTCTCCCATCAAGCGCAAGCCTGCCCCAATAGGTGTTGCTCCTCCACCTCACGCAACTTTCCCCAGTCGCTCTGTTTCACAGTCTCATGCAAGCCAGTCTAGTCCATTAAGCGATTTCGCCGACGTCAGAAATACTCTGCCGTACACCGAGTCTCCACCGAATGTGCCATCCAAGCCAGCCCCTCCCAAACCAGCTCTTTCAGCACAAAATGATTTCATGAACGAATTGAAAAATTCCTTGGCCACGGATGTGGTGAAGAGGAAACCAGTGTCGTCCACAGCGTCGCCAGGCTCTCCTACGAGCAACGATTTGTCATCTGCTCAACCTCAACGCTCCGTATCCGCCCGAGTACCCTCGCCACCAAAACAAGGTGACAACATGTTCGTCAAACCCACATGGGCAGCTTCCTCGCGCACAACCTCCCGCGCACCCTCCCTATCCAATCCGTCCTCTGCCACCACCTTTTCCGCACCCACTTTTGCCAGAACCCCATCACCGGGCCTGCTCCAACGTATGGCATCCATCGAGTCAATGCAAAACTCCACTATTGCTGCTCAGCAACTAGATCCAAACAGAATCGCGCCAGTTGTTGAGAAGATTGGCTTGAGAAAGAGCTCTGTAGACGACCTTAAGAGGGTCTATGAAGAAAGAGCTGGGATTGCTAGAGCGGCTAGCGTGAGCAGTGCCAGTAGCAGTCGGAGAACTTCCAATGTCGGGTTGAGTAGGAGGACGTCGAATGCTGCTGTATGAATTGGCATTAAGACATGAGGGTTTTGGCAGATAATGTTGGTTCGCTTTGGGATCTTGGGTGTGACTTTCCCATTCTTGCTTTGCTTTTCGGTTTGGGTTGCATTATTAGAACGGTCTTATTTCTTCTTTACCATTACAGTATCAGATACCCAGTTTTTCTCTGCACGCTCTTCATACCTGGATGTTTCTCCGTCCTGAATATTGATATTGGCGATGCTCTTTGCGATAGAAGGTCAGGGCTGTACCCTCGACAGTATCACATTGATATCTGATGATTATGATTGAAAGATGTGGCAGACAGTACATCACGTGATTATGATATATCATGTCGCAGTGGTTTAGTGGTAAAATTCGTGCTTGCCATGCACGAGCCCCGTGTTCGATTCACGGCTGCGACAATTTATTTTTGTCGTTCTCTCGCTATGTGGACTTGCTAGTGGTTTATATCTCTTTTGTGTCAAGAATTCTGTTTAAAACTTCCTCACATAAACAAGCCGTGACAAAGCCACAGGTGGATAGCTTTCTTGTATGATGAAGCTACGTCTTGACAAGGAATTCAACTCTTGGGCTGGTGTAGTGGAAGACCGTAGAGGTCAGAACTATATAATGTATCTGTGTATAGAATACACTTTTGCGTTTTCCACTCGTTCTATCTTTGTTTACTGGCCATCTATGCAGAGTGAGGCCAATAGATGTGTAACGAGACCTTCCTCGAACTTTTCAGAAACGGAAGAGGGATGAACAGCGATTGGATTAACCAGGTTTCGTAGCTCATGTTTGAATGCCTTGAGGCCCATGACGATGTTGCCTAGAACCTCGTTTCCTCCATCTCTCTCTGTGGTGCCATCATATCTGGAACCCAAGAACTACTAGAAAACCATATACAACCACTAACCCCTAGCTGCACCGAGACCACTACTAATAACATTCGAGCGAGATCTGGGCAATACGTTCATTCCTAAGAAAGTTGATACACGCCTTTCAAGGGTCAATTAAGAGTAAAGGGAGATTGGAACCTGCTATGCGAGAGTCGGCAGGTGAACAAGACTTCTGCACAAGTGGGTTGTGAGGCGAAGACATCTCGAGAGCATAAGGTGGTTGCTTTAGATCGATCAGGGGTAGAGTCAATTATACTGTTTGTTTTATTAATTTGAATACCTTTGTCTGTAATGTTTCAGGCACTATAAGTGCCATATCAATGTGGTGTGCAAAAGACTGCTTCTTGTGTGTCACAGTTCTTCAATGTTGCAATTTTCAGGCATTAATGTGGGCAGATGTTATAGGGGACCTTTCGAGGGAAGAAAAGAGATCAAGTGGTGGTCGCTAAGGGAAGTTATGCACCGACCAGCAGCGCCGTGTTCGGGGTCCTGGTTCATTCTTTCTCTGGAAGGCGGCTTATCGTCTGTCACGGACGAAACTGGAGCTGAGACCTGATCGCGAAGATGGTTGCAGTACAAGATCAGGAAACGAGACAGATCCGAGCTCGATGGTTTCGACTGAGAAAATCCGCCCTGCTCATGCTGATTTTGACCGCATGTATGTGTTCTCCTCTTGCAGGTGGCATGTCGCTGTGGTGTAGCTAGGATTGTGGACGTCACTATGGAACATTGAAAGGAGGGAGAAAGGCAGAACTTCATCAATAATCATCGAGAGTGAACTCTTGTTGATGCATCATCACCTAATACAAAGTAGCAAAAGAAACACCGGATTCCCGGCGGAAGAAACTTGCATTTCGAAGGCAGTTTACTTGTAGTTATTTTTCTTTCTTTCTTTTGGGGTGGCTTCTTCTTTTTTTTCTTTTTTCTTTTTTTTTGCTCTTTTTCCCTGTTTGCCCCTTTTATTTCTTTCTGGCCATGCTGGGAGTTGAACCCAAGACCTTTGGATGAGCTTGTGCCAGACTGGCGCCAACTAAGTGGGCCACCGCGTCCGGTGAGCACCGACTTGGTTGGTGGAAGGAGACGCGACAACATTGTTTATATAGCTTAGCTATCGCCGTTGTGGGGACAGTGACAGACAAGTGAAGGGAGGTGTGGCAGTCCAGTCCTGATTGTTTTGATAGCACTCCATCCATAACACGGACACGCATGTGACGCGGTTGATGTTCGCACTCCTCTCTGCGTGTTGCTGCCTAGCCTCGCCGCGTCGAGTGTGTCTGCAACAGCGACGATCCGTCGCACGCTTTGAGGCAGTTTTGGTTTTGCCCTTAACGGAGTCTTCAGCGACAGCTTTCACCTCGGCGGAGCGACATCAAGCGAATATGGACATATTGTCACTCGACCTCTCGCCAAGACTGATCTCAGTCCTCGTCGACTCGACGCTCCCTGGCCTTGGATCATCCCTCCACAGCAGTGAACTTCTTTGTCATCCTTCCTCGTAACCGACTATTGACAATCAGGGAGGTGGCCGTGGTCGGGACATAGAGCCAGGAATATAAGTTGTCGAGGAGCTCCTGACAATCTTCAGGGAGGGATGACCCAGCAGCGATGGCCAAGTCCTGCTCAGTCTTCTTAACCGCATGCCGGGTCGATGTCTTTGGTCCAGCGATATTGCTACAAGGTCATGTCACTGGCAGCACTGGCGATCTCTTGCTGTTGATTGCCATCAGTTTCCTGAACATATCAATCTCCGGCATCAACAGTGTCGAGCAGTTTGGCGCATGAAGACACATGTACGGCGATGACAGTGCCAATGGTTGCGGCACCTCTGGGGACTGCATGGCCCCACAGAGCTTTGCCTCTCGCACCTTCCAAGGCAGCTACAATGGCACTTCCAGTAGCACCAGCAGTGGCACCCATCAACCAGCATTTCCAGAATGGCTTTGGCGGCAGAGTGTCGCTGAAGGTAGTGCTCAAGAAAGTATATGTACCGAAGCAAAAGAAGAGTCGCAGAGTTTGGGCACCAAGAGCAGTGGCAGCAGGCAATTTTCTTGACTGGACCAGCGAGTGCATGAGAACTTCGTTAAAGCCGCCTGCTGCACCGCCTAGTCCACCTGTCAGCCATACTGGCAAATGGAAGGGGGCCAGTATGTGACGGGTTTGATCAAAGGTCCAAAATCGAATGCCAGCACGAAGTACAGGAGGAGTGGCTGCTGAAATAGAAGGGACGTTGGGTATGAATGCCATAGGTAAACTGGCGAAGCCTGCGAGACAGCCCGTAGAGAAGAAGCAGAGTTGGCGAATTGGAGAAGGGAGGTCCAGAGATCCGAGATGGATCTGCTCTCGTGATAGGGCCATATCTGGGAATTGGTATTGTGATAGATGACAAGCAGAAGATTTCAGACAAAAGACGATGAAATAGCACAAATATTCATTGAATGTCAAAGATATCGCGAGGCTTCAATGAAAGACACTTTCGTACAAAGAGTAGGATGCAGCTCGGACTACAGAAAGCGAAAGAGCGAACAACATGTTGAAGTGTCTGATAAGATTGATGGTTGATGCTCGATGATGTTGATTGATGAGTGACGTCGAGTTCAGGGCGGGCGATTTGCGAGTCGAATGGCAGGCGGGCGCCGATCGCGGGCTGGACTTTTTCGAAGGTGAGCAATAACCATTAACCATCCATTGACCAGTCGCTTCTGTTTTGTCGCTTTCGTTTCATTGATCACTGCCAGTCTTTATACAATAACACACATCATGTCGACATTCGGATCGCATTTCAGAGTAACAACGTGCGCGACCGTCCCTCGTCCTACACACGTCAACCTCTCCGACTAATCCACCTCTCAATAGNNCTATGGCGAGTCGCACTGCCTCAGTGTCGGATGCATCGTCGACGGAGTGCCACCGGGCATGGAGCTCACCGAGGCCGACATCCAGCCCCAGATGACCAGACGCAGACCGGGACAGAGCGCCATCACAACACCACGCAATGAGAAGGACAAGGTCGAGATCCAGTCGGGCACTGAGTTTGGCGTTACTCTGGGCACCCCCATTGGCATGCGCGTCATGAACGAGAACCAAAGACCCAAGGACTACGGCAACAGCACCATGGACCTATACCCTCGTCCCAGTCACGCCGACTGGACCTACCTGGAGAAGTACGGCGTCAAGGCCAGCAGTGGAGGTGGCAGAAGCAGCGCTCGCGAGACCATTGGTCAGTCTATACTTGTTCCTCTCCCTCGACACGCCCACTGACATGCTACAGGCCGTGTTGCTGCCGGAGCCATCGCCGAAAAGTACCTCAGGCTCTCCCACGGCATCGAGATTGTCGCCTTCACCTCTTCCGTCGGCCACGAGCAGCTCTACCCTGCCACCGCAGACCACCCTACCNNCCCCTCAACCAACCCCGAATTCCTCCAGCTGATCGATGAAATCACCCGCGAGAAGGTCGACGAGTACCTCCCCGTCCGCTGCCCCGACGAGCAAGCCAACGACCGCATGGCCGATCTGATCGCAAAGTACAAGCANAAGGAGGACAGCATTGGTGGTAACGTCACTTGCGTTATCCGTAACGTCCCCTCTGGTCTGGGTGAGCCATGTTTCGACAAGATGGAGGCAAAGCTGGCCCACGCCATGCTGAGCATCCCTGCCACAAAGGGCTTCGAAATTGGTTCTGGTTTCGGCGGGACAAGAGTCCCTGGTAGCATTCACAACGACCCCTTCATTGTTGCTCCTGCTCCTGCGGGCTCCGCCGCTGCCTCAGGCGCTGCTAAGGCCGGTATCGCTCGCCCTCGCCTTACCACAAAGACCAACAACTCTGGTGGTATCCAGGGTGGTATCACCAACGGTGCCCACATCTACTTCACTGTTGGCTTCAAACCCGCTGCCACCATCGGCCAGTCGCAGGCCACCGCTACCTACAACGAGACCGAGGGTGTTCTCGAAGCCAAGGGTCGTCACGATCCCTGTGTCGTTCCTCGTGCCATTCCCATTGTCGAGGCTATGGCCGCTCTCGTCATCATGGACGCTCTCATGGCCCAAAATGCCCGCCAGGCCACGCGATCCCTGCTCCCTCCTCTTCCCAACGTCATCTCGGTGCAAGCCGCTCAGCGTGCCGATGAGGCAGCCAGAGAAGAGCAACAAACAATCAATGTCGAGACCAAGAACTAAATCTGACTTCTTCAGGCAATCTGCTGCAAAAACATGTGGTGTCTGGCGTAACGATATAGAAAAAATGCTGGTGCTAGGGTAAAAGGAAGGCTCATGCTGTTTTGATTGTTTTCTTGTATAACCACAATATATCCCAATTCCGCGCTTCCGCCTCTTTCGTTTCATCCCTTGTATGAATCCATTATCTCACCAAACATAAAATGATTTCTGGAGCTGAGTGGTCGCTAGAGAAGCCGAAACACTGCTAGCTCCGGCATTTCGATCTCATCTTGGCAGAACTTTAAGCCTCAAGTTTCAGCCCTAAAATGATTTTGTGCTGTATCTGCTAGCGCTCGGTTTGCGGGTCTCGCTCATCTCGTTTACACCAGCTGCGCAGTCGCAATCGCTGTCAACCGTGTCATGTTTCCCCGAACCCTTGTGTTCTCGGCTCATGATGAGCAGTCGTGAGCTGCGGTAAGTGCAGGGAAGTAGGAAATTTCATTCTAAAGCGTTGTTCGTATATCGTTCCGACCGCGCGGCCGCCGGCATAGAGCATTTCTGCTATTTGCCGTCTGTATATCATGGTCATGGTGCCGGCAATATAGGTACTAGGCAGCCCTTGCGATCGCTCTTTCCTCGAATCCTGGAGGCTTTAGCGTCAGCAGGCTGCAACAAGGTGAGAAGGAACAACACCTGAACATATTGAGTAGGTACGATGTGCTGTTGATCTTGCCTTCTGTTCTCTGTCAAACTCTTGTTTTCGCCAATTCCTACGCTCGACCAGCCCTCGCCTTCAAAACTCAGGACCGAGCATCACCAATTTCATTCATCAAATCTCATCACAAAGGCTACCCGGAGGCTTCAATCGCTCAAATGCCATCATCACTGAACACACTTCTCACACGAGCAGCTGCTACTCGACCTGCTCATTGCACCAAAGATACATGTCCGGCATCTTACTCCGTCTACGGGTATGCCCCAAATCTCGGCGCCAATGCCTTCTTCGTCGCTCTTTTCGCCGTTAGCTGCCTAGTCTTCTGCTATCAAGCCCGATCATACCGCAAATGGCTCGGTTTTTCCATCGCTATGATCCTAGGCACAGCGTTAGAAAGCGTTGGTAGGTTTCTCTGATAGAACATTGCGTCTCGTGCTGGCAAAGCTAACATACACNNAGGCTATGCTTCTCGCCTTATTCTTTCTAACGATCCCTTTTCTCCCACTGGCTTCAAACTCAACATTGTTCTGTTGACCTTCGCCCCAGCCTTTCTCACAGCCGGGATATACCTCCTACTCAAGCAACTAACACTATCTCTTCAACCACGGCTTTCACCACTAAAGCCATCTCTCTATACACCGATCTTCGTATCCTGCGATCTACTAGCCATCATCCTGCAAGGCGCAGGCGGAGCCCTCTCAGCCGCCGCATCCAACGGCACAAACAAAAAACTACTAGATCTAGGCGTGGATGTCATGATCGCAGGACTCAGCAGCCAAGTAGTCACACTAGCCATCTTTGCAGTCCTGGCAGCTATCTTNTTTCTTAGGATATCTAGGGCGAAAGAGAGATTGTCACCTGCTGCCGGTCATCTATGGCAAGCAACGAGTTTTCGCTTGTTTGTTGGCTCTGCGGTCATGGCTTTCACGCTCATCTTCATCAGATGTGCGTATCGAATTGCCGAGCTCAAAGATGGGTGGGGCAGTCCCATTATGAGAAGAGAGGAAGAGTTTATTGTGCTGGATTCTGTGTAAGTCTCACATTTTCCTTCCTCACCATGTGCTAAAGACAGCCATTATTCTGCAATTTACTCCATCTCCATCCCGAGATCTAAAGGGTTTATTAAGCTATCAAAATGCACAGTTGCTATGCAGGTATGAGTCTAGCCATGGAGATAGCCTCAAATAGGGTTCTTTCTGTGTTGACCCATAATCTCTTCAAAAGTACTGTGCATTTTGTGTAGCTACACTGTGAGAGTATTTGGCACACGTGGTGGCTTCCTGGTTAGCCCAACATTCTGGAATGCCCATGCTGACTTTATTCAAAAACAGTATGATTTCTGTAGCTGCGGTGTTGCTTAACATCTTCCATCCTGGCAGATGCTTCAATCAGAATCTGCAGGATACTTCAGTGGACCTGTCAACAATAGATCGCGAGGAGGCAGACGAGGAAGTTACTATTAACATGCAGTCTAAAGCACATGTATGAAGGTTCAGTTGAATAGTCCATCCTGCGACAGTCGTCAATCTAAACTGCATGACTGATACCCGTTATGGGGATTTATTGGAAAGCATAGCGCGAGGAGTTTCTGGGAATAAAGTGGCACCTGTTTGTTTGAATTCTTGTATCAATTATATACATGCATTGGACGTATCTTGTTCCTGTCTTCTCTTTATCTCATCAACGGCATCAAATGCTCTGCTCATATCCATCATCCAGGACACAAACAAATGTAAGCAGGACGCCAGCAAGAAACATAACTACTATACATATTCCAGATCTGTACAACATCTCGATTTTCATAAATCGACATGGAAAGGTCACTTTTAACCACCATTCGAAGACANAAAGAAATCCAAATCACTAGGTCCTCCATGCCCAGTTTGCTCGTTTTCAGCCAATTGCTCAAGTAGACTCATGAACGGGTCTTTGTCCCCTTCAGTGTTCACACTGCCATTGGCAGACATTCCTCCAGGAGTCTGTTGGTCGAACATCGCATTGGAATGCGTGTTCTGGTCAGGTATACTGAACAAGTTGTCGAATTGTGCTGGATCGAGATTAGGATCCATTGAAAGAGAGAGATTTGATTGCCAGGGCGAAAAGGAAAATGATGGAGAGAGCGGGTTCTGAGTAAAGGTCTGATTTTCGTCTGCCGCTGTCGTATGAGGTGGATGAGTAGGAGGGGCAGAGGCGGTTGGTGAAGCTAAGGGGTTTGCAAAGTCTGGTGATAATGGATTGAGAGATGGGTCGTGAATCACTGCAGGAATGGTTGGAGGACTCGTGGCATCGTTTGTGCGGCGGCGCTTGCGACTTTCTGTAGAGATGTGATGGTCGTTATTGATCTTTGCCGAAGACCTGTTCGTCCCTGTAGCAGAAGAGGAAGTAGAAGGCCCATTCTGGAGCTGTGATGTCCAACTGTTGTTGAAGCCGTTGTAAGCTGGTAGACTCTCGTGAAGTGCTTCAACAGTAATGTCAGAGAAGGTGACATGTGCTCCATCAATAAACTGTCCTGGGTATCGATCGAAAAAGTCCTCCATCTGGAAGACAGGTGAGAATCGCATGGGGTTAGTAGCTAGCGACTTAACAAGCTGAGAATGGCAGCCGTAGACTGTCTGCAGCGTCTCCCTTTGATGTTGTACGCCGGCCCAAACGACACGCATATCTGATAATTGAGACATCTCTTTCGACAAGAACTCGGCACTTCTGGTAAATACGTCGCCTTCTCGGCTCGGGTAGTGCGCGCCATGAACGTGAATGGTACCGGCAGTACAAAGACAATATCCAACATAGGCTGGCCAATCAGTTATCGAAGAATGCTTGCCAATTTCAGTCAGTTCCGAGATGGCATTTGCATGCAAGAAACATAAGTTTGTCGCTTCTATCTGCCAAGATTGATGTTGACCAGTGCCTGAGAGCTCGCCTAAATCGATAGGTAGAAACGGTCGGTATATTAGACAGTGAATGAGGTGGTAGACCAGCTTGCTCAAGACCAGTGTTTGGCTTTCAGTCTGGCCGAACAGCGCTTCGATTGATAGGAATGCATCCTGTGCGCCTGCAGCCCAGGTATCAAGATCTTGTCGGATTTTGGACAGATTCGACTGAGCATGCCAGGGGAAGTGTGAATCGCCTTTCACGCCGCCAGCAGCAAGATAACGATTCGTAATGCCTAGAATCCTCGAGATTTCGATCAGCATCGATCCGCCGCTTTGATGTAATCTTCCAGGTCCAGCAGACATGGGTAAGTTCGTTCCGTTGGAAAAGAAATTGCCTTCATACGGTATAGAGGTGGAGTCAGATTGCCATCCAGGTAGTCGTAAGAAGATGGCTTCATCTGAGATAAGAGATGGTCGCTTGGACCCTGAGGCAAGAAAGCGATCCATGATATAGCAAGTCCAGAATAGTTTGCGGCGTCCCTCTCGTTCGTTGGGCGAGATGCGAAGGGCGGCCGGGAGTTCGCGGTGCAAGCTGAGCGCATATGCCATACTTATAGCGCTNNGGCTTTGCTAAGGGTCAGCAAGTCTTGACTCGACATATGCACAGTGATACTGACTAAGAAGCATGTATGACTTTTTGCCCTTGCCTGCTTGAAAGAAAGCGTTCGAGAGCAGCAAAAGGACTTGGACGTTCTCAATGGTCGGGTCATCAATGTCCATCAAATTTCGTGCTCGCACTGCACATTCTTCGCTGTGACGGACTGCAGCATTGTGGCCACCAAGATGTTGAGGTGCAAATCTNNATATCATGTCAGATGCTGCGTCGTAGCAAAAGTCAAGATGGGTTGGAACGCACCGGGCAGTAACGGCATGAATGGCATTGATGACGCTCGGAGGCAGTTGTCCGGTTTGCCATCTCTGGCGAGTAGCAGCTTCATCAAGAATATAATATGGCTTGCTGTGTATTCGTGTAAAATATGCATCAAGCAGAGTGTTGTTCTGGAGAGCGGATGGCACTTGTTGGCTGTTACAGGCTCTCAGCGTGTTTTCAAGAGAAAAAGGCAGTCACGATGGAGGCTTACCGCAGAANNGCTGGTCCGGAAAGCCGATGCTCGGATGACGCTGTGGGGGTTGCGGTCGTTGCTGCTGTATTTGCTGTTTTTGTTGTGCTTCGACCGCTGCAGGAACGGCAGCATCTGGTGGAGAAGGAGCTTTCTTGGACGACGACTTCTTCTCCACTGCATCCCTCACGCTCTCTGCAACTACCACTTCTGATGTGTCTTCATCCGGATCTTTTCCTTCGTCTTTCAACCTCTTTTCCAGCCCATTCACGCGTTTCAACAAGGCTTCGAGTACGTCGGTTTTAGGACCTCTTTTCTTGGGCACCGCATCNNTACGTGCCATATCGAGTCAGTTCCATTGGATGTCTGCGCATGTGATTGCAAGCTTCATACCATAAATGCACTCGCAGTTGAAGACTTGGCAGGCTTCGCAAGACGGTCGCAGCCGGTTACACTTGATCTTCGTCGAACCTCAGTCCTTTGTGCGTATGTGACTTGATCATGCCAGACACACCTTTCTCTTGCGACAACTTTTGCAGTTCATGGCTTCCTTCGGTTCATTGCTGGACCGCCGCACTGGTAAGCGGTCTATGCCAATCTGTGGCCGAGACATTGTAGCAATTCAATGATACAATGACGACCGGCTCAGCTCCAACGAGACGTAGACCGAGTGTGCCTCATGCCAGCACTCTTTCGGGGAGAGACGAGGTTCAATACTGTTCGGTGGGAAAGGCGAGAGGTAGACGCCGGCGTCGTAGTTTTGCGCCAGGAAAGATGCTGACGATCACGAATGTTGGAAGAGGTAGGTAGATGAATGACTTAGCATGGGATCAGGAAGCTTTACGGGCAGCGCTGGGACTTCCGGATCTCGAGCTTGAACTTTCTAGCCCCAGGGTCACGCCCCGTGGTCGCGGAGACCGTGTTCAAGAGCGGGGAATGATGCACGAAGATGGCGCCGTCCCCAAAGCACTACATGATCTATTGGTATATCCCCGCAAGAATGCCGCGTGTAATCCTATTGCCTCTACCTCATACACATGGCTACCCATCCCCCCTATGCATACTACGTCCCTCCATCCATTCGATCAAGTACGCGTGTGCGATGCAAACAAATCCCCAGACTCGGCCCAAATCTTGTTTAGAAATCGGTCTTCAACCAGCCGAGATGACCGCCTCCGCACGCGAGCTTCGGGCCCACTTGCTCCATCAATACCTAGCCCTAAACCCTCGGTTAATATGTTTGCTTTGGGTCCAGCGTCTCAATTTGCAGCTGTGCCCTCCTCTTTTATCTGCACATGATCACACAGATTTTCAAGGATGACATATAAGAGTGATGCAGTGAGACGACGGTAAGACGAAACATCATGGTATGTGTGACTAAGGTCACAAATGGCTTGATAGAGGTATATCCATCAACACGACACGCTCCACCATTTTACCCGAGATGGGATAACATAGAGTGGGATGTTGGACGAATCCAGTGACCAATCGAACGAGATAGAAAAGAAACCAAGAAACGACAAGCCTAGGTCGTAGACCTTGCGCCGGAACGCCTAGCCAATATGCAATCATCAAATCTCAATAAATACTTCGTCCAGCCGCAAGCCGCACAAAGTCGTAGGGCACATTCTGTCCGACCAGAAGCCTCAATGTCTCGACTGTTGTCCATGCATTGACATCGGCGATGCCGTATCCGGTCCAGCCCTGTGTTTCGGCAAGCGCAACTGGATCGCCCTTTCGAGGTCCATTGCTCAGATCAAGGAAGACCTTTGCTGCACTTCGCTGATCTTGTTTCGTGCTTCCATAGTGCTTCAGTAGAGGCGTGACCAAAAGCGATTTGTCTGCTCGGAGGGCTGAGATGATGACTGAAGGCTGCTCGACCTTCTTGACGTCCTCGAGTCCTCTGAATGGGGTGACGAATCCAGACAGAGGTCCTTGAACCTTGAAGCCGATGGTGTAGATAGGGCCGATGTTGAGGCTGCGAAGAGCAAATATCGCAGCCGCTGCCTGAGACTCTTGACTGGCGAGCAGCAACGCAGCTTGTCCACTATATGCTGAGGGGACGAAATCACGGCAAAGAGTTGCTCGTATTCCTTTCCAGGTTGCATTCTCGCCTACGAGATTTGTCTTGTCACCACTCGAAAGAGCGACCACGGTATCAATCTGGCCAATTGAAGCTGCAGCATCTGATATTGATGGAAGACAGGATGCTGACGCTGCAATAGGGGGATTGATGAAGGCACCTCCAAAGTGTGGTATCTTGACCACGGCGGCCAGCCCATCTTGGGAGCTTTGTTCAACACAAATAAGCTGATGTGGTAAACTTAATTCGTTGATACACTTTTCGAAAAACATGGCTTGTCCTGTAGCACGCATGCTACCGAAGCAGTACATGTCGAGTTTTGGCATTTGACCCATCGAGTGAAGGGCAGAGTTGATCTCGGCAGCGCTAAGCTGCCCTGGTGCTGCAATCAAGGGCAACAATGGATGCGTGATTGGCGTAAAGATCTTGTTGAGAGCTCTGGAAAGCTGACCCATAGGTCCCATATTCAACCCGGAGAATGGCGGATAGGGGTAGGTACTTTGGATTATGGAACGGAAATACTCCAATTCGTAGTTCTCTTGCATGGTGCTGACGAGAGCGATCATCTTGACAACGTCTCCGTAAACAGCCCCCTGTTCGAATAACCGCTGCGCGTCGGGCGAAGTCCATTTGAAGTTACCAGAGAAGTCGTGGAAGGCGGAGATGATTTTGCTGTTTCCTTNTTGGGAAGCGAGCTTACGTCTCAGTTCCTCGGGAAGCCAGAGCTCCACGTCGATATACTCACAGCCCCATTGAACAGCTCTATACAGGTAGTGATAGAATAACGTAGGGTCGTCCATAGGGAAACGTCCATTCTCTTTCGTGCAACGAGTGGTGAATATGATGGGCAATTCTGTCCGTTGGCGTAGGGTCATAAGTTGCTCTCCAACATACTGCAGGCTAGGAACGTCTTTGAAGGAACCGTCAGAATTAGTCTCTTTCAACAGATCAACACGAAGCTCTATGGCGTCGGCACCAACAGAGAGAATGTCGAGATTTGGCAAAGCAGCATGAACATCAGGAAAGGTTGTGGAGATTAAAGTTGTCTTTGCCTNTTTCGCAAGGTCCTTGTGTGGGTTGATCTGACCTAGAATGAAAGAAAGGAATCTAGCCAGATCTCGCCTGAAGAAAGGCTTGGTCGTGTACAAATATTCGTAGTCGCAGATGGAAGATCGAGCACCAACTGCTGGGTTGAGGGCGTCTAGGCAGTGAGTTGCCAGGACAGTACTGGAACCACGCCACCTTTGAACTCGGGATAGATCATACGCATCAGATATGCCAACGACAGTACCATCGATGGGGGAAGCATTATTGTCTTCAGCACCAACAAGACACCACTGTTGACCCAGTACGCCAGCTATCTCTGCGACGATTTGCTCTTGATCTCGTTCGTATAAAACCAAGATGCTCGGTTCCTCATGGCCTCGGACTTCTTCGACAGCCACGACGGGCCGGGGTTTCGTGATAGACATGGTCGACGTCTCGACCTGGACTCTGGTAGCCATGGTCGGCTTTGTTCTTCAAGCCCGTTTTCCGATTTGAAACTGGTGGGGGACGATAGTAGGATGGGCGAAAGGTGGGAAGATCAGGCCGAAGAGGAGATGTAAAGGTGGTCGAGCGATGATGATGAGGAAGGCAGCAGGTTGCTTCCCATGTCTTCGTGCGGCCAAGTCAGGTAGGAAGCAGTCGAGAGGACGGAAGATTAACGGAGAGAATCGCGAGGATTCGTCGAGACGGCCAGACAAGGATAGGCGTCCGTCATGCACGGCAAGACCGACCTAAAGCTGTCGTTACAGAAGATCTTTCTGTCAAACATGATTGTGAAGCCGTGCTGGACTTTCATCCCGCATTGTACCCCTCGGCTTATCGACTCTCAAAAACGTTCCCCAGATCCTGGCGGATAAAAACCCCACAGTTTTTGCGCCAATCATACGCAATCTTGCATTTACGCGGTCATATCTCAGCTCGTGCCTGTGGTTCCCTTTATCCCTTGTACACCGTCTTCTGGCTCTTCTTGTGCTGCTGTGACTGCGCAGCTTGCATATCCTGACGGGCGACTCCGGCCGACCTATGAAGCGACCATCCTTCTATGGTCGACCCTCATCTCGATATCTCGTTCTGGTCTGCGGATCTTTAAAACCGCTTTCTATTTAGCCAATACTCGGCGACGAGTCGTGTTGACGCCGAGAGAGTTCAGGGTGCGGAGCATGCACGGAAATCAGAAGATCCGTCTTGTCTGCCTGTTGCTGTCAAGAACTCGAATGCTCCTCCTTCTACATGGTTTCAATTTTGTAACTCGAAGACAACGAGTCTGCGAGCGTTGTTGCCGAAAGTCCATGGATGTATTGCCGCATCTTCGCCAGGCACAGCTCTTGCGAGCTCGGCCTCGTCACTCCGGAACATGACATCCACTACACGCATATGCATCGATGAAGCATGCATTTAAGTGAACGCAGATGCACAACACTGTCTCAAATTGTGCTCCTGCGCGATGAAAATTATCCACGAATAATCTGTCCTCGTCTTTGCATGATGACGACAGGCATCGATGGGATCAAGTGTTCTTGTGTATTTTCCCCGGGCCTCCTATCCAGTGACCACAAGCTCAAAAGTCGATATCGTGATAACCTGAGCTCAGCTCTGATCGCAGGTGTTACTACAGCCTGACACAGTCATCAACTGAGACTAGACCGCAACGTGTTGAGCACAGCATGGCGAATCAACACAGGGACAAACCGTTGTCTCTAGCCAGCTCAAATGTGGTCCGTTGGCTCAAGGACTCAGAAACATGCACTTCCCACAACGTCATCAGTGTCATTAGGAGAAGCTGTTGTCTGGTTGGACATTTAGGCCTACAGGTGATGTTGACCCAGAGACTTGCCAACAAAGGCTTCCATGCCGTCAGTAGGGCTTTCATATTCATTCTCGGCTTGGTAGAGCCGTAGCTTGGCTTTTCCGAGGCAGTCTTTCATGACTTCGTTTCATGTTGTCTGTTTTTTCAGGCCGCCAGCCTCCACGTGTGCACATCTCCCGAAGCGCTCTTGTCTGTCAAGATGTAGCTCTCGCTCGAAACACAAGAGATCGTAGCTATCTCCACCATTACGTGTCTAACAGGGGGTTTTGAGAACTCACAATAGTTCTATCGAAGAAGGATCGAAGGTGTTGAGATGGCCAGACGTCTGGTGAGACGGTGAGTACGTTGCCCTGAACTTCTCTATATTGAACAAGATGAACTGGCCCCTGGCCAAATAATATCAGCAGGAACCAGTCTCAGCTTTGTCTTCCGTATCACTCGTCCCCATGGCGAAGATCCACGAATCTCATTTCAAGGCAGATCGATCACGGTTCATGCGCAACACAGTCAGCCATTTTTGTCGGGATTGTGCCAGAATCCCTGGAGTGCTGATAGGTGTCATTAGGCGAAACAAGGACAGGTCGACGTGGGCACGAGTTACTGGAGGAACTGGCAGATTGTGGTCCGTCTGGAGTCGAGAAGTCTGACAGCTCGCGTTGCCGCGAGGCTCTGTTGGTGGTCCGCGAGCCAGGTCTCGGCATTGCTGAGCGTTCTACGTACAGGTTTAGTCGCATAGCCGTTGGATTCTTGTCCAACATGCAGAGGATGACAGACATAACGCAACACGATAGCTTGATGCATGTTACGACGCCTTGTACCAGTAGGGTCGAGATCTTTGTTCGTAATCGCCATGAGACCCGGACAACGGACCACCACACCGACTCATGCAAGAATTGCGACAGATAATTGGCTTAGTTTGTAGATAGTGGAGCAATGTTAATGTGCCACACACACCGGGATCAGACAGCCGAAATCACTGGATCGACGCAGAAAGGCCGACGAGAGATTTTATTGTTGGTTGAGGACAAGCCAGCCAAGGAGCGCCAAAGGAAATGAGATGGTGCTCAAGTCTCGGTAGTCGACAAGGAGCGGAGAAGAAAAGACCGCAACAGTGCTGCGCGTCGCTATATTTTCACCATGACGGTTCCAGAGTCGTTCAACAGTACAAAAATAGGGGCCATAACAGACACCAACTCAAGATATACGCTGTTCGAAACACAACGGCGGTCGCAGTGTATCGCAAATAAGCCGGGCAAAAGGGTCTGCAGAGGTTTGTCCAAGCTGCGCGCTGTCAGGTACCCGTTCAGGAACAAGCGATAGGGGAAGGCGCTAGCCGGAGATCGCCACGCTAAGTGGTCCGCGCGACAACGGTCTGATTCGATGAAACGCACACCTTGACCGCAGACTGCATCCTGCACTAGACCAGTAGATTGAATATCATTATGGTTCCTGCAGGCTAGTATAGACGGTAGGTCAAGCAATCATGGTGCACCGGCGTGTGTGCCACACAGGGCATCATTTTGAATCGCTTTTACTTCAGGCGCTTCCCATCGCTTCTCCCTCTTCTTCCTCACCTACAAGACTACCAAGCGTTTCTCGTCCGGTCCTCACGTCTCCTCTAGACACCACACTCTTTTCAGAACCAGTCACTCTTTGATTGTTTGCTTTGAGCGCGGAATTGATTTCTTGCCTCCACATTCTCTACCACACAGCACATACAGCATACCCACGAGTTCTCACGACTTCGACGTTGTAATCGCATCCTAAACGGTACTACCTACTTCGAGACATACCATCGTCATCATGCACTTCAGCTCCTCCCTCATGGCCGCCGCTGCCTTGGCCGCTGGNCGCAAACGCCAGTACAAGCGTCAGGACTATGGCAACTTCAACCAGACCTCGACCGCTGCTGCTGCCGCCATCCAGTACGCTCCTCTGTCCAGCTCCAGCTCTTCGGTTGTCGCCCCCATCAACACTGCCGGTTCTTCGTCTGTTGAGGCCTCTTCGGTTGCCATTCCTCTCTCCACTGGCGCATACGAGAGCTCTGCCGCTGCTGTCGAGACCAGCGCTGCTGCTTCCAGCTCGGTCGTCGCTCCTCTGAGCACTGGTGTCTCTGCTTACCCTAGCATCCACACCAATGCTGCCTTCGGTACTGGCGCTTACGGTTCTGGTGTCACCTCTGCTCCCGCCGCTGGCGCAACTGGTTCCGAGGTTGTCACTGCCTACACCACCTTCACCACTGATGTGACTCTCACCTACACCATTGGCGGTGGCTCGACCAAGTCTGTCATCACCACCACTATCCACAAGACTTCGACTGCCTACCAGACCCAGACTGTCTACGCCACTCCTGCTGCTTCCTCTAGCGCTGCCGCTGGCTCTGCCGATGAGTCTGAGGACTCTACCTCGACCACCACTCTTTCGACCACCAGCACTACCACTAACACCGTCACTGTTTCGCCCACCTCCACCGGCTCTTACTTGAGCTTCTGGGGCGAGAAGGCTGCTGTTACCGGTTACGGCTCAAGCTATGGTGCTCCTGGTACCGGCGCCAGCGCAACTGATGCTGGCTGTGCTCCTGCTTCCACTGTCACCGTCACTGCCAACGAGACTGTCTACGTCACCGTTGACGCTGCCATGAGCACTGTTGCCCAGAGCACTGCCACTGGCGCTAGCGTTGTCCCCAAGCAGAGCAGCGCTGCTCCTTACTACCCTATGAGCTCTGGTGCTTCCAGCTCTTCTAGCTGCGCCTCTACTGGTTTCATCACCATCCACAGGCCCTCGGGCGCCGCATACCCCACCTCTTACTAGATCTGTCTAGTGAGTGCCTGCTCTTCTGAGCTGTAACGACCCCAATCCGGCATTGATGATCCCCCTTCCAGCCCCAAAAATCTCACTTAGGTGTACTTGTGCACCATCCTCCTAGATCTCGGCTTGAGATGTACTCATCTTACTGCCTTCATCTTTCAGGATACCTATTGTCTATTTCTCGCGCTTGGTTTTCCAATTTCGTCCCCACCCTGAGGGTTTAGCATCGCGATCTAGAAAGGGCTGGGCTCTTTTACTGTTATTCTTGTTTCTGCTTATACCCTTCCATCGTCTCTGGACGCAATCCTACCGCTTGTGCGGTCTGGCGTCTGCACACGAACAATGTTTGTCATCTTCACTTGTTAATATCAGTTGATATGTGTTTTTGCGTTTTCCTTTGTATACCAAATTTCCTTTGTTCAGCAAACAGAAGAGGAGGGAAATCTCAGGGAGCGATAGGCGCTGGTCTTTTGGTTTTCTATGAATCTCTTCCTCAACCTGTTTCTTGCAACATTATGGACATTTGTGTACAGCTAGAAGGAGAAACAAAATCTTTACCACTGTTATCAGCAATGCCTTCCGACATTTCCATCACGTATCCGCACTTGCCCTCGATGATCAACGCCGTGCAAGAGCTTTCACAGCAGGGCAGAGCAAGCCTTAGTTGTTTCATCTACCTAGCAGCAAGTCCTCCTCCCATCTCCAGAAGATCACAATTTCTGCCCTGGCAAAAGTCAAATTCGATCTCGAAGTTTCAAGTTTATCAACTTATCGAACAGAGGCGATAGAATCGATTAGAGCACAATCTGTCGACATTATCCTGGTTTGTTTCTCCGATGCACTCCTGTTGTTTTTGTCGTTGTTGTCGCAATCAATTGCTGTCGTTTATCGGCTTTAACGGCTATGGGGCCCCCTGTACCACGTTGGAGTTTATGACTGATGACGACTGCTCACGCGAGCTTGTATGTTTCTTATGACTGCCCCCTTTATGACGAGTTCATGGGTCCAAGTGCCGAGAAACCGTTGTCGAACGAGTGTGGTTTGTTAGATTCAATTGAGTGACGGTCCTGGTAGAGGAGAAAAAAAAAGAAAAAAAGGAGGAAAGATAGATGAGGCTGTGGTCACCCTGCCGCAATCTCATGGTGCCTTCTTTTCGTCAACACTTTTATCGATGCCCTGTTTTGATGCGCGAGCGATCATCGCTGCTTTGAGTTTCCGTCTGCAAATGTTAGAAAGTGAAACAGAACTAAAGACATGACTAAAAAAGGAAGTTGTGTTCAATCTCATTTGAATGGCTTGCGGACAGCTTTGCATACCGGAGTGATCCTCGAGGTTCGAGTTGAGGCACTTATGATTGTGATATTTTCTGACTAGGCAAGGTAATTTGCTGAACAATGACTTGCTTCCATCTTTCTTGCCCTTCCTTGATGTCTGCTTTCCTTGGCTCGTCTCTTTTGGCCCAGCTCACGATATCCTTAGCGTGTTGCAGCTTACCTGCCCAGGTCAAACAACTCCACATGGACTCCTGTTCCCATACTGGAAGTATATTTCCATGCTCATTCACAGTCAGATGACCCCTAGTACCACATGTCGTACACCCAATCGCATTCTTGCCGTGTTCAAGCAGAAGCTCGATTTTGGCAAGATGACAATGCGGACACGCCCCGTCTTCCTCATCGCCCAAATATCTCGCATCGTCATACGAATTGCCAAGCTGACTTGCAAGATTCTTGCCCATGCGCTGTGCTCGAGCGATCAGATCCGCATGCAAACACACCGCACCCGAACTTCCTAGATCCTGACCGATGAATTGATCAACCACTTTGGCGTGGAGAGCATAGAACAAGAGATGCAATGTCGGCAACACCATCGTGAATTGATCTGGAGTCGATGAGCCACCCACTGCGATGAAACCTAAGACCCTCGGCTTTGAAAGCCGTGGATCGAGTTTATCAGGGTTGAATGTCTTGCCAAAGGTGACATCGAGAGAGGGACCTCCTATCCTGTCCATGAGTAGTTTCAACGTGCCCAAGGGTTGATGGCTGTATGTGGGTGTAGAAACGATTATGGCATCGGCGTTGAGGATGGCCTCACGAACAGCGGCTCGGTCGTCAGGTGCATTGTTGGAAGCGACGTTGAGCTTTGAGGCGAGATCGAAGCCTACAGGACTATCTAGAGGTGCCGGATTTGTTGGAATAGATATAGAGGGGACGTGGATCCATGATGTCGTGATGGAGGAGTCAGACTCAGTAGCTGCTGTCAATGCGGCCTTGAGTAGGATCTCAGAATTTCCAGAAGGTGTACCGTTTGCCAATCCAAGAATATGCATTGTGATGTACTTGCAGCAAGTAATGTCATCGTGGAACTATTGCCCTGAGCTCGAGGCATATATAAATGATGCTCGAAGAGGGGCTACTGGTTTAGCTCGGATGTGCGACCGAGCCCTAAGTCAGGGCCTCGGGATGTGGAGGACTCGGCAATGGAAACTTGGTATGGAAAATAGCAACCCTGGTGCTGTCCTGAGGTGTACAGGTTGTTGCCAACAGAATTCGGAGCCATGTGATTGCGTTCCTAACGGTTGAACTTTTTTGTTCTGTAAATCGATCGTTCTGTAAGCCGAATCTGTGGTAGTCTAGAGGCCCGCGGAACAGGCTTCTGGCGCGAATGCCTCCTACATGTGGTATGGCGTGTGCTCGACTGGGAGCTCCAACATACAATCAGTCATCTTAGAGTCAGCAAGATGCATTACAGCCCGATCCATTCATTATTGTTACTCTTCACCTCCGAGATGGCTATTTCAAATCTTTTGTCGGGGCATCGACGCTGGTTTTGTCCAGTATTGAAGGCTTGCATATATGCATGGTCGTTGGCAAGTTCACGCGCTCCCGAGACGGTATTCCTCCTGAATCATGCAGTGATTTGAGGCTGGAGGCATTGTAGATTTGCTCAACTCTTGACTCGCGAAGGACTGACATTGTCGATTCTCGAGCATGATTGGAAGGAGGGTTGGTCCAGACAACGCCATGGGTGCGCGATTGCCGCAATGTTGAACTGCCGAAGTTTCCCCATGGAATGGCTGCCGTCCCTTGCTTGCGGTACCTGAGCCTCCATCAACCTTCATCTCCAGCCTTGATTATGTGAATGACCATTTCTGGTCGTCTCTGGCGATTTTTCAACGGTCAAGGAGTTTGCAAAGAAGGTTGACTATGTCCGTTGTAGCGAACGCGCTTGATCACACTTCTGCTCGAGCTATCCCTGCCAATCCCTCAGGCCATTTGCAACGTTTTAGCTTGGCCGCCTCGACACTGCAAGAAGGATCTCATGAGCTATATTGTAGTATGGGAGCCATCTCTCAACATTGTCCAACATGTGTGTGAAGCGTTCGAGGCCCTGTCTGGCAGACTAGCGATGGCGCATGAGGCTTCAGGAAACTCGGCCGCTCTTTCCCTCGAGGACTACGACCGGCTTCACCTAACGACTCGTTGTGAGTAAAACGTTCGCGCTTCTAGCATTCCGTAGTCTTCAGCCTGCGCCATGCATCCACCTCCAAGCAACTAGTATGGAGTTCCAATTCCTTTTCCGGTAACCACACTTTCGCGATGGCGTCCCAAATGGATGATTGAGGAGAACTCTAGGCTGTTGAAGAGGATTGTAAGAGTTAGAGTTTGGATATAAAAGCTCTGGTGTCGTCCAGGATTGCTATCATCAATCACCCAACGGCTAACACCCATCATGAAGACCTCTATCCTTCTTTCTGCGGTCTTCTCTGCTGTGGCACAGTCCGCCGCAACCTCGGGTTGTGGAATTCCTCTNTCATCTCAACTCACTCGAGGAGGTGCTAGTCAAAGCAACACCCTGAGTTTTACAACTTCCGGCGGAGTTGTTCGCAGCTATCTACTTCACATCCCTTCCTCCTACGACATCAATACACCCGCCCCCATTGCCTTCTCCTACCATGGCAGGGGCGAAAATCCTCAGGGCCAAGAGAGTATCTCAGGAATGTCGAACGAGGCTTTCAATCCTAACTACTTAGTTGTTTACCCCCAGGGCATCAATCTGCAATGGCAAGGTGATCCGGAAGCTGTCGGGTACGATGATATTGGTTTCACCATGGAACTTCTTGCCAACCTGTCGAGCACTTACTGCATCGACTCAGCAAGAGTGTATGCTGCAGGAAAATCTAACGGTGGTGGATTTGCTGCAAATGTCCTAGCTTGTGATCCCAAGGCCTCTCGCGTCTTCGCAGGATTCGCTGGTGCTTCCGGTGCATACTACCAGGGCACAACAGATGTGGGCTGTACTGATGCCACCGTTACCTTCTCTTGCAACCCTGGTCGTTATCCTGTGCCAATCTTTACAACGCATGGCGATGCTGACCCCACAATTCCATACATAGGAGGAGGTCGTCGTGGTCGTTGTTTACCATCTGTCCCGCTTTTTATGACAAGCTGGGCGGTACGCAACAACTTGGGGTCTTCCAACACTTCAGTGTCACTTTACGACAACAATGTGGTCCGCTATGACTATGGGAACGACAGTTTCCCGCAGCTGAGTGCTCATTACTATGTGCATGGTCTCGCACATACTTGGCCTTCTCTTGCAGCCGGATCACCGTTCGACGCAACACCTCTGTTGCTATCCTTCTGGAACAAATGGACGCTGGACACTACACCATACAACTTCATAAACGCCACCACGAGTGTGACTTCGAGTGCCACTTCTTCACCCACAAGTACATCCTCGACGGCTGCACCGACTTCTACCATCCCGTCAGCAAGCCTGTGTCCATCAGCAAACGGCCAGCTAGTGAACGACACGAATGGTAATACCTATCAGGTCACCTGTTCGGCAGACAACAGTGTTGGATCGTACGCCAATGCTCAAGCCTCTACATCATATCTCGACTGTATGAATGCTTGTGATGCTGCAAGCTCGAATGGTTGTGTAGGCTTCACATATGTTGGAGGCACAAACGGCGTCGGTTCAGGTAATCCTTTCTGCGCACTTCTGGTGAGTCTCAGTGCTGACGTTAGTTACAGGCACATGTTGGTTGAAGAAGAGCATGGGTACCTATCCAGCTTCTGGTAGTAACACCATCTCCGCAGTTAGGGTATCAGGTGGATCATCTGGCAATAGTGTTTCATCTGCTGCTCCAAGCACATCGTCGAAAGGCACATCATCGACGAGTAGCTCGTCTGTCTCGTTCTCTGCTGCTCCGACCGCCTCAGCTCTATCTTGCCCTGCTTCGAACAACCAGATATACACCTACGCAGCTAACGGAGCACAATTTGCGATTGAGTGTGGCATAGATCATTCAGGCGGTGATATGTCTAGCACCTCCGTCAAAAACTTTGAAGGCTGTATCGCGGCTTGTGCGACCACAAGCGGCTGTGTTGATGTATCGTTGTCTGGTTCAGCTTGCTACCTCAAGAAGACGCTTGGTGCAGCGGTGACTAATGGTGGTATCTTGGGCGCCAGATTCATCGGCTATGCTTCAACTTCATCTTCATCAGCATCCGCCTCTTTATCATCATCGGCACTCTCCTCCGCTGTCTCTTCTGCCACATCGTCAACATCAACTACGACAGCGTCTTCCCTTGTTTCGACCAGCAGCACTTCTGTCGCTTCAACATCGTCCTCATCATCGCTATCATCATCATCATCATCGTCCTCCTCCTCCTCCCCCCTCCTCCCTCGTCGTCGAGTGTGTTGCCTTCTGTTGGTGCTGACGGATACACGACGACAAGCTATCCACCGACTTGCACTGCCATCAACACCAACATTTACGCGGTTACAGACAACAGTGGCAAGCCTTATCTGTACATGTGTGGAGGAGGTTCCGCTGGCGGTACAGCTTCCACCATCACAAATGTTGCCAATTGGACAGCCTGCTTCCAAGCTTGCGATAACTACAATGGATGTACTGGGTTTACTTACAATCAAGGCGCCGCTCTTGGTAACGGCGTAGGTCAGTGCTTGATCAAGACGGATAGTCCTCAATCTTTTGTTAGCACAGCCAATATGCTAAGCACAAGAATCGCTGGATACCTCCGTCCGGTTACCACTACCTCGAGTTCTGTGGCAACAAGTGCAATCGCGACTACAACTGCAAGCACCGTCTCGACATCAGTCTCGAGTAGCTCAAGCCTTTCGAGCTCCAGCACAACGCCTTCCATGACTTCCTTCAGCACATCGACGATTCTCTCGAGTTCTGTTACAACCTCCTCGCCAAGCGCATCCAGCTCCAGCTCGTCTGTGACATCGAGTTCTTCGGCGCTTTCCTCGTCAGACGCATCGAGTTCCAGCTCGTCGGTGGTATCTAGTTCTAGTACCTCATCAACAGTAGTCGTTCCTTCCTCTACTCCGATCGCCGCACCTTCTTGCCCTGCATCGAATGGCACGATCTATAGTGATGCTGGTGGCCTCAACTACACCATTCTCTGCACTTACGACACTTCCGCCAACACCATTACCGCGGCTTCGAACATCAAGAGCTTCGGAGACTGTGCCGGACTTTGCGATAGCACTTCTGGATGTACGGGTTTGACCTGGAACGGTACTGTTTGCTCTCTCAAGCAGTCGTTCGGCCAATATATTCTTGGTGCTATCAGGACTTGAAATGGGGCGATGACATAACGTATCTACGTCTTTTCTTTTGGTTTGGGAGGGGAGTTCAGGCGTCAATGGAAATGATTATTCAGTAATTAAAGCATTACACAGACGACAATCGTCCAAATACAAATTCAGAACAACAAAACTGGAGCTGCGTAAAGTGTTCCCTCTATTTCGATTTAGCAGCCCGACCGAGAGCAAGTTGCTCCAATGTCAAAGTTTGTCCGTTCTTATCGCGTGAGCGAGGGATCCAGTATACCGTCAACACGAGTCCGATGAGCATGAACGCCGAGAAACTAAAGACACGGTGGTAAGTACAAGCAGAACAGTCTTTGTATCAAGAGTTCTTACACAANNGTAGATATGTCTTGTCGGTCTGTATACTGCCGTGGAGCCAACCGAGAATGCATTGAGATAGCACGGCTCCCAGTTTGCCGAAAGCGGCACTGATGCCGTGGGCTGTCGCTCTGTAGCGAGTAGGGAACACTTCAGCTGGAATGATGTACGTTGTAGTATTTGGTCNCTGTTTGTTCAATTAGCCTTCTTTGATTATTTCGAAATCTCGAATAATCTCACCAAAGTTGAAGAAGATCTGTGTTAGGATATACAGTACGACAATCACCGGAGATCTGTAAGTTCTCATCAATGTACGGTAGCTTGTACCAATCACAAGGAATAAGATGAACAACCAGAAGAAGCCATTGATCTGGATGACTCTTCGTCCTAGGCGGTTGATTGAGACGAGTGTAATCAGGTTTCCGAGTATGGCCCCAAGTGAGACGATCAGCAAACTCTGCCAAGCGTTGGCCAGTAAAGATTGATATAACGGCGTGTTTGGGGGACTGCCGTCTTTGTTTGCCCATATTATTTCGAGAGTGGTATAATCATNTCTGTACATCGAGTCAGTGGATGCGTGATCTTGGGACAGCAGACGTACCATGCCAAGTCCGTAGAACGCGAGATCGAGTGATAGCCATGTCAATGATGTCGCAACCAGTGTGCGGTAGTTTCCCTGATGCCAAAAGTAATCTTTGATATCTGCCCAAGAGGCTTGAGGTGGCTGTTGCGCTTCTTCTGAGTCTATAACCGAAACTGGGAAGATTGGATTGTGACTCTCTTCTGTATTAAACTCATCTTCGTGATCTTGCTGGAAGGAATCACGGCTTCTAGTTGAGAAGTGGTCACCGGAGTAGAAATAACGGTTGACGTCGACGGCTGCTTGATGGTCGTCTCTTACAATGTCAACAGTGTATCTTGGACNTAGTTTGCGACTCTGTTAGCAAATATGCAAGCGATATATGAGTTCTTTTACGCCACACCTTTCAATAATGGTTAGACGAAACCAAAGAGAAGCAGCGGCAGGTACCGCTCCAAGCCCAAGAATAAGACGCCATATAATATCCAGAGTCTTCAGGCATTGCCCTTCACACACTTGTGAGTTGTGGGGTAGTGAATCGCGAGCGGCGTACACCGCGATCAAGGGGACCAATGTAGCAAGAAGCTGCCCGAGTGGTTGACACATGAAGACGGCGGTCAACATTCTGCCGCGAAGCCTGGTTGGCGCCATTCTGAGAGCATAAGTTCGTGGTCATAAGAGCTAAGGATAGACGGGTGCTTACTCGGAACACAGGACAGCACTCAGTGGATAGTCAGCTCCGATGCCGATGCCCATGATCAAGCGCCAGAATATGAGCCATCCAATGAGTGACATGGACCCATCGATACCGTTCGAGGCCATGGCCGAGCCAAGAGCAGCGACGACGGTGATAATCAGCTCGAGACCATAAGCCTTTCTTCGACCTGGATTAAGTCAGCAAGAACGATAATGCATCCATGTATCTGCCTTACCCAACCAGTCTCCAGCGAGGCCGAAGCCCAACTGGCCTAGAATGCTCCCCCCNNCTAGAGTTGCGATATTGATAGCAACTGCATATTCCTTAGGCACTACACCGCGCTGAGGTGGCGAGCCTGGGTAGTAGATACGCTCCGAGTCTGGGAAGTAGATGTGCCCTATCATAGGCATGACAAGGTTGATGGCGAAGATCTGTAAGACGTGAGTGGAGGCATTAGGACTTTACGTCGGTCGTCTTACGTTGTATGCATCTGTCAAAANACCAACTCCAGCGACAACGACAACCCATAACCATTCTCTTCGTCTTGAATGCTCAAGTGAATCTAGGACATACTGGCGTCTGTCTGAAGGCTAGTAGCTGTCAGTGACTGCAGAGACGCAGTTTGACAATGGTTCATTACNCGAGACATCTTCGAATTTTGACACATTGGCCCATGGATTGAGATGTAGTCGAATCCAGGTGAGATCCACCATGACGAACTATAGGACTTGGGTGTCGGAAATGCGAAGGACACGATAGATGGTGCTGATTATGGAGGATGAGATGGATGTCACAATATGGACCGCTGACCCAAGGATATGTTTTCTGTCAGCGAGGCGCAAGAACGTCTCGGGGAAGCCGCGACGCGCAGAGGTACATGTTGGTGTCTGCCTGAGTGCCTGCTGCGCCCATCAGGCGTCGGATTCAGCTCCTGTTGTTCAAGTCTTTTGAGCTGATACGGAATCCTTTGACTCAAAAGAGCTATATGGGCACAGCTAAGGGCCAAGCATCGCATCCCGTTGCTTGCCAGCTTGCTAGGACAGCAACTCAAAGAGACATCATTCGATAAATTACCTATTTATATGCGCAAGCTGGACTCAGAGCCCAAATCACCAGATGATGTGCATGTGGAAAGAGGCTGGAAGGCAGGAGCAAGGGGAGGTTGTTAAAAGCAGCGGCTTGGCGGGGCCACAAACGAGCTTTTGCTCCGACCACGTTTCGCGGGTCGCACTTTCCATTCGCTCGCTGCTAGATTGATCATGCAGCTACACAGTAATCCTCCGAGACTTGTAATCTGTCTGTATTGAAGACATGGCTGCCTTCCCAGCCTTGTTGCCACTTGATGATATGCGACCCGACTGACACGCGCTGTTGGGCTTTTCAACCAAGTCCAGCTGAAGTCAGCCAAAATGTTCGTCGCTCGCTCCTGCAAACACATACCGCTTATACAACATGAGCTTTGGATGGTCTATCGGCGATGTCATACTGCTTGCACAGTATAGTTGGAAGGTCTATGAAAGCTTTGCCGACGGCAGCCTCAACGCGACCAACGAGTACGATCGCTTCAAGCGAGAATACCGACAAGTAATCGCCTGTCTAGAAAGGCTCGCCGATGTCAGTCCCGATCTCGCTTCCCTTGCAGGATTCGATGAGACGTTCGGAGATACTATCAGGTTCATTGACAAGCATCGCATTCTCACCGCAAAAACGACGCAGCCCTTGATCACAACATTACCACAAACCAGCAGTAAACTCAAGGACTTTCTAGAGCGGTTGGGACGTGGATACCAGACAGCGACATGGCCAATATATCGCGAAGAGGCAGAGAAGCTTCATGGGCAGCTTGATCGGGTGGTTGCCATCGCCGCTCTGCACGCAACAACGACTACACTTAAGAATACCCAAGGTATCGAGAGGCAGTCGGAAGATATCATGCGTGCGGTGAAGTATATTATCCATCGTATCCTGTCAGTGTCTATCTAACATGTCCAGNNATCTCTGAGTGACAAAGTCAACTTCGTGCTGAAAAGAATTGCTCCAACATTCTTCACAAGCACATCTGATCTGGATCTAGAATACCTCGCAACACTATCTCATACTAGTATCAACCAGCCGGACACGCTCCATCAAGCCATTGTAAATATGGATCGAAGTGCGTCGCCAAACGACATGCTGCAACTGCTACACCAGTTCTCGCAAAAGATGGAGTACCTGATAATGAGAGACTCTAGAGGGGTGCGCCCAGCGGCGAGATTCCAGACTCCGAACAGTCACGACCCTGTCACAACTGAGCGAATTGGACCTGTTCTGCAGCTTCTGGATAGTGCTCGCACCATTGCAGATGCCGCACTTGGTCTCCCTCGCACACAAAGCCGTGTTCAAGGGCGTTCAGCGAGTGCCAGCCTTGAAGCTCGGATGGATGACTGGGATGTCTTTGGTCAATGGTTGAAGTGGCACATGCTGCACGACAATTCACCTGAGCCGATTCGATCGAACTATACTACACGGCCTTCAATTGTTGCGTCGCTGAACCAGTCCCCGCCTACAAGTCCAGGGGCTGTCGAAGCGCCACATCAACATCTTACTGGACAGTATCGAGACATATCTCCATCTATCATAGGTAGCCCTCTTCCAGAACCAGTCTGGACCCCCAGCACCGAAGCATTTTCGACACCAGGTACTATCTTTACTTCCGCTAGCAGTCAAAGAAGATTTTCATCCATCGATCTCGGATCTTCCTACATCGAAGAAACCACGCATTTGGCCTCACCCACGTGGCCCGTTTCCATGTGAGTATATAGATCATCTCGAGCTGACCTCTCTGACAGATAACAGNNCGTTCTTGAGAACAAGCGAACATTCGACGTCCTGTTGGAGATACTGATCTCCCAAAGTGGTATAGTAGAAAAGCTTCGCAGCAAGACCAGAGATAATAAATTCACCCTGTATCATGTCCCGTCTGGCGGCACAAATCGAGCCAACGCTTTTGTTCCATGGATCGACAACAGCCGTGTACACAAATCAAGCCTTAACGAGGCCAGGCTACAGTTCAAGGGGTTGCACCAGGTTATTGTCAAAGATGAGAAGACCCACAGAAGCACAATATACAACACGCGCCCGGTATACCACTTTGACGAAATCGAGCGTATGTTCTGGAGGGACAGTAATCCAAACCAACATGCATTGCTGACAATTCATCCAGATCTGCTACATGTACAGGAGCAACTACTTGGTAANAGTGTGGTCGCGACGTTCGACGTCGTCCGGATTTCAACTCGTGCTGGTCAAGATCACTGCGCATCTGAGACACTACGTGTTCTGGAGGACGCAGAGAGGCAGAGATCATTTTTGTACTATGCCCACAAGATGCCGTCAAAATCAGCTAACACGAATCCTGGCTTCGTTGAGTGGTCATGTAAGCAAATGATTTCATGGAGTTTGCGGCTTTACTAATTCGCCACTCAGCGAATGACTTCGAGGACATCAAGAAGGAAGGCAAGAAGAAGATCAGAATGACATTCAGCCGACGAGACAGCTTGCCACGCAGGTCGACAATTGGTAGCATCGACTCTGTCCTCTCACATGATTCGACATCGAGCGAGGATGTACAAACCAACATCAAGCATCGCATCAAAGCAATCGATTGCGAGTTCTATGATCAAGAAGGTACTTTTACATTGAGACTGATCTCGACAATCTGCTGATTCAGTGCATAGACCGCGAAGCATTTGAAGAGTTGTGTAAGCCGTCGTCGGCACCAGTTTTTCGCATGCCTTTCAGGCCGCGGGATCTGGGCGTTGGATCGCCAATATCCGAGTTGAGCATTGGTCCGCCGCTCGCGGAATTAAAAGGATAGCCCATCCGCTCCAATCAGCTTCGATGCAATCTCACTACATAACGCAAGCGTTTCCCCAACTTTCAATCAAGTGTGAGGTTTGATAGAGTCTATGAATGAGAAGGAATGGATAATGACACAGAAGCACAATAGGGGAGATGTATAGCCTCCAATCAACTTCAAATTAAATCTGAAGCGGCTGGTGTACGCAGGGCCGCGCGCTTAGAGCTTTCGCCCGCGTCAAAGCCGATGGTAGTACTTTTAATGGCGCCATATACATGGCTTCTATTGTCACAAAGGTCTGCCACTTCGACATGGCGAGACAATATTAAGCGCCTGTATATGGTTTTCATTCCTTAAACGTGTTGAGCATGGAAGTTCAAAACAAAGCTCGTACTATCCGACTCAGCTCCCATTGCTAGATATTGGACATGGACGAGGACAACATCGGTAACAGAATTCACAGGCTAGCTACCCACGAGTGGGCCAAGCGATCCCTTGACGACTACGGCAATGCAGGCGTCGAGAGATTGGCATCAGGCTATCGCGAGGGTCAAACATGCACATGGCAGCTGAAAAACAATGGATCCTTCAACTCTTGCCATAAGGTTCTATTCGACGATGGAACAGCATGGGCTGTCCGGTTTCCTATACCTGGCCGTGTCATGAATCCATACGAGAAGATCTGTCGGGAAGTGGCCATCATGAAATTTGTCAGGGAGAACACCAGCATACCTGTTCCAAGAGTCATAGCTTTCGGCACTGCTGCAGAAAATCATGATCCCGCCATAGGACCATTTCTCATAACAGAATGGATCGAAGGTAAACCCGTCACAGCATTTCTTGAGAAACTTCCACGACCAAGTTGGGGCCCTGTGTTCCGAGACGACATTGGAGAAACCCAGCTTCGTACTATCTATAGCCAGATAGCTAGCATTCTTCTGGAGCTTGCGCAACACGACTTTGACAAGATTGGCACGCTATCTGCGGGCCAGAATCATTCAGAAACCTCTGTGTGGTCTGTCAAATCAAGACCAATGACCCTCAGGGTAGACGATATCGAGGCAGGTGGCAATGTTGTTGCAGACAGTAAGGCTCTTTGTCCTTCTATCTGATTTTGCTCTTCTCACACTCTCNNAGATCACAACCTGCCTGCTTTCACCACCGCCACTGAATATATGCAAAACCTTGTACAACAGAACATCACACATCTATACGAACAGAGAAACTCTGTTGATGATGCTGCTGATGCTCGACGCAAATTCGTTCTACGCTGCCGCATGAGAGAATCGGTCCCATATTTCGTCTCTGCAGACCACAACGCCGGTCCGTTCAAACTGTTCTGTGATGATTTTCGCTTCGGCAATATATTGATGAACGAAACAACCCTCAAGTTCACTGGCGTCATCGATTGGGAATGGGCATATGCCGCCCCTTATCAATTCTTGTTCTGTCCACCTTCGTGGCTGATCTTGGAGCGGCCAACTACCTGGACGAAAGACGAAGAACAACAATACGATGAGAAGTTAGCGATATTTCTGGAATGCCTGGAAGAGGAGGAGGACAAGAGACAAAGCGAAAAGTTCCAGAAAATCTCGGGAGATCAACGCATGTCAAGCTTGATGCGCAAGTCTTACGAAGATGGAACNTTTTGGTTCATGGCACTTCTTCAGGAGGCCTTTGCTTTCGACGAGGAGGTCCTATGGCTGAANCCTCGAAAAGTGCTTCGCAAAAGGGAATTGCTAGACGTGGGTGTACCCAGTGAAAGATACATCGAGGAATTTGTGGAAAAGAAAGTGCAAGATCTGGAGAAATACAATCAAGATCTGCTTCTTGCAAAATTGAGGTATGGCACTGATCTGTGATGAAAAACGGATATGAGATGCATCGATGCGAGAAGTAAACAATAGTGTCATGTTGTGAACAGAAGATATTGCTACACTACTTTACGTTCCAAGTCAAGTTTGATGCCAGAGAGCACGATGAGCATTGATCTGAACACTTGGGAATGTATTTGGACTTTCCGAAGCGCAGCGAAGACAAGGATTCAACAGTGCCGCTGTCTCAATTTTGCGTAAACGAGCTTAGCAGTCCTTTCCAGGCCAATCATTGTGCTAGAGCAAGCGCGCCGCAAATTCCTTGCGAAGCGCTGATCACACAGGACACGAGCGCGTCCACCTCGATTAGACCTGGGTTCAACATTGATTGGTACTGATTTGCGACGCAAACGCATAACGCGCGCTTCCGAACATACCCCTATTATGTATAGCTTGTTTCTGCCCACTATTGATTTTCCGAGCGAGGACGTCTTTTCTTCTCAAGCAAATAGCAGAAGATGTCTGGTATGATCAAAATGCATCAGGCTTGAGCACAGCCTGCGAAGGCAACTGACCGATTTTCAGGACAATCGTCCACCTTCTCGGGCTTCCGATAGACTTCGCCTGATTCGTCCGAGAATCCTACGACCCGTTCGAGGACAGCTGCACTCCTTGAAACCGTGAACTGGAATGCTTTAGTGAAACTGGCTCGCGAAACAAGAGATGGTATCGACTGCGAACTGTTGCCTGACAGCGGACTTGGATACAACCACATGGTCCGAGTACTCCAANNATTTGAGGACGAGGTACGGCTCGTGGCTCGTCTTCGACTACCACGTCTATCAGATGCACAAGAGAACCTTGATCTGGACGCTGTGGCGAATGCAGTGATGAGTGAAGTCCAGACGATGATCGCTGTCGCAAAGAACACGCATATTCCTGTACCCAAGGTCTACGCTTTCAACACTAGAGCCGACTGCGAAGTAGGTGCTCCATTCATATTGATGGATTGTCTGGAAGGGAACGTGGGTACAGATCTGAGTATGGATATACCTCCGGAGCACAAGCAACATTTCTTTGAAGAGGTGGCCAAGATCCAGGTNCAGTGTACATGGAAAACTTGTTCCATTCGCTGAGCTGATCAGAAGCGGCATCAGATCGGTCTCTCTGAGATACAGTTGCCGAAGATTGGGAAGATCATATGGGTTTCCGAGAACGGTTTCGAGCAAGGCCCAATCCCTGGTATAGGTGGCCCTTTCGATACTGCTGCCGAATTTTACAAAGCATGGGCGGGGAAAGTTGTTTTCGACACCAAGAACGATCGTCTACGGAGGACATCAGGAGCTTATGCCGAGGAAATCCAGGCATCCATCACTACCTTTCAAGCTGCTGTCGGCAGGTTGGCGGACAAGATTTCTCTGCGCAACAAAGGACCTTTTCCACTGTTCCATGGTGACTTTGGTCATCACAACATTGTAGTCGACGACAACTACCATGTCAAAGGGCTCATTGACTTTGAGTTCTCATTCGCATGCCCTTGGGAGATGATATCAATTTTCCCTCTGCATATCATCACAGTGCCTCCTGCCATCGACGCACCTTGGAACTATGATTCGGATGGCAACGCCGTGCCAGCAGACTTATTTCAGATGTTGGAAGATCAGAAGGCTTACATGGGAGCCGTCGAATCCGAGGAGTCGGATCAGGGCAAGCCGAGTCGCTACTCTTTGTCAGAAGCGATGTATGACGCACCAAGGCAACAACTTGCTACGGCACTCTGGTTCTTCGGAGAGAGCAAGCCAGGGTTCTATGCCAATCTGATCGAGAAGTACTCTTCAGAATGGCAGCTAAGCGATCAATGAGTGATGAGATTCTTCAGGTCAAGCCGCATACACTCTCTTCAAAAATGTTTTTGCCCTTCAACCGACCTCACTGCTCAGCAGCATGGTCGCGCGACGAACATCAAGGCCAACTGATATTTTGTCAAGAACAGTCATGCCGTTGGGAACGTGGACCAGTGATATGATGGGACGATGGAGAGACTGTTGGCGATTGCACAAGATGAATGAGATCGCGTCGAGGCAAAGAAGCCGACATGCTCAAGATGGTGGTCGAGAGCTGTGACAAGTGACCTCAGGCAGCGTGTTGAACAACACTGCATTCTTCTGCATATGAGTTGCTTCAAGAGGGAGAGAGCGCTGTATGCCCCGCCGGAAGAAAGCTCCTCCAAGGAGCGACAAGTCATAGGACTAGCTTCCGTTGGCATTGGTAGTCATCATGTTGACATCGTAATTCCCAACCTCAAGTCCCCTATCACCAACCACACTGCTCGATGTTTTGTTTTTGTGGTTCTTTGCGCGAAAACAGAAGACCATGGACGTCTTATGGCGCAACGAGTTCATAAGGTTCGGCCTGTAAATGTCTTATCTCAGGTCGTCGAAGGTGAGTACGAGGCTTCTACCGAATCTTGGCGGAGTTCATATGTTGTTCTTATCTCGCAGACCACCTCTCTTTCCACCTTGATACCGTGAAGTCTCTGGATCGAATCTAGGCTGGAAGCTTGCGAAAGATTTGCGAGACCGTTGGAGATTGATATCTGAAAGGGAGATATGGTTGGATGGAAGATAGCTTGCAGTAAGATAGCTTGCAGTAAGATGATCGCGGTCGAAACTGCGGGGTACGGTCCTAAGTTGACACAACGGGTTTCCAATGTCCGCTCACAGTCAGCAGGGAAACGAGTACGCCATGAGCCCTGCCATACATAAGCAACTGAAAATACTTTGGCCCTTCGACGGCCACTGTTCTCGCGATAGCTATCGTCCCTGATGACGTCCTGCGAAAGAAGAAAGTGAGCAGCCCAAGCGATGTTCTTCTGGCTGCACGGACCTTCACCAGGATCTAGAATTGGAAGATCATTGGCTAAAAGCAATAAGGTTATCTCCCCTCATTCCCCCCTCACGTGTACTCTTGACGCCGAGCCAATCAAGATCGGTCAAGCAATCTTGGGCGCGTCACCTCCTTCTGTACAAAGACAGTGAGGCCCCGGCAGGTCCGACATCCACACGAGCAGGCGAACCTCGTCGACTATCGACGGAGGCGTCTCTTGGGATGTGATCAGGCAGAAAAGCCCAAGGCTTGATCACGGTCAGCATCGTATTTATGCATGAGGTAGGCAACACAATTACACCAGAAGAGGAAGGTCGAGAAGGTACAGTATCACCGTATCACAAGATAACCGCCAAATCCTTTGTATGCGAAGTACGTAGGATTTGGGAGGATTTCTATTGCCCGATCATATGACAGCACTCGCTTCTTTGCCTTCCTTGACCGAGGCTTATCAAAAACAAGTGCCTATCAAAGCCGTGGGTGGCGTATTCTTGACCACACACGGAGGGCTTATCATTGGAGCGTTGCGGTTGGCGCATCCTTGCATTCCGCACCGATTTATTTCCCGCAGTCCCCTAAATATCTCAAAACAAGGGTGGCCGCTGTCGCATTTCTGGTCCAACATTTTCTACTCGATCGTGCGTCGCAAACATGAGTGACGAAGAAATCAAATCGTACGGTGAGAAGAACGTCCACCATGGGACACTCGGCGAACATTTCCATGGTCACCAGATGGGCACCGACCCTGAGGTCCACGACCTCGTGGTTGGCGATCAGAACGAGCTCCACCGTGCGCTCAAGGGTAGACACATGCAGATGATTGCTATGTAAGCTTGTCAACACCTCTCGAGTCTACTGCCGTACTGACCAAGGTCTCTAGTNGGTGGTGCAATTGGTGCTGGTCTGTTCGTTGGTTCAGGCAATGCCTTCCAGAGTGGTGGTCCCGCCTCTGTGCTAATCGGCTTCTTCATTGTTGGTGAGTGGTGTCCCTAACGAGCACACTTCTTTGCTAACTGTTCTTTAGGTATTCAAGTGTATGCTTTCTGCGCCTTGTGGTTATGACTTTTCCGACTAACAACATTTTCAGTNTACTTCATGATGCAAGCTCTCGCAGAAATGTCTGTCGTGTACCCCATCAACGGCGCTTTTGCAATGTACATCTGTCGCTTTGTTGATCCATCCCTCGGTTTCGCTTGCGCTTGGGAATATGCCATCAGTTGGCTGACCGTCCTTCCCTACGAGATCTCCGCCGCCGTCAACGTCATCCACTACTGGCCAGGCTCTGAGAACATCAATGCCTCTGCCTTCATTGTGCCTCTGCTGGTCGCGCTCGTTATCATCCAATTTTTCGGTGTGAGAGGTTATGGCGAGGTAAGTGGTCCATCATCATCGATCATAAGGGTTGCAAACTGATTGGACAGNGTTGAATTTGTTCTTAGCGCAATGAAGATCACTGCTTGTATTGGCTTCATGATTCTTGGAATCATCATTGATGTTGGTGGCGTACCCGGCCAACCCTATATCGGCGGAAAATACTGGTTCGTCTTGTGTGGACCGATTGCATGAGAGAGACACTAACAATGTGGGATTAGGCATAACCCAGGCGCCTTCCTCAACGGCTTCCATGGCTTCTGCAGTGTCTTCGTTACCGCAGCTTTCGCGTATACTGGAACTGAGTTGACCGGTCTAGCCGCAGCTGAGACTGTTGACCCCAAGAAAGAGATCCCCAAGGCCTCGAAACAGGTCATCCTCCGTATCATCATCTTCTACTGCGTCAACCTTCTCCTCGTTGGCTTGATTGTACCATCCAACAGCCCTGCGTACACCGGTGAAGGCTCTTCGTCTCGTCACTCGCCCTTCGTCATTGCAATTCAGCTTGCGGGCATCAAGGTCCTCCCATCCATCTTCAACGCCGTCATCCTTATTTCAGTCATGAGTGTTGCAAACTCTTGCACTTTTGGCTCCACTCGCACAATTCAGGCCCTGGCTGCAAATGGTAAGTATCAGATCAGTCGCTTATCAGCTACCGAGACTGACTCCCATATTNNAGGCATGGCACCCAAATTTATGGCCTACGTCGACAAGAAGGGTCGTCCCATCAACGTCGTTATCATTCAGCTTCTCTTCGGATGTCTTGCGTTCATCAACCTGGCTCCGAGCGGCGGAAACATCTTCAACTGGCTTCTTTCGTTGTCAGGTCTTTCAATCCTGTTCATCTACGGCGGTATCGGTCTTGCCCATGTTAGATTCCGCTCAGCCTGGTATGCTATGATACACCATGTAATTTTCTAGGAACGCGACTGACAGCCAATAGGAAANCACAATGGCCACACACTCGAAGAGTTGCCCTTCAAGGCTTCTGGTGGCCTTTGGGGATCGTACTTCGTCATGCTCATTACGGTACTCGCTCTCTTGGCCCAGTTCTACGTTGCACTCTACCCAATTGGTGGTCCCAATCTGAACGCCGACGCTTGGTTCCAATCTTATCTTGCTGGTCCCTTGCTCATCTTCCTTTACGCGGTTTGGAAGGGGTACAGTTGGTTCGTCAGACCTGCAGACCGCGCGCTGTTCATCAGAACCAAGGACATCGACATTTACAGCGGCATGAGCGAGATTGCACGCGAAGCGATGGCCGGTGATAAAGAAGCTCAACAGAAGAGAACTCCTATGCAACTTGTCAAGGAATTCTTCGGCACCTTCATTTAAAGTATCGGCTGCCATCTCGATACGTGGGGGTCTGAACGTTGCCTGCTATGACAGCAGGCGGCGTAACGTTCCCCTTCCTTCTCTCAAAAAAAAGCTGAATACCTCATATGCTCATCAGCCGGATTGACACCTGCTTTTCAGGTAGATTCTGAGCCCGTTTCAAGTTCGAGTATTTGGTGCTATGCTACTGTACATATAGCATCTTTTCTAATAAGATTCGTTTCCTACCTAATACTCATAACCTTCTTGAAAAATCAGAAGCTGTGTTTGTGTTTCCCCCGAAAAGGTTATTTTCTTGATTGTGAAGAACTCCAATGCTCGTGTGTGGTCTTGCCGATTAGAGACTCACGTTCACTGACCGGGGATCGAGCTCTGTGGGGAAGGAAGGTTTAGCCGGGCATTTGTCAAATCTGCACAGACAGTGCGCGAGCGCTGACATCGTGTCTCTGGAGAATGACATGAACTCTATGAACGGTCACTGCTACTTACGACTGCTTACGACAACTTCGACGTTTAGTTCTGGAAGCCGTTGTGACCGCAGAGATGGGAAATGCTATCCTCACAAGGGCACAAAAGCCGAGCGGCGAAGCGCTTGAGGAAGGCGCTATGTTGGTTGTTGCCATTGTCAACTCGACACATACCTGTTAAAAGCCTGTTGTAACAAGTCCAGCAACAAACTCGTCCATCTAACAGACTTTTGTAGTAGCGCAGACACTATCATGATGTTATGTGCTAACCAACAGCCTCAGGCAACCGGCAGTCCTCCACCAACCAACACCAACTCGCCAACATATCGATCCCAAACAGCCATACAATCGAGAGTTGCATATGAACCCAAGTAGGTGAGTGCTGATGGAGGTCAGCACTAACAATTTGTTCGGCACGAGAGATTATCCTTATATCAAGATAAAGTGCTTCTCTCGAGCACGTTCAATTTGATGTGAACCACTAGAGTGCTGAGAAGCTATCATGAGCTTTCGGATTTATCTGTTACCCACAGTACCAGTTGCATATCTCGCTACCGCAAGCTTGGCCTTCTATCTTCTCTTGAATATCGCACAACGAATCAGAAACTTATGCTTCCCAATATTCCTCGTACCAGCATGGCGCGCTTTTGCTACTTTCGAGTGCTTCACATGGCCAGCATCTTTGGCTGGAGTTTGGGGACTTGCCGTCTTGATTTGGATAGCACATATAACGTCGCTGCTGTACATCGACAAGATTCCAATGCAGTGCAAGAACAGAAAACAGTGGGATATCAAGGCAGCCTATAAGCTCCTCTTCGATGTGCGCCATCTCACTCAGAGCCAGACGATCTCTTCACCTGTCGCTGGACCAGTTCCCAGCAAGGCTTTACTTGTTTTTGTCACTTCTCGCCTGCTCAAGCTTCTGATGTACTGGCTGTTGACAGAATATCTGTTCACTCCCCTAACACCAATGATCTTCGGCCCTGTCGAGCCTTGGGAGTTTGATCATTATGCCCAAACCTACTTCCGACGACTACCTTTCTTCGAAACAAGGGAACCAGTCACTACACGCGAAACCCTTATACGTGCTGTGTTTACCATCCGCTGGATCTGGCTTAATTTCGTCGACGTTGATGCCGCGCATACGTTTCTCAGCATTATCTTCGTCGGCATACTACGTCTTGATACGCCCGAAGAGTGGCCACCTATGTTTGGCAGCCCTCTCGAAGCTTACAATCTCCGTCGATACTGGGGCAGGTTCTGGCATCGCTTGGTTTACAGACCTTACATTGGCCTTGCAAGAGTGGTCTCGGAAAAGCTGCACTGCAATCGCATCGGCTCCAGGTTTGAGAAGTGCTTCCTTGCGTTCATGATCTTCTTGATTTCAGGCGTGGCTCACGCCTTCGTATCTCTGCACGAAGAAGATCCTGCGGAAGCTTCAGATGACATTGCTTTCTACTGCATGAACTTCCTTGTAGTTGCAATAGAAGGGACGATCCTTGGTACGGCATCACCGCTGCGACGATTCTTGCCTCCTTCGTGTTGGAAACTTATAGGCTACGTCTGGGTCTTCATGTTCTGGTTCTGGGCCGCGCCAAAGTGGGCTTATCACGAGGTACATGAGGAGCTCCTGAAAGAGGCCGAAAGGCGCAATAGACCACAAGGACTCCAGATGATCACACGATTGTTTGGGATGAATCAATATATAGAGTAGATCTGCATCTTTATTCATTAAAGTCCCAAACATAGAGTACAATTATACCCCGGGAAATAGACTTGCTTACATACATATGTACCTGTCAACTGTCAACAGCTCCTGTCTGTGAACTCTGTGAAACTGGGTGGTCAGATCTTTAATCACAGTTCATTCCCAGGGCACAAAAGTATAGTGTCTTCAGCCGAGCCATACAGCTCTTGGCAGTAAGCTTGGTTGTCGTCTGACATGTAGTCTATTTCAACCTCCCTCGTGTGGAAGTCAACCTTCAAGACCCTGCCAAGTGCTCGTCATGACTTTTGAGCATTCTTAAGTCGATGCGCTTGTCATTGTAGTTTCAGCCCCTTCTTCATTCTTTCAAGGCAACAATGATTGTTAAGACCAGAAAGAGTCAAACTTCACAAGGTACTATTGCATAGAGATAGTGTTACAAACCATGGAAGCTGATATACCGCAGTCTATCGAGAAAAGAAAGAGCGAGACAAGGAGATACGAAAAGACAAACATCAAAACTGATAACCAAATCATGACTAAGGATTCAAGGAAATGTTATCATCTGCTTCCACCACTGTTTCCACCTCAGCTTACCCCAAGGTAGCTGCCAGGTATCTTCCGGAAGTCGAGACCGTGTGTGTCGAAGGCCCATCTAGTGGAACCAAGACTGAAGCTCGTTCATCTCATCATCAGTAAGGCCGGTGAATCTGAGAGAATCAGCGCCAAGAGGAGTAGGGTTTCCAGCATTGAAGCTGCCAGTCAAAGCAGTGGCGAGGATCATGCAAGTAGAAGGAACGCCAGCGACTTGGAAGCTGCCAGGTCCGGCGGGAGCAAAGGTGAGCTTAACGCCATTGAGAGACTCGTGGCACATGTCGAAGTTGTACTGAGGGATGGAGTCGAGAGGGTCGCCTTGGCGGCGCTGGTGAATGCTGCGACGACCGATGGCAGCACCGAGAACATCACCGACAATTGTGGCGCCGCCCCCGACGAAACCGTCACCAGTGAAGCCTTTGCCGTGAAGGGACTTCTTAGCTTCGACAGAGGAGGCGAAGGCCATGGTGAGGGCGACGATGATGGTGGAGAATTGCATCTTGAATGAGGTTTGACTGGTGAAAATCTTGATGATGAAAGATTGGATGAAGATGATGTATAAGAGTGGAAGATTGTTGTAGTAGTCGAGTTGATTTGTTGCTTTGGTTATTCGGTTGCTGAGTTGCTTGATAGTTTCTTGTTCGATGAATCCCAGAGAGCTTATATACCTCGTTGACTGTATAATTTTCTTACCATGTTGTTAAGGAGTTCAGGAAAAGTCTGCTCATGTTGGTGTTGTGTGCATCAAGATGCCAGAATAGCAAACTCGCGTTGGTCAATGAGCCGCAAACATGCTATACCCGTAGATGTTGCATTGAACAACATGAGTGGAGCACTGACATGTGTGTAGTGCTATCTTCTGTGCTCCAGAGGTCTGCGATTGCTATAGCATAGTCGAAAATAGGTTGCTGTGTTAGAAACATTGTGGTGCAGAGCAGTATTGATGCGCGGCATTAACTCCGCAGCAAATCGTGGTGGCTGCGCATGTCTGTTCGCGCTTCTGTATATCGTCGGGCGGTAAGCCGTGAATCGCTCCTTCCCTTTGATTTTCTGAGAAGCAACATGCACGTCTTGCTCAGCCCCAGAAGTGGAAGCCACATATGCTACACAAACAGAATCCTACATGGTCTTGGAGAACAATTGCCGATAGACCTCGATAGACGGCGATAATCTGTCGTGACGACCTTCACAAGTGAGGCGTGAGATAGAGTGGTCGGCGACTGTGAAGGATTTCAATCCTTATTTGGTGTGCATAGACAACCCTTGTGAAGTGTGGCAAGCATTTGAGTCATGCAACAAGCTCAGGATGCGTACATGCGCGAAGGCGGGTTGTTAGCCAGGATGAGGCTGGACCAGAGCAGGAGAGTGGATTGACCAACAGGATGTTGGACTGTTGCATCCAGAAGCCATGGCACGCAGAGTCATGATCAGTATGGTACTGTGTGAGCGGCAGATCACCATGCCAGTCTTTGATCTCACTTTACAGAATCTTGTGCTGACTGTGATATCGTGGGAGATGCGCATCTTTTCATTTTTCTCCTTTATGAGGTTATGTTTCATGTCATGATATGCAAGCATGTGCTGCATGATGTGGGGATTATGCAAATTGTGCTGCGGAAGGATCGAGACACGGCGCTAAATTGCAGGATGCTGCTAGCCAACTAAACCAACGCTGAAGGATTCAGCAACCGCATGCAATCTACATGAAGTTCTGAAACCACCAACCATAGCCCATGGCCTCAGGCGCCCTGCATACCGAATCCACACCATGACTATGAAGCTTCTTCAAAGGACTCACACCGCTGGCTCGCGACCATTGCCAATATATAAAGCATACCTGCATGCGTCTTCAAACCATCTTGCCATTGTCGTTCATTCTTACAATTCCCTTACCCTGGCTTCATTCTATATCATCTATCTTGGTTCTCAGCATGAAGCTCACCCCTGGGTCGATTCCCTTCGCCCTCCTCTCTGCTTCCACAGCTCTGGCCGCAGGCACGCTCGAATTCTCCCTCGAAAGCAGACAAGTTTCACACTTTCCAGATCTTGCCGAACGTAATGTACAAGGGACTTCGGAGTCTGCATTGATCAGCAACTATGACGGGACCCTCGGGATGAGATATATGATCAATCTCACCGTCGGCACCCCTCCTCAGCCCCAGAGCGTATTGATCGATACTGGAAGCAGTGACACGATATTTCTCGCTGCCGAGTCATTCTGTAACACAAGGAAATCGAGCTCGAAGTGTCCTGGCGGGACATACAACACCTCGGCTTCGTCCTCGTTCAAGATGCTTTCNCCCAGCGGCATCAACGCAACTTATGGCGGAGTCACCACGTCCTCCGCCAGCAATGCTGCTCTGGTTGGAGATCTTGTGGCCGATGTGATTCAAACCGATGATCTCATCATCGCAGGTGCACACTTCGGAGTAGCACATCAAAGCAGTAACAACATGTTGGGCAACGGCGATTACATTGGCATCATGGGACTTGCTTATCCATCCGCTGAAGCTGTCAAGCAAGGCGAACCAAAGTATCCTACATTCGTCGAATCGCTTGTTGATGCCGGCGCCATTGCCTCGCGTCTCTTCAGTCTTTATCTCAACGCCGTAAGCAGTTATGGCTCTATCCTGTTTGGTGGTCTTGATACCGAGAAGTACATCGGTAACCTCACGACTTTGAACATGATGCCGCGACGTGCAAGCAGCACCAAAATACAATTCTTCATGATGCAGTTGGACGAAGTATCCATGACGCACGAGGATGGGACGCACGAGGTGCTCATCAAGCCCAGCGACCAGACACAGCTCGTGTACCCAGATTCTGGCACAATGACTTGGGTTCTCCCTGCGGAATACTATAGCAAAGTCGTCAACATGACTGGTGCCAAAATGCAAGGGAGCAACGCATTCCTTCCTTGCAGCCAAGTCTCAAATGAGACGTCTTTCACCTTTACATTATCTGGTAATGGGACTAACAAAGCCCAGCTGGAAGTTCCAACTACCTTGTTCTTCACCCCTGCAGTTCTGGCCGATGGATCTGGAGTCCTGAAGTCTGAAGGAGAAGTTATGTGTATCTTGATGGTCCAACAGGCCAACTCAGACACCGATTTCATGCTCCTCGGCGCTCCCGTCATGCGCGCCGGCTACTGGATCTTTGACATGGACAACGGACAAATCTCCGTTGCGCAAGCACGTCTCTCATCCACCACTTCCAATGTCGTTGCTGTCGGGGCTGGACCCCATGGAGTCATGAATGCAGCAAAGCAGCCAAGTCAACTCGGTGCCAACCAGACTCTAGCCGTTGATGGCAATGCTACTGCTTCGGTCAGCATGTCACTCACCACTGCAACCAACGCTGTGGGCCAGACTTCTGGCCCTCAGTCTACAGTCTTGAGCGGTGGAGCTGCTGGTCAAATGGCCGATGTTACTCTCGGAGCGTCTTTGGTTAGTGTTCTGATGCTTTCAATCACGTTTGGCGCTTTCTTGCTGTAAGTCACGTATGGACTTCATGGAGAGCACACTGGTCAGCGACCACACATCTTAGTCTCGGGCATGACTCGATTCGTCAGCGTGCGTTCCCGAAAAGCAGACATCGTCAGGATGGATATCGTTCAGGAATACTCTGTAACCATCAAACTTGAACTTCGTCCGAGCATCGTCGGGATACCTGCACGGCACGCTATAACGTGCATTTCGGACAAATCAGCAGAAACGACATTCTATCCTTCCTCGAGAGAAGGAACTACATTGCACTTGCTCTTACCTTTCGACTTTGTGAGACCTAGCAGAACAGGAAGTCACGGACGAGCATCTACGAAAAGAAACTCCAGTTCAATCTTGTCTGACCATACATAGAATATCAATGTACATACCTCGCCTCGTGTATCAATACCTTTGACTAATTTCAAGTCTCATTGAACAATGATCGGTATTGTAGTTTCACCCTGCGGGTTAAAAGTGTGACTGCCCAGCTACCAACACAATCAATCGCTATTACAATCTTTCCAGCCCACAACGCGCTTTGGACTACTTTCTTGCCATCATACCATCTTCTGACACTCTAGACGCATAAGGATGCGTTCTGGGATGAAGTCTCGAAAGAAGCAGAGAGCAGGGTCATAAGGCGAGCAACCTAGTCGAGTCGTCTGTTAAATGCGCGAACACGACTGAATCATCTTGAAGTAAGGCAAAATCAAAATCTCTGAATGTGATGTTTTGTTTGTGGAAGTGGTAGAGCCGAGTCAATACGATAGAATGAACAAGGGTTCAACATTTGCGGATCCTACTTTCCCTAATCACTGGCATAACATAAGAAACAACTCAAGGAAATATAAAACCTGATTATAACTAGAGCCAACTCGTGAGCCATCACACTTTCATCGAATAACCACGTGAATAGTGTCAGAATTGCTTCGAAGATCCCGCTTCGAAATGTAAATATCAAGTTTCATCTAAACCAGCCCCATCTATATCTGGTAGCCTATGACCAAACCCTACCCCTTCACGTATGCTGTACATTCCCCTCCCTAATCTCATTCAAACTCTTTGTAAGTTTATCCAACTTGATGGGTTTGGTCAAGAACAAATCAATCCCAGAGACAAATGCCTCTTCTTGTGCTTCCGCAGACCCCAGGCCCGTAAGTGCGATAATAGTCGCTGGCGTGATATCGTTACTGCGCTCGAATGCTCGAATCTGGCGTGTGGCTTCAAAGCCGTCCATGACGGGCATGGAAATGTCCATGAGCACGACTTCGGGTTTTGGGGTGGTCGGGTTGGTATTGCCGAGAGCGGCGGCTTTGTATGCTTCAAAGGCTTCGAGGCCGTTCGTCGCGGTGAGTTTGGGGTGGCCGTGCTTTTTGGCGTACGCGGTAATCAAGCGAAGGTTTACTGNCCTATACGTACAGAGAGGTTAGTCTAGTCTACGGCATCCGGACTGCGGTTGACTCACGTTGTCATCGACAAGCAGTAGTGTCGGCTTTGTGGGATCAATCTCCGCGGCTGGTTTTGACTTCTTCAGCGGCGTGGTGTTCGTCGTGGCGGTGACAGTTGTTGTTTGCTCGAAACCATCCAAAGGCGAGTCTTTAGGGAGTGATGAAGGTTTATTGTCTTGGCTCCCCTGCCTGAAAGACTCTGGTAATGGCGGCCTCGGCGTTTGCATGTTGGAATCTTCCGATAGTCGTCTCGCTGGGAAAGGGAAGCCAGGATCAAAAGGCTTTTGTAATGAGTTGCCCTGAGGTGTGGGTGTGTTTTCTGACCAAGAGTCAGAGTTAGGTGTGTCACTAAGACACCTCCTAATGGCGGCCGCGAGCTTCCGTGGACCACATGGCTGTGAAATGTATTCAACATGACCGTGAACCAGCTGATTGAGCGCAGACTCCTTCATCACACGTCTTGAACGACAGTTCCTGCAGATGACCAGAAGAGGTTTTGTCCGAATGGCACGTATCGTGTCGGGGCCAGCGTGAGGTGTCCTTACCAGAGTGGGCTGCAAGAGCCTTAAAAGTTCTGGTACATCTTCTTCGGTGACCATTGCTAAATCGAACCCGTTGGGAGCTGACCAGCTTGAGGGAGAGACCATGACGTTGAGCTGTCGACACGATTTGCGAAGTGTCTCAATTTGGAAGTCGCGACCAGCCATGATGGTTTTCTCCCGATGTGGCTCGGTCGGTGCAAAGCCCAGACAGTGCATCGAAATCATAGTTGGTCCAGATGACAAGGTACGGTTGTGGATGCGCTGGGCATCTCCACTCCCTTTGACGTCTAGCGGCATGGTAACGGAGACTGTTGTGCCAACATCCTNTTTGCTTTGTACGTCAATATGTCCTCCAAGGTTCTTCACAATCTTAGCAACCATGCTCATGCCCAAACCTGTACCCTCCGAAAGATCATCTTCCTGAGCAAATGCACGGAACAGTTGACTAGTCATGAACTCCTTGGAGATACCTTTGCCACTATCCGTGATTGTCAGTCGCACTCGAGAGCGCTTTTGCCTGTCGTTTGGAGGCATCAGCTTGAGTGAGGCAACAATATAACCTCGCTCGGTGTATTTCAGCGCATTATTGATAAGATTGATGCACAATCTCTTCCAGGCCCCAACTGCAATGACGCAGTTCAAAGACAAAGCGCTGGGGTCGATATCAGTGACGACCGTGACCTTCCGCTGATCGAGTGTTTGGCTATCTTTCGAACAGCAGAATGAGTAGACTGCTGTGTCAATCACTTCTTCTGTCAATTCGTCGAGTAACACGTTTGTTTTCTCAACGACCATGCCTCCAAGCGTTTCAGTCCTGCCCAAACCGCTTGAGCGGTTGCGATTTCTTTGATCGATGCCAGACTGTAATTGTTTTCTGTTGTGCTTGGAGACAGAGTTGACCTTTGAGAAGTCAAGTAGATGGTCTACTACATCGAGTAATGTTTGGCCACAGACTTGAATCTGCGAGATCATCTCCGAAGTTTCATCGTCATGAATCTGATCATGGACGAACTCAGCGGTTCCAAGGATACCATGCAGTGGGCTGCGCAGCTCATGACTGATCGATGACATGAAGTCTGACTTGACCTTGTGTGACATTTCCATATCCAGTCGTCCAATCTTAGCAGTGATGACATCGCAGAACGCCTTGAGGTAACACATCTCAGACTCGAGAGAAAAGACTCGAATTGGAGAGTTTGAGTATACGATACAACCAGCGTCCCATCGATCTCGAGACATGTTCCAGAGGCCGAGTAGCATCAGACTTCTTGCTTGTGGGAACAGAGCTCCTAGCTTCTTACCAAGTGCGGACCTTGTCGATCGCTTGCGTCTCTGGAATGAGGAATCCTTCACGCCACGGCCACCGGTGGATGTCAGAGACGTAGATTGGATATCAAAAAGCCNCGAGCCGTCCGATGTATGCGTGTCCGAAGTGTAATCGCCTTCAGCGCCGTACAAGAAGACTTTGCCGTGCTTGTGACATCTTAACAAAGATTGCAATAGCTTCTTTGGGATCTCAGCATGCGGCGGTGTGAAGTTGGCTGGTACCAGTCCGTAAGATGCTCCAAAGACGGAACAAGGCTTGGAAACATCTTCCTGATTATTGGGCCTGTCAACTGTATCCGTAGCACTGCCGGCTCCTTCTGTGTCGCTGGTGAAAAGCTCAGGCTCGCGCCCTGGTTTTGTGTTGTCCATGGCCTCTTCATCTGCCAGTTCTCCGAAGTTTGACATCGAAGCATCCAGGAATAGAACGCCGTCTGCACCGACTGCTGTCCGGATGTAATCTGCAGCAGACTGCATCGCATTACTCGCAGTCTGATCTCGGGTTTTGAGTGGATCTTCCTCCTTCTTAGTAACCAGGCCCGTATTAGATTTTGTGCTGTCCCTGCGTGGCAGCGAAGGTCGCACCATCTCAGGAGTCATCGGCGTTTTATTGCTGGTGGTGTCCGCAACGATCGAGTTCAATGTTCGACCTGTCGTCATTAAGGCATTCTCATCCTCCAGTTTGTGTTGTAGAGTTAACTGTTCAATAACGTGTTCGGAAGACTCCGTACCCTCCGCGTTAGCTATCTCAGTAGCTTGAGCGATGGCCTCTAGTGTCTTCGTAGTTGCAGGAGGAGGTGATTTGGTTGGCTCTTCACGAGCACCTGGTTCGTTCTCCATGAATGAGTTTAGAGCTTTGACCATCAAGGTGCCTCTACGCTGTTCTGCGCGTGCCTTCAGCATCTCTAGATGTTCCATTACCAAAGAGCCTATTTCTTGGACAAATCGGATATCTTTGTTTTCAAGCCCATCTCGAGGATGGTCATCCAATATGCTAACACGATCACTGTNTAGCATCGGCTTCCACCGTGGGACAAGCTTTGTTCTTCCAGCAACGCTTACCACTAGGCTAGGTCAGCAAATGATATGCTGCTTCGTGCATAGGCAACTTACAAAAGCACCAATATTGAAACCTTTGGCAGTGGTGATGGGCACACCAGCATAAAAGCGAGCCTTGATCCCTCCTGCAACATATGGTTGGTTGCAGAATCTCGAATCCTCGCGAAGGTCGTTGACAATGTGTATCTTCGACGCATTTTCGTCGTTGGCGTTACTGCCATAATTCGTCGGTAGCATGACCGTGTGTTCACAGACAGTGAAGCCGCGTGGAAGCTTAGTCATGCCCAGCCAGAGATTGTCTCCGTTGTCGTGTATGTTGTCGTCTTCGAATGATAGGGTTTGCGTAGCTTCGCCGAGGACATATGCATGCTGACTGTCAAAACAGAAGATCATAGCCCGTCTGGCCTTTAGACGAAGGGCAGCAAGTTGACAGAACGCAGTCAACGCTTTGTCTGTGGATGAGGTCGGATCATGTTCTTCTATAGAATCGGAAGAGTTGGGATCGGTCCATCTGATGTCGGGTCCAGCGAGTATCCGTAGCGGTTCGTAGTAGCTAGAAACAACTTAATACCGACGGCGAGCGGGCGGGATTTGGCTTCTGTCGAACCTGTAAAACTCATGCTCGCGTTTCCTCTCGTAACGAGCTCTATCTTGAGGGCTCATAGCCTCGACGTCGACGGTGGCGGACATGGCTGCTGAAATTCGAGAAGGCTACCCCATGGGTTCTTGGACTGATGTGAACAAGAGACGATTCATGACCTGTAGAAGAAAGAACCCTAGCACCCGCCAAGCTGTTTGTGACATGTTGATGGCTCAAGCGTGTGCCAAAATACGCTTATCAAGCTGTCAACGCGATCAGACCCTGGCCAGGGTAGCTGCCAGCCACTCGCGCGATTGCCGGCTATCGTTCTTTCACATGCTTCTTCAGGTAAAGTGCGGTGTACGTATACGGTAGACGCAATTATGAGTCGGGAATCGACGATACGTGATCAATAATTAGGACTTAAGGGCTCCACCGAAGCCTCGGGAAGAGGTCCGCCTATGCTAAACCGTCGGGATTCTCGCGTCAGTATAACGGCGGCCTGATCAAAATTACGTCTTGTAAAGGGCGGACCAAAGAGACATCAACAAGAAACAGCTACGAGTAGCCAAGAACCTCTTTCCGTAACGATCCAAGTAGTCTTTGAACAATAACGTGCCAGCAGCAGCAGAGCCGCTTCGCTTGTCATCGAAGTTTGTCCACAAGCCCCTGACTCGGTGAACAGCCTTCTTCCGATCTTCGGCTACACTTTCCTCGAACACGTTCCCACGTAATGAGGCTTGTGTCAACAACGAAGGGGGGCCTAACAACGCCCCGTGCCTTGATTTTTTCTTCCTCCTAGACGGCTACAGTTTGCTAGAAGGGGAATTGTGCTTTCTTGGAAGTTGGAAAGAACGATGCAAGTTGGCAAAGAACAACACACCAACTGATGAGGATCAGCGCAAGACTTTCCTCCATCGATCGCGGCATGGGACGGCAAATCGTGTACACGGAAAGACGTGGAAATAACGTATCCGGCTGGAGATGTTCGGAGAGAATGTTTTACAGTAGAAGAAGTAAGTCATCGTAAGTACGCAGATTAGACAAGAGAAACTTATGCAATGTTAAACCAAAAGAACATCATCCCGTATTTATTCACAATCAACGCCCTTCATAAAGCATACAGAAAGGTGAGCCGCGCTACAAGCGGCTTTCAAGGCCATCCCATTGTCTCTCGCCAGGCCAGTGGTCATCAGGCCAGACTTGACGCATCGCTTCCCAGATGTGACCAACATGGCAAATTTCAAGGCCGGAGAGGACTTCTTCGGGCAGATCTTTGACGTCTTTCTTGTTGGCGTTTGGCAAGAGCACCTTCTTGACGCCAGCGCGGAGGGCACCAATCAACTTCTCTTTGATACCACCCACAGGAAGTACCTTGCCGCGGAGACTGAATTCACCAGTCATGGCGACAGTGGGTGGAACAGGCTTACCACTGAACAAGCTAACCAGCGCAATTGTATGCGCCAAGCCTGCAGAAGGTCCATCCTTGGGAATAGCACCACTTGGACAGTGTACATGAATACTGCGATTCTTCATAATGTCCTCTGTAGGGTCATGTGTCAAGGCGAGTTCAAAAGCATGAGCTTTAACCCATGTCAGAGCAACCTCGACAGATTCCTTGAGCACATCACCGAGCTTGCCAGTAAGTTGCACACGTCCAGAGCCAGGCATGTCAGCCACCTCGATAAACAAGATACTGCCCTGACTGCCTGAGCTGTATGCCACAAGGCCAGTCACAACACCTGGACGTGATGTGGTAGCAGCGATCTCTTCTTCGAAACGTTCGATACCGAGAATATCCTCCAGATCCTCCATTCGTACCGTTGGACTGTACGAGGAAGTAGAGCTTGCATCAGAGGCTTCGGCGTACGCTACAGCCTTGCTGCGACAGACTGAGCCGATCTCACGCTCAAGGTTACGCACGCCAGCTTCCCGAGTGTAAGAAGTGATGATCTTGTCAAGGACGTCTTCAGCGATGGTAACCTGATCATAATCAAGGCCGTTGGTGGTGATCTGCTTCGGTATCAGATGACGATTGGCAATGTGTCGCTTCTCGACAGTCGTGTAACCAGGTAGTTGAATGGTTTCCATTCTGTCTAGCAAAGGTGCTGGAATAGTGTCGAGTGAATTAGCTGTGGCGATGAACAAGACCTTGCTAAGGTCGATAGGAATGTTGACATAGTGGTCAGTGAATGTGTTGTTCTGCTCGGGGTCCAGAACTTCAAGCATGGCCGCTGAAGGGTCACCGTGGTGGCTGGATGTGCCAATCTTGTCGATTTCATCCAACAAGAACACAGGATTCGAGACGCCGACCTTCTTAAGGCCGCTGACGATCAAGCCAGGCATTGCTGCAACGTATGTTCGACGATGTCCACGAATTTCGGCTTCGTCTCGTACGCCACCAAGAGAAATTCTGTGGAACTTTCGTCCCAGTGCAGTGGCAACTGACTTAGCCAGACTGGTCTTTCCAACACCCGGTGGCCCTACGAGAAGCAAAATAGGTGATTTGTCGACCATACGCTTCTTGCTCAAGATCTTGATCTCTTCAGGGGTCTGTTCGGGCTTCTTGTCAGATCCCTCAGCATTTTCAGACTTGCCGGAAGCATTGGCCTCCTCAGTAATCTTGTCGATCTGAGATTGGAGGTTGGCGTTAACCTGTTGCTTGAGCTTAAGTACAGCCAAGTATTCGAGCAATCTCTTCTTGATCTTGTCGAGGCCATAGTGATCGTCGTCTAATTGCTTGCGTGCCCGCGACAGAGTTGCAGGGTCAAGCTTGTCCTCCGTGAACTTGGTCCAAGGAATCTCAGCAAGATTCTCTAGGTAAGTTCTGCAAACCTGATAGTCGGCTTGCGCAGGATTCATCTTTGAGAGTCTCTTCAGCTCTCGCTCGGCGACTTTGGCGGCCTCGGGGGACAGCTTGGCCTCGTCGATACGCTTCTTCAGCTCATCGATTTCATTGGGCTCTTCTTCGTCATCAGGTTTGCCGAGACCCATTGGCGAGCCGGGACGGCTGCCAGCCATGCCGCCTCCAAATCTCTTTAGCAATTGCTGTCGACGCATACGCGCAGCTGGATCAGAATCACCATCAGCGTCTGGATCGGCAGACTTGATAGACATGATACGGTTATTGCCCTGAATACTCGAGACATTACGTTGTAGCAGGTCGACAGCACGCTCGAGGCGAAGCTTGAGTGGCAGGGCGGAAATGATGCGCAGCTTGTCCTCCTGAGAACATTCTATGATGTTTGTCATGAAGTCGGCTAGAACACCAGCTTCTTGTAGGTCTTTTCTAACGATGAATAGTTCAAGGCGGCGAGCGAGGAGTGGCGATAGCGTAGTAGGTGGAGCACGTGGTAGCAGAGAAGAGAGTCTGATCAGGGCGAGTAGTTCGCGGGAGAGCTGCTTGAGTTCGGCGAAGAGAGCCTGAATCTCTTTGTCTGATTCGTCGACATGTTCATCGGTATGGATAGTGACTTCGGCTTCGAAGTAGGGTTGATCCTTGACGAAAGAGTTGAGCTGGAAGCGGCTCACACCCTCAACTACAAGAGCCAGTTCGCCTCTTCTCTTTCCTTGTACACCCGATACCTTTGCAAGGGTGCCCACGGAGAACAACTGATCCCGAGTAGCATGGGCAGGGTTGATGCCGGCAATGGGGCGTCTATTCGAGTCCTTGCCATCGTCAAGGAGTTTCTGACCATCAGAGCTGAGATAAGGAGAGTTGACGGGAAGGCATCCAACAGTGATATGTGTATGATCTGGAGTCGGAGTGGCAGCTTTGCTGTATATATTTGCGAGAATGGCGGCGATATCGCCACGACCCTGAAGCGGAATGCGGAGAGTGAGGCCTGGCAGGAGAACGGATCCCTCTGCCAGCGGAATGATGGGAAGCCTTGTCATCTTGGGAGAAGTCATGGTTGTGTACCGGCAAGTTGGTCAAATAGTGAAAGTGACCTCCTACTCTTACGGACACAGAAATGCAGAAGATGGATGGGTTGATGATGATACAGCGCTTAGCACATGTCATGGAATCGTTAATGCGGAGAACGGGCCGAGGTCTTTGTTTAACGCCGACCAGCGCGGACTTAACTCTTCCTTGGCGGCGATTCGTGAAACTGTGAAACTGCGTCAAGTCGAGACTTTTAGATGCTGACGCCCTCGACCTTTGCCTCGTCGCAGTCAACAACAACCATGTCTTTGAGCAGCTGTATACGCCGCTCCATCGCCAGCAGGAGTCTACGGTCATTCGCTCGTCCGTCTTCAACCTCCATCACTCGACCAGCAGCATTGGCCTACCGCCCGTTTTCGCTATCCACAAAATTCGCCCAGGACCATCAAGAGAAGATTGAACACGATGCGCTAGACGCCTCCGATGCTGTTTCTCAGCCACTAGAAACATCTGAAGATGCTACGCCTTCTTCTACAGAGCTCGAGGCAGTCCCGTGGTACCTACAAGTCGATACTCCCACGCCACAACAAGAACACCCTTTCGCCGAACGCCAAAAACTTCCCGACCTGCCCGAGTCTCCTCCTGCCCTCTTGCAGCCCATTCTTGAGCACGTCTCTGTCGAGCTTGGCTTGGACCACCTCTCCCTCATCGATCTACGTGAACTCGACCCACCTCCCGCCCTTGGTGCAAACCTGCTCATGATCATTGGAACTGCTCGTTCCGAAAAACATCTGCATGTGTCTGCTGATCGCCTGTGCCGCTGGCTGCGTACTGAGCACCATCTGACCCCTTTCGCCGACGGTCTGCTTGGTCGCAATGAGCTCAAGCTCAAGCTGAGGCGCAAGGCCAAGAGATCTCGCCTGCTGAGCGCAGTTGGCGCAAAGGAGACTGCCAGCCAAGACCTCGACGACGGCATCAGGACAGGCTGGGTCTGTGTCAACGTTGGTAGAGTTGAAGGTGGTGCTCTCCAGAAGCCCGCTGAGGAGATGGAGAACATTGTCGGTTTTGGCAGTCAATCTTCTGGCTCCAGAATTGTCGTACAGATGATGACGGACGAGAAGCGAGGACAAATCGATCTCGAGACGTTGTGGAGTGGCATCCTCAAGAGATCCATCAAGAGCAAGGCTGACAAGGATCAAGATGTCGATGACGCTGAGAAGCGCGTGCGTAGTGGCATGCTGCTTGAGGAGTCGTCTGAAAAGCCCGGCGCCTACCGCTACCGTCCTCATGCTGCTGACTTTCCCAGTGGACAACAGGCTCGAGCATACCACTCTTCCGCCAGATCCTCAACCCAACAAGGTGCGCAAATATCAACAACTTCACAAAACAACACTCAATCTGACAGATTTGTTCAAAGTGCCGTCATCCTGAACAACATGGTCGATCACCTCAAAATGATAAGCTCACATGATGCCGTTCAGGCACTTGGCAGTAACAGCAACGATCAGAAGTCCACTCCTTTTCTCCAGGCCTTTTACAGTGCAATGCCTAGGTTTCCAGAGACGACGCATTGGCATGCACACGTCTTACTCCATTGCCATGCGGTTCGCTTGGGTCATTGCGGCTACTCTTCCACTTGTCTGATTCAAGACCTGGAAAGTATGCGCATGGCTTGTCTCGTCCCAGACGAAAGGACCTATTTAGCCGTGTTGGAAGCCATCATGCTGCCGTGCTTAGGCAAGTCACCAGTTGCCGGAGTTAACCTTGACCGGACTACACTGCGGACAGCGCTTGCTGTATTGGACCGCATGTTCGAAGACGGCTACGATCCAGTAAGCAACTCGGTCTGCCAGATCTTGTATCAGGCGACATCTACCAAAATCACCATGGTTGAAGAGTCTCAACTCAGTATGAACGACGAATCTGTATCAACATATCAACAGCAATCTACGCTACATCAACTCACAACTGCTCTTTCTGTCTATGCTCTTCACACTTCCGCTCAAGATGCTGCTTGGTCTGAGTTCTGGGATACGTGGCGCTCATTTCCTTGCCGCATGTCGCCACGCTCGAGTGACATGTACGTGACCATGTTCGAAAGTGTTGCCGAAAGAAACAGTCAGAAAGACGCCATGGATGCTTTGCGACAATGTGTACCAGAAATGTTGCGCGAACAACCAGCCATCAGACTTGGAGGTCAGGTAGCAGCTGCCGTCTTGCGTTGTCTTCACGTTGCTGAGCCTCGAGCTGAAAAGTTGGCCCGGCAAGGAAACCGTGGTGAATGGGCAGTGCTTTGGCTGCGATGTGCTAAGGCTTTGGAAGTGGTTTGAAAGATGGTGTGCCGCTCTGTGTCTACGATGTAACGATCTCATGAATTGCTTCTCCTTGCACGGCATTATATCCACACCTGTACTTATGTATTCAAAACATTTTCCTTCTTGCTATCACACTCCCGACCAACAAGCCGAAGCCGACCTCGGAGCCGAAATGTTAAAACCAGGCAGACAAGCTGGAGATGTGGAGAAATCGATTCTTTCCCCACCACAGTTGGGCCAAGTCCCACTTTGCCGTGACGAGGACAAACGTCTGGCTATTACAGCTTTATACCGCGCGGACATGCCGTCGCTTATAACCGTAAGTGTCTGTGTGTACGGATCTGAGGCGCGGCTGTTGGAGACCTCCAAGGTACAAAAATGAATCTGGATCAGCCGTGGTTGAGGTTCTTGACTCTTCTTCGTTTTTCTACACTACATTGTTTTGTTGGTTCTTACACAGTGATTTCACGCTCTTCTCTTCTTCTTGGGCAATTGGTATACATTGATCTTGTAGTTTGAAAAACTATTGCAGTAGTCTCAAGATGTCGAACAACGTCAAGGACATGCATATCTGCATTGCCGGCTCAGGTATACACCCTCCTCCAATTCATCAACCCCGCCTGCTAACCAAGTCACANGGCATGGGCGGTCTAGCATGCGCCCTCTCCCTCGCCCGTCAAGGTTTCACCAAAATCTCCGTCTACGAATACGCCTTCAACCTCGGATTTGTGGGTGCAGGCATCCAACTAGCTCCCAACATGGCACGCATCCTCGACCGCCTGAACGTGTGGGCACCAATCCAGAAAGAAGCTGTGGATCTCAAGGATACCAGTATTAGACAAGGCTCCAGTGATGCCGAGTTGGCTAACGTCAAACTGGGGTATGTGAGAGAGACTTATGGATATCCGCATATGGTGGGCCATCGCTCGAGTCTGGCTGGAGAAATGTACAAGGGATGTAAAGAGGAGGCTGCAAACATAACTTTCAACTTCTCGCATTCGGTGCAGAAGGTCCATCAATGGAGCCCCAAAGTCAAGTTTCAGGTTAAGCCCAGAGACGGCGAGGCCTTTGACGTCGAGTGCGATGTGCTCCTCGCCGCCGACGGTGTAAAATCAAACATCCGCGATCAAATGCTGGATCTCCTCAACATCGATGCCAAAGTCGTGGATTCAGGACAAGCAGCCTACAGAATCATGCTCAAGCGCGAAGACATGGCCCACGACCCAGAACTCCTGGCTCTGATCGATGCAGAACGAGCAACAAGATGGATAGGAGAAAGACGCCACATCATCGCCTACCCAGTCTCCAACAACACAATCTACAATCTCAGCACCGCACAACCCGACGTCAATTTTGCAGCTGCGCCGTCGGCTACTTACACCACCAAAGGCAGTAAAAAGGAAATGTTGGATGTGTATGCGGATTTCTGCCCTAAGATCCAGAAGATGCTGAATATGGTTCCTGAAGGCGAGGTTTGCGAGTGGAAGTTGAGGGTACATGCTCCTCTACCTACTTGGGTGCATGGAAATATGGCACTTGTGGGTGATGCTTGCCATCCTACACTCCCTCACTTGGCACAAGGAGCTGCACAAGCCATAGAAGATGGAGCTGTGTTGGGCGTGGTGTTGAGCAAGCTACCTGACACGAGTTCAGAGAGCATCAACAAGGCGCTCAAGGTGTACCAGGAGTTGAGAAAGTCGAGAGCTGAAGGACTTGTAGCGTTGGCAGCGGCGAACGGTAGGGACATGCATCTTGGTGATGGAGCGGCCAAGGAGGCCAGAGATGCAGCTTTCAAGGCTATCAGAGAAGGCACTGAGGGAGCCAAGGTACCAGACAAGTGGGCAGATGCTGATGTGCANAAAATGATTTACGGACACGACTGTTGGAAGGATGCTGAGGAACAGTTTGAGACTTTGTTTGCTGCTGCCTGAGGAAATCGATACACATTCAGTCACTTATGAGCATAATCTCCAGTCCATGTTCAGAAGTACAAAAGTCATGTTCAGAGAAGAGAGTTCATTTCGAAGGCGTGTCTGTGTAAAGACATGTTTGTTGCAATCCATCCTCCTTGATATTGGTATTCATGTAGGTTCTTGATGATCATTTCAGGGTCGTGAAGCAGCGTGGTAGGACAAGCAATCGAGGTCCGCAGTATGCTCAAGCACCGCCCTCACGCTTGGCGTATTCATCCTCCATGGCCTCACGATACTTCTTGTCGGCCTCAGACTCGTCAGTCACATCTTCAACCTCGAAATCTTGCAAGCGACGCTGGTTGGTGTTGTTCGAAGACAGGCCTAGTTGCTCGCGACCTTGACTGTCGTAGTGGCGAGTCTCCTCGATTGTAGGACCACCCATGTTCTGCTGAGTGGTGCGAACAGTTGTGCCATTAGGGTTTGTGTGAGACTGGGTGGAGTGGGTTACGCCTGTGGTTCGGCCGTTGGAAGAGCTGCTGGACGAGCTGTAGGAGTACGAGGTCGAGGTGAAGGAGCTTGAGTGGCTGGACATGGCTGTGGTGTTGTTTTGTGTGGTAGCTTGAGCAGTGGATCAAGGTGGATGTATTCAAGGGTGCACAGGATGTCAAGAGGCTTTTGAAGTGTCAAGGGAAAGTGAGGACAGTCAAAACAAGAAGAAGCAAACGCAGCAAACCGGAGTTGAGCCCCGCTTGCGTCAGCCAAGGCTACGAAGATCTAATCGCGGATAGATCCGCCTTAGACCGTGCTCGAGACTGGCGCATCCTCGAATCGAAGCCTACCAGATCATACAGCGACAGTACAGCCCAAGATGGGGCGTTTCCATCCAGTCTACATCCGACGCTCGGATGGCATGCTGGAGACAGCCACAAAGACGGGTGCCAGAATCGTCAAAGAGGCCAACAAGCCCACGCCTAAGCAGCTGGACGACAAACCTAAACCAGATGGAGTCAAGGATTACTATCGCGAAGTCGCCATCGACGAGTCCAAGCACATGGACTGGAGAAGAAAGCTTGCTGCAATGCTTGCTCGCGACCTCAATCTCGACATGGGTGTGTTTGCCCATTGCGACACAAACTCTCGACAGCGCTGATAACTTTGGCAGAGAAANGGTTACATCCTAGCCCACTTTCCCGAGAACTACCGACTTTTCGAACACGTCAAGACAGCAAAGAAGGAAGAAGGAGCACCCAAGACAAAGACGCATGCTGGAGGTGGTAACGAGCGTCAAGATGCCTACCTGTACGGCCACCCTCTCGGGCGCAAGAAGCGCTTCAGAAGTCCCGGTGATTTCTACCCACATCTGCTCTGGCTGGCCACCGACCCTGACGGCGACTCGGATAATTGCGCTTGCAAGATCTGCTGTCCTGAGGAGCTCGACGCTTCCATGAAAGAGAAGGACACAAACACGAACCCGCTTCTCGCTCGTCGGCCCTCTAACCAGACNCAAACCTTCCAATACGCCCACCCCGCTACTCAGTCTTCGACTCCCGCCGTCGTTACCGCTCGTAACGATGCTACGCTGACTTCACGCACTCCACAACCCGTGGCAGCTACTGCCCATGCCCTCGCTGCCGCACAAGCTGCTTCACGGACCCCACTCAAACCCGAGGACTATGACATTGATCGCCAATATGGCGTCTTCCTGTTTCGCCAAGGCGAGATGGTCTGGTTTGACCGTCAAGGCGCATGGGGTCTGGGTGTCATCGTCGAGAGGACCAAGGTCGGCAACAATTCCAACTACAGGGTGCAGCCTCTCTCCTTCCCCGATCATCCAACGCAATCAGTCACAATCACAAGAGACCGCGACCTTCGTCCATGGCTGGCATGGTCGGTTCCTCCATACACCCACCAAGCTCTGAACCAAGTGACGCATCCACTGCACTATAGCACTTTCGATTTTGCAGCCTTGGCTCAAGGAAAGTACGGCCCGGGCACTACTGAGATCGATGCTAGTATCATGGCTGCAAAGGCTATCGACGCCACATATACTCCCTTCTGTCCTTCATCACGCTCTGAAACTCAATCATACACAGAGATTCGCTGGGATGCCATCTACCTAGGAGCTGAGAAGATCTGGGTCAACGAGCCTGTTCGCTTGGCTGCTCCTGCAGGACAAGAAGCGCCTCGCGTCCTCATCGTCAGAGCCATTGTCGAACGTTCTCAAAAGTCTTCACAGCAAGCTTATTCCTCGGTCTCCTTCATAGGAGATGTCTACGTCATGTTGCCAGCACCAATGGAACCCATCACCATGAGCCGCGCTCCCAACGGCATAGTCTCTGGTTCTGATACGACTAATGTCCCACTGCGTTTGCTGGAAGACATACGTCGTCGCAACATTGCCACTATCCAAGCAAAGGGCAAGGCTTACCAGTGGAAGCTCCTCGAACGGAACAAAGTCGTGGACCTGAAGGAAGTCAAAGGCAGATGGTATGAGTCTACCTTATTCCTTCCGATTCTCCTACCGCGCCAAGCAGAGGAATACGAAGAACGTGTCAGAGAAGGCGTGATCCCTGAAGTTTTGGTTCTGATGAATGGTCACGGCGACTGCAACAAAGATCCTAATGACCACAGACGACTGCTTCCAGACGTACGGGCGGCCACACGCGAACAGGCGTGGGGCAAAGCCGTACCAGCTCGCACTATCCTTCAAGATAGCTCAAATCGACATGTTGCGACACAGCCGCCTGGTCCAGCACAGCAGCAGCAACAATCACGCGTTGTCAGTGGTGGTGGTGGTGTAGCACCCGGCTACCAGATTCCTAACGGACATCAGAATCACGCGAGTGTTGCAGCTGCGAGTAATAATGCATCGACATCTGCTTCAGCCGCACCTTCGGCTCAGCAGATATCAGACAACCCAGCAACCGGTTTCGAAGAGTTCATGGACTTGGACGGTCTTGGTGGCGCCGACATGATGGGTGGCTTTGACCAATCTTATGTTTGAGCTTTGTATCCTCTTCTCCTCATTCGTTCCGGAAGTGTCCTCGATCGTACTTTTGATCGAAACGTGGCGTTTTTGGTCTTCTTTGCTGTGGAGGGTTCTCCGAACAGGCGCATGGCATCTTTAATTCGCGATGGTGTTGAGCATGTTTTGTCTGCTTGGGGCGTTTTCTTCTTTCCCGATACTGTTTTCGCATAATTGCATCAGCATCATAGCGGTGTAGGTAGTTTGTTGACATTGTAATTTCTAGCTGCTAGTATCTGCATATTCTCTTTTCGCCATTACACCAAACGCGCCTGCCTCTCTTCGCTTGCGAGCAACACGGCCAGATGTAACAATACGTAGGTATGTTGTATGCGGTCATTTCAAACGATAAACGATATACGAGACCCAGACCCAGACCCTGGTTTTCTGTTTTCTCTCCTATAAGCACATGCATGAGGCTATCGAATGATGGCGTACTCAAGAGAATCAGGGCAAAGGGGGGCTGGGCGAGGGTGCTATACGGTACACGGATACGGATACTTGCAGTCTCCGTGTCAAGGACCAGCATCGGAAGAAACAGGCATCCGAAGCAGCGAAAGCCCTAAGTCTCTTTCTCCGCCTGCCTGCTCTAGTTGGAGATCGCGCACTCTCGTTTGACACGAACAATCACGAGTTGCACAGAAAAGCAGAGGCTTGCATAACTTTCTGTCTGCTTACGATGCCGGAACGTCTCCCTGACAGACCGAGGCTGATATGTTGTCTCTGCTTGTATATTGTAGCTATTTTCATTGCGATCGCCATAATAGATGGCGCATGTTTCTATATTACCACCCTTTTTCTCTCTCTACGTCCACGGTCCATTCCCAAAAACCGCATGTACCACTTTTAGACGCTCGATCCACGAGTTGCGGGAGTGGGGACAAAACGGTTGTGCAGGGCAAGCTTTCCCATTCGCCGGTCGGCAAGCAAGCGAGGGAAAAAGTCAAAAAGTAGTCGGAGCGAGAACGGGATAGCCCTGGTCCTCACATTGTTCGATGTGCACTTTTGGTGTTTGAAGTGGGCTTTTGGTTCTTTTGCATGTCTGTTCTTCCCATGGGTTGGGAAACTCGGGCAAGGGTGCGGCGCCGTCCGTTTCGTGGGGTGGATGAGCAGGGTTTGTGGGAAGGATTAACCGCTTCCGAGGTAGATAGACGGCCACCGGCCACGGCGATGGTGTTCCTCCATCATGCTGATTTGCTGCAGTAAGGTATCACCAGAACTCCTTCAGCCAACGCATAGCCAAAGCTTGGCCTGCACGCGTTGGAGCGGCATGAATGGCATGAGTGTGGTGAGAGAGTGAGAAAGAAGAAAGTGGTCTAGACAAGGAAAGCCATGATGGTCCTCGGATCCATTTCTGACTCGCTCAGCGCGGCTCCATGTCCATCCCCAACTTTCTTCATCCACAATCACCCAACTCTCTGGCACTCGGAGAACGTCCCTGGTGCGTGGGATTTTCTTGACTGACGCTTCACGCAAGCAGGCGATCAGGCAACTCGGGCAGGTTCGTAACTCTGTTCTCCCTTCCCGCTGCCAATCAGCCACAATATCCATCTGTCGTGCTTCTGGTTTCGTTTGCTTCAAACAGATCACATCATCACCCCTTTCCGTCTGTATAAGGAAGAGGCTCCACGCGGCTGTACACGCTATTCTCTTATCTACTGGTCATACCTTCTACGCGAGCAAAGGACGAACCAGCAGAAGAGAAAAGGCCGGCGTGCTGCGAGAAACAGCAAGCGAGCACAGCCTAGACCGCTTTTATTCTCCAAGCCTGGCCTGGTGATTTCGCGCCGTCGTCCAACCGCCTTGCTCCGCTTTTTTTTGCAATTCGGGGGGACCCAATCCAAACGAGTGACCTACTTTGCGTCCTGCGCTGATTGTCTCCTGTTTAGCGAAACAATCTTTCGTGTTCGTGGCCAGTTCTTTTCTCTTTCTCTCCAGTTTTTATACTACAGCAATGGCCGCCTTTTTCGCGAATTGAAATGTCTGGTCCTCTTGGCAACCTTTCTTGATCCCAATCTCACATTGGTCACACTTGCCCATCCAACCCGGACGTTTGTCTCTTGGTACCGTGCAGAGTACCTTGCTTACTGTCGTTGTTGGAAGCTTTTATAATCAATCGCTTCGAACCAGTATCCATCTGCTTGGGCTCCGACTGCTTGGGTACACGCTAGATTTGGAGGACCAACTACTGCCCTTGACTTTCTTAGGCTACCCTGTCTTTCGGATTTGTATCGCTGTCCTACCGGCTTGATCTGATTACTTTGCTTGGCTACCGCCACGATCTCACCGTCGCTGCGACAGATCTACTTGTGTCGCTACCGTTGCATCTTAACTGGACTCTACTGGGACTACCTCCACGAATAATAATCCACCAGCCAGCATGCCGTCGTCTCCACCTCCGAACTCTGCCTTTGAGCATGGCCGCCGAGGTCAAATTCGCAGATATCTCCAGAAATTTACCACCACAATCCGAAGAGGAAGTAAGGATTCCGACGCGGAAAATAACATTCCTCATTCCAGTGCCGAGACAAATGACACTCAGGAACATTCCCATGATGATACATTGTTCATAAACACAATCGATGCAGACCAGCTGTCACCAACACGTGAGGCTCCCGAGGAGCAATCTCGACCTACACCACCGGTGTCAACTGAAACATTCCATGTCGATCGTGCTTCTGTCTACCAGGAAAGGGCCCAGAAGTTGCGTGACAGGTATGGGATGAATATTGCTGGTAGCGATCGCTCTACTTTTCCTGCCACTGCTCGCCGTGTTCAGAAGTCTGCAAGGATGCGTGTTCACCGTAGCTGTCATGAATGTGGTGTTGACTTTGGCCATGGTGTCAACTGTCGAGCTTGTCATCACAGGCTGTGTGGAGATTGTCCCCGTACCCCAGGAAGGNNGGGGATCAAAGAAGCCATGGCTCAAGCGAGGGAGTTCCCTTTCCACGTTGTCGCTGAAGAGTCGTCGACGAGTCCAGACCTTCCCATGACAGAAGCACCTGCCGTTGTCGCGAATAGTCTTGACATCCCCAATACCATGACATCTACCAGCAAACAAGTCTCAAAACCTTCGACATCTATGGAACCTATCCTAGCCGATGACAGCTGTCTACCACCATTGGAAGTCGATGATGATATTCCTGAACGTTCTCCAATTCCTATCGCATACACCTCCCGTCATGGCAAAGGCAAAGAAGACATTTCTATGTCACCTCGTTCATCTCGCCATGGTAAGACTTCGCCGCTCGCACAAGAAGGTAGTTGTCTAACCGCATCACCAGTGCCCTACCCCATATCCACCATCAGGGATCCGATCTTGAGGGCTCCCTCAGGCGTGCAGCGCGTGTACCGCAAACCTCGTCAACGGGTTCGCTACACATGTCACGAATGTTCTACACCCTTCCAGAGCCATAACAGAATATGCGGCAAATGTGCTCACGCGCGCTGTTATGAGTGCCGCGATCGACCATCTCACAAGTCGCACAGATCACGACCGGATCCAAGACTGGTTGAAGCTGTCGACGAACGTCTTGCCCATGTTCGGAAGTAGTGTCTCTTCTTTCCTCCTCTCGACATCGTCACCCTGCGATGCATAGCGGCGGGGCCGTTAGACGGACGAATTTAGTGAAAGACTATGTCTTGTTTTTCCTTCTGTCGCATTGCGTGTAAAGCAGGCATGCAAGCACTCTCTTTGTATGTGGTTCCTCGTCTGTTAGAATAATACTGGAGTGGTGTTCTTGTCGGTCGCATTCTTTTGTCTAGCTAGAAAAGCATGGAGGATACCCCTTGTCTTATGTTAGGAAATGGAGATTGTATTCTTTTGTTTGATCTGTTATTGTTCTCCTTGTGCTAAAGACTGTCATATTCTTAACTCGGCCACGGGGAGTATGAAGTTCCGGCTGAAGGTGGTTGTCTGTCACTTGAGGCAGTCACTCGGCGCACTTTCAATTTTCCGCTCACTCGTGTTCTCACATCAATCGCGTCACCTCAACATCCACACTTCTTTTTTCAATTCGTTAATAACTACATCTCCAAGCGGTGATCTCCATCAAGCTCCGGCATGTTTTCCCAGTCAAATGGTACAGTCCCAGGAGGAGGCGCGCGTAGTGGTCCCCCTCCTCCACCTCCTCCTGGACCACCATCCAGACTCACTGGTGCGAACGCTGTGCCAACCAGCAGCTTCAACTTTGGACCTCCACCAACAACCAGCCCCAGTACCAACATATTCGCAGCGTGGGCCAGTTCTGGCGCTTCCAATGCGTCGGTCGCTACCGGAACAAAGACTGCACCAACTCAACCCAAGACCGCTGCTACAGTCACTAGAGCAGTCTCGACACTCAAGGGACAGCCTTCTCGGTAATTGCCACCTTGACACTCAATAATACATCTACTGACTATGCTCAAGNNCAAACACTTCAAGCAAACCGTCACGGTTCTCGTCGGTATCTTCAAGCAGCCCTTCATCTTGCACAAAGGACTCCTTTGCTTCTATTCGGACTTCTTCCGCGCCGCTCTCGAGGGATCTTTCAAGGAAGCCAACGAAGGCAAGGTCGAGCTCCCTGACGTGCAAGTCGAAATCTTCGAGGCTTTCCAGGTCTGGCTCTACTCGCGCTCCTTGCGCAACATTGAGGACGATCAAAGTTTACCTGGTGGTTCGAAGCTTCCTTCATTTGGCGACCTAGCCCGTCTCTGGGTCTTTGGCGACAAGTACCAGATCCCGCTTCTCCAAAACTGTGCTATTGACGCCCTGATGGACAAGCACAAAGAGGAGCGTAGATTCTCTACTGATGTTGTGGCAATCGCTTACAGCGAGACCATGGTTAACTCTCCCCTTCGCAGACTCGCGATAGAGATTCAAGTCCACAAGATGGTTCATAAAGTGGCAGAAAATTCCATCTTTAGGGACTCCAATCTGGCCTATTGGACCAAGGAGGCCCTTGTTGACTTTGCTCGCGGCGTCAGTGATGCCTGGGAGCGCAACTTGCCCAAGTTCGTTCTGCCATCCAGAGAGAAGTGTCACTATCACGTTCACGCTACTGGCGAGTCTTGCTGAACATATCGTGAGTACTGATCATCCTTCAAACCCGGCATGCATATTCACATCCACAGACACTCCTGCAGAACAGCCACGCATGCATCCATGATTACAGAGAAGAATGAAACGAGCTGAAGAATTGATGGATACCAGAGCAACAAGTCTATGTGCGCAGATAAAAGAAAGCGAATAGCAATGAAATCTGGTCAGCACACACTATCGACCAGGAGGGTCTGTACTTGAGGGGAGAAGAATACGGCATCGCTTTTTCGTCATTACCTGCGTGCTTTATGAAAAGTTATCTTCTGTTTCTTTGTCATGATGCAAGTTTTGTCATCCACCGACGCTCATGTCACGAGTTGCTGAATGAAGGCAACCGCAGTATCGTGCTTTCTACTTTATGTTTTTAGTTGCATGTGAAACCAACCTGGATTGATACTTCCCTCTTTTCCACTTCCTCGTCGCAACAATCTCTTCGAGATCCCTCATCACAACAACCTCTCCTTTTCATCGTCCATCAACCTCGTCTGCTGTCGACGGCAGCATCACGATTCACTGGATTGATGCCATCTTCTTCTTCTGATTCTGTACCTCTATAAAAGCACTTCCTCATACTATCGTAGCTGAGAGATTGAATTTCCCGACATTCACTCGCCGAACCCACGAGTGACTCACAACACTGCCAACACATTTACTTTCGCGCGATCGTGTCTCGAAACTTACATCTCCCGACTCTCATCTCCATCACGACATTATCGTTCACCTGTTACATATCACGACGCCGCTTCCGTTGTTGCCTTTGAGATACTTCCCATCCTAACCTCGACTCGATCTATACCAGCATCATAAGTCGATTTACGCCACTGAAACATTTCGCAACACTATCATGTCGACGTCCCAGTCAAAACCGGCGTCTGCTTCAACGAAACATGCAGCAGGTTCCTCACGTTCAAACATGAAAGCCATGTCTGTTGAAGCCAAGACACCCCCAAGTAAGCTCATATCATTCTTCCAGACACATACCACATAACTAATTTACCCANNTAGCAACTGCTTCCGTGGTATCGTGACCGTTGAAGTTGGCCCTCAGAAACAAGCCTTCTCAATACACAAAGACCTCCTCTGCTTTTACTCCGACTACTTCCGTGGCGCCTTCGACGGTTCCTTCAAAGAAGCAGTTGATGGCAAGATATGGCTAGAGAAAGAAGATCCTGCCATCTTCGACATCTTCAACGCATTTTTGTACAACCGCAAACTCCAGAATGCAAAGGGTCTTGTTGGACCTAGTCTGAGCTTCAGGACTCTTATCGACTTATGGATCTTTGGGGATCAGTTTGTTGTCCCCTTACTCCAGAACCTTGCTGTAGACAGCTTGAAACAGAAGTCCGATGCAGAAATGATCATACCATGGAGAACGGAGATGCGTCATGTCTACGACAACACTCTACATGGCGCTCCACTACGTAGGATCATGATAGACATGACAGCCTATGAAACTCGCCCGGGTACCAAGTCGCGTGAAGATTATTTGGAAGCATGGCCTGTGGAAGCTCTGGTCGATCTTGCTTTCACGTTGTCACTCAAAACTGCGGGAGAGGTTAAGCACTTGGAATTGCCGGAGTACAAGAAAGCCAAGTGCTACTACCACATCCACAGCGAAGGAGAGCAATGCTAGTTCGGTTTATTAGATGACCGCTGAAGGGAGACGCGGATGACATGGTTACTCATAGGCAAGCACAGTCTCGCGCATTTCACTTTGCGCTGCATGTGAGACTCAAATTCACTTAGTTGTACTTCCCTTTCGCCTTCCAATATCTCATTACAACAACCTCACCTCTTTCATCCTCCTGTCATCGCCATCTATTCACTTCAGATATCATCGCTTAACCACAGATGGATGCTGACTTCTTCCCCTGGTCTGTCAATCTTTCTCAAGCGAACTCTGATAACAAGTTCTAGAATAGGGGTGCTTACGGTAAATGGACGGCAAAAATCAACCACGCGCTTACCACATGAAGCCGCGAGATGCCATCATACCTCGTGTGGGAGAGTCCGCCTACGGTAGCTTCCATTGTCAGTTACTGTACGTGGATAGGAAGTGACGGTCATATACTTATTCACATGTCACTTACCTCTAGCAGCCCTTTTCTAGAATCTAGATGAGACATTGACTTTTCCCTCATTCACTCACAGACTCAGATCTGACTCACAACACTGGCAGCGCTTTCACACCACCTTGAATCGTGCCTTCCGCTTTTCCTCTTCTTCATTGCATCAACAGATCACTCTCGCCGCACAGCTTTTCGCTTTCGTCGTCGATATATTACTCCGCACCACCTCGTCTCGATTCACAATAGTATCACAAGCAAGTCGCTCTTGCGCCACTGAGATACCTGCAACACTACCATCATGCCGTCTCTGGTCGAATCCATTGCGAGCTCAGTCAACGCTACCACAACACAATCTACCTCAACTCCTATCGCAACTACTAAAGCCGTATCCATTCCATCAAAGGTTCCTCCACGGTACGTTCTCATCCTGTCATCTGCTTCCTGACCCGCATCACTCATTGTTACACAGAAGCTGCTTCCAGAGCATTGTCACGGTTGAAATCGGCACTGGAGAGACAGCTAAAGTTTTCCACATTCACAAGGATCTTCTTATCTTCTACTCCGATTACTTTCGTGGTGCTTTCAATGGCTCTTTCATCGAGGCTACTACTGGCAAGATCTCCCTTGCAGATGAACGTGTTGATGTGTTCGACGTTGTCCATCAGTTTATCTATACGCGTCAGCTCTCGGATGAAGCAGACGCTAGTATCGACTGGAAGCTTCTCGTCAGAGTCTGGATCTTCGGCGATAAACACCTAATGCCATGCTTGCAGAACGTAGCCGTGGACATGCTTATGCGAACACACGAGGAACTCAACGGCATACCCTGCAGGCTGCTGAAGATGATCTACAAGAACACCGTCTCTAACTCGCCTCTACGCAAGCTTATGGTGGATCTAACAGCTTACAAAGTTCTGAACATGGACGAATTCATGCGAGAGAACGATGAGGAAAGGTTCTGGCCGTATGAAGCTCTCACCGATCTGGTTAAAACAATGGGAGCTAAGACAAAGGAGGACATCGGTGTGCGCAGGCTGCCAGAAGCAAAAAGACACAAGTGCTACTACCATATCCACGCAGAAGGCGAGATGTGCTTGTAAGAGCGGTTCGATATGTCTCAGCAAAACGTGGCGCTGAGAAATCAAGGATGGAGTTTCGTAAGAATTGAACAATGCAAACGTGGTTCTCATAATCTGCCAAAAGCACATAAATGCATCCTCTGGTATCTCCATGTACTGAAGACTGTCATAGCATAGCTGCAGAAATGCACAATACTATCGCAAACTAATGTTGTCTCCACAGAGAAACTCTAATAAAGGCTCTCCTCGTGGCCAGACTCATGTTCAGAAAGCAACTGTGTATTTCAACAGTGTATGATAACCCCTGTAGTCGCGATGGAGAAGAGGTCAACCATCAGATGAGACTCTTTGGCACATAAAAGGGGGGGAGTAGAGTGTAGACAACACATAGGCGAGGGAGTAATGTTCGGATTGACTTGGTGCAAAGTTTGAGGGTGCATGGGTCCTAAGGCCGGATGGGAAAAAACGTATCGATGATTGCACGGTGAAATGGAGCGGAGATTGGTCAGCTTTACGGCGAGAGCTATTGTGCAGCCATACCTTGGGATGAGACTTCTCCTACAATCTGCAGGATGTGATTGATGGCAGGAGAACCAGAGTCAGCCAGATGTATATTCCTATATGTACACGCTTGAAGGAAATTGGTGATCACAGATCAAGTGTCCTTGTCAGACTCGCCTTCAACATCGTCTTCGCCTTCCTTGGTGACGCGCTTTCCTTGGACACCCTTCTCGACTTCAGGGACTAGGCTGTCCATATACTCCTTGTTTCTACCGACCAGCGTGACAGTGTTCCTGGCCTTGCCCCATCTCGGGTAACTNNGCAATTTTGATCAGCATCTCTCCATCCTACTCAAGTCGTGTCGATGCGTAGCTTACCTGCCAACCTTGATACCCTCAGGCTCAACCTTCTTAGCCAACTCCGTCAAGTAAGAAGCAACACCACTCTCAGGCAGCGGCGTCGAAATAATAATTCGATAAACACCTTTGCCTTCAGGATCAGTCAATCTAGGCAGCAGAGTTGGCTTCAAGCCTGTGAGCATGCGCTCAAACAGTCTCGGTACACCAGGCAAGATATGAATGTTTCTGTTGACCACAGCAACAGGGACCCAGAGGTCTGGAGCGGTGAAGATGACTTGTTCCTCACTAGACAGTTTCTCATCATGCGGCAAGATAACCATACGCTTCTTGGCCTCAAGTGCGGGCGACGGCGTGTTCCAGTCAAAGTTAGGCTGGTTAGGGTGAGGTCTGCTGAGACGCTTCATACGTGAGAACGTCTCGTCGTGAAGGACCAAAGGCAAATCAAAAGCATTGGCAATACTTTGGTAAGTGATGTCGTCGTGAGTGGGACCGATACCGCCGGAGGTGACGACAAAGTCGTAGTTGGAGGACATGCGGCGGACTGCTTCTACGATTTCTGATTCTTCGTCGCCGATGACTTCGATGCGTTTGAGGTTTATGCCTAGGCTGAAGCAAAATTTGGCGAGGTAGGCGCTGTTGGTGTCGACGGTCTGGGATAATGTAAGCCGCTGTTTGCTTCTAATTCCAATTTATATCCATCGTGCTCATAACTCTTGATATCAACGACCATGTTTATGGTATATCCACAACCATATCATCTAAGTGGCATTGATGTTTCTTGAAAGAACGGACAGAACGGTGAAGTGAGAAAAGACTTGTTGACCAACCTTTCCACCCAGAACCTCATCACCAATGATCAAACACGCTGCCGTGTTGATAGTGCGCTTGTCGTTTGTGTTCGCCATGACTGCAGGACTGCTGGTAAGTCTGGTAGTTGCAGCTGCTGCCGAACGGTGCAAGTAGTTTGGTAAAGGACGACTGAGATGACGTGCCACCTGATTGATGCGGGAGAACATGTGAGAGCCTTTTAACAAGACTTTCAAGCAAAAAGTGAATAATGAAAGAACGCAAAGCACGCGTCTGGTTGTGTTTGAGGAAGGTGCAGTCAAGATGTCATTGTTCGATTGCGGGGCAGCGATTGCCGGCGACGATCGGGCGGCGGGCGCTGTTTGAGACTTGGCTTGTGGTATGACCCTGCCCTTGTTTTCCGGACAACTATTTCTCCGATATGTGCTAGCTTTAGACTCATAAAGAATTATCTAGGCATCTCTTTGAAATCCCTGTCAGTAGCTACAACAACTTTCTAGTCCTTATGGTGTCGTGGCTTGCAATTGAAATCACAGATAGCAGCGTGCCTTCTTATGAGATAGAGAAGTATGGACCATAGCAGACTTAACTTTCTTCGATCAGGTCACTACTTTTTAATGGAGGAAAATGCTATAGGTGCACAATTGAGTAGCTCTTTTCAACTTGAAACTCAAACGAAGAATGCATGTGTTCGAACCCTCGTGGTCTTGAGCAACGTTATCGGGCATCGCAACAAACAAGACCGACGTCAATCGACTGCGGGGCATCTCAAACTCCCAAGCTGTCGAGGAGTGCCAGCCCACCTAATCACATTTCAATCCACGACCAACATACTTAGTCCAAGATGGTATACATCTCAGTACGAACCAGACGATAGGTACTCAGAGCTAACCGCCGTTCTTCAGGCATCCGAAGCGCGTCTCTATACCTTCTCGCCCGAAACCAAGACCGCATTGCGCAAGTTCCGTCTAGGAACCTCGAGGGCAAAGGACCCGCAAGCCGTAATNCTGTAAGCAGCAAACACCGTAGAAGCCCGAACGGATACGCCTCTACACACCCCTCAAAAGAGACACAGAAAGAGCTCGGGAAACAGAGAAGACTACACCACAAGAGGAGAGCCCAGCAATACAGAGGAGACAAGGGTTACTCGATACGAGAGCGCAGAATGGCTGAAACCACTTTCTCAAGGAACAGACCAAATCGACAAAAAGACACTAGAAATCTCAAAGGCAGACGATGAAGTCTACACCGATCTGAGCTTACTGGGCGAGGAACTGCCCGACCACTCGCCCAGGTTCATCTTGCTCAGTTACCCCTTGACCATGGTACGCCGTCTTTTCTCCTTCTCTACTTTCTATCAACCACAACTATGGAACGTTGTGCTGACTCAAGGGCCCTTCTCACAGGCTTCTGGACGTCTATCTGTCCCCTACGTCATGCTATACTACCTGCCCGTCACCTGCAACAGCGAGCTCAAAATGGTCTACGCAGGAGCAAAGGAACTGATGCGCAACCAAGCAGAAGTCGGTCGCATCATCGAGATCGACAGCGCCGAAGAGCTAGAAGAGATTGAGGATCAGCTCAGAGGAGAGGAGTAGATCAAGTCATGGTGTCTGACACGACAATCCGCCGTGCTGCATGTCCGCGGCGAGACGTGCCTGCAAGACGACGATCACATACCTTGATGGAGTAATAACGTTGGCTGATCGCCTAAACTCTACATTCTCCACATGTACCGGACTATGTTTGAACCAGAATAAAAGAACGCAGAAAATGATTGGTATAAAGACATTTGAGATTACATCTAAAAGTGCCGGTTGATCGCCTATTGGACGCCCATCTTTTATCCTCCGGTGCGAATACATTTGTCAACTGCAGAAACTCATGCTATTAGACGAGCAGAAAACACAACACCTGCGTAGTGCAACAGAGATAAGCCACGAAGCAAAAGCACAACAGATAATGGTGCCAGTGAAACGTCTGTTCCTACTGGAACCCGTCCAACCACAGAGTGCTTTCCAGAAAGCCATCGAAAATGTAGAGACACTGAAAACTGATTCGAAAAAAGCAGACGGCGTGCTGTCGTCCATTCATTTGTTGTTGTGATCTTTTTTTGTCCTCCACCTTTGCTGTCATCATCGTTGCCGCCTCTTGTAGACCCTTTTCGCGGTCTCGTCCCTTTTGACGAGCCAAAGGATACGTGCTGGAAAGAGCACTGACTTCTGTCGCCGCTCTGAGGTTGATAAATTGGTATAAAAGAAAAGATAGAAAGAAAAGAGACATGGGGGAGAGTGCTGGGGGAATCGAACGAGTAAGCAGAAAAAAGAAAAGAAAAGAGACAACCCAAGGCTCTAAAGTCAGATCAAGAAGGGAAGATTAGAAGCTCCAGGCACAAAAGAGGTATAGCGAAGGGCGGACGTGCAGGCGGGCGTGGTGTGCATGTGCGTTGGTGTTACATGACGGTGCACTTGCAGCAGCCACCATCTGAGTCGCCCTCGTCCATGTTCATCTTCTCGGCAGGACCGCCATTTGCTCTTGCGCCTGGTGCGCCGCCAGTAATGTCGCGGTTGTATTTGCGGATTTCGCGGACGATGTCGTAGAAAGCATTCTCAACATTGATGCGGGATTTGGCCGATGTCTCGATGAACTTGCACCCGAAGCTGCGAGCGAGTTCCTTGCCCTCNNTGTTGGGGGTCAGTCAAACGGCCAGAACAAACGAACACAAGAGGAGAGGGGTAGACGCACCTTCGACCGACACTTCTCTCTCTCCGTCCAGATCGCACTTGTTTCCGACGACGATCATGGGGAAATAGTCCTTGTCCTTGACGCGCAATATTTGTTGTTGGAAAGTCTTGATCTCTTCGAAGGATTGTTGCGAGGTGATGGAGTAGACCAGTAGGAAGCCTTCGCCGGTGCGCATGTACTGTTCTCTCATTGCCGAGTATTCCTCTTGTCCTGCTGTATCGAGTACATCGAGAAGGGCGACCTCATCGTCAATGACGCACTGCTTGCGGTATGAATCNNTGTGTGGAGAAGGTGTGGTCAGAACAGAGAGGGTGAGCGCGGATAGCGGCGATAGGGACGAACCTTCGATTGTCGGGTCGTATTCATCGACGAAGTGACTTTGGATGAGTTGAATGGTCAAACACGACTTTCCGACACCACCACCACCGACTACTACGAGCTTGTACTCGCGAAGGAACTGNNGCGACGAGAGTGAGCACAGGCGGTCGCGACGACAAGACAGCGAGGCGGCGACAAACCTTTGAAGCCATTGCGGCGATAGAAGAGAGAATGCGGGAAGGCGAAATGCGACTGAAGGTGAGCGACGAGTGACGATTGAATGAGGTTGTTCGTCGAGTGGAAGAGAGTGGTGATGTTTCGACGTCGGCTGCGGAGAAGGCTGGCCTGGCTGGTCTGGCTGGATTGGGTCGTGAGGCTAGAGATCTAGGACGGCTGCTTCTACAGGGCAAGGGTGGATGAGGGTAGAGGGAAAACGGGCAGCGGCAGGCTTCAACGGTCGATGCACGTAAAGGTGAATGCCGACTTGCAGGAAGGCAAAGGTTGCGTGGATGGTGGCTACTGAGAGTCTTTGGGAAGGGACAGGGCGGCGGCCAAGACAAAGACGAGCAGGAGGCAGCGTCAAGCACGGTCGAGGTGAACAAGCAGCAGGGTTAAGAGATAGACGAGAGGGGGAGTCAACGGGGCTGAAGCCGCAATTCGGATTGAGCGCGGACGGGCCTTTGACGACGATGGACGGTGCACAGTTCACTTGCAATCAATGGTGCGCTTGCAATCGAGTCAAGTCCAAGGTCAATAAAAACCTGGAGAAGGCGAGAGATTCTTCTCCCTTTGCCTCTCCATGCCGCCTGTGATTGGCTGCCACCGCCAGAATGCCCATCGTTATTTGATTGTTGTCAACAACCAACTAGCCCGCCCTCTCCTGACCATCTCTTGACCCGACAGAACAATACATGTTAATCAATCCCTTCGCTTTTCACGCACCTCACTCGCTCGATCTTCTCTGATATCTCGGCTGCCGTTTTTCGACATTTCGTCACAAGGCAGCCTGAGTCCCTTGTATCTTCAATCGAGCAAACAGGTCACACTTTAGGCCTGCTCTCCGCCGGCGGGACAACCGACCACCCCAACTGCCATGCCTCTAGAATCCGCCCTAGCCAAAAACACCCTTCGCCAATCTCTTGTCCGCTTTCCCTTTGGACCTCACGCAATTTCACCCTCTTTCTCTACTTGTACTGATCCATGTCACATCATGTCCGTGCTGCATTCATATATCGCTTGACCAAATAAAGAACATATTGCTGCAAATTCTTCTCGTCTTCTAGCTGTTTTGTATAGACACGTGTTACCCTATCGCCAGCTACTTTGCTTCGCCTAGAGATGCTGACATCATGCCTTGGGCCTTTCTCAGCTGGCGCAATACACTTGAAGACGCCAGCGTCACTGTCACTTTGCATTCCATCAAAAGAAATTTCCCTCTGCCGAGCTGTGACACTTTCTCCATGGCGCTTCCAGAAGCCAATAGTCGCGGCCACTCCCTTGTTACGTCCGTAACTCTGCCGGCGGGCGGCAGCGTAGACCTGCACATCCACGTGTGTGCTCGATACCACCTACTTCATATGTCTCTGGCGCATACAACGTGGTTGCTTCTGGAAGACATTTGGCTTCTCTGCTCCCTTAGCCGCTATGGACGGCTTGCACAACCCGAGAATGACTCCGTCGTACGAACGGTGTTTCGCAGGCTGATTCGTTGTTGGTTGCTGGCCGCAAGCTAGTCACAACTTCTTGTCAATCCGGATCACAATTCTCCACAAGTCGTTATATCCAATTTCACAAGAGCGCTGACCACTGCCTTCAGAAGGAAAAGTATGCGGTGAGTACTCGAGTAGTCTCGTGCTTGATGTAACCTAGTTGCCAATGGGTCACAATGTCGCATGTCACGAACCATTGGGAAATTTCGGCAAGTAGCTGACTAGTAGTATCGCATTGACGCACTTTGGGCCAACGTCCCGGATTATTGATTCAACACCTGAAAGCTTCTCGGTCCTGTATTCCGCGCATGTCATTGTGCATGTTGGTCAAGCTCAATTGGGATCTGCCTTCGACTTTGTATCTCAAGACCTCACAAAGATTTCTCGACAATCACTTCTGGCTCTGTCTTCTTGTCATCTGGCCTGATTGCGATACCATCTGACACCTGCGGCTCAACCGCCTGCACTACGCCGAGCTTGGTAGCTTCGTGAGGTGTGAAGGTCTGGTACACGTCCACCTCATCGTACTCGCCCAGTCCTGGGTATGGAAAGATGAGGTTGAGCAAATAAAAGACTGAACCGCTCACGAAGAAACCAACCAGGAACGCCATGTTGTACAGTTGCACTAAAGCTCGGGGAGGATTCGGCAAACCTCCCACAGTGACAACGAGTCCACCGATCGTAGGCGCCCATCCACAAATCCACGCTGGTATGGCACGCCAGTTAATGCCTCTGGTAAACCAATATGAAGTATCCCTGGTCCTGTAAAGATGGCTAAGCTGGATCCGTCCTTTGCGCAAAAGGTAGAAGTCTACTACCATGATCCCCATGATCGGTGACAGGAAGACCGAGAAAGAGCTAAGTACACTGACAAATGTAGCCGCTTTGTTGACAAGTTGCCACGGTTGGCAAATCCAGATAGCTACAAATGTCAGGATGGAGCCCCTACGAATGTCGAGATAGCGAGGGAAGAGGCCTGCGAGGTCGATGCCTCCTGCGACTGCGTTGCCACAGACGTTCTCGAACATGCCAGTCAGAGCAAAACCAGCAGCAAGAAAGAAGACACCTGCTCTGGCTTTCGAAGAACCCTCTCCACTGTCCATCATGCGCATAAGGAGGTCCGGAGGATTCCAATATACCTCGCCATAGATTTTCTGGCATGCAGCTGTCACCACGAGCCCGACCAGGCTGACGAGCACGCCAGTAATCCATGCGGAGAGAACAGTACCCACAACATAGTTCTTGGGCGATCGAGCGTATCGGGAAAAGTCCGAGCCGTTGGTGATACCAGCAGCAATGCCACCGATGATTTGATTGATGCCCTTCATCTCAAGCCAGTGAAGATTCCAGGACGAGGTTTCCGGAATGTTCTGTCCCGTTGTCCAAAGTGGGCCGACACCTTTCGCTACGGACAATGACCAGATCATCATACAGAGCATGCCAACGCCGCAGTATATGGATGTGACCAAGAATGGCAAACGAAATTTCTCAGGGCGGACGAACAGGAATGGAACCGAGAAGATCCAGANAAGAACGAAGCCTACAAACTGATAGGTCGTGGTAGGCATGGAAGATGGGAGTGTGTTATGCATTTTGGCAAAGGACGGCCAGATTGCCGTTATGCAGACAGCCACAAGCCTGCCTCCGTTCCAACCTATCGTTGCGTCAATTACCGTCCGGCTTGGGTCAGAAGCGGGTCACTTACACTGTATGGCACACCAGATGAAGTTCAAAAGGACTCTTTGCAGCAAGGGAATATAACTTCCACGAAGGCCCCAAGTGAATCGGTTCTGCACCGTGAAGCCGATATGCCAACGAAGTCCACACCAGGCAATGAGGGTCGAGAAGATGGTGACTAGCAGCTTTCCGACCACAATCACCATCATGCTCTGACCAGCCGAGAGACCATAAGCTGATTTTCAAGTTCAGCCAACTGCTACCCTGACAGCCGGATTTGACTTACACAAGAAAGTGTTCGGAGTCTGCCAATTTGAGATATTCAAAGAGTTGAGTGTCCAATATCCAAAGTAGTGAAACCAACCCCAAGTTCGCCTTGAGGGTGGAAGAGGGATAAGATCACGGTTTGACCATGAATCAACCTGCTCATGTTCATCCTCATCGCCATGAAGCTGGATCTTCTCTTTCAGTAGCCGCAATCGCACTGCTCCCATTGTAGATGATGAAGTATTACGAAATGGCGGAGAGAGTGTTACATCGTGACAGGCATGCCACGAAATATACAAACGTATGTATTGAGATTCAAATCATTGTATGTGCTGTAAGATGCAATCAATCCCATCGAGATAGGCCAACTTGCATGTGATATCAGCTCATGAGTCTGCCCGAAGGGCCTATCACCAAAAGCTGTGGGGTCAGTGGCAGAGTAACGTATCTGCGGACACGAGGAAAGTACGACTACGCTTTACACCCATAAACGCTCAATACTGCGACTGTCAAGGCAGCTGCGAACGATTGCCATCCGTTCTGCAGGAAGGACTGTTGGCCGCTCGCTGCTGCCAAGCGAAGGAAGATAGCCGCTATCGGCCAGTCCCCCGAGCAGTCATCTATGACCTCTATCGTCCAGCACAATCATCGATTCCAGAGCCTTTACTGACAATTGTACCAAATTTGGCATTGACCAAAAAAACCAAATATACAAGATGCACAGGGTTCTCAGGATTGGTGTTGATGTTGGCGGGTAAGTCGTATAGACAAACTACCCTGAACTTCGGCTAAGCGACCACTTCTCAGTNACCAACACCGATGGAGTCATTTTAGACCCTACCAAAGCTTCAGAGCCTGGCAAGGGTGTTGTTGCATGGTAAGCTGCAATACTGATATACAATCGCTGACTCTCATTGCTTACCTATACAGAAGGNCATAAAGCACCTACGACCACAAATCCGAGCTTGGGTATCAGCAATGCTCTGACTTCTATGTTCGCACAAGCCAAGATTAACCCAGCGGATGTCGCTTCTGTGACTATTGGCACTACAGTATGCTAATTCTTGAGTATTGGTAGAACTTCTGCTGACAAAGACCGANNGCACTTCGTTAATGCAGTGGTAGAGAGGGATGCTGCAAGACTCGCTCGAGTTGCTGTTGTCCGTCTCTGTGGACCATTCAGCAAACATGCCTTACCTTGCATAGACTGGCCGGACGACATGAAAGATTTGATTCTTGGTCACCATGCATTAGTCAAGGGAGGTCTCGAAGGTAGGCCAGATTCGACCAGACGAACCTTCTTGTCTAACAAATCTCANGTGGATGGCAACTTGATCGCCGAAATCAACCCCGAAGAGATCAGAGAACAATGTAACATCATCAAACAGAAAGGCATCACGAGCATCGTGGTCATCGGTGTCTTCAGTCCGATCGATTCGACCCATCATCAAGAAGAGAAAGCTGCCCAGATCATTAATGAAATGCTGCCCGGATGCAATGTCGTCCTCTCGAAGGAAGTCGCGAACCTTAGATTTTTGGAGCGTGAGAACGCTGCCATCTTGAATGCTTCAATCCTGCCTTTCGCAAAGAAAACGATCCGCTCTTTCCAGGAGCCTATCAAACGACTGGGTCTGACTTGCCCTGTATTCCTAAGTCAGAATGATGGAACAATCTTGAGTGGCGAGATGGCCTCACGGCTGCCCATCAGGACTTTCTCTAGTGGACCCACGAACAGTATGAGAGGTGCTGCGTATCTGGCTCAAGGCGAGAACAAGGAAGCCATGATGGTAGTCGATATTGGTGAGGGTTTTGCGTAACTTTGTGCCAAATGATACTTACGGAGAAACNNAGGTGGAACAACTACTGATGTTGGCTTACTGCTCGCTAATGGCTTTCCTAGGCAGGCTGCAGCGTACTCGGAGTTTGCTGGCGTTCGCATGAACTTCTCATATCCGGACGTTAAAAGTATCGGCCTTGGAGGCGGATCTATCGTGCGAGAGCATGATGCTGGAACCACGGTCGGCCCTGACAGTGTAGGTTACAAGATCCAGACAGAGGCTCTTGTGTTCGGTGGCAATGTTGCTACAACCACCGACTATACGGTCGCAGGAAACGGGAACATTACCATTGGTGATCGCAGCCAGGTGCAACACTTGTCGCCAAGTGGCATTTCTTCGTTCAAAGCCAAAGTAAAGGCAATGCTGGAAAAGGTCGTCGATACTATGAAGACATCGCCAGAAGATCTGCCTGTGTTATTAGTTGGTGGCGGAGCTGTTATAGCTCCTGACGAGCTGATTGGCACAAGTCGTGTTATCAAGCCAGAGTACTCTGGAGTAGCCAACGCAATTGGTGCCGCGATAGCAAGAGTCAGCGCTGTGATCGATACAGTCAAGTCCACTGAATCAAGAAGTGTCGCCGACCTGGTTGCACAGATCTCGAAAGAGGCCATGCAGAAAGCTGTCGAGTCTGGAGCAGCACAAGACTCTGTCAAGATTGTCGAGGTGGAAACACTACCGTTACCAGTGAGTACTACCCAAGGCTGAGTGAAATCAAGGATTGGATTGACAAGATAATACAGNTACATTTCAAACCAGAGCAGATTCATCATCAGAGCAGCGGGAGAGTTTGATTACAACCGCGCTGATGAGATGAAAGCAGCCACAGAGGAACAACTCGCAGATGAGGACGACGTGCACGCTTACGAAAAGAACGGTAACAGTTCACAACAACGTCGCAATGTAACTGAGAACCATGTTACAATCGAGCCTGTCAAAACAGAAATGTACAGACCCAAAGTCGAAGACCGTGTCTGGTATGTCTCCGAAACAGACCTTGATTGGATGTCGACTGGTTGTTATATTCTGGGTACTGGTGGAGGCGGTAGCCCTTACTCGCATATGCTTCGTATGAGAAGCATCTTACGAGACGGAGGAATCATTCGGGTGATCAACCCGCACGATCTCAAAGACGATGACCAAGTTGGCTGCGGTGGTGGCGCAGGCTCGCCCACAGTTGGTATTGAGAAACTCCCTGGCGACGAGTGAGTTTACAAGCTGTTGATCATTGATGGGCCCTACTGACTGTTGGAAGGGATGATGGACGCTCAACGTGGTCTGTATGAGATGTGCGACAGGAAAGCCACTGCAATGATCGCCCTTGAGATCGGCGGTGGCAATGGACTGCAAGGCATGATTTTGGGAGCAAGCTCTAACATGAATCTACCAACCGTTGGTGAGTCGATCTCATGGTACTTTGTTGTCTTTATTGACAAGAGCGCAGATGGCGATTGGATGGGAAGGGCATATCCGACGAAATGGCAGACAACGCCGGTTGTGTTCAACGAACGCCCATGCGTCTTCTGTCCTATTGCCACAGCAGATGGTAATGGTAACTTGCTGTATATGCCCACTGCTGTATCTGATCTAGCTGTGGAGCGCATCATCAGAGCCGCTCTCTCTCAAATGGGTAAGTTTGACCCAGTCTTCAATCGGCCTACTTTAGGCTCGTACTGACGTTGTGGAGGCTCCCATGTTGGTTGCGCAGAAGGTCCAGTCACAGGAGCAGAAGCCAAACGCTGGGCTGTAGAACACACGATTTCGCTAGCCTGGCGTATCGGACGAGCAGTTGCAACAGCCCGCCAAAATAATCGAATCGACACGGTTGCCGAAAGCATCATCGACGAGGTCGGTGGCCCCGAAGCTGCAAAAGTCATCTTCAAGGGCAAGATTATTGGAGTAGACCGAACGTTGCGCAACGGCCACGTCTACGGCGAAGTCATCATCGAAGCCGCTGAGATTGCATCCACACCCCTGACGACTGCCTTCGAAGGTCGCATCAAGATCCCTTTCAAGAATGAGAATATTGCTGCATTCAAGGTCGAGGATGATGGTACCGAAGAAGTGCTAGCTGTAGTGCCTGATCTGATCTCCGTGATCGATGCCCAGTCTGGCGAAGCTATTGGTACGCCTGAGTATCGTTATGGCTTGTTGGTCACGGTTATTGGTATTACTGCTAGCGACAAGTGGACCTCGACTCCACGTGGCATTGAGATTGGAGGACCTGCGGCATTCGGACTGACGGATATCGAGTACAAACCACTTGGGAAGTTCGTCAAGCCTGTGAGTGTTATTGACGAGTACTCGAATTGATCTGAAGTCGAAGGAGCCATCGTTCGGGGCAAGAAGTCTTATTATGGTGATTTCATCCAAGACCTGGAAGGAAGCAACTGAATTTGGTAAAATTTGTTGACAGACTAGAAAAGAGATTTAGAGACGAAAGACAATACGTGAGTTTAACCAGTTTCTGAACATCCTTCATTATCGATCGCATATTTTGCTGTCAAGTTCGCGCCTACAATCGTGTGGAAGCTGTCAAGCAGATGGGGTAATTTCTGGCGAAGAAATTCCTCAAATTGTAAGCGGAACCTCTCAAACTCTTGTGCAGCCTGCGTCTTGTACCGTCGATCTTCCTTGCTAAACCCTTGAGAGGGTCGCGAGACCTTCAGTGACGCTTGATCGGTAGATTGCGATCCAGATGCTTCGATTGTGGCAGGCTTGCTTTGTTCGACGACAGTGACATCCAGACTTTCGGACTCTTGCTCGAGCTTGCGGGCCTGCTTTTCACGACGCTCCTTTCTGAATTTTCTCGCACGTTCACGCCTTCTTAATTGTACAAGATCGGCTTTCAAGCAGGCACGCTCTACTTCCAGTCCGACTATTTCGCGCTTTGTTTGTTCGCCATACTCTTCCCAGCGTGCTCGGTAGCCTCGTTCTTGGTCGAGTAAGTTTGCGAGGAACTCCTTCTTCATGGTTTCTTGCTGGAGAATGACTTCCAGGCTGTTGATCTTGAGTCGTGAACTCAAGTCTTGGCATATGGCGAGAGAAACCAGGGTTTCGTGTGACATTTGCTCGTAGTCTTCCCGAGACATGGAGGGGTTGTTGTGGTCTATTTCAAGTCTTTGCATGGCTTCTTCCAGGAGTTGTTCGGTGTGTGATAATTCCTTGTCCCGTGAGGCTTGTATTGTTGAAGACATTGGGAGGAATTGGCTCAACGAGCTGAAAGAAGAGGTATTGTTTATGTTCAAGTTCTTATAGATGAATGATTTGGGGGACTGAACACTAAAATCATCGAGATATGGAAGAAATTCGCACGGCAGGCCTGTTCTCACGCTTCATCCTCACTTTAATTTACGCGTGGTTGGCGATCGACGCGATAGCGTGGATGGAACAGACGAAAGTAGAAAGCCATCACGACAACCATGTTTTCATCTTCTTCCGAAACAGAAAAGACAAGAGAGACAAAGCGACGTATCAGTTGAAACTATGGAAAGTAGCAAGGTGAGGATTGTTGTGATGGAACAGTGTCAAAGGTGGAAGGTGTGAAGATCGGCAGAACCTCACCGCCTTTGTGTGGAGCTTGGCACGAGTGAGAAGTAGCAACGACCGCAGCTATCATTCCATCCTGATTTATCTCTTCATATGTTCATTCAAGCAGGTACAATGCTTCAATACCATGCGGTGACTTGTAAATTTCGGTAAGCGAATGATGGCAACAGTCAATCTCATGTCGCCGCAAGCCCAATATCGGTAACTAGGCCAACCTCGGGCAATGGCCAATCTTCAATCTACGCGCTCACGCGTAAGCTCGCGATTTTCCTTGTACCACCTCACTGTGCTATTTGTCTGCCCAAGCTCCGTATCGTTGGACCCAGTATTTCTGAAGATATGACTACTAGAAATTAACCAAAATGCCCCCGAAAACAAGAGCATCGACTTCACGCAAGCGTGCGTCAAATGTATCGTATTGGAACATTAAATACTAGCTAATGGCATCCTTAGGGGCAATGATGATGCGGTCGCAGGCCCCAGTAATGCAAAAAGGCAACGTGCCAATGTTGCAGAATCCTCAAGAAACTCCCCTGCGCTCGAGGATGAGAAAGATCTTGAGATCCGAGCTCTGAAGTCTCGGGCCGAGCAGCTCCAAAATGAGAAACAAGAGCTTGAGAGTGCAAGAGAGACAGATCAACAAAGACTGGCTGAGCGTGAGAGCACGAGAGAGATAGATCAACAAAGACTGGCCGAGCTTGAAAGAGAAATTGACCGTCTCAGGGATGAGAATGCTCAGCTAACCGAAAAAAACGACGGGCTCAAGCAAAAGCAAGAGCGAGTCGAAGCCTTGGGAGGTATAGATGAGCTCGAAGAGGAACAGCGACGAATCGAGACTCTGGGCGGCCTGGACCAACTCGAAGAAGAACAGGAACGAATTGAAAACCTAGGAGGTCTGGATCAGCTCGAAGAAGAGCACGAACTGATTGAGGAATTCGACGACTTCGAGACAGCCCGGAGGCTGTACGAGAATATAGACAACCTTGACGGGCTTGAGGCCTTCGAAGAGATCATTACGTGGCTGGAAGAGATATTCGGTGATCTCGAGGTAGCTCAAAGATTCCTGGACAAAATTCACGAATACGAAGACTTGGACATACTTGAGGAAGAACATGACTGGGTGCAAGGGCTTGGGGGCCTCGAAAATGCTTCAAGCACTTATGAACTCGTCATCGACAACCACGATGCGATGGTTGAGCACTTGGAAAATCAGAACCGATATGTGGAGGAGTTGGAGTGGCGATCAAGAGATCATCAACGCGACTTGCTCGAGCTTGAGCGGCTCAAACAATTGTGTAGAGAGATGCATCAGGAGAGACTCACTCAAGCCGGAGATACACTCGCGATCCGCCCCACAACGTTGCCGTCAACTGATGCATATGTATTCGCCATCCTGGAAGCGGCCAAACAAAGCATCAAAAAGCAGATGACCAAATCACGAGCTTGCAATCCTGTGGAACCATGGTATCACTGGAGTTTCTGTCCATCGGAAGCCGTCTTCCGTAGTCTCTTCGGGACGAATGCGAGACGTCACCAAATCAATTGGTGGGAGCTGGAACAAATGCTTGGAGGTGAGATCAGTGTTAATGTGAGTTTCAGGGTCTTAGTCAGATTTATCTCATCAGAATCTATCACTGACTCTCTAACAGGCCACCGCTCGTGGCTATGTTCATCTCTGTGGTCAAGTTGACATACTCTGGAAGCCTGGGGAAATGATATTCAAGATGTCTGGTTTCTGTGAATAGAGCACGAGATACTAAGCTCCACCACTTCGGTCAAGGAAAGTATGCCTCACATAGTATTTGCCTAATTTTTTTTTGAGATGCAAACAAAGATCTACATATCTGAATGAGCAATGACAAGTGGAAGGAACATGGATGGAAACCCCTAAGATTAGGAATAGCAATAAGTCTCACCGCCTTCGCAGAGCCCTTCGTCGCCTTGTCAAACCCGGCTTGTTCTCATCCTCGTCTTCGTCTCCGAACGACCATCAATGGTTCGTATCGATTATTCAATGCCAAAAGGTGTCTTCAGGATCATGGAGAGCAAGTAACAGGTTCAATGTCGGCAAGCACGAAGCAATGGCCAATTTTAATCTAATACGCGTGTACGCGTAAAGCAAAATTCGACGAGACCTCTTCACAGGATTGCACATAGTATTTCTCACGCAGGAAGCCTGTTAGGTACAGCTTATACCATAATCCAATAACAAATTGCTGTTGAGAAGAGAAAATCGCCTCCATGTGAGCGTACGTCAAGTACATCAACTCATCGTCCGAACATTGACTGATGCATCATGCAGGAGATGAAGAGGTTGACGACTGCAATTCGAAGAGACAATGTGTTTCACCTGAAGAACATCTGGAAAAGTCATCGGACCCGCATCTGAGCAATCATCAATCTGAAAGCAAAACACCAAACCCAATTCCAAGGAAATCTCGAGATCAAAGAAGACGAGACTCTCGCCTTCTGAAGATTCAAGTCAACCAACTCAATCAGGAGATAGAAAAGCTCAAGAATGAGAGAGCGGCAGACCGCAACGAGCTCGAAGAGCAAAAACGAATAGCCAACAGCCTTTCCGACCAGATCAACGACAGGAAATCTCTAGTCACAAAGGAATCTATGGTCAAAGAGTTGCAGACCGAAGTCGATCGAGAAAGACGGGTCAGTGAACATCATCGCCGCCATTACGATAACCTTGCCCGGGAAGGTCTTGCGTATAGTCTACGCCAAACGCGCGTGATAAATAATCGCAACCGAAAGCTCGAAGAGCATAAGCAGCTTTTGAAAGAGTTGCGGCAGCAACATGATCGTGAGAAGCAGGCATATCTATACCAAGTATACACCATATCTTCGGAGATGGCTAGAAAACTGGACGAAGGCATTGCGGACGGGCGGGTTGAAGATTCGAGTATCGTGCGCGATTTGGACAGCCTCATCAGGGAATTAAGAGATACATGCGGTGCTAAGAGCGATTGATCACTTGCCCAAGATCGTCCCTTCTTCGATAATACATATGGTCTGAAGAGATCAAATTTTCAGTCCCAGGTTTACCAACGGTATACCGACTAGCATTGTTGTGCACTCGATGCTTGCATTTGCCGACGAATCAAAGAGTGTGACTGCTATCTTTGACTGTGCCGCAAACTAAGGCAGTAGCCTGATCTGTTAATATACGCGTCTTCCCGTGACCATGCCACTTATCTCTGTTGTCGTCACATATGATACAGGAAGCAAATACAAACCGGACATTATCCTTGCTTTCTGTCTAGAATTGACCATCAATGTCTCCTGGAAAGAATCAACCAGCTTCACGCAAACGTCTGTGATGCCTCATGTAAATTCAACGTCGGATACCAGCTGAACCTCGAGTTAGCAATCAACGATAATGTAAATACAACATCCGGCAACAACAAAAGAAAACGTCCTGCGACAGGGGGACTTTCGAATGCTCCTCCAGCGACGCATCTAGGCGAACCTCCGGCTAAGGACGGGTCGTCAAAACGCCCTGCCACGAAGGATGTATCATCCCATGTCGTTTCCAGAGTCAGTCAGGAACAAAGAGATCTCGACGTCCGTTCCCTGCAAATCGAGTGCGACAGGCTCAGGAGAAGAGTGAAGAGTCTGGAAGAGGCAGAAGAGACAACTCACAAAGAACTCTACGAAAAACAAGAGCTGGTCGAGCATTTAGAGCTGAAACACAACGAACTGAAAAGCGTGTTCAGGCAGTTGCTGCCCGTGTTGGCAGACTGGCCCAGAATGGTGACCGAGAGAGAAGTCTACTGTACGCGCCGGCTCCAACAGCAGTCGGAGGAACACCAGCGTCAAGTTGACGAGATCAAGCGTGAACACTCTCGGGAACTTGAGCGATTGCAGGTGCAGCAGATACGGACCGCACAAGAAATTAGAAATTGTCCTCAGCGGAAGATCGAGAAACAAACAGAAGAGCATCAACGGAACAGGGAGCAAGAGCTTGAGTTGATGCGCACTAGTTGTGACCAGATGCTGACAGCGTTACTGAACCCAACCATATTGAAGCAGATCATCACTGGCATCCAGACTGTTGAAGCAATTTGACCCATGAAAGCGAAGGCAGCGAAAGTGGTACGAGAGGTATTCATTTATCGAGGCAAGAAATGAGAAATGTGGTATTGAGCATGATAAGTAGAAACAAGAATTGAGATTATACGACGAATGCATCTTACAACTTGTAAGAGCCACCAGCAGAAGGTGCTTTGGCGTCCTTGACAGCAGCGCCCGAGACATCTGTGATTTGTCCCTTGTTGCCGATAACCTTGACACCACCNNCCTTCTTGAGGTCGCTGATAATACCCTTTCTCTCCTTTGTCTTCTTGCTCTCCTTCTTGGAAGGATCGATGTTGGCCAACGACTTCTTCTCGCGCTCCTTTTCGCGTCTACGGCGACGCTTGCGGTCCTCTCTGCTCATCTCTTCGCGGTTGACGACCAGACCACCACGAGTGGCAATCTCGGCCTCTGCCTTCTCGGCCGCCTCGCCAGCCTTGTAGATCTCTTGTGGCGCCAGTTGAGAAGCAGCAGCGGCTTCCGCTCCGGCAGTGGGGCGGGCATCTTCGAGACGCACGACAGGTGCATCGACACGGATGTCGAGTTGTGTAGCGGGACCCTTGGGCTTGAAGTGCCAGGAGCTGAGACTGTCGAGCTTGTTGCTGATATCGCGCCATAGAGCATCAATCTCTCTTTGTTCCTTTTGGGTCTTCTCGTCCTTAGCATCAACGTAGTTGGGGTCTGTGGCCTTGAGGTGTTCCTCCTCGTACATCTCTGCGAGTGATTTTTTGCTCTTGCTATCATCGAGCTCAAAGTCAAGACGCCCGCGTCTACTTGAGCTACCAGTGGCCAGATCATCAGGACGTCGGCGAATGATGTCTTGGAAGTCCTCGGCCAGAATGCGGCGCTTGATAAGCTCTTCCAGACTCTCACTGATCTCAGCAGTGATGACTGGTACGGGCTTGCCAACGCGTTCGAACTCGAGGTCCTCTTCGAGCAGAGAGTTGACAGGACGATCGGCGGCACGAGCTTCACCAGACAGAGTCCAATCTCTCTTTGCAACGTTCGCAGCCTCCAGACGACGAATCTCTTCTGTAAGAGCGGCTTGGCGACGCTCGTGTGCTGAGCGGCGAGAGCGAGGGTCTGCTGGGTCAAGGTTTTCCTCATCTTCTTCATCGTCTGTAACATCATCGAACAGGTCGCGGTGAACCTTCTCCATAGTGCGCTCCATCTCTTCATCATCTTCTGCAGGCTCGTCGGCACCGCTTGGGGAGGCTTGTTTGGCAGGGAAGTTGTGGGGGTTCGGACGTCCCTTCTTGTTCTTGCGTGCCTTCTTAGCTGGTGGGGCAAAGAAGTCGGCGTACTTGACGTCGTTTGTGTTTGAGAGCGAGCCCATGCCATCCATCTCACCCTCTTCAACCTCTTCTTCGTTATCACTGAAGCCCTCGGGTGCGTTCAAGTCGACGTTGCCGAATGTTGGACCATCTTCATCGTCTGATTCGTCGTCGTCATTTTGTGCTGCTTTTGAGAGTGTGGCGCTGGCTGCTAGAGGGTTGGAGCCCCAATCGATACCTTCCTCGTCATCGTCGTCGAAGTCGTTGTCTCCGCGGGCGTCTGCTTGTTCGAGGAACTCTGACTGTTTGTTGAAGTCGTCGATGGAGAAGAAGCCGTCGTTCAGGCCGTGCGGGTCGGGAACGTATTCGGCCGCCTCCTCGCTCTCTGCTTCAGACTCGCCTTCGCTGCCCATCTCAACGTCCTCGTCGGCCTCAATGTCTGATTCCTCGTAGTCGTCGACCTCGCCATCAACATCCATATCCTCGTCATCATCCTCCTCTTCGCCATCCACGTCCTCGCCCTCGACCTCGTAGTCGACTCCTTCCTCACCGATATCACTCTCGCCTTCTTCTGACAAGCCCTCGCCGTCCTGACTCTCGCTATCGTCTTCTGAGTCGTCGATAGCGTACTTCTCGGCGAGCTCGTCGAAGTTGCGCTGGGCCTNCTTCCTGGCGGCATCGATGATGCGCTTCGCTTGTTCCCAGACTTGCTCAACAGCAAATCCTTCGACATGGACTTTCTTCAAGCGCAAAACCTCCTCATCTTCATCATTTTGACCGCGCTTCCTCTTCTTGCGAGCTTCTTGTAAGCGCTGTTGCTGTGTCTCGGCGATGGACTTTGCGATCGGGTCGAGAGTCTGCTTGAGGAAATCTAGCGACGAGGTGTGTAGTGTCGTTGGCGGTTGTAGAAAGGTATACGGCTCTGAGGTGAGCGATGTAACAAGTGTTGCTGCCATGTTTGGCTGTCGAGTTTCTGAGTTCGGCTCGCTCAGAGACATTTTTCCTGCGGCTTCATCTTTGCAGCGAACCCTTTGCCAAGTCTCGCTCTTATCACCGTTATCCCCACCAACGAGAATATCAAACGGATATGGTCACACATAGATTTTTTAGCACATCAAAGGTTGCGTGGCCCAATGGCAAGGCGCTTGACTACGAATCAAGAGATTCCAGGTTCGACCCCTGGCGTGATCATTTTGTCCTACAGAGGTGCTGCTGCAATAGCAGATTCATTTTGGTCTTCATGTCGTCAACCATCAACATTACTGAAGCAACGACTCTTCCCGGCCGAGCTTGCATTTTTGGTCGAACATTGTTGCTTCGTTCCCTTTGACACCTAGCGCATCATGGTCTGAACCAGCAGTTCAACTGGTTACAAGAGGATGCCTTTTCTTTGTCGGTCCGGATTTTTCGACAATGTCAATTTCCATTGTCAGCCTCTGCCCCAAGTCCGTGTTGAAGAGTCGAGATTCGCCGGATGCAGATGATGCAGACAAAGATGATTGACCCGACTTATCAACCAGCTCGTACTGGCGAAATTTCTTCCTGGATCAGCAGTACACATTCAACAGATTACAAATATGGCACATATCGTGAACCCTAGCCAGATAGCTGCGATACACAGAGATGGTGAGAATCTCGAGAAAATTAAACAGCCGCCAAACCCACCACCAAACACGCAATGGATCGGTGGATACAAGATCGGGGTTGGATCCTTCGGTGTTGCGACTCTGTGGGTGCTGATTGACTGTTCCACCCGCAGAGCCATCAATCACGCTGTCATAAAAGACTCCTTCGAACCAGAGACGCACTCGACTAGAGAAGAAGGCCTCTACGAAGGAATCTGGTATCAACTNGCACAAAAGGGCATGGATTTTGGCGTGGACCCTGCTTACAAAAATAGTATCATCCCATTTGCAGATCGTGAAGTGAGATTCCTCAAGGAGGCGTATCTGCAAGGCATGATGACAGTGCCCGACTCGAGCGAGGAGATATATTGCAACCCTCTATGGGGATATGCAAGAAAGGAACTGGAAAATCCTTACTCAAGGGAACATAATCACTGGCGGTTGTACATGCCTCTGTACGATTATGGAGACCTCGAAGGTCTGATCAGAGCCCACTTTTTCATAAGCAGGGGAATACCAGAACCGTTCATCTGGCACACCCTTATTTGCTTGATGAAGGGTGCTGTCCAATTGGAAGAACAAGCTCGATCGCGTCTGGACTACACGGACTCGGATGTGATCGTCGTGTTCGACATCAAGCCAGGGAATATCCTTCTTGCTCCACCTGATAACCGAAAGTCGTTTCCCATCTACCCTCGCCCACATTTCGCAGATCTTGGAGGCGGGAACCTCACTAACAAAGACGATTGGGACAACAAAGTTCATGAGCAGTCTTTTTCCTATACCCCTGGCTATATCGCTCCGGAAATGTGGAGGCCACCTCCCGGACCGAGACTGCTACCGAATCATGTGTTACGTGGTACACCCACCAATGTTTGGCAGATCGGACGACTAGCCGAGCATATGATGAAGTTGTGTGATAGGCTCCCCGACATAGTCTATCAATCAGGGCGGCAAGAATCAGATATGACGCCACAGATAATCGGCTGGCAAGGCACACTTCCTGGTCAAAACTACTCAATGCCCCTTAAAAAGATGGTTGCTCGGTTATTGCAATTCGACCCGGAGAAACGGCCTTCACCTCAGAAATTCTTGGAGGTCGTTGACAAGCCTGGACTTGCGTTCTTCAAAGGCATGGATTCGTTTGGCAGTGATGCATGGTTCCTAGACCAACAACAAAGGCGTGCTGCAGCAGGTCCAACCCCTAAACCGACAAATCTCAATGAGGATATCGCTGCACGAGACGCTCAAGAAGAGGCAAAGAGGCGGCTTACAAAAGCTAGACCATACTTACGCGCGTGGGGTTCGTCGCGAGCGAGTGAATTTGCTTCTCTAGGTGTGTTCCCACCTGAGGAGCTTGAAGTCATGTACACAAACGAAGCAAACTGGTGGGCTACGGATCCTCAGGATCTCGTTTATGCGAATGGCGGTCTTGTGTATCCGCTGCCGAAGGCTACAGAGGACACGATTGACATTGATAAGATGAAGTTGGATGACGAATCGTCGAGTGCTCATATACGTTGATTCGTCATATTCGTGTCTTAGACATTCTGATCGATACTAGTTTGATAATACTTTACTACAATCAAAAACCTGTCTGATAATACTTGTTGTTCCTCCTGAGCATGTTGCGGTCCTATACGGCTGCAGTACTACGTAGTCTTGCAATATAGACATATTCTTGTCTTTCAAAGAGTCCGCAGATTAACAGGTGTATCGTACTCCTCGCCCTTCGTTAACATAGACATTTGCCAACACAGCATCTCAACAAAGTCTTCGGTCCTGAGATTCTGAAAGGACAACCTTGGAGCTGTTTTCAGATCGAGGCTGTCTATAGCCATAGCCCTGTGCGAATCATCCATGGAGGACTATCAAGCTTCTTCGCCATCTTGTTCTGAGCATAACCAAGAAATACCGGTTCTTCTCCTCATATGTTCTCTGCATCGTTCCTTCTACTCCTGCTCTAACTCCATTGCTCCTTCCTCATCTGTCTTGACTTGGTTGCTCCTCCCATTTCTGTCTTGACTGTGTTGCGGCTTTTTCATATGTTCCGCCTAGGTCGCTCCTCCCCTTTCAAGAACGAATGCTTTGTTCTTTCCTCTTGTGCCTCACTTACATAGCTCCTTCCTGATTAGTTCTAAATTCATCGTACCTTCTAACTTGATTTTGACATGATCGCTCCTTCCATTTTTTGTCTTAAGTTGGTTGCTCCTTCCTTTCCTGACAGAATCATATCGTGCCTTCCTAATTCTTCCACTAGGTCGCTCCTTCCTAATAAGATTCTACTTGGTCGCTCCTTCCATTCTAACTTCGACTTGGTCGCTCCTTCTAGTTTTGTTTCCACTTGATCGTGCCTTCCACACAATTTTCGTCTGTCTGGGTCCTTCCTATTTAAGGAGTAAGTGCTTCGTTCCTTCCTCTTTTATACATGCATCGCTCCTTCCTGATACGTTTCTACTGGGTCGCTGCTTCCCGTCCGATTTTGAAATCCATTGCTCCTTCTAATTCTGTCACCACTTGATCGTACTTTCCTCATCTGTTTTCGCTTATATCGGACCTTCCTCTTATAGGATGAATGCTTCGTTCCTTCCATTTTTTTTGCCTGCATCGCTCCTCCCTGATATATTCTGACCATGTCGCTCCTCTAATTCTAAGATCTACTTTATCGCTCCTTCCGATCCTGTAATCACCCAATCGTACCTTCCATTCCTATCTTGAAGATAAAGTAAGAAAGAGGAATCATCAAAACAGAGAGAGCGACTACGAAAGAAAGAAAGAAAGAAAGAAGGAAATGCGACCATAAAGAAGCGAGGAGTGGTATTTTTCTTAGGAAAAGGAAGGAGCAATTATCGAAAGGGGGTTATATATAAAAGGAAGCAACGATACAAAAAGGAAAGAACTACTGTATACAAAGAAAAGGAAGGAGCATCCACCGACGAGGAGCGACCTGTCTCTGAGTATGTAGAGAAAATCAATCATCAAAGAAGCAGCGATCAATCAAGACGAAAATCCTCACTTTTCCAAGAAAAGCTGCACATTCACAGACTGGGAAGATCCACGAAACGTTCGAATAGATAAAAGGCAGAAAAAGTAATCGATTTGCAGAAGAAAAGGAACGAAAGAAAATGAATAGTATCAAATGTGGTATCAATCTTCGTAAAGCTCAAAGCCATGCCAGAACGCCGCGTACTCCAACATCCGATTGAAGCCATTCAAAATGGGGTATGTTCATTGCCTTTCCACCCCAAGAAAACCATACAATGAAGGTGAGAAAAAGGAAAGTAAGGACAAAAGTTGCGAGAACACATTGAGAAAAGAAGGAAATCGACAAACCTCTAGGTATCGCCAGCTCGGTTGACTTCGCTGGCGACCCGCTCGTACCAGACACCGTGAGATGCCCAGTCAACCTCTGCCACCTTTCTCAAGAGCTCGACCATCTCGCCAACTTGCGTGACGAACTCAGGCAGTCCGGCAGAAGCCAATGCTTCTGATGCGCCACTCGCAGCTCTGACTCTCTCACTCGACGTCTTGGCTACTACGCGTGAGAAGACGTGACTTCGCAACCTGGAGCACAAAACCTTGGCTACGGGGTCTGTGAAGCGTTGAGAAGAGGCTTGGGTGATGATGCGAGAGGTTGCAGATTGCAATGCGGTTTTAGTGGTTGGTGGCAGGTTGTGTGCGTTCTCGAGCACACCGAATACGCGAGATGAGAGGCTTGCCAAAGCGTCTTCTGATGTGGTCTCGGTAGGTGACTCTTTGCTAAGAAGATCCCAGAGACGAGATGCTTCGGCTTTCCATGAACTGCGCACGTCGCGCTTCAGCATGTTCTTAGCTACTAGCAAAATCGCACCGATCGTGGTAATGTGCAAAGCCTTTTGCTTGATAGTGCATAGACGCTCTACATCGAGGGTTAGTGTCTCCGGTACATCATTGATGCTGATTGGGCCTTGTCCAAAGGTGGTATCAACCAACCCTCGAGTATAGATGTGATGAATCGAAGGCCTGTCCGCAGGGTTGCGAACCTGTTCTGGGTCCCGGCGATCGGCCTCAGTCAGCATGTTTACGCTTGCATTGCGCCACCAGCGGTCTGTCGAAGCCAGTGTTATCTTTCCCGAGGCAAGATCTGCTGCAAACATTCGCGACTCGTATCCAGCTGATTCCCGGATGAGAACAGGTGCCGCATTCATCAACAAGAAGTTTGAGTAATCAAGCGAGAGCAAGTCGATGAAGTGCAACAGGCGGAAAAGCTTTTCAATCATTGCGCCCATATCCTCACCATTGTTTGATTCGAGATCCTCAGCCAATGTTTTCACTTGCGCATCACGGAAAGGCGCACATAGTTTTGGCAGGATGTTAGCCATGAAGGAGAAGAAGTTGGCGTAAGAAAATATGCCCTGCTCGCATTGTCGATAAATCAAATCAGTATCCAGAGCCTCGACAATCAAATTGTGCATCGAGTTGCCAGACTTCACGATATGCACAAGCTTGGCCCTGATCTCCTGGGCCATAGCAACTGTCCATGGGGTTCCCATTCCGTGCTCAACTCCAGCTCGCATACCATCACAAAGCTCGCGATTGATGGCATCGCGGATGTCTGAATGAGCACTGGAGGAGATGCGGAAGTCCTTGTCGATGGCAAGCTCGTGAGTCAACACGCGGTTGCTAGGAATAGGCGAGAACAAACGAGCGAGATTCAGGCGGACATCATCTTGTGAATCAACCTCGCTTGGAGCTGCGTCTTGTGATAGAGTCTCGGTGGCAATGGGTAGAGATCCCGAGGACTCTGCTTGGCCATCTTCGACGTCGGCAGCAGCACGAGGGCGGACTTCGGCAGGAGACCTCCTCTTAACACGCCTTCTTCGGCTCTCACGGATCGACTNTTTGATAAGGAAATCGGCACGGTCGGGGCCGGCTAGTTTTCGGATCTTGCTGAGGAGCATGACCTGATTATCACGAATTCCTTGACGATAATCTTCAGCAACTGCACCTTGAGTGTCGTCTTTGACAGTTTGCCAGATGGCATCAAGCTCAACAAAGGAGGCAACCATAGTCTCGACCAGAGCAGATGAATCTTGAGCTCTCCATGCGTCGAATGCAGCAATATAGGTTGTATATAGTTGTGACAAGTCCTGAAGCCTGCCAGCTGGGACCTCAAGGCGGCTTGAACGGGAAAGCGTAGACATGGTAGACTCGAATGACTCGATTAATTCGCGAGCTTTGGCAATGAGATGTTGCTCCTGAGCACCATTCTTGCTGAAGACGGAAGCTGGATGTACAATAACAAGATAAGCGCTGAGGAAGGTCCGAGTAGCTTGAGGCGATGGTGTATTATCATTCTCTTGCAGGGCAAGAAGACGAAGGACTCGAGTAGTGGCCTGGATGATAGGTGTGTCTGAAAGCAAGGCACCTACTTCCTCGAAGGATCGTTCCCGAATGCCTTCCAGACTGAGATGGAAGTTTGCATACGCCTTTATAACCAAGTTTCGTCGTCGCATACGCCATGCTCGTTGTATCCTTAAGATGGCTGTCTCTTTGGACACCTTAGGACTCGTGTCGTCTTCGGCTTCGGAAACATCAGGCAGCTTCTTTTCCTGTTCGCTAGCTCGCCGAGTCTTGCGAGAGGTCAAGTTACGCTTGTACTCGGCTCTTCTTCTGTCTGCATCGGCCATCCTCTCCTCCATGTCCAAGCGAGCCTGTTTCTCTTCCTCGAGTTTCCTGAGTTTGATCTCTTGTGCCTTTTGTTTTGCCCTCTGAACCTCCTCAGCACACGCTGCAGCGACTTTTGCAAGATGGTTTTCACGAGCCGTTTGGGCAGCAAGAGCCCGCTCTTCACTAGCACTGGCATCTCCTCGAGGAGCGGCTTTGGCCATGGCGGCTCGTAGACGGACCTTTTCGGCATGGGCAGCGCGGTCGGCAAGGCGTGCTTTGCGGGCTTCGATGATGGATGCTCTGCGCAGGTGTTGTGCGATATAGTTGCTTTGGCATGATGAAGAGCGACGTAGCGAACGGGTCGAGGTATGCGACTGGATTGAGGATAGCGAGTTGCGACGGGATGAAGCGGCGGATGATTTGTATTGGCGAGACTTGGGATCGCGGTAGAAACGAGCGGCGATGCGAGCGGGTGGTGCGTAGACTTGACCAGCATCATCCGACATGATGACCATCGAGGTGGTTTCGAAATCGTCTTCTTCGTCGATCGTGTTCGTCTGCTCGTCGAAATCAGGCAGGTCGCTGCTAACTTGGTCGTCGTCGGACATGTGCTCTACGGCGAGGTCGGCTGAGTCGAGCGACATGTTGTCTACCACGCTCATTCTCAAGTCGTCTACGGATAGTCGTGGTGCGGGCGTCCTGGTCGCATGTGGCGAAGACAAAGGCTTCGGGTGCTGCTGTGGTCTCGGAGTACTCGCACACCTACCGAAACACGAAGCCGTTCCCCTTGAACGTCAAGTAGACGGACGGCGAGGTAGTGAGCGAGACTCGCTCGGGTCTGGCAGCGATTAGATGGCGATTAGGGACCCCTCGGACGGCCGCTAAGTCTTCCCAAAACAACCTTCAGCCCTTGATGACGTTTTTCGAAACCGCTGAGCTCTGCATGTGATCAATCAATAAACCTCCTCCTTGGACTTGTGATAGCAATGCATGCAACAACGATGGAAATCATGTTTCGGGAGACCAGTCATGCGGCCTTGGGAAATCGCATCTTTCTCACCATCTTTCCCTTCTTGCTTTCGGATGCGTAAGCACTTGCCGTCTTTGTTCCAACACTTTCTCTCAACTTCTTGAGCCAATCTCGCGCCTCCTTTTGCAACCACGACATCTCGCAATCTGTGACACCTTTATCTTCTCTCCCCGTGTACTATAGTATGTAACGCGTATACCTGTAGAAATGCAGAATAGTAATCGGAAACAAGATAGTATCCACTGAGAGGCAACAGGTTGTCGACTCTCTGTGGACACGCTCTGTTTCTGATAACAATTGTGCCTTTTATAGTCTAGATTTTGCTCTGAACTATAGTCGGAGTACGATGGAGTTGCAAACTTTGGTACACAGGGAGGTCACAAAACGCAATGCGCTTGTCTGTAGTTGATGTTTGTTGAAATCCTTGTTGGCAAAAGCTATGAAAAGGTTTATAGACTGCCTCCAAGAATGACTGCGCTTGTCCCTGTATCCGAGAATCTCAAAGATACCTAGGGTATAGCCGTCGGATTCGTCACAGAAGTGACTGACATAAGAGAAGAAAAGGGATCAACCAGAACACAGCCATAATAACATGGCTGTACAAGCCACGGCAAGAGGCTGCCTAGCATCAACAACTCCAAGAATCGCCTACATCCTCTACACTCCCTCTAGATCCACTCCTGTGGGCCTCCTCCTTCCCCCCAAAACCTCCGATTCTTTTTGCGCCTTGCTAAAAACTTTTTGCTTGCTGTGAAATGTCGCACGCTGGTGACAAATGAAAATCGTCGTGCCTTCTTGAAAGAAGGAATGGCATGGCGCCAGAAAAACGCGCCCAAAAACAGCACAAATGGCGTCGTATTGCGTCGTTAAGGTCATGACAAAAAACGTATGGTGAATATGTTACATGTGAGCTGGCCGTGTAATGTTGTTGTTATCACAGACCAAGGCCGGTCGAGGTGCGGCCTAGTGTGTTGGCTGGTGTTCGCACATTGTTGAAGAATTTAAGGAAAGCCGATTTCTTTGAAGACGACTTTTGCTTGATCTTTGCGTACTTGACCATGGGCCCGACAATGTCGGACCCGTCAAGTTTAGGGAATTTCAGTGGGTCATCCAGAGCAGGAAGATCGGTGAGAGGGGCTGGCTCTGCCAAAGGCTGGAACACAGGCGTCTCGCCATTCGCAGCTGTTTTGGCGACAACCAACTCATGGTTTCTCTTCCATTCCGCATCAATCTCTGCCCACTTCTTCTCTGTGTACTTATAAACTTGCGAGGTCGGACCGTAATGTTCACTGGTGCGTGCTGCTTGATGCATGAATTGTCTGCGAGCCGACTCCCAGTCCTCGAGAAGTTTTCTGCATGCGTGAATGTTATAAGTTTCTGGCAGATACGGTTCCGGGAAAACGTTGAAGTTGGCATGTCCGAGCTTGTTTGCCCACTTGTCTTGAGGGCTGACAATGTGCATTGACGAGATGTCGGGTGAGGACATGACTTGGCTAGCTTGCATGACGCCGAGAGAGGCAGTAGAAGTATGCGCCGAAAGAGCAGGTGACACCATCGACATCTCAGGTAAGACTGGACTGGACAGTGATGGGCCGATCATCGACAGACGACTTATTTGAGCGTTATCGGCGACAGTGGGGGACTGCAATGGTGATTGGATGACATCCTCATCAATTTGTTCTGGATCCTGAATTGTCTTGGGAAGAAGAGGAGTGGATGCCAGGGCCTTGCGGTCGATTGGCTCATCTGTGTGAGGTATCTTGATATCAAGAGGATTAGAAGGTTCGACAGCGACGTTAGCTGGGCTGGGTGTCGGCGTCGACTCGGCCTCAACATCGATAGGCGTCACGACAGGCTTTGCTACAGAAGACATGCGGAAAGACGGGGCACGTGACGGCACACGGGAGACAGGGGCGCTCTTAGTGCTAAGTCGATGAACAGCCACGGTCGGAGGAGAGGTGGGTGTTCTGTCACGGCGTTTTGAGAAAGATGACAAACGGCTGCCAACACGAGAAGCCAAACCAGTAACGGTCGATTCGCCAGAATTTGCCCTCGACCTAGACTTGGGCACGTTCAGAGCAATTTCGTTGTCGCTGTTGAAGTCGCTCGGTCCATCAGCAAGAGAGTAGTCCAGACTGGGCCTTTCCAAAGCAGATGCAGATTGACAGAGACGAGGATCCATTTCGGCTTCGCTCAGATGATAGATATCATGGTTAGAGTGGGGTTTCTCAAGTGCACATTGGCAATTGAACTCGAATGCACTGTCACGGAGATCGAAATCATCCTCTCTCTCATGAGGATCTTCGACAAGATCATGGAGAGTTGTCCTTGAGATGCGGTTGTTGAGTGATTCGATACTAGGTTCGTACTTTGGAGGAGTCGATGCCACCGACGAGGAGCTGGAGCTTGCATGGCGCGTGTGTTCATGAAACGAGAAGGTTTGTGTTAGAGGTGAGTAGTTGTCGGATGTGCCTGATGAGTTGCGAGAGTGCATTGAGTAGGGCGAGTCGGCCATTTCGCCGATCGTTGCGGCTGTAGGCGTTTGCGCGACGATCAATTTTGGCAGCATAGATGGTCGCATATTGGCGCGTTGCATGATGTTCAACCAGATAACTTGGACGGCGGCGTCCTGACTATAAACCGGATGCAAATGGCATAATGATTTGTCGTGTGAGATGATTCAATGTCTGAAATGGAAACCGCAAAAAGGCCAGAGAGCGGTGGCAGAGTCAAGCAGGCACGTTCTGGATGGAGGGTGGAGGATGGGTGCAGAGGAAAAGCCGGGCGTCCGTTGGCTGCAAGTCGTGCCTGACACTTTGATCTGCCTACTTGGATAGTCGCTGGAACAAAGGGAGGGGAGAAGAGAAGAGAGGTTGCGAAGAGTGGTTGTGAAGAAGATGTCTCAAAGCAAAACGGTGGCAAGCGCAGCACAGTAGTGGGCTGGAGCACCGCAAGACAGGTGCAGGCCGATCAAGATCAGTCAGAGGTGCAAAATAGAGATTGGGGCCTAGCGTGCGGGTCCCATGGCATTTTGATGCTTGAACCTTCGATGCAGTCACCATCGCAGAGCTCAGGCCCTGAAGCGCGGAGCAGACATGTGGCCCCTCCTCATCCTCCACCAGACAAGCGCCTAGCGGGAAGACAACCACCCTTGTTGCCAGCATTCAAGCCACCTGCAGTCGTAGCCGATGCTGGCAGCTGTCGAGTCCACTGACATTCGCTTGCATACTGTGGTAGAAACTCTCACCTGCCCATCCTGGTGCACGAGATACACGACCAAGGTCCCTTGTCTTTAGACAATTGTGTGTGCCCTCTGCCTGTCATGTAACGGCCACACGTACAACCTCGACGCTCCAGAACCGTCAAATCCTTCGGAGTATTGGACAACTCGTTGTTACGCCCCATTATTCAACGACCTTCCACAACTGCCGCTTTGGAATTGTGGCCACCAGTGGTCACGCACAAATGCTCGAGATCAGGTGCTGGCAGCATGTCGTCCATTTTGTCGTATTTCCTAACCGTTCAGGGACCTTGCGGCTTGTCCCTGTATTCTGTCTACAGCTTCCAGTGCAGGGTCTGACTTTGCTTCTTCGTCTCTCTCTCTCCCTCTATTCCGCTCTGCCTGCCCTAGTTTCATCAACGAATGGAAACATACCCGAAGCATTTCGTCACTCGTTCGTCGACCTGAATCTGAGCAAGCGCAGGAACAAACGGCCACACCGATGGCGACCTGGGCGTCGGGGCCACGAATGACGAAAACTTGCACGCTTCGGCCTCGTGTGTCAAAAGGTACAGTACGGCGTTACAACTGACCGGCATGCCGTGGTGGAGCAGAGCAAAGCAAAAGGCACCAAACCCTTTGGCAAAAAGTCGGGTTGAATTTCAAAGATTTCTAACCAGTCACGTCGCACCCAAGCAGCTTTTTCGGCAGTGGGTAAAATGCGAAAAAAAGACTTCTTCGCTATGGCACACCAAGGAAACCNNCAACCTGGCTTTAACGCAGGCTGGTGCAGCGGGAAGCTGCAAGCGCGCCTTCTCCCGCCTTTCTGCCCTTGTCGTCTGCTTGTTTGTCATACCCACCNNCCAGCTCTTGATTGTTCGTCCTTGCAGATACAGCGGCTCAAGCTGCATTGTACCTCAACGTCGTCTGGAAAATNNGGGACTCTTCCTTTTTGCCTTCCTGTTTCACGTTTCGAACGCTCGAATTGCTAGAGGTCAANNGTCTTTGTTCCTCATGTGAAGCTGCTTCATACCTAGGTAAGTGTGGTCGCGAGGGCTTTTTCTACTGTAATTATCTAGCGGGGCCGCCGACACTGCGGCACTCCACTGGAACCAAAGACAATAGTGCGTCTGTATTAATAAGATACGGGAACCGAGGAACTCTCATGACAAAGACCCAGCGACCTGGGAGAGATGCCCAACATCGTCCNNCAGCAGANNCCATATTGATGAAACACCGATAGACGCAGTGAGTCGCTGACGATGCATGCAGAGTTCTGTATCGATCCTTGTAGACGTGCAGAAGTGACAGAGCGAGCCTGAAACATTGACCAGCGGACACCGTAACGTGATGGGGATGAAGCCTTTCACGCTTGGCCAGCGTTTACGTCGTTGTTCCTCGATCGAGTCATGAAAAGCATGTACGAGAGAAGCGACTGACGGAAGATGGACAAGCCGCACGTCCGCAGCCGAACCGTCCTTTTGACAGCCAGCGACATGGTTGTCATCTGGCGCTAACGATGCATGTTTATGGACCAACAATCGCGACGAGGCCATCGGTGGACGGGAATTCTTCCGCTGCCGACAGAAGAACGAGTAAAATACGGAAAACCGAGTAACGGACTTGGGCCGGTTCCACGCGAGCCAACGTCGGTTCTTCGCCGGCGTGAACCATCATCCACGCAACCCGCACGATTTGTTGAGGACTAACAAACTTTCTTGCACAAGGGCATCGGCAACCGATCGTATGGAGTCGATGGATTTGTGAATTACAATGTACATCAGGTACAAGCGTGTAGACGTGGAAAAAGTGTATGCACAGTGACAGAAGAGAACAACTCAAATCGAACATCCACTCACGTAGTTAGCCATCCGGAAGAACGGTAACCAGCAAAAGAATTGCAGGAAAATTGTTTGTCGATTCGCAAACTACCAAAGCAAAGAACGAGTGCAGCAGCACAGAGGGCGCGCGCAGCCGACGTGAAAAGGCCAAGCCAGAGGTTGCATCGCATTCGTGCGAGTTACCTCCTGGTTGATTGCGCGGCTGGTGGAGGCTTCGTTGCTTTGTGGTCAACTCTCGAGGGTTCTTTCCTCGGTGTTTTCGAGTGCATGATGTTCGGTGGACTTTTTGTGTGTCCTAACACTATTGCTCGTCCAGCCCTCGGTGGCCTCTGCCATACTCCTCTGCTTGTCCATGGTACTGCACAAGCCGTTTGCGATCGTCCCATATCAGCGCCTTCACTATTGCTTGACAGTCGACTATTGCTTTGTAAGTTTGTTCGAATCGAGAAGGTGCCAGAGCACCGAGGCGTAGAAGGATTATTGCCCAGAGGATTACACCATCCGGACAAACTTCCTCGTTGAACCCGGTTAAACAGAATCTCGAGCTAGGTGATAAGCGAAGCAGACCAGGCGCAGCAGCTGAGGCGGCCTCTTTCTTTTCGCTTTCGTCCTGCCCAGCACGGCACAAGAGTCGAGACAAAAGTCTTGTCGAAAGGCTCGTAGGCTTATGTTAATCAGATCCCTGTAATAGAGAATGCAACCATTGATCGGGATGAACTGCGATGAATGCATAAACTCAACTCCCCGCTCTTGCTTTCTAGCATTGCAAGGGGTGACCCTGTCTACGAACCCGTGCCGAGGTGTCTTTCTCTTGCCGCGAAACATGAACTGATGCAGGTCTCTGAGGCTCACTCTTCGTGTTGCTTCCTCTCGACACTTAAAGGCAAGGGACAATTGTAGCTTTGTACACGCAGAGAGTTTCGGATCAAGATGGAACTTTGATAGCCAAAGATCTAATCGACCCTCGGTTCCAGAGTGCTGGGCAAGACCAATTCCGTAGTCGCTCTCCGCCCGTTGTTCGTGGACCTACCTGTGCTGGAGTATATCTGGCATTTCTTTTCCTTTTCCAGCAAAGCAACCAGCAATGTGTGATCTATAAACAGCGAGACCATCAACGAAAGACTACCGAAACTTTGGCTGCTCCGAGGCACGTCTTCATCTCGATAATAATTGTGCAATTCTACAGCTATTTGTGTGACAGATGTCTGCACACGGGAAGACATAAGCCGCATCCCCAACAGACGAACCTTCACGCCTTGCCCTTGGTGCTCTCTTCCCTGCCTTTCCGTCCTGTCTGCAACGTGCAAATCAATTACTGTTTTCGAGGGTCCATTCTTCATGCCGTGCCACTCATGAGGAAACTCTGTCGTGACTTTACAAGATCAATGCCGTGTCGGTCTTCAAGACTGATCTAGAATAGCGTTGGTTGCCTCAGGCGTCTCCAGTCACGCCATCGAACGATGCTCACAATGGTAAACTTGGGTAGACCTTGCAAATAGTGATAAGGGTTCCGGAAGAATGCGAATCGTATTTCCGTTCGAGAAGTGGTTCTTCCAAGCGATGGCTTTGATGGACCTTCCTTTCTAGACTCTGCCACTTCACAGATGGCTATCGGTGTCGCCTGGAACTACCACACGATGTGTCGTGTTCGTCGTTCGAGCCGAATGTTCTGGCCGTACGATCAAGTCCGGATACTTCTCCGCAATGTCTCAAACCCAGAACTTCGACCATGCGGTCTTCTGCTCCTCTGTACCGGAGAACTGTTATATCGGGATGTGATCAGCGAGTGATTCTTGTTACTTTGTGTGTGCTTGCAGCTGCTTGGGTAGCACCTCCCTATGTGCAAAAGGTTGTAACGCGTAGAGTTATAAAAATGCACAATACTATTCGAGACAGGATAGTGTCCACTGAGAAGCGATCTCCTATCAGCTCTCTTTGGCCATATCTTTATTTCTGAACAGGATTGTACATTTTTGTGGCGTGTACTTTACTCGCTAATGGTCGGAGTAAGTTACATCCTTTAGCACACGGGGAAGCAGGATCTGGCACGCAGGGAGCAGTGGATCTACAACGCACCTCAAAATCGACTTTGGTGATATCCGTGAAGCCCTCATCTAGGGTAGGAGGGCTATATCTGGCTGCGAACCCAGTAAAGGCCTGTCTTGGCAGCATGGTTCTCGATTCTGGGTTCANTCTGATAATTAAAGCGGAATGTCAGTAAGCGCTACAAAGTCGCCACGGCATCTTGCTTACCCCTAATTGTTGGCCTCCGATGGACCGAACCGCATCGTTGTGTTCACACAGCTTGGAGGGGGCTGTGAAGTGCACGCATCGGATGGGGATCTGGAGCGACTCCGCCAGCTTGGTCCAGTACTCGCGAGCCTTGATGTCGGCATTGGTGTTGTCNNTGATTCATAACAATCAGCCAGAAGCGTTTAATATGGTCATAGGAGCGAACGTACCAACTGCTACCGACTTCCCTTCTTCCAGAAATTCTCTAGCCACCTTGAGGCATCTGTCTCNTCTGTGGTTCTGTTAGTCTACAGAGATAGAGACAGAGTGCAGGCAGATGTGACGCACAGATTTGAGCAGATCCTGGTTCACGCGTTCATATCCAAGTGGCTTGAGATGTTGTTGGAACCAAGTAGACTTTCCTGCACCAGGACTTCCGCAGAAGATGACAAGCTCGAGTTCGTTCTTTTGGTGAAGGCTATGGGGCCTGTGAGAAGTCAATATATACACTGATAGATGTGGTCACCATGCCGAATACATACTTGCGTCCGTGTTGCTCGTCAAAAGTGGTGACACATGTGCTGAAGGGTCGAATGTGCGAGTGTAAGGACGAGGATCTTCTCCAAGGAAGAACTCTTCTGGAGTCATGAACTTAATGCCGACATTGCTGGCCAGATCTCNTGCTATGTTGTCAGTATGCCATCAACAGTGCGGGTGTGGGAAGTTCGACCTGTCTGAGCAAGAGAAGTCTGCCTTCATGCCTTTAGCGCTCGCTGTTCGACCACCTGCGTCGCCGACAAAGTAACATGATTCAAGGTCAACATCACCTTCATGGATCAAACCTTGTGCCTCTAGCAGCTTGTCCCACATTCCTGTGCGTGGTTTGCGGAACTTGTCTTTGTCGGTGGCGGCATAGAGGACAATAGGCAAGTCGAGCTGAATTAGGACATTCTTGACTCTCTGCTTGAAGTCGGCAAGTCTCTTCTTGTCTGAGTTGACTGTCTTAGAAGCACTGTTCATGCTGATACCGGCTTGGTTGCTGAGAATAGCTATCAAATACCTGAGGTAATCAGTCACGCAGCTCCCATATACAAACACAATGACTTACCCTTCTTCAGCTAGTTGTTTGAGCTTTGAGGGAACTTGTCTGTGCCACCATTTCCAATCATCGCCATCCCTTGCGAAGCGATTACCAGACTTAGCGTCGACTAGAGTTGAGTCNNCTGAAGAAGATTAGGTCCAGCTTAGCTTTAGCTAGGAAGACCAACGTACGAAATCGAAGGCTGCAATTTTACGTGGTCTGTTTGCGGTAGAGCTATCGGCTTTGTCGTATTTGCAATACAGTAATGTGTTCTCGATGACTTTCCATGTCACTTNTTCAGGATCCTTCTGTGAGGCAGGCTTGAAGAAATTGGCAACAGCTGNAACCTGAAAACCTCGTTATGAGATGAAACAAGTTTGGTTGGCAATGTGGATGTTTTTACTTGTGGTTGTACTGGTTGAGGGTGCTGTGCGCTTTAATGGTGGGGGCGAGACGCTTCCATCCTCAGTGGCTAGACGTTTGAGAGTTGGCGGCATTCTTGTGTACGTAGAGACGAAGTCGCGAGGTGAGAATTGGAGTCTGCGCACTTGTATCCGCGCAAGAAGCATCACCTTGATGATTTTGTGAAATTGTCCAAGGCATGTCAGTAGGAAGACGTGTTTGCGTCGCGTCGCTTTCACGTGATCACTCAATGTTGGCTGCTTTGGGAAGCACTTGTCTTGTGAATCGACACTACGAAGCAGCTCAACTTTCACATGCATGTTCACATGTCGGTAGATGTCAAGTTTGGAATTATACGACGGATGCTATTTTGATTTCTTGGTGGTGGCCATGTAGCTTTGAAAAGGCAGCCTATCTACGTAGCTGAAGCATCAAAGACTCGACGTATCGATCTCTTGGTTGCTCAACACTTCTCGTGGCGCTGGTCTTCACCAGCGGGCTTTAGGCAAGCAATCGGCGCGGGCTAATTCAGCACGCCGGGGCGTCTCTCTGCTCATGTGCATTGTGTCAAGCTTTTGGGGTGTCTGGCCGAAATCGTGTCGCATCCGTGGAGATCCGTCGTCGTGAAAGTATGTAGATCAGGTCGGCATGGGAAATATCCAGCGCTTGCCTGCAGACGCTCGCATTTCCCATTTGCACATCGCTAGAAAGACTTTTGGTTGATCATCGAAAGGGGGGAATTAGGTCGTTTATGCGAACAAGCTGGCACCGCCGGACTCAATAGCCTCGATCTCAGCTGCGGACCATGAGGTTCTAGCGAAACGGGCGGGCAGGTCGCTGCGGTCAAAGTACTCGCCGGATGCGGGCTCGACAGGGCCGAGCGACTTTCCGGGCTTACCGCCAACGAAGCCGCCGTATTGGCTGGCCGAGGTACGGCGGTGCAGAGGACCGTGCTGCTGGGCCTTCTGTCTGTAGGAAGCGAAAGATTCGGGAAGCTCAGAAGTGGGAGCGGCGGGGTGGGCGTGAGGGGTGTGGTCAATCTCTGCATGCATGTCAGACGGTGTAATTGAAGCTTTGAAGAGGAGCTACGGACTGGTGGGGATTGATCTCTTTCCGAGGAAGCGGATCATGGGCTGGCGAGCGAAGAGGATGCGTGTAGCGTTCATTTTGAAGATGTGGTGGTTGTGGGTTGTGTGGGAGTTCGTGTGAAGAAGGAGTCTTATGGTATTTCGCGTGAAGTCGGAAGTGAGAGCGATCGAGTCTTGACGGAAGTTGGAAGCTGCGGAGCTGGGCGTGCCGAGAAAGTCGGGGTTTGGTTGTGATGGATTCGAGTTTATTGAAGTTGGAAAAGTTGACGAGAGGTGACCAGAAGATGAACAGGCAGAGTGAGAGATTCGTCAGGGAGAGAAGAAATTTGTACAAAGGCTAGTGCGAGCGGGGCAGTCGAGTTGATGATGTATCCGCTCTCGAGGAAGGTGCAGCGCGTGGTGTGAGATGGCCTTGGTATCACGCCGCACAAGCTGCAACGCGAAGACGACATCGGCCGCGCTGAATACCCGATGTCCGCTGCCCGCCGGGCTGACTTTCAACCACTCGTTTGCCCACACATGCCCCTGCTCTTTCTGCCTGAAAGTCCTTCTTCTGACACGCCGCTCTGACAAAGCATCAATTCTCTTGCCTTATCTCTGCTATCTCCGAGCTTTTCGGTCGCTGTCCCCCGCTATCACGCAACTGATCTTCTCCTCGGTCTTCTCTTCGGTCGACTCCCTCTCCACCACTTCCGACTCTGCCTCCACGGGGTAAGCCGAGCTCTGGTCACTTCATCCGTCGTGCCTATTGCGGTTTTGAACGGATCACTATTTCCGTCCTTTCCAGTCTGTCTTCATTCGAAGAGAAATCTGATTTGCCGGATTCCCGGCGGTCTTTCCACTTCTGTCAATTCTGCTTCAGCATCAGAGCGTTAGTGAGAAAACAAACAGTCCAGTGGAGCTTTGCCTACTAGTCAAGTGAGGCACTTCTCTGTTCTGCTTGCGTCCTGAAGTAGTAACACTTGGCTCGCTTATCAATCTTCTCTGCTAGCAAACGTCTCATCTCACGTGCAATGCATGAGCTTTTGCTCTATGGCCAGGTGCCTCTCGAGCGCCATGATCAAGTTCTCAAGATTCTCGCTGGCATTGCTGCAATGCAACCGCGATCTCTNTTTGAGAGACATCTGATATACAGACCTATGCGCTCAAATCAGGATAACAAACCCAACAANAAGTTTCCAAACAAGCCCGTCAAACCTCAAACCCTCACTTTTCAGCACCTTGTCCGTCAGCTTGACCCATCCGAGTTCGGCACCGATTCTCCTGTTCTACTTGAGTCTGAGAACAACGAGAATACTAGTCAGCCAGCGCATACTTGGAAAATCAAGACACAAGAAACACCAGAACCAGAGACAAAGACTCTTGTTTTACGGCAGGCAACAGACATCGCCATTGACAAGGAACAACTACGCAAGTTTCTCGATCCTGCCAACAACGGGTAAGCTTTACTGTCTTGAGCCATAATATTGTTTTCGATCGTTAACCCCTGCAGGTTTGTGAGTGAATTCTTCATTGAAGGTCACAGATTTGTGCACAAGAACATGGTGCTTACATTGTTCCGTCTCTTGAGGGCAAGCGATGTACCTCAACAGTCACCCTTGACTGCACTTCCTACTCTGGACTCTCTCAAGCCATTGGACGTTAGCGGTGCATTTGTTCTCGAGGCCTGTGTTCGCATCGATGATCGTACTAAACCGAACTTGGTTTCGACTGCCTCAGATGAATTGGCTGCGTTCAGAGATTTGATGAAGGGGTCTGTGGATATGAAGGTGCCTGAGAGATTGTCACTCGATACTCGCGTCAGATGAGCCTTGCTTTAACAAGCATAGTTAGCTCGAGCTTCAGCCGCTCAAATAGTCAGCCGGTCTCCAACAGGTCGCTCTCTGGGCCGGCCAGTGCGATACAGTAGCAATTGAACACATTGCCTTTCACTTGATCACATCAACTTGATGTACATGAAGGTTAGTCAGTATAGATTTCCTTAGCTGTTCTTGTGCTAAGCATCGTCACATTTCAGCTACAGATTGCAGGATTGTTTTTCCGATCTGGTGTGCAGCTACAGAGATGTTTTTGGGATGACATCCGTCTATGGTATCTACTCCCTCCCAGATAACTCTATGCATTTGGTATAGCCTACATTATCACTATGCATTACCGTAGAGACGTCATTAAATAGTTCGCAACATTCTGGAACGTATGGTAATTGTGGATGGCGCCAGAGATAGGCGAATAGGTGACATCAAACTCGTACTTAATCGTAGAACAGAACCACTTCTTAGACCAAACAATTACGAATCTCATAATGGATCGAGCCGTATCGCCCAACATGAGGCAGAGTCAACAACAGGGCGTCGCTGCTCGGCGTTTCTTAGCCCACGCCCTAGATTTGACAACTGGGGAACGACAAAGAATAATATTCGCGATATGCCCTGACTACATATCTTCCTTGCTACAGACCATTATCATTCAGAGATTACACATTGCCTTCCTTGCTTATCGTTCCTGGCCGCCCAACACACACAACCAACCAGAAACATGTCCAACAACCTCGACCAGGACTGGACCATCATCATTGGTGCAGGCATAGTCGGATCATCGCTAGCCTATTTTCTTTCCGAATCAACACCAAAAGCGAATATCCTTGTCCTCGATCGCTCTCTCAGCACGATCGCTGGCTCAACTGGCTATGCTCCAGGTTTCGTCGGCCAATACAACGAAAAGTCATCATTGACCAAACTCGCCATCGAATCGGTCAGAGAATATTCAAAGCTCAATACCGGATTCTCTCGCAATGGAGGTCTGGAAATAGCATCTACAGATGCAGGAATCAAGATGTTGCATTCGAGATTGGAGGCGTGCAAGAAAACGGGGCTTCCAGCACGACTGCTTGATGGAGAAGAGATCAAAACCTTGGGTCTTCCAATACTTGATCCCTCTTCGGGAACTAAAGCGCTGTTCTTTCCTGATGATGGTGTTGCAGAACCTAAAGTACTGTGCTCTGCATATCGCGACATGGCATCAAGCAATGGCGTCAACTTCAAAGAAGCATCTGTCTCAGAGATTACAGTAGAAGACAACGCCATCACAGGAGTCATCCTCGAGAGCGGAGAAGTTCTCCCGTGCCAAAAGCTCGTTCTAGCCACTGGTATTTGGACAGCCTCACTGCTCCAGAAATCGGCTGCGATGCCTTTCGTGCCCGTGGTGCCTGTCAGTCACCCTTATGTCTACGCAAAGGATAGACAGCATGATTTGCTCCCCACTCCATTCATGAGATGGCCTGAATCCCATGTCTACTCGCGAGACCACGGATCCCGATATGGAGTAGGAACCTATGACCACCCACCCCAACAGGTTTCTTCTCTAAGAAACACAGCCACAGTGCCCTGGTCCAACGAAATCTTCGACCCTGCCATGAAACGAGCAATCTCCGATAGATTCACACCTGAAGCAGGATTCATCCAAGAAGCTCCTTTCGGTGCTGAAAGAGTTGGAGGTGTTTTCTCAGTCACACCTGATAACATGCCTTTGCTTGGATCTGTCACTGGAGTGCAAGGATTGTGGATGGCAGTCGCCATATGGGTAACACATGCCGCTGGATGTGCGAGAATGCTCGAAAAGATGATGCTGGGCGAGGCTTATGATGAGGAAATCGCGAGCGACTTGGATCCTATGAGATTTGCTGGAGGAGATGCCGAAAAGCTCGAGCGAATTGCGCTAAAGCAGTATAATGATATCTATAACACTGATCATTGACAAGTCTATGTTGTATCAGAAAACTATATACAGGACAGTAGATGATCATTCAGAGGAGTGTTGAGTCTCGAGATTTAACATCCCTGGTTTGAGAAATGTTGATTAGCAGCCTCCGTCAAAATGATACACAACGAATGGACGAAAACAATACCATTGGAATTGGAACCAGAGAGACATACCGATTTTTCACAATCATCTGATGTATAGCCGCGTTGAGTGTATCGTCATTGGTCATCATAGATACGACCAGGGTCGCCCAAGCAACGATCGAAGTTGCTCGCGAATCAGTGCGGACGTTAAATAGCATGGAATAAGTGGAATATTAGAATATTCCACTAATTTAAGGTAGAATATTCCACCTAGTTAGCATGGAATAGAATCGTTAATTTAAGTGGAATATTCTACTATTCCACCACTTAGTATAGCTAGTGTTACTATAGTTAATAATAGTAAGCCTTAGCTTAGAGTATACTACGCTTAGGCATAGTAGTCGCGTTTAAAAAACTTGCTATAACGCCTTTTCCGATTAGTAACCTATTTAAGCTCTTTAATTAGCTAGATCTTATCTCGGAGATTAGATTACGAGCTCCGACTAGCTAATTCTTTATTAGCTTACACGAAGCCTCGCGCGTCCTTTTAACGCGTCTTAACTACTCCCTCTTAATTTATTAACCATCCTATCCTCTACCTTCTTACTTAATATTAGAGCCTAGCTCTTTATTATCTTTCTATCTTTATAAGTATATAATCTACCTTTAATTATAATCCTTATATTATATATTTACTAGCTAATTAAGAGCATAAGTTATAAGAGCTATAAAGCTAACTAAACTCTCGATTATCTTAGAGCTAGCCGCTATACGCCTCTAAATAGAGTACGCTCTTTAAATTCGCCTCTAATACTCTAAGGCCTAGACTCTTCGCTCCTTAGAGTTAATTAGATAGTATCTTTATTAAAGGTAATAACTCTAAGACTAACGATAGCGCCTCTAATGTCGACTAGCTATTATTTCCTCCTTTAAAGCGACGACGACTAACGCTAATAACCGCTAGTAACTATATTAATAACTCTAAATATACGTTAATATAGCGCTCTCGAAAACTAGCTCCTACTTATAGCGATTCTAAAGAGCTCTAGTCTTATACTAGAGCTCGTCGTCCTAGAGAGCGCGAGCGTAAGCGTAAGAAGAAGATCTAGTACTACTTCTATAGTAATAGAGACTATCCTCGTAACTATAATACTACTAACTACGATAATATTAGATTATACCTTAAGAAGAGACATAGCTAGAGATAGGTAACTAGTACACTTTTAAAGATGCTAGTAGTAGTAATACCCTCTTAGACATTATATACTATTACCGATATCGATAAGACTCGCTTAAATCGACGTCTTATCGATTATATTACCTTAAGTAACATCCCCTTCCGTACTACTAGTAATCCTCTACTCTATACGCTACTTAATAAGGTACTTCCTAGCGCCTTAAAGCTCTTAATTAAGAGTTATTCTACTATCGCTAAACACGTTAAGAAGGAGCACGACTTCTATTAAGAGTAGCTTAAGGCACTACTTATAACATCTCGATTATTAATCCACTTTACCTACGATGCTTAGATAGCTAATTATAGTAGCTATAAGCTACTTAGTATTATAGCTCGATTTATCGACTTAGACGGTAAGTTAAGTAAGGCACTACTAGCTCTCTATAAGCTATTAGCTAGCTATACTAGTACTTAATGTACTCCTCTATTCTTTAATACTATTATTACCTATAGCATTAAGTAGAAGATAGGATATATTACCTCTAATAATGCTACTTATAACGATACTATAATAAGCTACCTTACTACTCTATTTAGCGAGCGTCTATCTATCGATTAGGACCCTATATAACATCGAACTCGCTACTTTAGACACTAGATTAATCTTACTAGTTAAGCACTTATGTTAGCGAGCTTAATAGACACTATAGCTACTATAATTAATTAGAGTTAAGATCCCTTAAAAGCTATCTTAACGCTCGCTTAAGGCACTAGCCTTACTAATTATAAAGCTCTCGACTACCTCCGTTAGTTTTTCGGAGTAGATTATAAGGTTAGCTCGCCGTCGTCGTAAGTTTAAGGTAGCTACTAGTGTATCTCCTATGCTTAATAATACTATAAGGTGGAATAGCTAGCTAGCTATAATTAAGCGAGGGATTTAGTCTCGAGTAACTATACGTGCTATTTAGTCGGCTAACGAGCATATAGAGCATACTACTCTTTAGCGGCGCTACTAGTAGTTCCTTAAAGCGCTTATTAACTTTATAGAACTATTATAGGAGGTAATAAAGCTATATAAAGGCGATAACGTAACTCTTAATTAAGTGCTTATATTAATGGACTTCTTACGTAAGCACTATAAAAAGTACATATAATAAGATACTTCTACCGACTAAGCCCTTATTACCGTAATCCGAACTAGCTAATTTGCACTTAATAAGTAGTAAGCTATTAACAACTATACTCCTACCTATATAGTAGCGTTCCTCCTCTATCTAACTTATCGCGAGAACTATATTAAATAACACTAGCCTCCGTTATAGCGAACACTAGCTATTACTACTATACGCGCTTTATAGACTACTAAATATAAGAATAAGACTAAGCCTATTATAATAGCACTATTATTAAATAAAGAGGAGTCGAATTAGCTAGCTAAGTAGTAGGCTTCTATACGGTTTATAAACTTAGTTACTATACCTAAGGAGTTTATCTAGTTTACTAAGAGTCCTCTAGTACTCGTTAATAATGCTATATAGTGGTAGCTTAAGCTAACGTAGTAACATAACTATCTAAACCTCTCTTAGATAGCTATTAATATCCTCTTAATTAATCTAATGTCTACTAAGTTAGAGAGGGTGTTTAGTAGCTATAGAAGGACACTATCGTAGGACCGAGTAAGCCTCTCTACTAATAATCTTAGCTATATTAAGTGCCTTAAGAGCTAGTAGAAGAACCTTTGTTTTAATAAGGTTAACCTACTAATTACTACTAACGAAGGACTAGAAGATTACGTAGAAGAGCTAGAGGATGACGTTAAAGGATAGGGTGACCTAGAAGAAGGACAGGGTGACTGCGACGACGACGACGGAGTTAAAATTAGCATTATTCCACTAGATAATTGACATGGAATGGAATATTAGCTAGAAGTAGTGGCATGGCATGGCATGGCATGGAGCCGAAATTCCACCGATTCCATGTAACGTCCGCTCTGTCGCGAATTAACCCTCTCTTCTAAGGCATAAGAACATCATAAACGATTAGAATGCATAATTGCTTCCTGTAGATGAGTCTGGCCATGGAGATAATCCTAATGGGGTTCTTTCTATGGAAGCCGTATGATTTGCAAAAGTATTGTGCATTTCTACAGCTATATTGTGATAGTCTAGCATAAGCAGAGATCAAGTTCCCCCTTGTACGTTTTATATTTGATTGAATATATTCTTTTGAAGTGAGCTGGAAAATGTTTGGGCATCCTAGACATGATCAACAACAAGCGTCTTGTGACTTGTGACGGTGTGCTCAATCTACGGCCGAAGGATCCGAATGAACGAAGATCATCCAAAGCGCATCCTTTACATAGCCCCAAGCGTCATACCGATGGCGATCGATATAAGCTTGATCTGTTGCTTATATATCTCCAACTCCCATACCCAGTCTTCATTGGAAGTTATTCCGAGCATCGAATTGATACCACACAAGATTATCATTACCAACCACAATACTCCAAGGACTACCATCACAATGTCCGGTTTTGCAATCAACGGCGTCTACCCAGAGTTCAAAGGGGAAACTCCTTATATGCCCGAAGACTTCGCAGACCAATATCCCAACGATCCTGAGAGACAGAAGCAAGCAGCCGATCGCAAGAACCAGGCCATGGCTCANAGAAAAGAGAAGAAGTCGCACTCGTCATTTGCAGAGACTGCTAAAGGACTGTTCAAAAGGAAGAGTCACGGAGGAAGCGAAGATATCGAGCTTGTGAATGAGCAGAACAAGTGAAAAGGTAGCATCCACGAAATTTTCTGCACGTCAGAGCAATGCTGATCGTCTTCTATACAGGTGTTTAGTGAGGGACGTCGTGATGAGCAAGTCGTTTGGAATATTTGTACAGATAATATAATAAATACAAGGGGTAGAGAAAAGGACCAAAAACTCCAGGCTCTTTTCGCTTCCACGCCAAATAGTATCAATGAATCGATGAATCTTTACTCTCCAATGTTAGGTGGACGGCCATCAGCCGCTCTTGTGCTCTCAGGCACAAAGTCAGTGCCTGAAACATCGTGAATACCGTGAGTGGCAGTTGCAGGAGGCACCTGCATGTTCTCAACACGACGTTCGCTCTCCATTCCAGCAGCATCTGCCTTCTTGATGCCACGAGCACCGGATGTTAGAGCGAGGGCGTCAGCGGTGACAAGTTCCTCATTCTCAGGGGGTGTCCAGCTTGAACTCTTCCAGGGCTTGACATGGAGGATGTACATGGTGTCAATTTCTTCCAAAGTACGTCCCTGATGCTCGCACAAGAAGAAATACGCTACAAATGCGCCTGCAAAGTTGCAAGCAGCAAAAACATAGCCGTAGCGGTAGTCGATATCGTTGGTGATAAATTGGGTGAAAAATGCTATTAGTACAGTTAGCAGGATATTCTTACAAGCAACTGGATACAATAGAACCACTGCTGTGCTGGTGAATGTACTCAATCCCGCAAGATGCCGTCCTGGGTGGTGTTTCATCGAACACACATCCCAGGGACTTCTTAATGCAGCTTGAGACCCACACCAACACTAGCCATGGTTTCTGTACCCTTATTTGATTCGTGTTCACCTATTAGAAAGTTCCATATCGTGGAGGGAGTTAGCATAGTTCTATAGGTCTGGTTTGAATAGACTTACCCAGTTTGAAGCTGTGGCAATGCCCATAGCCTTTGCGCGGTAGCGGGTGGGATACAGCTCACCCACCACACACCATACGATAGGAGCCCAGGTAGACGCATAGCTTTATCAAAAATGAGCCACATGTCTGGATAGCCACATGCAAGTAGATAGTAACATACCNNCTGCGATGAAAAGACAAGCGAAAATGATCATGACCGTGCCGGCAGTTCCAGTGTTCTGGTTGGCGTTTAGCATGAAATGCCCGACCTATAAAGCGAAGCTACAGTTAGCAGGATATCAAACGTTGGTTATAGGAATACCACGAACGCTGGCAAAAACCATAAACATGACAAACATCCAGAGACCACCGAAGATGAGAGCCTTGCGACGTCCAACGTTCTCGACGACCCAGAGACCACCAAAGGTGCAGACAAAGTTGACAGCACCAAGAATTGTGGCTGTGACGAAGCTGTCACTAATACCGACGGAGTCGAAGATGGTTGTTCCATAGTNAAAGAAGAAGTTGGCACCAGTCAACTGCTGGAGCATTTGTAGACCAGCACCCAGGAGAATACGGTATATGCGAGGACCTGTAAAGACCTCATACCAGGGGTGGTGACCACCTTGTTGCTCGACATCGAANNTCTGTAACACGGTTAGTCTCCTACTCTCGATACACGGTCTGGATGTAATCGACTTTGCTTTGATCTCGCGCAATTCTCTGTTAACAGCCGAGTGATTTTGCGAGGTTCCGTAGACGCCAGCGATAGTTTCCCTAGCCTTTTCGACATTTCCTCTGCGGTAGACCCAACGGGGACTTTCCGGCAGCAGCCAGATGCCTCCAGCCATGATACCAGACCAGACAAAGCCGATACCCATAGTGATACGCCATGAAGCAGGTCCATCGATGTTCTTAGTACCGAGGTTGATAACATCTGCGACCAAGATGCCGAGGGTAATAANAAGCTGATAACATGAGACCATGCTACCACGGATGTTCTTAGGAGCGGTTTCNNCTATAAGCAAAGTTAGTATGATGCTAATGTAGCAGATGCTGACACGTCAACTTACACTCATGTACATAGGAGTTAAGACAGAAAGTGCACCAACACCGAGTCCAGCAACCCATCTACCAATCGCAATTTGGTACCAGTGGTGTGTTGCTGACATCTGTACAATCATACCAATCCAGAAAACGATGTTTCCAATAAGGATACACATTCGGCGTCCAAGCCTATCAGCGATAGGGGCAGCAATGATGGCTCCGAGTAGAGTACCAATAGACAGCAGACCAACAATGGTACCTTCTCTTGAGGGAGAGAATGCTCCATTCTCGCCGAACCGATCTAAGAAATCCCTCATTTCCAGGAAACCAGAGATCTGTGTTTCAGATTGATCAGCAAGTCTTAGTATGAGTTTGCAGCTTGCTTCATTACCTGACCAGTATCATAACCGAAGATCATACCACCAAGGGAAACGATCAGAACCATAGCAATGACTTTGAAGTTGTAGATATGTGTAGGTCCATCATCCTCCATTCCTTTTTCTGTGGTGTCCATGGTCCGCTGAGCAGTCGTCGGCGGTGTTGTCGTACCGCTGTGGAACGAGACATCATCTTCCTTGTCTTTCTTACTGAACAAGCCCATGTTGGCGACTACAGGGCTAAGCCAACGTGGAGAAGTTTGGGGTTGTTATGTGGGATAATGCAAAACGTGGAAAAGGACCGAAAAGTAGTATGCGGAGCGTACGTGGAGAACTGAGGATATATAAATCAAAAACGATCTTCATGTTTTTTTCTTTGCTCAATAGTCATCACCTCGCAGGAACCGCCATCTGAGGTCATATCGTCTCACGGCTAACGATACGACCTTCGGGATGCAACCAGACCGAGTACCTTCAGCATCCTTCGCAAGACCCGTGATCGATGTTTCGTCGGCCGAGCACATCTTTTAGCCAGGGCTTACCAATTTTCTGCCGCGGACTGTGATTCCTGGACACAGCACGATGTCATTGAACAATATGCGACGTCATGGTTGGGAACATTTAAAAGACCTCGTGCACGGCACGAGGGCCCGGTCGTATCCCATTGGTCAACACCCCGACCAAACGATCGGATCGCGGGCGTGGCTTGTAGGGCTGCAGGAGCAGAATAACTTTCAATCAACCTTCACTCCGCGTCATCAAAGTCGATACTATACTGTTGTACACGAACAACGACCATACGCCAGAGCTGAAGGACTTGGTGTGCACAGCGACTCCTCTCGAGTGACGCGCGCGAAGAGAAAATGGCCCCACCTCTGTTCAGGTGAACCATGGAGAGCGTTGTGGAGAGGGCGTGGGAACTTCAGTGGAGACTCCTCCAGTCATCAAATGAAAATCTCACTGCGCAGAGGGATCGGCTTCAACTCGTGTCAAAACGCTTATATTAGCCAAGCATTTTTGCCCAACGGACTCCGCGAGATGTCTTGTTAGACAAATCGGCAAGCCGGCCACGTCCACGCCCTACGTGTGTCGATGATTGATTGAACATCCGACCGAAGAACACTGCCTCAGACTGGCCGGGATACCCGAGTCTCTTCGGAATCGGGAGTCGGATACATGAGATGCGGCAGTTGCATCTGCCTCTGCAGTATGTTTACATGTGTTGACATCGGATAGGCAATCGGCACTGTACAGGCTCAGCCAACCCAAGCACGTTCTTGGAACAAGATGCACTGCAGTCAATCTGCTTCGCATTGCATCACCTCTTTTGCCCTTTGTTTTCCTCCTGGCGTGCCAAAGACTGTCACATATCTTGCGACTAATCCCCTCTCCATCACGAGTACAAGAGGTATTACGTACTGTCGAAATGCGTGATCGCATTTTGGATGTGAGTCTGGCCATTGAGACAGCCTCAGATAGGGGTTTTCTCTGGAGACCACACTCTTTGCAAACGTATTGTGTATTTCCACAGCTACGCTGTGACAGTCTAGCATATATGGAGATTTATGCTGTCTATCAAAGATTGGTTTATCGCCTTACATGAGCTGCCTGAGAGCCGTCGGTCGCTTGCGTGAATTGATAATGCCAAGTCAGACAATGTTTTTGTTACAATCGGAATGGCTGTTTGAGGCTCTCCCTGGTTCTACCAATACTTGGTTAGCAAATTATCACGAACGTCAACATCTTGTTGGACATATCTCATAGGATTACGACCATATTCAGACATGGGTTTTCTTCTATTCTGGAGTCAGAAGCCAGGTCGGCAATGGATTCGATGCCGCAATGGGTGGCTCCCCAATTGCTGCCAATATGCCTGGCCAGCATGCTCCCGCTGCTGCTAACGACCGTCAGATTGCTGCCAACACGCCTGGCCAGCGTGACCCCGTCGCTGCCAACAGCTCTGGTCAAGCCAATCCCACCGCTGCCAACACTCCCACCCAGGGTGCCCCTAACGCTGCCAACACTCCTACCCAGCGTGACTCCACTGCTGCCAATGGTGAGCAGATGGTGGTCGATCAGGGTGACCCCAATGCTGCCAACAAGGACGAGGAGATGGAGGATGCTGCCAAAGAAGCCGAAGCCCAAGCAGCTGCCAAAAGACTCAACGACTCTATTGAGGCTTCCAAAGTTCCCCCTTCCTGAGGACAATGGCGATGATGGTCTGAAATTGAATATTAAACACTCTTCTTCTCGAATCATATGTTACGTGGTACATGCACCAATGTTTGGCAGATCGGACGACTAGCCGAGCAGATGATGCTGCCCAAGTTGCTGCCAAAAAACTACAGGAGTCTATTGGCGAATGTATTGTTCGTTTCCACCATGAGACTGTGCAAACGCGGGAAGCCCGTGAGTTGATGCTTCTCAAGCGCAAGAGTCAGTCGTTCCAAACCAGGAACAGAGCATTGTGTCAGCTGATAGAATGCACAATGTTGACCAGCTCGGAGATCAGTCCAGTGAGAGGCTTCGAGTCACTGACTCTCAATGGACGCTGCTATTTGCTAGATGACACTGTGCATTTTTAAAGTACGCATCATCGATCATTTCCATAGGGAAACCTTAGTACACACAACCATTATATCATACAATAATATTTTATGCTAAAAGCATTACTCATCTTCCTCCACATCTTCCACAGTAGCAGCAAACTCATTTCCTGGAGCAGCTGCAGTCTCAGGCCTCACCAATAGAAATCAATCTTTGCTGCAACTCCATCAAGCGTTGCGTGCGCTGAACAATCACCTCTTCTGGAACACCGCTCTCAGCAATACGACGTTCAATTTCTTCTTCATTGGGTTGAGGACGTTCTTCGCCTTCACCAGTAGGATTGAACCATGGGAACAGTTCGGAGAAGAAACGGTAGAGACCTTGCAGTTCGCGGAGACTCTCTGCTGCACCGCCTAGAGCGCCAGAGGGCTGCTGTGCAGCACGATGGGACATGGCAGACGTGGGAGTGTAGGTGGAAATGTTGTCAGGGGGNNGTGGTAAGGGGTCAGAGGCCGAAGTGACTTTGGCAGTAATAGAGCGAGGCAGCAGTGCAATGAGAGTTGGAGTGTCGCTCATCAAAACATGTCTGCCTTCGTTCAGAGTAATGTCTCTGTCTACCACTGGCGGATCGGGGATCTCGCTGCTTACTGCCGAACTGACTTCGACAAGGAGCTCGCTGGCTTCAGGGGTATTCCAGAGGTCCTTTGCGCGTGTGGCGTAGACTTCAGAATGAAGCTTTTCGCTGTCGGTGCGAGGGGATTTGCCCCAAACGCTAGGTGGAGGGTCGAGGTTGAGCTCTTGGAAGAGGCGAGCAACGACCCAGGGGAAGCGACTGACTGCGGTATAGAGAGATTGCTTGCCTTTGCCGGCATCACCTACTCTAATCAGGGCCAGAGCGCGACTGAGCTGCACATTGGGCAAGTGCTTCCACTTGGATGTGAAGATAGGGTTGTTGACAAGGTCTAAGAAGTTTTGAGGCTGGCGACCACGTATAGCGTACTGGTCGATGACGAGACTGATGCAGTAAGGATCACTTTCAGGGTCGAGACTGAGCAATAGCTTTGACCACTCATAGACGGTTCGCCAGGTCGAGCGCATGCCCAGGTTGGAAATGTAACGGCAGGCGGCCAACCAGAATTCACGGTTCTCAGGGCGGCGGAAATCAAGGCGGGCCTTGCCTTGCTGCAGATTTGTAGAGAAGGTAGAATGAACAGCACGGCCGAAGGAGAAGAGAGCACGCTCTAGTAAATCGCCGGAAGTGGTGTGATCACGCTCTTGCTTTGCGATTTCTGAGACCTGCAGCAGAGTGCTGATGTGGTAAGGGTTGTGTTGAAGCAGAAGAACCATACGTTGTGGGTCCATAGATGCCACACAAGTTTCGAACTGGCCTTGGACGTCTTGGTATGTGCGGTTGTGGACAAAGGCATATTCGACAGTGCCGTCTGACCTCTTTTCAATGACTTCCATGCCGAGACCACCGCTAGTAGCGACAGGCCACTCTTCCTTTCCTTGGATGAAAATGTTGCGACGACGACTGAGAGCAGCCAGACCATCGCTCCTTCCACCTTGACCAGGTCTTCTACCCAAAGCAGCAGCCAAGCCAGCCTGTTGAGCACCTCCACGGTTTCTCCTGCGTCCACCAGCATTGTTGTCGTCGTCATGGTCGCCTTCAAGTGCAGCGCGGCCGAAGAGTCTACGCATCTCGTTGGCAGCATGGAGAGAGGATGTGTCAACAGATAGTAGTCGGCAGACTTCGTTGGCGCTAGGATCGGCGGTGTTTGTAGGAGTGGCAGTGCCAGATCCCTTTGTGCTTAGCGATTTCAGAGCGAGGTCAATGTCGTCGAGAGAGGCGTCCTGCTTAGAAGGAGTAGTATTGTTAGACTGGGCCTTCTTTGCCTTCTTGTTCTTCCCTTTTCTTCGACTTGGTAGATTGCTTCGGTGCTGGCTGAGTAGGCTGGGTAGGCTTCTCGGGTTCGTCTTCTGACTCTGGATCTTCCAGTTGAGCATCCTCATCTTCCTCGTCATCTTCGTCGTCCTGGTCCAACATGGCAAAAAGACTCTGCTTGGCGGGTGCAGCAGCAGGAGCTTCTTCCTCCTCGGACTCATCATCTTGATCTTCTTGCTCCTCTTGGAGCTTTCGCAGTTGCTCCTGTTCTTCGCGCTCACGCTGAGCTTTTCTGAGTGCTCTGGACGACATGGTTGATATGTGGATGTTGTTTCGCGGATGACAATGACGATGGTCAAATAATATTGTGCTTCACGTCAGATCGGTGACGTATTCAAGATTGCTGAGCATGTGCTAAAGTTTGTCACTCCCACATCGAGCATTCCCATCACAAGATTGAGCAACCAATTCTGAAGGTGTCAAAAATCACAATAGTATTCACACCAAAGGTGTGTCTAGACAGAGTCATTGCTATCATTCTCTGATGATTCTTGATTGATCTGTATCTTTCTACTGTCAGTCGCGTGACAAACTTAGCAAACGGGCAGCGATCTAGAGACACGAACTTGAGGGTCTAGGTCTCCCCCAGACTCCACTGTCCTTGTCGCATTCTCATCGCGACAACAGCATTCTGTGCAAATGCGTCGTGCTGTCGTTCAGAACTTGCGTGCAGTCCGCCGCCCCAGCGTCTCCCGATCGAAAGTTGCCGGCAATGTCGTCTTCCACCGCTCGCTAGCCACCCGCTCCTCGTCCGCCCCCTCGTCCATGCGCCTCCGCCGTGTTTCCCTGGCCGTTGGCGCTGTCGCTGCCGGANNGGTGCTGCCCTGTACCAGTACCGCCAGTCCTCCTCTTCGACTTCTGCCTCTGCCCAATCTGCCCCCTCCACAAACTACGCCTCTCCCCCCTGCTCCTGGTGCTACTGGTCCCGTGTCAGAAGAAGTCGCCGATGCCGTCCGCCGTGCCCTCATAGTAGAGCAAGGCGCCCTCTACACCAGCGTCATTCCTGACAACCAGCCCCTGCACAAGGAGACCGACGACTACGGTCGCAAGGTCCTTGAAATGTTGACTGCAGAGCAAGCCACCCAGAAGCTGCGTACCAACCAAGAATCTTATCTGGTCGGCCGCGGTTCTGGTGTTGTTCGCTACGATGTTGTCCAGATCCCTAGCAACGACCCCATTGAAGACGACCACGCCGAGAAGATCATTCACGTTCCCGAGTCGGTTTCTGGTCAAACCGAAGGTAGTGATTGGATGTTCTGGGGTGTCTTTGACGGTCATGCGTACGCCTTTCCAGTCCTCCCACATCTGCTGCCTTTTGCTAACATTCAAACTATAGTNGGCTGGACCACATCTGCCAAACTCCGTCAGACTCTCATCTCATACGTCGCTCGCGAGTTGAACACGACCTACACAGCTGCCTCCGCCAACTCATCTCTCAAGCCTCCCCCTCCTGATGCTGTCGACGCCGCCATTAAGAAGGGTTTCACCCTGCTCGATCATGAAATCACTCACGAGAGCGTCAAGAAGGTCCAGACCGCAAAGTCGAGGTCATTGGCTGCCGAACTTCTCGCTCCTGCACTCTCTGGTTCGTGTGCTTTGCTTTCTTTCTACGATAGTCGCACCAAGGAGCTTCGCGTTGCTTGTACTGGCGACTCGCGCGCTGTTCTGGGCCGTCGCGGTGCCAGTGGCAAGTGGACTGCAACTGCCCTTTCTGTCGATCAGACCGGAGGAACAGATTCTGAAAACGCTCGTCTGCGCAAGGAGCATCCCAATGAACCCTACGTTACTCACAACGGTCGTATCCTCGGTGGTCTTGAGCCTAGCCGTGCATTCGGAGACGCCGTTTACAAGTGGTCCAAGGAGACACAAGATCTTCTGAGGAAGAACTTCTTCACTCGCTCCTATTCCAAGTACCTGAAGACTCCTCCATATGTTACTGCTGAGCCTGTGGTCACCACCACAAAGGTTCAACCTGAAAAGGGCGATTTCGTCGTTATGGCCACAGATGGTCTATGGGAGATGCTCACGAACGAGGAGGTTGTCGGTCTGGTCGGAATGTGGCTTGACCAGCAAGCTCACACTGCTCCTCAGCGGAACCAGTCCTGGCTTAAGTCGTGGTTCAGTTCCAACAAGACAGCTTCTGCTCTCAATGTTGAGGGTGCCGCTCATGGAGAAGATGCTACTGGCCAGCGTGCACCCATCCGTCAACAACAATGGGGTGTCAACGACCCTGAGTTCCAACGCTTTGTTGTTGAAGACAAGAACGTCGCAACACACCTTGCACGTAACGCTCTTGGAGGCAAGGATACAGACACACTGTCCGCTCTACTTACTTTACCCAGCCCATACTCGCGAAGATACCGTGACGACCTGACTATTGAAGTCATCTTCTTCGGAGAAGGCGGCCCAGAACGGACAGGACGAGTGGAGTTGAACAAGGAAGCATCGGCCCTAGGGTCCGAGGCCGTCAAGCCAAGCTTTGAGGTGGCGTAAGGAGTGTCATTCATGTTGCATTGCGGGAGTCTTCTAACATTCGGCGCTGGGGAGCTTGGTCTGGGAGGATCTGACCTGACTCATCATAGAAAGGGGTTCATCAGGGATAGTCATGTGCGTTATGGCAGGGTTGTCGTAGACATAGAGAGTTAGCAATCTCTCTGAGCCATCTATCAAGCAAGCTTTGATGGGCGAACATCAAAAGACACATGTCGAAGTTATTCCCCATCATTCTTGAAACGTTCGAGATCTCTCACATTAAACTCTGTACTTGACCTTCCCACGTGTGTCATTTTATCTCTGTTCAACTTATCCACACCTGACTCGCTCAAGATTAGGAGTCCACGTGGTTGCAAGCCTCTTTTGGATCCTTCCTTCTCTGTTGGTTCCATGCATGGGTGCATGGCTGCCGTGTTCGTATTGTTTGAAAGTCCAAGCTCTTGGTGTTGTACCGCGATCTCCAGATTTTCCACCTTTGCCCACCCACGCGGATCATCTTTCCCAAGAAACTCGTTGCTCTGTGCACGATCGACGGCAGAGTCTCAATCTCAATTAAACCCCACGTGGATAAGTTGGACCTTCCTCGTGTGCTATAGACCAGTGAGCATGGCTGCAGAATTGCACAATGTTTTCATGGTGTCAGTGATTTCCAGAGAGACGCTGTCTCAGAGCATTCCTATGAGCCGACTTTTGGTTTGAGAGCAGCTATGTTTTCTATTTTACCGCTATACTCAATGATACGTCACCATAAGAAGAGTGTCGGTCGTGAAATTGTGACAGTCTTTCAGCTCATGGAAACAGCACACCTGCAGCTCCCCGGAGATGAGACTCCGTGAGCTGTGTGACGATTCGGAGACTCTCTCGGTCCGCACACATCGTTCTCGGTCTGGAGTTCTACGGTCAAGGCTTCTATTTACGGATAGCATTCCTGCATCAGATATGCCGAACAAGGAGAAAAAACTAGTTACTCGGAATATCATGGGAGAGGTCATTCAATGAGTCGGGTAGGGTGTTTGAATTGAATGTAACCGCAGTCCACATAGTCAATATTGGCAAACCGCAATCCGCGGCCATTGAAGCATTTTGCTGCTGAATGAGTTGTTGGATACTTGGTGCACGGAGGTGGCCATGAAATGCTCGAGCCGGGTAAGATCTGCTCAGGAGTCAGGCAAGTAGCTGTCAGAAAAAAAGCCGCTGTTCACCCGGACCCGATCGTTTGAACCCTTCTTCCCGGAACCTCTGTACATGTACCTCACGACAGAGCCTCAAGGTTTTAAGAAATGTGCTGCTTGCGTTCTTGGATCGACTGATCATCCGACCACTCTCAATTTCACGACGACTTAGCAGTCGTGTACCGTGTGCGAGATTGGGAGTTGTACATGCCTTATGATACCTTTCTGTCTAGCCTGAGCATAACTACAAAGGAGGGCTCACCGAGCCGATACTAGTTGAGTTTCATGCTACAACAGAAGCTTTTAGAGTTAACCTAAAGCCTTCCATTGCAACGGCGTTTCGGAGTACACTCAGCACAACACTCTGTGACTCGTGGCGCTGTGTCAACAAGGTAGGGCTTCCAAGCAAGCAAGTGTCTAGTCATGTCTATCTTTGTGCCGATCCAAGTTTACGTCTGCTGAAGTAGGCCCTCAAGGTTCAGATCTGTGCACATACTGCGTGGCATAGATGTACATATGTAGGTCTGACACGTCCCCGGCTTTGCGTAGTTTTCCTTCTTTGCATTGATCCATACACTCACCGCCATCCTTTCCTGAACAGACCCGAATATAAAGTACCCGCTGTCTTGTGCCGGCTGGAGATGATAGAGTAAGGGCATTAGATTGCTGGAGCCATCGAAAACCTTCGTGCCATATCTCACGTCAAGCCTTTAAACTATCCCTTGGAGAACGATACACATCTACGCACACACCACTATGGCGGACGAGGTGCCAACTCTGGATAACCTGGGCTCTATACCACATTCTCTCTTCTCTGGCACAGTAGCCATCTTGGCAATTGTATGGGTTTCAGCAGCTTTGCGGGTCTATGTTCGCAGCGTCATGATGAGATCTTTCGGATGGGACGACTGGACTATCATGCTTGCNTACTGTAAGTACTAGCTGGTCGCGTTGTCTCATACCACTCTGAGACCATTCTGACACTATCAATAGGTATCTTTTACAGTACAATGTGGCTACATCATAAATGTCACCAGAATGGAACTTCAGCCGCAAAAGTATAACAACGTTAACGGGATCTCCGAGCTCGTCACAGTGAGTATCAAAGCCATGCCTATCGACTGCACTCAGTGCTAATTGCAGTCAAGNGATATCATCGCCTTCGCCGGATCCTACGCGATCACTGGAGTCTTCCTGAAGATATCCTTAGGTTTCTTTTTCTTGCGAATCATCATTGAACCATGGCAGAGAATGGCCATCTACTTCTGCATGGCCATCAGCACCGTCTACGGCTTAATCTACTTTGGCATCGTCACCTTCGGCTGCGGAGACCCAGAGAAATACTTGCTACGCACGGTTCAAAACCAATGCATATCAATCACACAGGTTGTGATACCTGCCAGTTACGTGCACACAGGCCTCAATGCAGCTACCGACTGGGTCATGGCTCTTCTTCCTATTCTTACCATCTGGAAACTGAGCATGCCGCGCATCACAAAGTTTTGGGCATATCTCTTGCTTGGGTTGGGAGCAGCAGGAAGTATCGTTTCACTGATTCGTTTCGGATACGTCGAGGGCATTCGTCCGGGAAGAGACTTTTTCAAACAAAGCGCCAAATTCGCTCTCTACAGCATTTTCGAACCTGGTCTGGGCATCGCAGCTGTTAACTTTGCAACTCTTAGACCACTGTTTAAAAAGTGCCTCGAGGGAGCAAAGTCAGTCTCTTATTCTCAGGGTACGCGAAGTGGCGGCAGAAAAACCCCTTCGATGGTACCGGACATTCAGCTCAAAGGGCTGCCTATGTCTCGGTCTCGTCCTGGCGATGGGTTTCGTGCATTCGAGTCTTCAGATGAGGATTCTCAAGATTGGACTGAAGTGTCCATTACAGCTCAAGATCTGGAGAAAGCGCATAATAATAGATGGCCGCAAAACTCGCGGCCGTTCTGAACTGATTGATAGATGCATAATGAATATTTTTTACTCTTCATATCACAGATATGTCCTCTCATTAGCCTCTATCTAGATAGCTTCCGGTTTTCGAAACATTCATACAACCGAGCAAGATCCATCCAGAGCGAGCTGTCCGACGGCTTACAGACACAGCGTTACATCTGTGGCTTTGATGGACATACACGATCTTGTACATCAGGGCTAGAAAGCTACAGCATTCACGACCCTCACTAGAAGTTCCCTCAGCCTGCTTTCGTCTAGAGGCATACTCGTCAGCTTGTCAACAAGACAATGGCGTGCCGAGCAGAATCTGCTGCCCCTGCCAGAAGTCAATAGTCACCATCGCGACTCACGGTCTGACTCAAGAACCTGACTGCTTCCCACGAGAATCCATGCCATCTTGTAACACGGTATCAGATACCAGAGCAAATATGGGCTCGGCACAACGAGTTGCCATAATCTGATTCCTTAGAGAAGCAATGTAGCTCCTTCTACAATCGAGCGACAACAAGACGCTCGATTGCGCAAATAGGCAAGCACGATACTTCTCGTCATTGCCATGTGATACAGTCGGATTGAGAGAAGGATGAGACATGATTAACTCTCATTAAGATGTTTACATGTACCTATAGAGAGACATACAAACACTCCACTTCACTCGTTCAGATAGACTTACACCCCAGAAGATCAACAATATCACCAATTCCAAGTGTACAGTGTGCACTACCTTCTCTGATCTTTGGTCCTAACTGTTCACCTTCCCATGGCGAGACCGTCACTTTCTATTAAGACTTCGATGGTCTTCAGCCAGGGAGAGGCATTGTTCCGGTTTTCTCTGGATCGCATTCTTGCATGCCTTTTCCATCGATGAGACGCATGAGTATTACAGACGTCGTTGTAGTCGCCATAAGCAGATAGATCAGAGTCAAGAAGTCGTAATAGGCATCGATCTCCAAATGCTGCAAGAGAGGGTTAGTTGGCAAAAGAAACCCCTCTAGCCCCTCCCGCTCATCGTAGCTGGGAGAGAAGAGACTGGACCAGGACTGGGCTTGTTCTGGATTGCCGCATACCGTCACGAATGCTTAGAGCATGTGAGTGATCTGTTCGTTGTCCGAAAGAGAAAAACAAGGGCAAGAAGAAAACAGAAAAGGGGTCTCATCAAACTTAGCAGCATGAATTGGAAAGGAGCAACACATACTGAGCTGTACGAAGCGCAAGGAAAATGCAAAAACAGCCACAAAACAGCACTATACCATCAGCAATTACAGCAAGATGAGCGGTAGTATGCTACAAGTGCAGAGTGCCACTTATCACACAATGTTGGTAGAGTGAAATGTGTAATGTGGAGACGAATGTTTGATTATGGACGCTGTCTCATTCTCATGAACTCATTAAAACTAGGTCATAGCAAAGGCCGTTTTCTATGCTCGTATCTGCTTCTGTTCGACGCATTGCTTTTGAGCAAGAGGTGTATGTGCAAATACGCTTAACCGTTGACAACAACACCACCGTTGGCGTGGATGGTTTGTCCGGCGATGGAAGCAGAATCTTTTCAGGAATTAGCAGATGTTATCATGGTATGTTGTTGGATAAAAACTCACCGGTNTGATGCCAAAAACACAAAGCAGGTGGCGATCTCCGAAGGCTGCGAAGGACGGCCTATAGGTGAGCTAAATTCGGATTGAGCCTTCTCGTTCATGGTTGCAGGGATGAGAGGGGTCCAGACGGGGCCGGGAGCGACTGCGTTGACGCGAATACCGCGGCCAACGTACTGGTTGTGGAGACCACGAGTGAAGGAGATGATGGCACCCTTGGTACTGGTGTAGTNCTGATTGAATATACGTCAGCAAGAATGATCAAGTAATACTCATGAGTTATACGTACCAAGAAGATCAGGACGTCCAATGTAGGCGTTGATGGAAGCGTTGTTGATGATGGTGTCTCCTCTCTTCATGTGAGGAAGAGCATACTTGGAGAGGAAGAAGAAGGGGTGGATATTTGTGTCGAACGTGAAAATCCTGAGTCAAATTAGTCGATGTTATGTTGATATGGTGTTTGGAAAAGTTANCCATTGCTCCTCGGAGAGATCCTTGATGTCCTCGACCATGTTCTGGTAGGCAGCGTTGTTGACAAGGATGTTGATGGCACCCATCTTCTCGAGAGCAGTGTCGACAACCTTCTTGCAGTCCTCCTTCTTCTTGAGGTCGACCTGAAGCAAGTGACACTTGCGGCCGTAGGACTCGACCTTCTTCTTGGTCTCCTGTGCATCCTTCTCCTCGACTTCGAGGTAGGCGATCAAGCTGTCGGCACCCTCCATGGCGTAGAGAATAGCAATGGCACGGCCAATACCGGAGTCACCTCCAGTGATGACGGCCTTCTTGCTNNCCTCAAGCTTGCCGGCGGCCTTGTAAAGCTGGAAGCCACCATCTTCGGTGGGAAGGTGCTCGTTGACAGGATCAGGGCCCTTCTGCTCGCTCTGAAGACCTGGAGGCTTCTGGTGATCGACGGGGATCTCGAAACCTTTTGCTGTCAGTCACTGCGCTTGCTAGCACTTGTGGAAAAGACACATACCCTGCTTGAATTGACCTTCAGACATGATGATTAGTTGAAGACAGGTATTTTGTGAAAAGTAGCTGTCAAAGTTGATGTGTGAAAACAGATCTGCGGCTCAGGGAGCAAAGATATAGCTATAGTGGGTGGTTCTGCGTGATGTAATTAAGCGTGACATCACCGCAACGAATGGTGACGCTCGAACGACACATCCACATCACGATCTCACTACTGCTGAACACGTCTTGGCTCACTATTAGCACCACTTCGAATCCCCAACGCAAATTCTAACCGGAACAGATCTGTTCTACCGCGAAGACCCGGTGAGAAGATGAAAGAAGTCTCCTGCCCAATTGTTCTCCGCTTTCGAACAAGACAGCTTCCTGCTGGACGTCATGTTTGTCACGCTACTCGAGAGAAAACATGCCTAACTTTGCAATATGACCATGCTCGAAGAAATGAACGATCTCTAGACTAGGGTTCCTTCCTACATTAATAGTGAACGCAGCACGAAAACGAAGAAGATTCTCCAGTGACAGAAACGCGCGGTTCGACCGGAGCTTGAGCTCGGACCTTGTCTGAATCGAGCCGAATGCACCACCTTGATGTTCCCCTCCTCGTTTAGGAAAACGCAAGTTTTGCCGAAGACATTAGGCTCTACAAACACATAGTCTTACACTTCGCTGGGTTAGGCATTGTTCAGGTATCACCACTTTGAAAAGTCATCCCCTGGAGATACTGCATCGCCTTTCTAGAGTCTACCTCGTTCGACCACGGTGCTATAACGATTCCATCTTATCATGGGAGACTAGAGGTTCCAACAAGTTGCAATGCATCTTGAATGCAGTGAATTGATAGTGCGAGATAGTAGATGCATATTCGAAATAGATTGCCTGCAGCAGCAATGAAGAAATCTCTGAACCCGTTGTCGCTATCGATGCAGCCACGCGCACCACAAACAGGCGTTGTCGATCATGACTTATATGTAAGAATACTTTTGCAGACTGTCCGTTGCGTGTTCGTCTGGGATACACAGGATCGACTACCAATCGGCCTCGCATGGAAGTGGACACCCTATCAGGAAGAGGGTACAAAGTATATGTCTACGAAGCCGTGTCAATTCTTCGAATCCTCCTCTTAGACACATGCCTGTCGCTGTTTTTATCTTGAGCCATAGGGAACTGGAATCTGTCCCGGTCGCAGGAAGACTAGGCGCGCTACAATATGCTTCGAAGGGCGTGCGCTTTCGTTCATGCAGCGACGGGCATCCTGCGCGGTCGGCTTTTGACGGTCAAAGGATCTCCATTGATTTGTTGATGTTTTCGGACTGCAGGCCGCTGTGACCGATTGAGCGTGTGCTATCATGCTTGAAGCACTAAAACGTGATAGGAATCTAATGCAGCCACCATTTAGCAGTTCTTCCGATCATGCGTATTGATGGCATGCATGCGGTTGTTTTTTCCTCTCGACACTGACAAATTCGACATGCATGAACCTTCGCGGATCCCCGAGCGGTAACATGGAATCGGTTGTCTCTGAGGTCGATTTCGAGGCCTGGTGGACACTGCTCACAGGCAAGTAAGAGATTCGTAGGGGCGAATGTTCGACAAGGGTGGCTTGCAGTCGTAGTTTCGATATTCAGGGGAGAGTTGGTGTGCAGCTTCGAACCAGCTGTCATGTGTCCCTGCATTGACAAGCAACCTGGGCGCATATGACAGGCTGAATATTGCATGCGCTTCATCTAATGGACTTCGGCCATCCAGATAGAGCTTGCGTAGTGTGCGTGTAGCTGACAGTAGCAGAATGTTGACTCATTTCTGGATCAGAGCAACTCACTCGAAGAGATTCGACAGATAGAGACGGCCATTTCGATAATTGTTCTCGAAGTACATGTCAATGTTAGCCTGTCGCACGACACAAGGTAGCGGCGAGCTAATTGAGGAGCCTGATCCGAGATAAGAGTACAGGGAAGAGTTGTGGTGAAGGTGTGTTGAAAGATTTGGAATCGGTGCACGCGCAAGCTATCAAATGCGAAAGCCCATGAATCTTCATGACCTAATCACAACTTCTATGTATAAAAGGCTTTGAAGACTAGTTGTAAACTTTGTTGCTGGCGCAGACACTTTGCCGTTCTGGCGACTCGGGTTCAATATAAGACATGCTAGCTAACAAAGTAGCTGCGTAGAACATTGTCCAAGCCTCTCGAAGATTGACTTGAGAACGTGTGGATACTCGTACTTACAAGGCCACAAGTTGGTCATGCAACGATTTGAGAACTTCACTGTAGGCTGATGCACAAGCACCTTGGCTTCATAGCACGATAATATCGAATTGCAAATTGGCGCGACTCAGTTCGGACAGACTCCTTCGTGATGGGAACGGAAGGCTTTACCCGTTCGCATCAGAAAGGGGAATTTGCTCTTTCCACGTGTCGTCCAGAGAACGGCCAACTTTAATTCTTTGCCGCGACCACTGTGGTCTAAGCTCAAAATTCTACGTTAGACACATCAGTCAGAGCATGTTGGTATGGCATTTCCCGGTGGACAATGTGTCGTGTTTACTGATCAGAGGACAGACGTTCCTCCAGCGCATTGGCCAGCCAGAATCCTTCTTTGAATTGCAGCAGAGTGCAATACACAACTAGACGAAAGCGGAAGGAGACATGAGAGAGGGTGGGTGGTTGCCGTTCTCAGTCTTCGATAGCGTGAGGTGTAGTGTGGGAGAGATCTTCCCGCGTCTTTTCATGGCAACATGGGAAACGGCAGAAGCTTCATTGCCAGCACCGTAGCCATGGAGTCGGTGAAGGGACGGACCCAAGGTTCGTTGAAAATCTGCCCGAGCGACCAGTAGCTGGAGGCCTGCTTGCGCCATCTTTTGAGGGCATAGCAAGCATATGTTTGACAGACGCGGGCTGTAGCAGTCAACAGTGTTGTGCCATGTGTTTGGGTTGTACACTGGTACTGTAGAGACTCGGAGCAACACTGCGACGTGCTGATTATTGGAGGACTATTGGATTATGCAGGGCGGCAGTCCAATCGGCCAGTAGGATACTCCATGTGCAACGTGGGAAGTCTGAAGGGTGTTGCGTACGTGACAGCCACACGACGCTTGCGGTAGACTTGCCAATTTGATGACGGTACCTGCTCCAAACAAGGTTGTCTTTGACATGTCTTCAGATACCACCTGTAAATTTAACGCTCCGAAGTGGATACAGCCACGAGTGCTTGCTTGCATGAGACCGTCTTATCGACCTTTTTGTGCATGGGATACAGATCAGCGGAACAGACGTATCCAAGTCAAATGCCACATAGATATGGTCATCCTGGTAAAGCGGCTCTTGTCGTAGACATCATCGCTTGCCGGCTGTGGAAAGATCATGTCAGCGACTCCGCACACGATCAGGGAGGTAGGTGATAGCCGAGTAAGTCGCCCTGAATCGTAAAGAAGTGGCTCCGCCGTCAAGTGCAATCTTTCTATGGCATTGCCGCGATACACAACGTTCATCGGCTTGTCTTGCACTTCATCGGAAACATACGTAGGCTTTGCACCCCGAGGCACAGCGTTCGCATCGAACGAGCAAATTGCCAGGAGTTTTTGTGAACGTATGTCACTCGTTGCCAACCTTGATTACTTGCCCATTGTTCATCCTTCGTCGCTATCAGAGTCTCACACTTGGTCATTACGGTTTGACTCTGTTCCTGCACAGGCTTTGGCGTATTTAGTCAACGCGAACGGACCTTCTTTCCTCGAGAAGCGACCAAGCAAAGTCAATTTGTCACATCGTTACAACAGCATGACTTCCAATCCTCAGCCTCAACCTCGGGGTGGTGCATCAGTGCATGAGTACAGCAGAGACTTCCTAGCTTTCTCTGTTCAACATGGCATACACTGTGTACCAATTGATGATGTGAGTGAAGATTCAACTGCCGGGTCCTGACAGTGGGTGCCATATAGCACAGAAGACTCTTCTGCTTGCGATGCTGGCACTCTGACGCGACCGCGAACTGACGAGAATCCGCTCATCAGCAACTTGGGCTACGCTGTCCAGAGGTACCTCGAAGAGGGATGATACGACGGGTCTCTATGGTTGCGAAAGGATTCAGGGCTGCAGGTGATAAAGGTCTTGCTATCGCAGAGGCTGACTTGTGGAAAGGAAGAACTCAACCGGCAAGCCGACTTCTACGACATCATCTCTCGACTGTTCGAGAGACGTCTCTTNCTGCCAACCAACTTGACTCCTGAATTCGTGCTGGATTGTGGCAGCGGTGGTGGCATTGAATGGGCCGAGGAAGTGATGGAGAAATCAGAGCTGGGGCCAGGATCTTCCAGTTCCGAGGACGACGACTTTGCATGCCAGGTAAGCCATAATAGCGATAGGTTCGTACTTCATCCATCAGCCTGTCTAACCTACTGGCAANNGGTCGTCGCTGTCGACATCTTCCATACCGAAGGATCGTCGCCCGGAGTGGTAAAGAAAACATGGAACCTCAATGTCGCCTTTCGTCACGATCAGGAGGAACTTGCTAGAGACAAGTATGATCTTGTCAACTCACGCTTCNNCCTTGCAGACAACATCGATGCAAGCAGATGNGGGGCCTATGTACAAGACCTCCACGACCGACTCAGAGCTGGCGGCTGGCTCCAAATGCTCGAAGCACACTTTCACGTTCAATCGCGTAGCGGAAGACCTCTGGAATATCTCTCAAGATGGTGGAACATCTATAGTCAGGCCTTGGAAGGGTATAACAAAGACCCAAGAGTCGGAACGGAACTGTCAAGGTACATGACCAACGCCGGATTCATAAACATCTCCATGGAACCGAAACAGCTGCCCGTTGGAGAATGGCATCAAGATCCTCGTTTGAGAGAGATAGGCAGAGACATGAAGCGGATAGCTTTGCAGACTCTAAGGTCGTTGGGTATATGGCACTGTCGTCGGGCCGGTATGCAAGAAGCCGACTTCGAGGATCTCATCGCTGGTTGTGAAAGAGAGATGTCAGACACGAGTCTACAACTCTACATGCCATTGTAAGTTCACCAGTAGGTCGGTAAAGCTTTTGAGTCTTGGGCTGAGTATCGCAGGTTCGCAGTTTGGGGGCAGAGGGCCGAGAGGGGTCAAAGCCGGGTCGAGAGAGGCTCTGCATATGTTCCCGATCCTAGCAGACGTCTGCCTCCTCCAGTTGATTGGGCATAGGCGTTCGGAGGTCTGGCCGCTGGTAAGCGTTTTGCTGCCTGGGCTATTGATCGTGTGGGAACATGCTCGAGCCTTCAGGATCGATTTGGCAGGGGCTCTAAGGGCCTACCAGTCCAACTAAGGATTCTTAGTTGGCCTCTTCCGCGAAGGAGGTGCGACTGGACCAGTCTGCTTGGCTTAGGAGGTGAGCTTTGCTAAATCCCTCACGAACAGACACGCTGTCTGACACGATGTGGAAGAGGAAATCGGAATGGGTAGACCATACTTGCGCAGACGCCCGTGTGTAGTCCAGAACAATCACGAGCATGGACAAGGTGCAGATACCTTGGGAGAAAGAACATGCCGGATGCTCTGACCTCCGAAGAACTTCGTGCTGATCCCGGGAATCAGCTAAAAGATGCGTCACCCTTGCAGATACTCTGGAAAGATTCATTATCAAAGCTACCACACCCTCGGGTCGCTCACCAAACCATCCACGAGAAAAGAATCACATTCATATAGCACGGATCCAGCTGGAGTTAGAGCGTTGAGACAAGCGTATATCTATACTCACATCCTTCTCTATTGCGGTGTGCAGAAACCAATCTTTATCATTCTTCACGCGTTCAGTTGGTTGTTACAAAAGTCTTTTGCAGCAAAGCTGCACGCAGCCTGGCAAAACGCGTTTCTGGCTTTTAGTGTCCCAAATTTTCTAGGTCGTCCAACGGTATCACGTCAACGCTTTCAAGGTGTTTTCAGTTGCATGAACCAAGGGATTCGATTGTACTGCCGTTGCAGGCTGCGTCTCAACAGCACTACTTGTCCTAAATATGCAGTTCTTGAACTTGGTGAACTGAGTATGGAATGGGAAGCATGGTCCAATATATGTGTATCCCGTACCTGGCGCGTACTCGGCCGTAAGGGTCTCTGATAGACCCAGTCTGTCGGGAGTGGCTCTGTGCTTTGATTAACTAGGGCACAACTTCATCGCTGATGGACTCATGACGATATGCAAGTTCTATTCACGTTGAAAACAGAAATGCAGCGCGTGTTGTGGGTATGAGCACCCAGAGTCGAGCTTCCGAATCCATACCTTCGATTCGTATCTCTCAACCGCTGATGTATCTGTCTCCGAATTGTCAATAGAGAACGGTTATGCGATGCCCAAGTACAACTTGCAGAGCATCACACACATCTGCACTGCATGCATGACATGTTTCATACAGCAATGCAGTTGCGGCGGCTACCGTCTCTATGACGTACACTGGTAGAGACATTGCATCAAAGGACTGAACTCCGCGGAATAAGTCCGTGTTATAACCCCGTGGAATTTGCGAGGTTACTTGTTCAGCTTGCACATAGAGTACTACTTCAATCAACCATGACAGAAGCATTGAAGGAGACAGTCAGCTCAACTTGGACCGACGTCAAGCGTGGCCTTTCGAGCGCACCACCCAATGATGCCTACCTTGCCTGGGATGCAGAAGGCGTTGAGACCATCAAGCCAGATGAGCAAGAGAAAGTACAGCGTATCAAGGAGGTCATGGCGCGTATGCAAAAGCACAACTTTGATCTCCACAGGAAAGCGTTCAGAGCGACGCATGTCAAGACACAGGGTATAGTCAAGGGTACCCTGCAAGTGCATCCAGATCTACCAGAGCATCTCCGTCAAGGCATTTTCGCAGAGCAAGGCAAGACATACGACGTTGCCGCGAGATATGCAAACGAGCCTTATCTTCTCCAACGTGATCAGGAAAATGGTCCTCGCGGTTTAGGTCTGAAAGTGTTTGGTGTCCCTGGACCTCGATTGGAAGGCGTTGATGACTCTGTCAACACTCAGGATTTCTTCTTCAACAACGCTCCTAGTATCGAACTGACAGATGTCGACACAACACTCGACATCATGAGTCTGCGTGAGAAATACTTCGACGATCCTGCAGCGTTAGGCAGACACTTGAAAATGAGAACGGATCTGGTCAAGCAGCACGCTCCTTACATGCTTCCAAATACCAACATCATCTCTCATTCCATGTACACGCAGTCGGCATTCCGATTTGGCAAATACTACGGACACATGGCTCTTTTCCCTATGCTAGAGCTCCAGAAATCAGCCAACGACAAGGTTAAGAACGATGATCCGTCGTGTGTATTGTCAGACTGGCTGTTTGACTACTTTGGCGGCAAAGAGGCCAAATACGAGTTCAAGGTGAGAAATCCACCCTTGAAGTAAAGCAGAGCGATTACTCATAAGATGCAGATCCAGCTTGGGACCGATCCAGCTCACCATCCTACTGAGGATGGAAGTGTAGTGTGGGACGAGGCAACAAGTCCTTACCAATCTCTGGGTATTATCACTTTCCCTATGCAAAACAGCTTCAGTCAGGAACGACGGGTTTATTGGGAGGACCACATGTCGTTGGATGCATGGAGAGGTCTAGATGCGCATAGGCCTTTGGGAGGAATCAATCGCTTGAGGAAGGACGTCTATCTGCACAGCAAGAACACCAGAGACAAGATCAACGTCTCGAAATCGGAGGATGTGCAGAGTATTGACGATATACCAAACTAGAAACTGGCGGTGAACAAGACCGATGGTCATTACTTCCCTCTCATATGCCGAAGACTGTCATGGTTGAGGTAATTGCAGAAATCCACAATGTTTTCAAGGAAAAAGAGGCCTCCACAGAGAGAACTCCATTAAGGACATTCCAATGGCAAGACCCGTATTCGAGTTGCAACTGTGCATTTCGATAGCTCACCATATACAAGCCACCTTGGGATGGAGAAGGGGTCAGTTGCAAGATTGTGACTGGCTTTAGCAGATGGGGAGTGTGGTCACACTTGAAAAGAAGAACTGTGCATCTTGAGACGTCCTCACACCTCAGGCAAGAAGAGAGCACAACCGTGAAATTATGACGGTCTTGAACACACGGGAGGTGAGGTTGAGAAACCGGTTTGCAGTGGTCACATATCATGCAGGGTAGGGTGGCTTTGCTGGTCTCGGCGCGGGATGCGAGAGTGGGCAGGAGGACAGCTCCTTCCGCAATTCTCTGTCGTCTCGTGAACAACCTACTGCAAGCGCTGCAGTCACTTTCCGATGGAAGCAGCACAGTTCTGACCAGCAAAGCGACGAGAGCAAGAAGTCGACGGCCTTTCAAGTTTCAGAGACGTCTTGTGGAAATCGAACAGGGTCACTGGGTGGGGAAAGCAATTTACTGACAGCACGCGACAGAAAGAGGACAACGTGCGCCGAAGCTCAGACAAGACTGCTGCCCTTGTTGACTGCGACAAGAATACATTTCTTCCACGCGGCCTTCCAGAAGTTGGTCGTCTCGCTTCAGAGCGCGCGCGCCGAGCAGTCAACCCCGGACGAAACAGGCGAATTGTTCAGAGTCCAGACAGCCCGTCAAGAAGCAAAGGGCGGTCAGGGCCATCCAGCGGCAGAAAGAGTTCAAGCCGTCACTTTGTATGCGCTGCTTGACCACAACATCTCCCTCGAGTCTCCTCCGACCCCTCCGGATCCCATACACGCTGTTTGAGCGTGTGGCCTGGACGCGCCCATGTGGTACATCACGCGCATCCTGTCGGCGCTCCTGTTTCTGTTCAGCGTCGTTTTCACCATCCCACTGGCCTTTGATGTCGGTGGTCGAACCTGCGGTCTCGCATTCTCTCTCTCGCTGAGCGCCTTCTACTTCTTCTACTCTGCGCTACGACTTGCCACGCCCGATCGCTCCAGACTCCGCTATGCCCTCGTCAATACCATCGCTGCCTCGCAGTGGATCGTCATCCCGACCCTGATGATCTGGAGTCTCAACAAGTTCTCGGTCGACTCAGATGCGAGCGCATGGGTGGAAAAGACATTCAGTGGGAAAAGAGCACAGCACGATACATTCTATGCATGGGTCTTTGGCAGCGACGGCCTGGTGCAGTCACTCACCATCGGTGGTTGGGACAAACTACTGCGCTGGTCGACGCCCGTCTTCCAGCTGAGCGAAGGCTTCTGCAGTCTGCTCGTCATTCAGGCTGCAGGTCAGATTACAAGATACTTGGTGAATCGTGAAGGAGGTGATGGCTGGATGGTAAGTCGGCAAGAGTTGCGCGACCAACTAGAGACCGAAAGCTAATTATTACCCTGCAGNATCGGATTGTTGATCACTTCTGCCTCGATCATCTCAAGCTCGGTCTACTTCCTTTGGAGAATCACCACTTTCCCGGAGCTCGGTAATGTCGATGCTATCCTGATCGGCGTTGCGATTACCTGTGCCTTCTTCCTGTGTGTTTGGGGTATTGGCAGCGGCAAGGGCAATCCCGTCGAAAGCTCGCTGCTCGTAAGTCACATTCCAAGTCTCTCTCCCCCCTGGCCATTAGACTGACCATGACCANNGTTCGCCTACATTACTCTGTGTATCTACCAGATCTTCACCGACTACCAACCTTCGAACCCGTCTGAGTCCGTTCCAGTTCCCGCCGAGCCGGATTTCCCTCCATTGCCTCCGATCATCATGGCATCCTACTCGACTTTGATGCACGCCCTTTCTACTCTGCCGTCTACCATCCACACCTCTTTCAACTTCCTGTTCGCAGCCATCATGACCATTACTCCTTCTGTCATCATCTCGCTAGCTTACCGCCTCTTCGTTATGTACGCCTCCGCCCGTATCATCCCAGCTGTGCGCGAATCAGGAGCTCGTGCGCTCTCGCAAGAACCGTCTCTAGAAGACAGCGACGGCGTCGGTCAAGTGCTTGGATTCCTCAGCTACTTCAGCCCAAGTATCTTGATTGCTGTATACACCAGTCTCTTGATGCAACATTTCGCTTCGGCTTCCGCTGATCATCCTGGGGAATGGTGGACCAGTCAAGGTGGTGATGCAGGCAGCAACGTCTGGAGGTGGGCCAACTTAGCCGGTACTATGGCACTCTACGCAGTGGAATTGTATCTGGGCAAGGGCCATGACGACAGCAGTCTCACAAGTCACTGGAAGATCGACTGAGAGATCAGGGGATGTGTTATGCAGGCGAGACACGGAACCACAACAAAAGCAGCAGCCAGTGTTGATTACAACAAACCCAGCCACTCACTTCAGGCACACGCTGGGCACGATAATGTGTCCTGTAAAGACTAGTCTTTTAACGGACTACAAGGGATGAAACCTTGATCAGACCACAACAAGGTCTCAGAAAGAGACTTGGATAGAATGCCAACGGAGATGGAAAGACTCCGGACAAAGGCAGGCCCTTGACAACAAAAGTGACGCGGGACGTAGGTATGCATGCTTTCTTTAGCAATCCAGATTTGTTATTCTGAGCAGCAGCGAAGCTCTCTTTTTCTTTTTATTAGTTTTTCATTCACAGCGATATGCTGGACCAGATACCACTTCATTCTTAGCATTCAAATCAATAAAATACATCCTGAAAGCAATCAAGGACCACAGCACATGACTTTTGCATGAGAAGGCAAGCGCAGCCGAGGACGCATGCTGATCGCCGTGAGCTTAGCCTCTACGTCACTGCTGATCATCAACGTGGTGGGACAGCTATTGTTTTGCATCAAGAGCTCTCCCTCAACCTTTGAGAAACACAATTCAAACCTTTTCATTTTCGAGATATCTGTGATTGAAGCTTGCATTTGCTCCGACAGAAGACCAAATCAACTTCCCCTCCAAGACTACACTACCAAAACACAAACAAGATGGCTGAGACTCACCACTTCCACGCTCACAAGCTCTTCAGCATGAAGGGTCAGGTTGCTGTTGTTACCGGAGGTGGCTCTGGTATTGGTCTGATGATGACCCAGGCTCTGACTGCCAATGGTATTCTTTCTCCTACTTCCAATTCGCAGAAGCATTTAACTGACTACGTTCACNNAGGCGCAAAGGTCTATGTCGTGGGCAGAAGTGAGTTTTATCCACAACACTGACGTATACCAATGCTGACATTATTCAAAGACGTTGAGAAGCTCGAGACTGCCAGCAAGGAGCACGAGCCTGATCAGGGAGAAATCATTCCGTATGTTCAATTCCAGCAAGATGGAGCACAAAGCTAATCACGCGACCAGNNTATTGGAAACATCGATGTCACCAAGAAGGCCGATCTCGAAAAGGTTGTTAAGCAGATTGAGGANAAGGAGAAGTGCATCCACCTANNCTTGGTAGGTCTCCTTTCACGGGGTTGAGGCTGCTGAGTCTAACATGTTTTTATAGTTGCCAATGCCGGTGTCCCTGGACCTAAGGCGGAGCCTGACAAGGAGGATGCTGGAGAGCTCAAGGACAAGCTGTGGAACGGCGAGTCTGTCGAGGAGTGGAACGACACATACTCAACCGACGTCACCTCAGTCTACTTCACCACTGTTGCCTTCCTGCCTTTGTTGCAGGCCGCTGTCGAGCCCAAGGGTCCTGGAGAGAAGTTTAGCGCATCCGTCATCACTACTTCGAGCATGAGCGGTATCATGCGTCACGCTCAAGGCCACTTCGCGTATGTCGATATTCTTTCCGATGCTGAGGCTACAAGCTAACCACCATTTTCTACAGCNTACAACACCGCCAAGGGCGCAACAGTGCACCTGACCAAGCTGATGTCTGCCGAGTTCATGAAGGTCGGCGTTAGAGTCAACAGCATTGCTCCTGGTTACTTCCCCAGCGAGATGACAGCCAAGAGCTCCGACGACAGACAGAAGAGCGACCTGCCTGCTGAGAAGGTCGCTGAGAAGGGCCACGTTCCTCAGATGCGTGGCGGACGTGATGAAGAGATGGGCATGCTCGCATTGCTGCTTGCCAAGAACACTTACATCAACGGCGAGGTCATCGCTATTGATGGAGGCGTCCTTAACACCCTTGCCGGACGTTAAGCGAGTACGGCATGCCTTATGACGAGCGGTCATGAGGATGAATAAGGAGAACAGTACAACGACAACGTCAACGACGAAATGATGCAATGACCCTTGAAACGCAGGCCTGGTTGTGTGTGGCTACGCGCAACGACAGCATATCAGGAAGTTGGGAGATGGAAGCATGTATTCTGTGGAAGCAGCTTTAGGTAGCAGCTTAGGAGTCGAGGTAGCTGTCAGAAAACAGGAAAGTCGTTATCAGCCAATGTCAAGGTTACAAAGGTGTGTTTGGGAAGCCGCGTGAGAGTTGGGAAGTTTGGGAATCAATCCCCCGCCCGTTTCAACGTCGGCCGCAAGGTTGCTTCGCCCTGGATCAGGTTCAGGGCAACATCTCGTGGACCTGCGTGGCTCGGAATTGCTGTGTCTCAGATGGTTCAATAAACACCCTTTCGCCATCGCTAGTGACTTCATCTCAATCTCCCGGATGGTCGGTCTGGATACCCTCGTGCCCCGTGCCCACCTACACCTGTCGATGCGAGAGTGGAACGCCGTGCCCGACCAGATACGCTGAACTGCATTTCGCATCCAGTCCGCCTGTGACGACTGCCAGTCTACTAGGTAATCCCGACGTCTGGCTGGAATGAGGTCAAGAAGCAGTCCGTCTTTGTCGCCGCCATCGCTGTCGCGCAGCTCGAACAACTGCAACCTGGAGACGCACCTGGTCCCGTGCCTGAAGCCCGACCCCCACCACCCCTAACAGACACCGCCGAAACATCGTCCACACACGACATAGACACGCCGCCGCTATGCCGGCCATCGCCCAGCGCCCTCAGTCGGCCTATGGCCCTCCCAGGTCCTCGGTCGAATCCGACAGCGGCAGCGAACGATTCACATCCGCCCTCGAAAGACGAGCCAGCTACCAACCCCAATCTACACTCAAGCCACCCGGTCAGGCCAGACAACCAAGTTGGGAAAAGATGCCAAAAGACGGGACTGTACAAAGGGCTGCTGGTGAGGTTACCGGCCTGAAAGACTACGTAAGACAAAAGCTGTCACGCATGAGACATAGTGCTTGGTCGTCGGGCTGACATAAGTCGGCANNGCAACTGGGTGACTGCCTCGGCAAGGGTGCCTTTGGCAGTGTATACCGCGCCCTGAACTGGGGCACTGGCGAAACTGTTGCCATCAAGCAAGTCAAATTGGCAGATCTGCCAAAAGGCCAGTCTCGCGCTATCATGGTATCGTTATAATCCCGGGCTATATGCTTACCTTTGGCCACAGGTGTTGACTTAAGCATGCAGATGGAAATTGATCTGCTCAAGAACCTTAATCACCCAAACATCGTCAAGTACAATGGCTTCGTCAAGTCTACCGAATCATTGTACATCATTCTCGAGTACGCCATCCTCTTACTTTCACCATCTATCTCCTGCTTACCCGCCCAGNNATATTGCGAAAACGGTTCGCTGCATTCCATCTGCAAAAACTTTGGCAAGTTTCCCGAGAACCTTGTTGCCCTGTACATGACTCAAGTTCTCAATGGTCTGCTGTACCTTCACGAGCAGGGTGTTATTCACCGAGACATCAAGGGAGCGAACATTCTCACTACCAAAGAAGGTTTGGTCAAATTGGCCGATTTTGGTGTTGCGACAAGGAAGGATACTGGTCTGCATGAGAGTAGCGTAGTCGGTACCCCTTATTGGATGGCTCCCGAGGTCATCGAGCTGTCTGGTGCCACCACTGCTTCAGACATTTGGAGTCTTGGATGTACTGTCATTGAGCTACTCGATGGAAGACCTCCATACCACAAGTTGCAACCCATGCCCGCCTTGTTCCGCATCGTCAATGATGATCATCCACCACTACCTGAAGGAGCTTCTCCGGTAGGACAAGGTTTCTGTCTTTCTGAGCGTAAATGTTGCTGACATCATGCANNGGCCGTTCGCGACTTTCTCATGCAGTGTTTCCANAAAGATCCTAACCTCAGAGTCACAGCCAAGAAACTATTAAAACACCCCTGGATCCTCAGTGGCAGACGTTCCGACCAACCTGTCGCAAAACCCACACAGTACGATGAAGCTGTAAAGAGTGTTCAACAGTGGAACGAAGCACTCAAGTCGCCACAAAACACATCCTCGCGGCGATCCTCATCTAGACCACTCTCTTTGAGTCCTGTGCCCCCTAGGCCTGACGTTGGTACACATCTAAGGACACCAGGCCTTAACAAAAGCGGCTTGGCTTTGGCGCATAGAGCAAACGACACCAAACTCTATCAATCACCCGACAATGATGCCAAAGACAATTGGGATGATGACTTCGCGACATCCATCGGCAACGCAGCTTTGCAGTTGCCGCATCTGAAANNCCCTCACGACAACTTCGCTGGCATGTTATCGTCAGACAAACTGAAGCAGTATGCCACTTTCGACATCAACGCCGAGGAGGAAGAGGGGGATAACTGGGACGACAATTTTGAAGGAGATCTTACTGTGAGAAGTCCGATGGAAGTGATCCGGGGTGACCCTATGGAGACCGTGCGACCTTTCTTCCCACCAAGAGCCAACACTTTCGATATGAAGCACACTGCGCCTACGAGGAACCCAGGGCCAAATACGTTACGACACGCGCAAAAGGCTCTGGAAAAGTCTGATAAGGACAGCTCCTCAAGAACACAGATTCTTCGACCAACGCACAAGTCCACAAAATCCGAGCCGAAACCCACAGAAGCTCCCGTTCGCCCATCGCTCATGTACCGAGAGAACTCGACTGAAGATTACTCTGACTTGCTTGGGCCGGACAACGACTCGGTCTTCCGTCAAAAACTCGCAGCGCTCACTATCCGAAGCGACGACTCATTCGCGTCCAAATTGTTCCACCCCTCAGACCTGAAGGTGCCTCGACCAAGTTCACGCATGGGTCACATGCGCCGACCGTCACCTCAGATTCATGATGCTGCTGCTATGCGCAGAACACGTTCTGAAGTGGAAATACAAAAGTATGCCGAGGATCCTGAGGACGAAGACTTTTCGGACATATTTGGCAAAGAAGACGGGCAGCAGATACCGCAACCCGAAAGCGAGAGTGGGTCAGAGATTGGGACGCTCATGCTCAACTCAAAGCTGTCAAGTCACTCATGGCTTGGAGACGAAGAAGACGAGGATGATCCGTTCGCACAACTGGAAGAGGGCTTTGACGAGATGGATCTGGAAACAAACATTGCTCGAGACAAATTTGCTCGTCTGGTGACGCTCGTCGAAGGGCTTGTTGGATCGCTCAAAGTCTCTCAGCCCGAAGATTACCTGCAAGATATTGTGGACCAACTGTTCCAAGTACTGTGGGAATCTCCCGAGGTGAAGACTGTAGTCATGTCTTCCCACGGCATGTTGCCTATCCTAGAAATCCTGGAGACTTGTAACCGCCCGACAACCATCCTGAGGCTACTGCAAGTTGTCAATCTGATCATCATGGACAATGTCGAGATTCAAGAAAACCTTTGCTTTGTTGGCGGTATACCCATCATCACACGATTCGCACAGAAGAGGTACAGCAGCGACATCAGGCTGGAAGCCGCAGCGTTTGTGAGACAGATGTACCAGACCAGTACGCTCACACTGCAGATGTTCGTCAGTTGCGGTGGCTTGAACGTTCTGGTTGAATTCCTCGAGGAAGACTACGAGGCAGAGAGAGACCTTGTTCTGATTGGAGTTAACGGTGTCTGGAGTGTCTTTGAACTGCAAGGCCCAACGCCGAAGAACGATTTCTGTCGCATCTTTTCACGCAGCTCAGTCTTATACCCGCTATCCCTAGTGCTCAACCGAGTGTTGGACGAAGAGGGCGAACTTGCCGAGCTTGTTGAGGGACGCATTGTCAACATCTTTGTCTTGTTCTCACAGGCCGAGAACCACGTCAAGGAGGCTGTCGCTGATCGCATGGTCTTGAAGTGTGTGTTGAAGGACTTGAAACGCATGTCTCCTCAGCATCAGATCACCATGCTCAAGTTCATCAAGAACTTGTCCATGCTTGCAACCACACTCGATGCTCTGCAAAACTCAAACGCCATCGAAGTATTGACTGATCTTCTAAACGCGAGCATGAAGGTTCCTCACTTCCGCGAGATTTCTAACCAGGTCTTGAACATCATGTACAATCTTTGCAGATTGAGCAAGACAAGACAAGAAGACGCCGCATTGAATGGTGTCATTCCTCTACTGCAACGTATCGTTAAGACCGAGCGCCCGCTGAAGGAATTTGCATTGCCTATCTTGTGTGATATGGCACACTCTGGTAAGGTTGGAAGAAAGATACTGTGGCAGAACAAGGGATTGCAATTTTACGTCAGTCTGCTTGCAGACCAATATTGGCAAGTTACAGCTTTGGATGCCATTTTTGTCTGGTAAGTGATGCAAGTTCTGGTGCGGTCCACTTCTCAACTAACGACGAGTAGGTTACAAGAAGAGACTGCAAAGGTCGAAGAACATCTTCTCAAAGATGACAGCTTTTCTCAGGCAATTATCAATTGCTTCAACCATAGCAAAGCTGACAGCTTCGAAAATTTCCTTGAGCCTCTGCAGAAGCTCCTGCGCCTCAGCCCTCCCATCGCCAGCTCTCTCATCCATCCAGATCTTTTCCTGCGCACAGCTCAAAAGCTTCGCACGAAGAAGGCTTTGGTCCGTCTCAACTTGCTCAGAATCATCCGCAGTATCTGCGACTCTAGTGACGAAGACGGCGCACTCATTCACACGTTCGGATTACACCCCATCATCGCCGAGACTGCTAAGTACGACCCGGCTATTTTGGTACGCGAAATGGCCTCGGACCTGATCAAGTCATCTGAGTTGCACGTCTCCCGGGCTGTTCACAATGCTCGCGTTGGCGATGTAAACAACCGCCGTCAACTCCGTCGTTCAAGCTCTTCCACGATGGTACCTACTGGCAACTCTCTTCCTCCTACACCGACGACCGATCGCATGCCAGGTCGTATAAGCAGCTACTTCGACCCTACTGCAGACTTGCAACGTCCCTTTTCACGCGGTGCTACCGGCATGGCGTCACCATATCGTCCCATCAGTCGTGACGGAGGTTCTGGCGGATCATCAACAGGCTGGAGTGCGTCCGGATTCTTAGCGTCACCAACCGCAATCCCTCCTGTTCCTGGACTTGTCGCCATCGATCGTCCCGGTGTCAACAACATTAACAACCTCGTCTCCAAGTCTCGCCTGCCTCGTACTAACCACTCACGAGGCACCTCTGGCGCGCGCCTCAGCCTCGTTACTGCCGAAGGCCGAACCTCGCGTCCTGGCTCTCGCAGTGGACTGGGCAGCAATGACAGAAGCGAGAATCTGACTCCAAAGAATGCCGTTCCTCCTTCACACGGTCATTCCAGAACACCTAGTCGTTTCGGTCATCAGCATCAGCTTTCTGCGTCATCGGCGAGTACAGGCAATGTCAGACCATCGCGTGGTCGACGCACGACTAGCTCCGGTAGCAGTGCCGGTCTTGGAGGGAACTAGAAGTTCTCCGACTCGGCGCTGGACCAGTGTGATCCTTTGTCGAGGAAGATGAGTGACTTGATGAATGATCCATTCAAACGCCACTCCCCGACAATGACATATTCCAGACGTCGCTTTCACTCCTTCACTAACCATACATTTTCCTTTTCTTTTCATATTTTTTGTTTGTCATTTGCATGCACAGGGCGTTACTGGGGTTTAGCGGGTTTGTCTTTTCCTGTCCTCTTTCGCTTGCAACAACTGCATATACATAACCACTCTCCATTCCCAGCATAGCCGTGGCGTTTGTTTTTCAACTGAGGGCACAAAGAGAAGGACAAGGTTCTCCATAGGACGGATCGGGAACATTCGGTTTAGAGATTGCAATGCATTTATCGATTGATTCGTACTTTTGACTTGCACCGATCCCATAGTGTACTATTGGAAGTTGAACTCCCTGTTATTTATGTCAGGTAGGCTGGGAAGGGGAGTGAGTAAGTATAGTTTGTGTCAACTCGAAGCACAGCAAAGGGAAACAACAACGTCCATATCGAGCTGTGAATACCATGCTTTATGCTTCATTGGTAAGATCAAGATGCGTGCAAGATCAGCGAGAAGATATGGCATCCTGCAGGAATGCTCTTGTTGTTTCCGTATTGAAGGCTATTACTCACGTCAATCCAAAGTTGTGGTGGTGAGCACCCTGACCATTTTCTAATCCATCAATCTCTACATCCATTATCATACATCACTGATGTTTTCTTCGCCATGCGATACAAAGCCTACATCTAGATACATTATGCTGTTTTATCTACTTTCACCCTTAAAAGGAGATTGCCTTCTTGTTCTTGAGCACAATCTCCATTCCACCATGGACAGCCTTCCTGGGTGCTAACCTCTACAGAAATGCACGATAGCAACAAGAAACAAGACAATCCCACTAAGATACGATAACCTATCAATTCTCTGTGGAAACGCTCTGTTTTCAAATACGACTGTGCTTTTTTATAGTCTACATTTCGCTCTTAGTTATAATCGTCGGAGTACAGTAGAGATTACATTTAGCACACGGGGAGGAGTTCTCGACGTGGAACCATACCAACCACCACGGAAAGATAACATGCATATCTAACGAGCAGCACAGGGACAAAAACTGGAGACAGTCGAGGATTGCGACATTAAAAATTTGGTTTTATAAATTTCTAAAATCTTCCTTCTTTTGCTTTCCAAAAAAAGAAGATCTCTTCCATACATCGGACAACAAAAACTCCACATCGCTCAATCGCTAGAAGAAAAGGAAAATCTAACCAAAGACCATGTACTATCCAAATGGACAAGTAAAGGCGATCCTGACAGAAGTAACCAGGAACAGGATGAAGAAAAATCTAAAGGGCGTGAGAACAACTGCAAGATGCAAAAGGCGGAGAATAGGGGTATGGTACGGCAAGCCAGGGTATCGAAGCAAGTGCGTAGCTACTAGGAAGAAGAATCGGGGTATTGGGGTATAACGAGTCTGGCGTTCAAGTTGGCTGTGTTGAGTAAAGCGAGCGTAATCGGAAAAAGGTTCAAAAACAGAAAATGCAAAAGGACAGCAGATGCAAAAATCAATTGCAGGTAGTGGCGGGTGGGTAGATCAGTTCCGATCAAGGTATCATGCAGCGTTTTCTTCCTCAACGCTTAGACCCATCATGGAAGGTATAGGCTTGCGCTTCGTGCGTGTTTGTGGGCGAGGCAGGCCTTGTACTGCCCTAGGCTCCTTCATAAGTGTGGTGTCCAGTTTGGCCGGAATTCTACTGACGACCTGACGGTAGTCACCAGGGAAGCGAGAGTTTGGTGCTGCAGTTGAGGCGGAACGCCACAGATGTTCTGAAGTGTCAAACAACCAAGATGTGTTGTGCTTAGAGAAGATGGAGCCACGGCCCCTGTTTCGCTTGGCGAGGATGATCTCGTCGAACAGCTTGATGGATGGATTTTCGGCACGAGTAGATTCACGCTCGTGAATGAACTCGTTGAACATCTGCGTTTCGCGCATCATAGTGATGTATTCAGTCGCCTCGCCAGGTACACTGCGGATGAATTGATCCATATTGAAGTGGTATACCATGCCTGCTTTTCTGCGCTCGCCTGATGCAGGGTGCATGAAGCGGCGGTAAGTGTAGAGCAGCGAGGCGAAACAGCGAACAAAAACGGCACGAACGGCTTCAGAGCGGAATGCGAGAGGACAAACGACCGAAATCTGATGGAGGCAGCGTGGATGTACGTTGGTGTTGCATCCACCACAGCGATAGACACCATCATCGCATTTCTCGTCGCAAATACTGCAGTACATCTTGTCCTCACGGGGACGCCACACCAAGCAATGGCCTTCGACCCATTTGGTGGTTTCNNCAGTGTCTCGCGGGCAAGAAGGCTGGACGGCATTTGGCATGATGGTCGAAGCGGCGAGAGTGGAAGGTGCGTAGACGGATGGTGCGTAACCAGCAGAGTTCGCCAAAGTCGATGTTGACATGCTGCTGTTGTGACTGACGAAAGGTTGGCTGCCGTTAGCGACGCTGGGTCTTCGAAGATTTGCCATGCGGTCGAAACCAAAGGAAGAGTTGCGCCTGGTGGCTACATCGAAATGTCCAGAACGCTTCTCACGCAGCGACGTTTGCATGCTGTAACCCGAATCATTGCGAGAGACAGGCGTTGTGGGAAGGTCTGCGACAATGGNAGAAGGAATAGTAGGAGATGGTGGAGATCGGGTAGATGAGGACCGGCGGTCTTCTCTTGTGGTTGAGCTTGTTGATGGACGGTCGCTTCCTCGCGAAGTGGTTCTGAAGTTGAGGAAGGCGTTGAGGACAATGTTGCGATTTTGCGTAGGCACAGGCATTTCCGAAAAAGCGGCAGAGTTCGCACCAACCAAAGCTGCCAAACTTGAAGGAGCAGCTCTCTGGCTGTAAACTTGCGGGTTCTCGGAAGAGAAGGCGTCGTTCGGGAACGTCTCGATGGCATATGAGGGAGGACCCACGGGCACGCCGTAACGTGTGTGGTGGGGTGCAACTACCTGCAACGAAGCGATGAGCTTTCTGCGTTGTTGACGAGGCAGGAGCGTTGGCCTGGCCGTGCTTTCGATGGTGTCCTGGTCTAGATCCACGAGGACAAAATCGTCATCGGGAAATTCGAGATTCTCATATCTTCGCTCTACACCAACGATGTAAGGGCAAGGGGCTTCGAGAGCTTGAATCAGTCGTGCTGGCAGGACGGGTATAAAGACTCCAGCCCATTTTAACGGGTAGATCAGACTGGTAATGGCGGCGCTCGCAAGATGGAGCATCGATGTATGCGATGAGAGCAAGATTATGCGTGATTCTGACAGAACATACTCGAACAAGGTGACAATGTTGTTCAGTGAGAGTGATCGCAAAAGAGCGTATATGTCGGTGTTTCGCGAGCCAGGAATTTCGTTCTCGGCCTCTTTCCTGGCATACAAGCGCAGTTCACGAATTGCGACTTCGATCTGGGTGCTGGATGACATGGGGCTTGGAGCTTCAACGCACAAGTTCACAACGTATCGTTCGAGCGGCTGCCACATGCCGATTTTGGGAGAACTTGGAGGCACGCGGAGAACAGCGCCGTTCGTCATGGGTGTAACAATAGCCTTGAGCCACTCTTTCCAGAAACTGGTCATGGCGCCATCTTTGCCCAGCACACCGTAGCATCGAGGAATCCAAANACCGCTCTCGCCATCGGTCAGGCCTTCAATCTTGGAGGCAGCTCCGTGTCGTACTGGGCGTAGCAGGTCGGCCATTAGAGAGATTTTCTCCTCGACAGCGCTGATCTGCTCATCGAGCGTTTCTCTCTCGGCCGAGCCTTGAGCAGCGTTGGGTAGTTCGGCGAGCAGTCTTGAAAGTTTTGCCCTTTCACCTGCCAGACGTTCTCCCAAGCTGCTAGCCAATTCCCTCTCTTCGTCGCTCATGTTGGCCTTCCGCCATGCCTCGCATTGTCGCTCAAGCTCGACCGATGCCGACTCGTTCAACGGCATCCATACTGTAACACAGATGGCATGCAGCTTAGAGCCGTCTCCAGTCGTCATGGCGAAGCCGTGCCAGGTAGATCGTGGTCTCTCGTCGGACGAAACGACCACAACGTCGTTGGGAAAGGCGAACATCGGAACGTAATCGGGGAAAGGGCATCTTCGCTTCATCTCGTCGTCCTGGGCTCTCGGAGGGTATCTGTCTAGCAGAACTGGTTCATATCGTCGTTTCAGGGGATGCATGTCGGGGGAGGCTTTGAAGGGTTTCGGTGTAGGGATGACAGAGTTGTAGCCACTCAGGCGTTTGGATGTGCGTGTAGAAGCTAGCGAAGTTCGGTCAGCCAGTTGGCTTGTCGAAGTGTGCAAACACTCACGTTGCCTTGATAGTGAGACCGAGGGCTGTCTCTTCATGCTGTTCATGGTCGAGAGGCGCCTCCTTAACCCTCCAATACCACCCTTCTGTGCCGCCGCATTGTTTGCTGCTTCTTCGGAGCTTGTGATGCGTACTGTTCTCGGTCTGGGCTTTGGTGTTCGCGACGTTTGCGGCACAACTGCTCCTGCTTGCACTTGTATTTCTTCTAAGAAGTTCTCTCTCTCCGAGGCAAACTTGCGGAGTGCAATCTCGAAGTCTTCGTCGCTGAGACCAGGAGTTTCTGTTTGTAGACCTTTGATGGTAGCACTGCTGCGATTACTGGGCGTTGGCTTGAAATCACTGGGACCAATGACACTGCTGATGCTCTTGCGCGCTTCCCAGCTGTAACGAGAAGATCCCCTCTTGGTCCTATCTGTGTTTGGCGAGCCCGGTGTCGAAGGTCTCGGCGACGTGATACTGTCTGTTTCGAGGGCAATGTCTTCCTCAATCGTCTCGTCTACCGGCGGTGGAGAAGCGGCGGCATGTTCGCGTTCGTCGTAAATCTGAGTCGACTCTATGCCGGATATGAAGAAGTAATCAGCCAGCGGCACCGATGTGGATTCTTTTGTTGGCGCCATGTGTAATTATGCTGAGTTGTTGTGGTTGTGTATTGGTGTAGTAGATTATTCCATTGATCGAAGGGATGTGTTGAGGAAAAGTCGGAATATCCAAAAGGAGTGACTAGAGTATGGATTGGCGGTAGATGATGCTTCCAGATTCCAGGGGGGTTCGCGAGGGTTTCGTGACGGACAACGGTTGTTGTGAGGAGAAAAGTTAAGGTTAGGTAGGTTCGTTGAGCGGGATCCTCGCAGGAGAGGGCAGGAAAGCTGGCAGTGGCTTCTGGGAACAACAGGAACAGCAAAAGACAAAAGACAAAACGAGTTGGCGAGAGGATGGTGATTGCTAATATCCAAAGCTGCGTGCAAAAGCGAACGAAACTCCTGACGATCGCTTGACGTGGTTTGCAGGCCGTCAAACGGTGTCCGTTTCGAAAAAGGTCGAGCAGGTGTGGCAGTTGTGGGAGCACAAGGCACGACGGTTTCCCCTGAATGCTGGGTGGGTTATGCTGCCCGCCCGCGCTGCCCACGACAAGTACTAATTATTATTCTGAGCCCGTCAATCCTCCATCAAGCCTCCAGGGCACAAGCCAAGGGAACAGGAGGGTTTGGCCTGTCTGTGCGCACTTGGCCACTGGGATGGAACTCCTTTGGCCAGTCCATGATACGACTCACGCCGTGGTCGATTCCTGCTAGATTGCAGTCGCGTCCACAAGACGATTGCGACCATCAATCCAGGTTCTAAGCGCGCGCTGTAGCTAGTCTTTCGTCTCCTGCTACACACCCTCAACCTGCTCTATCGCCAGCACCCACACGCTGATACAAGTATAGTAGCCTCGCGACACGAGCCCGTGTCCCGAACCTGTCCATCACTTTACTTTTCTCCTGTGTTTTGGCCAGGCCAAGCGGACGAGCTAACCTCGAATACGGCATTTTAAGTGGTCCTCTTCCCCATTTCGGTCAGACCCTTCCTTCCCTCTCCACTTGTTGCTGCACACGCGATCGGCAACAACAAACATCCATTCTTTGCAAAATGTAATCTCTTCTCGCTTGTCGTATTGTGACTTCGTTGTGCCCTAGCTCCTATGCTTGATGCTCTCTATCAGAGACGAGAGTTATGTACGATTGATGTTACGCGCTCCTCCCGACGCCCCCTTGCGCTCAGGCGACTGATGCGCACGTGAAATCTCGGCTGGTCTGAACTCTTGAAAAGCACAACCGATCTGCGGAGGGTGCCCCTCATGTTTCAAGCTAGCACCACTCCCTCTCAGTCAACCATTAACTTGACAAAAGTCTCCGCAACCCATGTTCGACGCAGAAACGCGATGAAGTATTTGTACCACATTTTCGACAGCGCCTCAGTGTGGCTTTCACAGATCCCGCCATGTGTAATCACCGCGGTCTCAGGCTAGAGCCCGTCTGGGCTGAAGGAACCTGACTCTGTTTTATTTCGGTCTCACGGGTAGCCGGCAACCACCAACCATGAACCCTGGCCGGCTGAGACAGGTGCTGTAGCACTCCGAGGACTGAGTCAACCACGCCTTTCCCGACGTCTCATCCATCAAGTCGCCGAGCATGACGCGAATAGACTTTTGCGCAATCAAACCCAAGGGCCATCGTCATCATCTGACTCTACTGGCCAGCCAACCTGTGGTCAAGCTGCCCATTTCCCCATTTTGGCTCTTCCAGTCGACGTGGAGTTGCGCGAGGACCATCCTGCCATTCTTCTCTTCAAGTTCCTCGTCCAGTACCTGTTGGAGAGTAAAGGCAACTTGCATGACATCCTGAGGATTCAAGATCGGACAGTCGTCAGCCTCATTCCAGTTCAGGCTCCTGCCTGTCAGGCCTTGAGCCGTGCTAATAAAAACCCGCTCCAAAACAACCGATTTCTCGGTGAGGTTTTCGAGTTGGGCTTCTAATACAAATCTTCGCATGTCTCGTGCATCCTTCTTGGCTGCGAGATCTCCTACCTTGGTTCTCACGCCAAGTGCAGGCTGGGCGACGAATTGATATAATTTTCTGAATGTTCGCTTATTTGTGATGTCATCTCGAGTCTCCTGATAGGTGACAGTGACAGCCAGAACATGAGGACCATCCTCGCGTAGCTCGTGCCGTACAATGCGCTGCAATGTCTGTGCCGGTTGCATCCCTTGTTCTGTTGTAGCATCTGGACCTTCTAACGCCAATGTAATGCTGCCGCTCGGCACTTGAAGTTCGGCACTTAGCTGGACATCTTGTACGGCGACAGGAGATGAAGGCGGCAATTCGTTGTTCGCGCATAATGTGCAAGAGAAAACGGTGCCCACATAGGCAGCGCCGAAAGCAGGAGGCAGTGCCAGTAACGGTGCCAGTGGGAATGTATCTGGCGTCGCGGTTGGATAGGGTAGCGATGCTTTTGCGACGGCATCGGTGCCGGGAAGTGTATGCGCGGGCGACAGCGATGGATGCGAGAGTCTNNGCACGATTCCAAGCAAGTTCGTTGTCAGCGAGCAGATCAAGCAACATAGCAGCAGAGTCGGACGGTTGTTGGATTACCTCAATACTTTCAGACTGATGCTATGCGGAGATGCGCCAGCGCCAGCGACACTTCCAGCACGCGCTTGAGCCATGGTCTGTCTTTCTAGGGCCACACAGGAGCTCGCATGTCAAACGGAAAGGAAGTTGCAATCGAAATTGCTGTATCTTCGCTCGCGGCCGTCTGTTCAAGAATCATCATACGCAATCCACAACCCACGCGACGACTGTCAGTCCACGCTGAGCCGACATCCGAACGAGTGGCCCAAGCTCAAGCTCTCTTCCCCCTGCATCCCGCGTTGCTTGGGCGAATCTTCTGTGTTTACCCCTATGAGAGGGCATCCTCATTCTACAAGCACCCTGATCTCCTGCACAGCATGTGTGATGTACGCCATGGATTCTTGTCAGCGCCCCAGCCAAATCAAATCTTGCTGGTTCAAGATAAATGACCCTGACCATCATGCGACCATCCATCGAACATGGAGATCATCTGCAACCTCCACAGCTATTGTCTCAGATAGAGCAGCAATAGAGCACATCTCCTTTTCCCTCTCCACCAACCTATATTGTCCTTCTTCGCCTATCTCAAAATCCAATAGCTCTTAGACGCTATAGCCTGACCTGTCTATATCTGCCAACGCCAAAATTACCATCACTTTCATCCTCACTTCATCACCGGACATCGGATACATTACCTATTCGAGTATACCCCTTTGTATGTATCTGCACAAACGTTGCAAGACAAGATATACCAGTGGCAGCTCCCTCCCGTTGAAGCTACAGACATCGTCCCACCTGCTCGTTCGATTGGCAACTTGCAACTGTGAGATTGTTATGTGGCCCCTTTGCTGCTGCCTGGACATGACTCTGCTTCACTCAGTGCTTTGCCCGATCTAGGTTCATGCATGTCCAGACGGTAGATGATTACGTTCGCACCTGGCGTTTTCTGTCTTCTATACGCTGAACGAGAATGCGTTTTCTGCCTTCTGTACGCCAAACGAGAGGGGGAGACTGGAAGCAGATCTACAAAGATACATCCAAAAGAGACATGTGTTTGTTCTATTTCAGGCGCTTATGCTTGTCTCGCAAGACTCACACTTTCAGTACTATTGAATTCAGAGCTGAATAAAGACCATCTACTCTTTTGGGTATGTCTCGGAAAGGAAAAACGCGATGAATATTGATCCCTAACTATCTGTCTCAAGTATGATGAGCACTAGTCTATCAGATAGCGCTCAGACAAGCGAGAATCCCACTAATCAACCCCAGAGTCGATTGACTAGAGTGTCGCAGATATAACAATCAACCACGGGACAGATAAATAATCACGTATAAGCAGATAGGTGTGGTCTCGGCCTAATACTTGCTTTCGACCCACGTGGGTTGTCTTATGCCAAGATAGGTGACTGCCATTTAATCATAAAATGAGTTAGACTACGCGTGATAGCAATGAGCTCATCTCTCGTGGTGAAGCAGGACGACCTATCAGCTGCAGAAGTGCAGAATGATCTTTGGATTCAATGCTGTGCCCAGAGAAAGCCGAAAAAGGGACTGATCTCAGCGGACGTAAGATGGAAACATAAGCTACGTGAGAACGCAGAATGGCTTCTGTTGTGAAAGTCTCTCAAGAGAAAGCCATCACAGACGGAGCGATCTCTGTGAATCTTACTCTACTTCTTGACAAGATTCTGCATTTATACAGCGATATGTAATATACTTGCATCTTAGCAGAGATAACCGACAGTGAATCCACCGCTTGCTGACCTTGCTTAACAAAAAAAGGCAGGCTCCTCGCCAACACAAAGAAGTGATTATATCTGCTGATTTAGCTCTCTCTCAGACACTTCTTCTGACACTTAGTGGTGTAGACGAATCATCAAGCTGCACATCGCTCCAATTAGGACCATGATGAATTGGTGACACCGACCGAATTGTCCCTTGTTCACTTCCTTCTCCAACACTCTGTTGTCCGACCAGAGTGACAAACGAACCGGGGGTCTGGGGTGTAGTTGGGATCTTTAGGTTACTCATTTCAAGCTCTTCCACATCTCTCACTGGGGTTGTGGGACGAGAGATCTCAGCCACAGTACTATCCACAGCAATGAGAGCATACCCTCTAGGAGACCACTCGAGCCTAGCCAGTGTTTCGCCAGCTACAGCTAACGAGTGATCATGATTCTTGTTGCGTAGGTCCCGATAAAGCAATTCGTCCGGTCCATGTAACATGGTAGCTGTGTTATTAGCTTTCCAGCTCGGGACGCCGAGTCTATGTGCATCCATTATCGAGAGTGCAAAGAAGATGCTGCCAANCTAGTAGAATCTGATTAGTCAAATGGGCATGATGTGGTTGAGCTCTTGTGTCTTACTTGTGAATAATGACAATGGTAAAGCCAAGANAAGCCCAACGGACTNTGATAGTATCTGACCCACTGCTGTCCTGTGCCCGATACTGGATTGTTGCCGACATTGCGGATTGCGTTGCTCACGCTTTTCGCTATGGCATCGAATGTCGCGGTTGTGTTCGTTTGGTTGAAAAGAGGCTGAAGAATAGCGCTGCCATAAGTATGCAGCACAGGCTGATTCGTATTAACTACTGCTTTTACTGTCCCGTTGTCGTTGTCTTGTCGTATCAAGGATGTGAGGAAGTCAAGTGTGCTGACTAAACTCCTCTGAGTGACGTTGAAATGCTCTTTCACATCCGTTCGTAAGGCGGCAGGATCGAGCGCGTAGTCATCACGATACAGGAACATGTGATGATAGATCGGGTTCGACTCATACGTTCCTCGATCGACTGGAAGGTTGTGTGGGTCGACACCACTTTGATCGACGAGTGAAGGTAGCCACGACCCGGGTACTTTGTCAGAAGCGCTCGCCACAACTTGCTCCACCAAGACGTTGTTTCTGACGGAAGAGTTGTAGACGTTGAGCGTCAACTCCAATCCACACTCCATAGCTGATGCACTTGCAGCATCCCAGGCTGGGGTGCCCAGACTATGAGTATTGTCGGTCCTGATAATGGTGAACGCAGCAAGTAATGCCTGCGAGTTTGCGAAATTGATGGTTTTGTTCGGATCGGCCACCACTGCTGCTTGAAGAACAGCGAAAGTTTGAGCTTTACGCCACGATGAATTTGTGTTTGAGAGAGTCAAGTCGAGATGCTCCAGTGTCCAGTTTGTCCACGTCGCCGAGGATTGTGTTGGTGTCGAAGAAGGCTGGACACCCGAAGATTCTCTCCTCTCTAGGCCTGCAGATTCTTGAGTCATAGTAGATTTGATTGGTGTTACCTCCCCTCCAGTGAACGCCGATACTTCCGACTCAGGTGGTGCAGAGTATAGTGGCGCCCCAACCCCTGAAGACGTCTGAGGAGTGTTTGTAGAAGCAATCGCATCTGAATTCAAAATCGACGAGTCGATAGAATCCGGAAGAATTGATGATGGTGCCTCATATGTTAATGCCCCTTGGTATGAGTATGAAGAGGATTCAATGGAGGTAGTCACAGGTTCGAGGTTCATCGAAGATGAAATTGAAGTCGAAGACGTTATTTCATCTGCCGAATCCTCTGGTGTTGTTCTCTTTAAGAGATTTGACAGATCGAAGCAAGTGCTGCGTACAGCCAAAGATGTGAACTTAGTCCATGTGCAGTTACCGGATGTGCATATGAAGGACACATTCTGGTGACCATGACTAATTGCTGCATTTAGACCGTCATATAGAGCAGCAGCAACCGCAAAGTCTGGTGTGGTATCGATTTGCGGATAATCAGATGGCCAGCTACTTATGCATTGAGTACCGCCATCGAAACGATTCGACCTTCCGATCGTAGCTTTTGTGTTGTTTTGAGCTGATGCATCAATGTCAACAAGACATCCGTAATCCGATATGATGGCTTGGAGGAAAGGGTCGATCATGAAACCGAGGGCTATGACAAGTGCTCCTGCGGACACTAGATGCCTGTTGTGTGTTGTTAGCTATGGCATCAAAAGAGATAGGAGCGAAGGAACTTACTGGCCACGCATACGCCACAAGAGCTTAAAGCTCTCGAGGGTATCACGACTCGCAGCATCAATAGCCTCGAAGGTGTTGAGAGGGCTGTTCCTCTTGTAGAACCATGTCCACTTCCCCTGAGCAAGAGCAGCAGAGACCGCTATGAAAAGAGTCGACTTGAAAACCACCCCGAGAGTGGAAACTACCGTGTTGATAGAGAAGTAAATAGTCCAACTGTCGATCGGCGTGTTGTTGTGGATGGCGAGGAACGTGACGATAAGGACTGCACATACGGCGCTGCAGAGAAGGAAGAATGTCTCAATGTACCATGTCGTCTCTAGCCACTCCACGAGTCTGGAGAACTTTCCGTGAGGCTTGTCGGTATCTTTTGAGTTCGGTGTATGTATCTGGGGGATGTTTCTTGCACCAGTCAGCTTGAAGCTTGTATATGAGGACGCCAATTTGTGCATACGACGGCTGAGATGCCTGATCAAAGGTGTTTGTCTGTTGAAGGAGCGGCTCTTGCGGAGTGGCGACATGGTGCCCTTCAGGGACATCAGAGTTACTATGGTTGCTAGATTGAGAGACACTACGACGACGTGAAGGTGCTGGTACTGGAAGCGTAGGTGATTGGCTCATGGTGATAGATAGGAGATGCTTGTCAGGTATTGTGCCTTATGAATAGTACAGAACAAGGGGAGTGATGAAGATATATGGATTCTTGACGGAAACCTTGTGGCCGTCGACTGAAGACATCCTCGTTGTCTTGCCTCATCATCAGCGAGGCTGAGGCGCCAGCCATTTCGATAGAGGTATGCTTAAGCGGCAGGTATAGTTGGGCTGCCGAAGGAAAGCAACGAATTGTAGCCTCATAGACAACGGAAACCAAGCCCGGATTGCGTCCCGCTTGTTCATCGATAGGTCGGGCTGTATGTGCATGCATGACAAAACCATAGCATGTGATCACAGATAACGGTATTGAAGTACTCCCAGGCTGTGCTTGCAGAGTTTCCCAAACCAATACGGCGGCACAGCGCAAACGGATGCCATGCAATGGTGGCAGAATGTATTGATGAATCAGATTGGTGTGATGTTTTCATGAAGATGGAGGTGATGTCAACGGCATGATCCATGTACAGCTATAGCCGCTCACAGTCTCATTTTCCAGGCAGTGAATGGCGTCAACATACATATTAAAATGCCTTTTATAGCAAGCCTTGGTTTTCTTTCTTTTTGATCCTTGGGCTCTGTTGCGTGTTGGTGGTGGCTGTTAGTATGAGATGGGGATGTAAGTGGTTTCTCAAGGAAGGTTTAAGAATAGTCACAAGAAGTCACCAACAAGCGCCAAGCACCTGCTTTCAACGCAACAACAATCACTTCAACGTACCATTGTGTAACCTGAGCAATCTTGACATCGAGTACAGCAAGCGTAGAACTTGAATTTGTCATACCATATTTGTTAATCTTCAGACTCTTCTCTGTAGAAAATGTTCTCTAAAACCAACCACCGTAAATTGTTCGGAAGCCTCGGCTGTCGAAGTATTGACGTAACATCAAGGACACCAAATTGGGAAACCACCCCATTCGATTGGATCTAGTCATCTCAATATTCTTTGACCACTTACGTTGCGGTAAATCGGGCGCTTGTTGACACTTCTCGACTGCATATCAAGGAGAACACAGACGACCCTTCTGCTCACCTTCTTCCAAACACATACAACGAATAACTGGTTGATCAACCTTGACGGGACTTTTCCACAATCACCTGCTACTCATAGCAATACGAACACCATGTCAGCAAGGAATCAAGCCGTCGAGGCTCATACCCAGCGAACCAAGCGGGTTGCTACCCAAGTCAAATCCTTCTACGACAGAAAAGAACCATTCCGAATCTTCCATGGCAGCACCAGCAGCACAAGAAGCCAAGAGCAAGATCGCAACAAGATGATCTCCACCAGCGACTTCACCGAGATCCTGAACATCGACCCTGAGAAACGAGTTGCAGTTGTCGAACCTAACGTTTCCATGGAGAAATTGGTCGATGCTACTTTATCGTATGGACTTGTTGCTCCCGTCATCATGGAGTTCAAGAATATCACTGTTGGTGGAGGGTTCAGCGGTACTTCTGGAGAAAGTTCTTCTTTCAGACATGGTGTTTTTGACAATATTGTCAATAGTATTGAGATTGTGCTGGGAAATGGGGAGATTGTACGTGCTTCTCGATCTGAAAACTCTGATCTGTTCCATGGCGCAGCAGGCTCATTCGGAACGCTGGGTGTTGTCACAGAGATTGAGGTTCAGCTGATGGAAGCAGGCAACTTCATGGAGTTGGAGTACCATGCCATTTCAAGTGCTGCAGAAGCTGTACGAGCCATTGAGACCTACACGGCTGACAACAAGATCCAATATCTCGATGGCATCATGTTTTCTAAACACAGTGGCTTAATCATCGCAGGCCGCATGGTCAAAACCCCAACAACAGGCTGCAAGATCACAAAATATCTCTCAAGAGCCGATCCCTGGTTCTACGTCCGCGCCCAAGAGATCCTCAACAACGAAATACCCACCTCTAAAGGCCACTCGTATACTGAAGTTGTCCCCATCAAAGACTACCTCTTCCGCTTCGACAGAGGCGCCTTCTGGGGAGGTTACTACGCCTTCAAATACCACTTTGCACCATTCAACAATCTTACTCGGTACCTCCTGGATGACTTAATATCTACCAAAACCATGTATACCGCACTCCACAAATCCGGCCTCGCAAACGAATTCATTGTCCAAGATATCGGGTTTCCCTATTCCACAACTCCAGATTTTATCGATTACCTAGACGAAGAGTTTGAGTTATATCCACTGTGGTTGTGTCCCTTAAAACTGGATGCCCCTTATCCACTCTCTCCAAAGGGAAAGCATTACTCTCAAGATAGCTTGAGAGTCATCAATGTAGGGGTTTGGGGACCAGGCCCACACAACCGCGATCAATTCATCGCTGCAAACCGCGCCATAGAAGCAAAAACCAAACAACTGGATGGTTTGAAATGTCTATATGCACATGCCTACTACACGTCGCCCGAATTCTGGGATCTCTACGACAAAGAAAAGTACGATACCCTACGACAGAAGTACCATGCGACATTGTTACCGTCTGTCTTTGACAAGGTTACGAATAATGGTCCTCCTCCTGCGAATACGCTGTTTGAGAGATTGAAAAATACAAGACCGGTGAGGGGCATTTACGGTGCTTTATGCGTGTTTTGGAGTGGTGGGTTGCCGTATGCGAAGGTGCATCAGGTGTTGAGTATTGTGTTGTCGCCTTTGTTGCTTGTTATCTTTACGATGGCATGGACTGTGTCGTTTGGTAAGGATTTGTTGGGATTGAGAGCGAGGGGGAAAGTGCATGTCGAGTAGAAAGCAGTTCGAGGAGGAAGGGATGTAAGGCTAGAAGGTACTAAAGCAGGTAAAATGTTAGCACCACCAATGCTCGAGAACAGCCGATAGTCAAAATCATCTTGTATCAAAAGGCCATCAGAGAATCTCCATCCTCAAGAGTAGAACCCTCAACCTTTACCTCTCGTAAACAAAACTTTTTGGGGCATTAGCCTCTCTACTCCCGACTTTGAAAAGCAGGCGGTCTCCCATTACGCCAAACTCACGTTTGTGTCTTACAAGTGGGATGTGAGAAGGACAATTTTCTGGTATATAAGGGTATTTGACTGGTCCACCGATACCTGTTGAAGTAGCGCTTGCCCGGACCGATTTATACAATGTCTGGTACCTAATGAGGGAAAGGCCACTGACAAGACCAATACTTTATACAGAGACATCAGCTTGAAACAGAGCTACAAGGCAGCAAGTGTGAAAAAAGGAACTTGCTCATAAGGACCATAAGTCGAATGCAATGCTGTACAACTAGAACACTAATCTATAGACCCGGGCAAAGCCTACCTCTCCTTCCTCGGAGCAGAAGAAGGCAATTGCGGCTGCAATCCGTGAATCTCCTCTCTCATCTCCTGCTTAATCCTAGTAATCGTACCTGCACCTCCGTAAACCATCGCCGTATACACCATAGCAACACTAGCACCTGCATTCAACACCTCCAAAGCTTGTTTGCCGTTTGTGATTCCTCCAGTTGCGAAAATGACTTTTTCCTTATTGGTGTTGAGTTCGGCTGGTGTGGAGAGCGAAGTCTTTTGGCAGGTGCTGAGACTGCTGAGGACGCAGGACCGCTCGACAACATCTTCTCAGCAGCGTCAGGGGCAGCGCCTAGAGCCGGTTCCACAGCCGAGAAAGCTGCTTTTGTTTCTGCGGCTGTGGTGTTAGACGACGAAGACACAGAAGCCGGGATTCGGCGTTCAGGAATCTGGATAATGGATTGATCGCGGCTGTTCTTGTCGGCGGTTTCGGTCTTGGGTTTCAGGTTCTTGAGATCGCGCTCTACGCTTGATTCGATCGAGGCTTGGGTGTCAGCGTCAAGACTGTTGGGGGCGGCACTTTGGGCAGTCGAGGATTTTTGCTGTATCTGATGTCTGATCTTCTCCTTCATGGCTTCGGTCTCAAGCTGGAACTCGGACTTTTGTGGTTGCTTTGGTGCCTCTTCGATCTTTTTGGGTTCGGGTTTGGCCTCGTTGGGTCCCTTGTCAAGGGTTGCTCTGTATTTCTTGACCAGCGAGACTGTGCGCTCGAAGAGTTGAGGACCAGAGTAACCACCAGTTTCGAGCATGATGCTCTGCTCGTTTTGTGGGAGTAGGTAACCAGCAGGTAGAGCATCAGGACGCTTCTTGGTAGTGTTGCCAACGATGATACCATCAACACCACTGGCCCAGACAGCACCGCAGATACCGCTGACTTGTTCTTCGCTGTCCTCATCGGGCGAAACCTTGACCATAACAGCAGGCTTAGTCTTGCGATCAGCAGCTTGAGCAGCATCAACGACAGCAGTCAGAATCTTGGTCAAAGGAGCAGCTTGCTGCAAGTTGCGAAGACCAGGAGTGTTTGGTGATGAGACGTTGACGACGAGGATATCAGCATACTTGGCAAGCTGGTTGACACAATAGACATAATCTTGAGCAATAGCATCGAGATCGTTGTCAGGAGTCTCCTTCATCTTTGCAACTTGAACAGCGAGCAGACGGCCAGGCATCTGACTGCCAGGTGGCACGCCAGCGTGACCGTCCAAAACAGACTGCTCTGCCACAGGGTCAAGACCCAGACCAAGAGCATATGCAAACTCGCGCAATCGCTGACGAAGGCGGGTAGCAACACTATCAGCACCTTCGGAGTTGAGACCGTAGCGGTTGATGAGGGCATTCTGCGAAGGAATGCGCCAGACACGAGGCTTAGGGTTACCCTCCTGTGGTCGAGGAGTGATACCGCCAACCTCGACGATACCAGCACCGAAGCCTAGAACGACATCGGGGATATCGGCATTCTTGTCCAGACCAGCAGATGTTCCGATGGGGTTGTCCAGGACATGTCCAAACACCTCAACCTTCAAGTCTCCATTGATATCTGGGTTGCCTCTTTCACGGGGATGTAAACCGACAGAATATAGGGCCTTGAGTGTCTTGTTGCTGATCTTGTGGGCGTCCTCGGCGTCGGGGAACAGGGTGCGCAAGACTCGCGGTACGAGCCATTGATGGAAGGTCGCGCGCGTGTCGGTGACATAGAGGTATCCAAAGCCGAGGACAGCAGTGATGGCGGTTCCGAGAAGGAGATNTTTGGCACGGCTGAGACCTGAGCGGGCATCTCCAATCTTCTCGTTGCGAGCAACCTCTTGCTTGAGCTCGCTCGACGCATGGCGTATTTGTTGGAACTGTCGTAGGGCTGGTCGCGCGTGGAATTGACCAGTCCTCCGCACTGCCTGTGCTCGAGACCACTGTAATTGACCTCTCATCATGCCGCGCGCAGATATCCCGACTACTTTGTAGAATGTCTAATCACCATCTTGATCGCATCGTCCTCCGACCTTCGGGGTTCGCCAAGACGCCCTCCGCAATCGACTCCGCAGCATCGTCATGACCAGACTGGATATAAATAGCGAGATAGTGTAAATTTAAGGACCTGGAATAGGGTATTATCCTTTTGAAAGTAGAAACAGAAAAATCTTGACCAACTTCAATCCACCTTGCCTCCAGTGGCAGCTCCACCTAATAATCCGTCCTTCTCGTTGCCTCCCACGGTGAAGAAAGACCCTGTGCTGCCAAACGCCTTTCCTCTTCTGATCAATCCTCTGCCCCAGATGCTGGCTCCAATGAGCATGCCGATCACCAACCCCAGTGTTATCAGAGGGTGTGCAGACATGCCACTACGAACTGTCCAGATCAAATGCCCAAAGAACGAGTTCTTATGCTTGGGGCTGATTTTCGGTGGGGATGCAACCACTTTGGGTAGCGTCTCGAGGATTGACACACGAGATGGCACGATCGGGTTGCCAGTCGATGTGAGATCCCAGTAGCGTTGGTNTCTGTCATCACATAGTCAGTAACTGTGTCTCGGTTTGATTCACTCAAAACTCACGTCTTCGTCGTTGATGACGACCTTCTCTCCGTCCTTGACATCGATACCGAATGTTGTCTTGAGCCAGCGCTCCCAGAACACACCATCGACCCACGCAAATCCAACCTCTTTTCGGTCAATCTCGTTCATATCGATTCTGATTTGCTTGGCTGCCCGCAGCCCACGCTGGTCGTTGCGGTCTTCGGCCTCCTCGATACGTAGCTGCTTGGCATCGCGATACTCCTGTCTTTCCAGCTGGAAAGCCTGAATCTCCTTGTCGATCCATTCCAATGCAGCGCTCTTGAGTTCACGCTTCGCGATGACGAAATCCTCCTTACGCTCACGGCTCAAGATAGCCAGCACAACGAGTCTGTGATCCATAATGTCACGAGCGTTCGAGGATGTCAGCTCAGGCACAATCGGCAGCCAGTTGGCTTGCATCCATCCCAAGACTTTGCGGAAATCGCGCATATCTCTAGGAGACAGTGGTGTGTAGTAAGTTGGCTTGCCATCCCTAGACACGATCAAGCGAGGCCAAGTTGAAATCTTGTATCTAGCGGAAAGAGCGGGATCCTTGGTCTTGACCAGCTTGGCGTGACCAATCAAACTCAGCAACAGTCGCTCCAAAGCTTGGAAGTCCTCGCTGGTGGTGGCGTGGTCATAGAAATAGAGGAAGATAACCTCTTCTTCCTTCTCGAGGGCCTCAAACGCAGCAGCATCGACATCAACAACGCCGTCACCAGCCGAGACGGCCTTGTTTGCATAGCTGATAAGGTCTCCAAGACCACGGAGACCCTCGTATTCAATGCGCTCACCAGCCTGGAAATAAACCAAAGTGGGATAACCCTTGACGTTGACATCCTTACAAAGACGACGCTCAACCTCGCAATTGACCTCGCCGATATTCAACTTGTTCTTCATGTCGCGGGCCATAGCGTGCCAGCTAGGAGCCATGGCTTGACAATGATGACACCAAGGTGCGTAGAACTTGATAAACCAGGGATCGTGGGTGGTCGTGACCTTTTGCTGGAAAGTTTCGGCAGTCAGGGGGACGGAAGTCCCAGCAGGGTTGGGAGTCTCTTTGGCAATCTTGGTGGCCTTGAGCAAAGATTTGGTCGAGGTGGTGGAAGTGGTAGACTTGGTAGCTTCAGCGATAGCATCAGCTTCCTTAGCAGGGCCAACGATAGCAGCGCCCTTGAAATCTGGCGAAGAAGTGGCACCAACTTTGGGAAGTTTGGGGCCGTCCTTCTGTCTTGAACCAGGCTTGATGGCCTCAAGCATAGACTCGATCCACTTGACCTCATCTTTCATGGGTAAGGCACCAACCTTACGATCCACCTCTTTACCATCCTTGAATTGAACAACGGTGGGGAATGAGTTGATGTTATGATCCGAGCATGCATTACCAAAAGCGACACAGTCGAGCTTGGCAAACTTGAAATCGTAGTAGCGAGTAAAAGAGTTAAGAGAGTCGGACGAGTCTTTGTTGGAAGCAGGGAGAGGGTCGGAAGTGTAGTAGAATTCATGGAGGGTCTGCCATGTCGGCGCGAAGTGTTTACAATGACCGCAGTATGGTGAGAAGAACTCAACCAGCCAGGTACCTTTTGAAATGTCCTGGTCGAGGGTGGTTCCGCTAAGTTCGGGGATGGGCGGGACATTGACACCATTGAAGGTAGTGCCCTTGGGACCAGAGTCTGCACCGTCAGTAACGGAATCTTTCTTTGTCTCGCCCTTGACTTTGGGATCTTTTGCAGGTGATGCTGGGGCATCGGGCGCATCTCTTGCAACGTTCAAGGCGGCATCACGGGCGAAGTTCGCGGGCGGAAGAGCGGGCGCATCGTTCTTGACTGGTGGAGCGGCAAAGACAGAGGCGGCGAACGACAGAGCGATCAAAGGCGATATCAAAAATGATCGCATGATAGTTGGAGGCCCGCGGGCACTCTCGGCTGGGGGAGACGGTCGGACACGATAGGTATGGAGAAGTAGGACAGGACTGTCTGCTGAAGCTTAGAGCAGGTGCGATGACGGAAGCAACTGAAGTAACCAGAACAGGACCGAGTACCAGGCAAAAGAGCGACGGATAGGGCAGCAATAAGTAGGAGCTCCAGAGCCGATATGTAATAATAGGAGACAGCACAGGTTAATCAGATGAATGCCCAGGCCCAGACCGGGGAGGCTGCTTGGCAGGCCGTGTTTGTGCTGTTTGCTCTCAATGGTCAGCAACTGGAGCGGGCGTCGGGTCTTGACGTCTTGAATTGAAGATTAGCTACCATCTCCATTACACACAACCGCCTCGCCACAATGAGAGCCTCTTCCCGATTGCTTGCGCAGGCTTCGCGCTTCNNCCTCACTCCTGGCGCCCCTACTGGTCTGACTGGCGTCTTGACCCATGCCGCCCCTCGCTCCACCCTCCTCTACCTCTACAACTCGACTCTGGACAAGCTGAAGCAGTTCCCCGAGCACTCTGTCTACCGCCAATCCGTCGAAGCTCTCACCAAGCACCGTCTGTCAATCGTCGAGTCCGTCAAGCCTGAGGGTCTGGAGGAATGGCAATCCCGCGTCAAGAGCGTCGTCGAAGCTCACCCCAACGCCTTCCGCTCAATTGTCTCATCCAACAGCAAGAACGAGGTCAACATTGTCTACAACGAGACCGCCCTCAAGGGTATGGAGACCGAGGACTACGAGGATGAGCCCATCCAAAAGCAGGAGCCCGAGGGTCCTAGAATTCGTTCGCACAAGGCCCACCAAGAGCAATCTTTCATGGCAGACCCTCAAGCAGACAACGAGATGATTCCTCGCATCGAGCCCGAACCTCCTCTTACCGCCGAGCAGTGAGTTCACTCGCGCCCATTCTGCTTGACATCCACTAATACTTTTCGCCAGNNGGTCAACTCCATTGAGCAACAAATTCAGGCTGGTCTGATTGAGNNGGAAATTATCCTCGTCGCAGAGGCCGAGTCCGCCCTCGCCGACGAGATGTACAAGAGCAAGGTCTGGGAGGACCTTGAGGAGTCGCCCAACCAGGGACAATGGGCCTACTACGAGCGCGATACCCACACCCCCAAGACCCAGGCTCACAACTAAGAAGCTCAGGTTTGCTTTTTTCCTTGTACAAAATACCAATCGCAAAGCGCTTTTCTTTGAATCATATAATCATGAATTCTCGGTTCCAGCCATCTCAAGTATCACAAGTGCTACAGCAGAACATGACGATTCAATCGCTTTACTGACATCTGTTGAGAAACACTTAGCTCTAACGTGCTACGTGAATCTTTTTATCGTATGCATGATACACTGACATTCCTGTTCGAAGACAGAATAGGGAAAACAGAAGCCCTAGAGGCACTACGGGCAAAGACTGACTACTAACTACTAACGCATAAATGAACGAAGGGCAGACGGCTAGGAAGATCTGAAAAAATCAATCACTGGCTCCTCTCCGTATGTGCAAACATATGAAGGACGCTCAGGGATTCGCACGAGGTTTAAGCTTATTGATTGACTATCTGACTACCAAACGCTTCCTTTCTGTCCTTTGCGCGCAGCCTTGACCAATCTCTCCTTGCCGTACTGGAAACATTCTGGCAGTCCTGTTTCTTCCCAAGAGCCGCCCAGCATCAGCTTGGCCAAACCTGGTGCACATGTGAAGATTCTCGCCATGCTGGAACCTGTCAGTGTGCGTCTCTCAGAGGAAAAAAAAGAAAAGGCATTTATATCCACTTACCCATGTCCATTGAAGCCTGCGCAGATATATTGTCCAGGCAACTCCTCGATAGCGCCAACATACGGCACTGAATCAGGAGTCATGGCGATTATTCCAGTCCATGCGTGGTCCAATCCCTCGCCATGGCGCTCAGTCTCCGTCACGTACTCTGGAAACATGATTCCAAAGCGCTTCAATGCATCATCTATGATCTCCTGGTTGAAAGCACCATCGTCGAAGCTTTCTCGCACTGCTAATGTTTCGGCGCTTAGCTCAGGGTTTGATCTGGAGACACCGAGGACAATAGTCCCATCACCTTTTCTCTGGATGACAGAGTAGAAATGGTGGAGGCTGTATCTGAGCGACATAGTGCTGGTAAAGGCGTTCTCAGCGCTGAAGGCAGACGTAGGCACGAGTGAATGTGCTTGTGCTCGATTGGGCGTTATGTAGCCATTGAGGTGAGGCAGTAATGCTGCGGCATATGCATTGGTGCTATGCACAACCGCCTTGGTCGCGATCGTTCCTCTCGGTGTGCGTACATCCCACCGGTATCCTGGAAGCTGAGATTCAGTCACCGCAATTGCGGGACAGTGCGTCCATAGTTGTGCTCCCTTGTCAATGACACTGGAAAGTAGCCATTGTGCCAACTTGGCAGGATGACTAGATCCAGCAGGCCACTCATATGCAGCAACAGCTTCAGGAACTCTTGTCCTGGTCTTAGCCTCCTCGCCCTCATAAAATCGTACATGCGACACATCTCCTCCAGCCGCCTTATATGCTTCAAAGCTTTGCGCTTCATACGCAGCAAACTCCGGTGTCAAGCACACATCAAACGTAGTGGTAAGGTCAAAATCGCAAAGCACGTCATACCGACGCACGAACTCATCAACAGCATGCAGCACTTTCCTTTCTTCTACGATGATTTTCTTCGCTTGCTCGGGACCATGCACAGCTGCATAGGCAGCATAGCCGCGAAATGCATCGGGACGAACATGTCCGGCATTCCTGCCACTAGCTCCTGAGACTGCTTCCCTGGCTTCGAGGATCAGAATTCTGTTACCGGGGATGCCAGAGTCGGTCAGAGAGAAGGCTGTCAAGGCACCTGAGATGCCTGAGCCGATGATTATGTAGTCGGCTGTTTCTGGTGGAGGTGCATCCTTGTTGGCATTTAGATGAGGAAAGCCGCGGGTAGTTTTGTGCCAGTAGGATAGACAAGGTGAAGGTAGAGGGAGAGAGGGCTCCAGACCAGGAGGTGTGGCAGGGGGTGTTGCAGGCTGAGCGGATGGCATATTGTCAGGTGTCTCTGAACACAGAGTGCTTTCAGAAGATCGGACTGCTAACAGACAGAAATGTTTTCTGTCGATGATCGTTTGCTTGGAAGTTGGATAGACTGTTGCTGCTGATGCAAGTCTGCTTTTGATACCACCTATGTTTCTTTGCAATATCTTGGCTGTACAACCGACTATCACGGCCGGCCTATAATTCTATCAGTTGCCTATCTCTGCTTGCCCGGTGGCCGAACACCTCAAAGGAAGATGTTCAGTTGATGATCGAAGGTTGATTGGTGGGATAGTGGCGATCGCACCTATGCCAAGACAGCTTAACCTTCCACCATGCAACAACCCCTCTTCCTCCCGATACAAAGATACTGCCAAAGCAATCAACTACCACCAGGCAGAGTAACCTCACGGATGTGATATGCGGTATCACAAGGATAGCCATGTCTTATCAAGATCCTTGTGGCGCCGATGAGGCTTCGCCTATCACTCCTCTGCTGCAGTATACAAGACAGCATGATAGTGCTTTATCGAAAAGGTTCATAATGTCCTCTTGATTTTTCATTGTGTCTTGTGCAATATCCTGCGTTGTCTATTTTCTCCTCTTCCCATTTTTCGTTTGAGTATTTTGAGAAGAAGAAGATGGGCTTATCAACTATGTTCAGAAAGGCAAAGCCGGCTATACAGCTGGAGCATCGGTCTGCAGAGGAAAAGGCATTGGTCAGAAGGCTTGATATGTTTCTTCTTACTTTTGGATGCATCAGTCAAGTCATCAAGTGAGTTTGGATCTCTGTCGGCATCACAAAACAGCCAGACTGATTGTTTTCAGGNTACCTAGATCAGCAAAACATCAACAACGCATACGTCAGGTGAAACGATCAATACCATCTCTAACGTATAACACCCTTGACTGACAAATTCGTCAGTGGAATGAAAGAGGACCTAAATCTCTACGGAAACGAACTCAACTACTTCACCACATATTTCAACATTGCCTACTGCCTCATGCTCATTCCCTCACAAGCAATCATGACCTACGTCAGGCCAAGCTACTGGCTCACCGGTCTAGAGATCACCTGGGGTGTTATCACAGGCCTGATGGCACTAACCAAGAACGCAAAGCAAGTCTATGTCCTACGAGTCTTTCTCGGGCTCTGCGAAAGCAGCGCGTGGCCTGGCATGATGACTTTACTCATGCATTGGTATACACCTATGGAGCTCGCGAAGAGAATGGGCTTCTACCATTCTTGTCAGACGTTGGGCTATATGATGTCTGGTGCGTTACAGGCTGCTATCATAGCTACGTTGAAAGGCAAAGGGCTATCTGGTTGGCGATGGCTGTTTGTCATCAGTAAGTACATCGGGCTTCAGATTTCGTCGGCACTAGGCACTAACCAATGTTCAGATGCAATCATGACAGTAGTATGGGGCGTCTTGGGCTTCTTCATGTTGCCAGATGTGCCCAACAACCCTAATCCCAGGGCTTTCTGGTTCAAGAAGGTAGATGCCGAACTTGCTATGGAACGTCTCGCCCGACATGGTAGAGCAGAACCGAAGAAGTTGTCCTGGGCAGGTACTAAACGTGCCTTCTCCGGCTGGACGTTGTACTTCATCGCTGCCTTGTACATCGCCACTGTTCACGCTCAAGGAGGCTATCAATACTTCAACCTCTTCCTGAAAGCTCTCAAGAACCCTGACGGCTCAAAACGCTGGTATGTAAACTACGATTTGTAAAGAATTGGAGCTGCACTAACATATATAGGTCTACCGAGNGAGATTAACGTTATCCCTATTGCCGGAGGGAGCATCGCTGTAGCATTTGTGTGGATCTGGGCCATCCTTTCTGATACACTGCGCACACGCTGGACCTTGATTGTTACCCAGGCCCTGATCGGTCTGATCCCAGCAATCATCATGACACTCTGGACAAGCAATCCAGATAGCGTGCCTGTCTCTGCCGCCTACGCCAGTTACTTCATCTCCTACCTCTCGCTCGGCACAGCACCACTCATCTTCTCCTGGCTCTCCGAACTCATACCACAAGACCCTGAGGCTCGATCACTGATTGTTGGTACCAGTGTCGCTGGCTATTATGCAGTCTCGGCATGGTCTGGTATTTTGATCTGGCCTGCTAAGGAGGCACCATACTATAGATGTGGTTGGCAAACCGCATTGAGTCTGTGGCTTGTAGTCATCTGCATGACTTGTGTGTTGAGGTTTGTGGATGTCAGATATCTGATGCCGAAGAGGAAGCTTTACGCGGAGACTCTGCATGGTGATGCATTTCAGGAGAGTGAGGTCGCTTCACAGCACGGGGATGCTGATAGCTTGAAAGGCAAGGATGTGGATGTTGCAGTTAGTAGAGTTTAAGTTTGTTATACCACCTCCCCGTATGCTAAAGACAGTCACAATTTACAACTAACCTCTTCTCCATTCCGAGATATAAGGGCTTTCATAAGCTGTCGTGATACACAGTTCTAACTAAAATACAAGTTTGGCCATTGAGATAACCTTCATCGAGGTTCTCTCAATGGAGATCATAGTTTTGCGAAGATATTGTGCATTTAGGCAGCTGCACTGTGACTGCCTTTAGCACATAAGGAGGCAGAACAATTCATTTGGGTTATTCTTTGAGAAAGGTTGATGGCTATGTTTGGGCGTGATGGACTTCGTATCTAGACAAATACATATCATCAACCCACGTAAACATCTTTCTTTGGCGCTAGATGACAATAATCCTGCGGTAACGTTTGGCTCGCATATCACGTCTATGGATACATTTTACTGTCACGGTATCTCTTAACTTGGAGTTCCCCGTCAAAGAGATGTGTTATGCACGTCTTGATTGCTGATGCCTGTTTGCCGCCACAAGTTGAAAACCAACAAAGGGCTTCTTGAAAGAGCTCCATTGAACCAGCGAGGAGGACGACAGTCTACACATCTCTTTGTCTATTAATGATTGTCACCCATTAGATTCCATCGTCCGATAGATCTCTCTACGATCAGGATATATAAACTGCATTCCATCTCACATCCACCACCAATTCGATCTTCCAAACAGCCATCATTTGCACAGCTACACAGCAAGAGTCAATCCCCACATCTCTAGCAATTATGAGCAGTGCATACATCATCCACAGAACCGATCGCACCGAAGAAGACTACATCATGCCCAAACCCTCTGCAGACCCTGAGCCCAGCCATCCCCATGGCCCTTTCATCACCTTCCGTGTGCTCAGCGACAACTCCGATCCAACTTCCAGCGAGGCCTTCGACACCAATTGGGATCAAATGCGTATCAAAGCCAGATTCGGCAGCATCATGGCAGCTGGAGCGGGTTACTGGTGGGAAGAAGGTCGCAAGTGGCTGCACCCTGAGCAGACCCCCGATGAGGTAAATCAAGAAGTGGACGCTTTGAAAATGTAAGTCGTTGACGATGGTGATAGGTTAAGNTTCAAGCATGGTCACACCGTTCGCATCATCTACCGCAAGGAGCCTGAGGAGCCAGCCGATGTTCTTGATGTCGAGCTCGAGAACATGGACACCAGCGAGCTGTGATGAAGAAGCAAAGTCAGGACATCAGACTCTCTTGCAGTGCTTCATCGGGATTGGGAAGATCGAGAGAGTTTGATGAAAAGCAGTCATCTGGATCCATTGATACTCAAGCTAGGAGATGTCGTCACATGGAGAAAAAGGGGGAAGGTGCGTTGGTGTGTGGTTCTTACCCTTGGAGATGCCGCATCATTCTTCACACAGAAAAGACCAACAGCAACGACGTTCCTTACATGTCCACTAAGAAGTTGGATGACGCTTAAATACCAGAAACCCCAACATCTGTTAACACAAGACCAAATTCAAAACGAAGATCCACTTTCGCTCACTTCCTTCCCTCTCATTCACTCACCTTTCAACTTCACATTAAACCAAATTCCTCAATTCTCACAGAGTTCGGTGCTGTGGCCCACTCGGTAATAGAAACTTCTTTCCAAAGTTTAGCGTAAATAGAATCCAGAGGTTGTGAGTTCAACTCCCTACCTTGATTGGTCGCTATAATGACTTTGGTTTAAATGATGTTTCTCCCCAGCTAATGGCTTGGTTCTTTTGCTTGTTCGGTATTGATGCTTGATCTTTCCTTTGGATATAAGTCTCGGTACTTTTGCTTTTGCTTTTGTTGTGATTGAGGATTGGATATGGCGAGCAATAAGGATAGTTGATCAAGGAAGATACACTTATTATGGAAGATGATCAACATCAGACTCTCCAGAAGTCAGTGACGGTGGTCAGAAATCCGTCTGAGTAGTATGTATCAAGCACGACAGCGAGGTTGCGCATCTATTTCTCGATGCTTCCAGAAGAAAGAACATGGTTCGAGACTGTGATACTATCTCAGCCAAAATTCCAAATCCCACCTCAGTTCTCGACGAGGACTCGAGATCGAGAGATGACTCTCGATGATAGCTATCGATAATACGGTGATCAGAGTCAAAAACATGTTCAGCCAGTCAACTTCTCAGTCAATCGTCTGCCCCTGTCAAATGCCCCAGTTTTGATAACAGTCCGGAGTGATTTCGGAGCATTGACAGCAACAGGTCGATCACTAAACCCCAGGGCCCGTTCCCAGAACACACATCCACGTGGTATACATGTCTCTGCTTTGACGTAGATCACCCTTTTCCCACACACAAGTTGGGAGTTTATGGTCCAGTCCAGTCCGTGCGCTTGATGTCTGACTCGGGAAGCTCTGACATGTCGATCTGTGACTCGGAAACATGAGTCTTGTGGATGCATGTTTGGTGTGGTTTGACATAACTTACTCATAAGAGGAGTCAGTGACATGTTGATCGGCGTGGGTTCACGGCAACTCTGATTGATGTCTCTGGCTCTTACAGGGTTTGGACTGATGGCTGGAAGGAACGACAAGGTGCGGGAGTCGATCATGTTTATCTTATCCGGACGGAAGGGATGATTGATGGCGGTGTACTTGTCATCGTGAGGTCCAAGCGACGACCATGTGCAAGAACACTGGTGGCCTGTAGATCAAAGTCGAGATGGCATGTCAAGGAGCTGGGGCAAGAACGATCAGAGGGTGACTGTGATGAGCTGAGCAGCTACCCCAACATCAGTCTATACCACATGGGGCAGTTGAAGAACAAGCTGATTGCGATCGTCAAAGTGTCATTACTAGATAAATAGAACCAAAGTAGTCTGCGTGGTGATGGTGGTGGGGTATACGATAACAGAATAAATGAAACAGAACAACATGAGGACAAAGCAAACAAGCTGACAGACGTGTCTTGGTCTCATACAAGATGTCTCTCCTTGGGGCTCGAAGAAGATGAACCCGAATGAACAGACATGTCCATCTCGGACACTGTGGGAGTCAACTCGTGAGTGACGATAGTAGTCATGACTCTGATGCGACCGTCTTCGGGCTCTTCGTCAATCATCGTCATGCCGTTCTCGCTATCATCGCTCAACCGCGTCTTGCTCTTGATAGTGTCCATCTCGATCTTGTGTGAACGTCCTCGCGCTGCGCCGTTCTGGGTTTCCAGGCCTTGTACCCAGTCTGCTTTTGCGGCGTGTGATGTGATAGCGAACTTGGCAAAGCCGCTTGTGTCGTCGTTGGTGCGCGACTTTGTTTTCGTTTTGCGAGAAGGAATGTATCGATGGTTGGAGTCTGGGTTTGAGCTGGAAGAAAAGATGCGAGGGAAGAAGCGTGAGATTGTTTTGCGAAGCATCGGTAGGCAGGCAGCAACGATGGAGAAGTTGCACTCTAGCGAGGACCAGTATGCTGCCGGGGTGTTGTCCCAGGTTATGTCGGTAGACACGGAGATGTCGTAGAGCGCTTTCAGTCGAAGAATGGACGTCAAGCAGACAAAGAGCCCCAAGCAGAAGACAGCAATAAGCGCGTATTTCTGCTTTCGTGGAAGCCGGAGCCGGTTCAGAACAGGCACAGGCAACAAGCATATCACCACATCGGTGACAATATTTATGGAGGCATTGGCGAACCATACTCCCAAACGACTCAGACAATGGCCGCCGATGTTGTGGTCCCAGAAGTAGGACACTGGTGTGCACATGAATGCAGTGCTGAATACAGACCATAATCCGTAAATAACGATGACACCGATAGACGCGGCGATGACACGTTGGATGTCAGTACCAACGAAGACCCGTCGATACTGAAGCAGGATGGAGATTTTGGTCAAGCTCAGGCTGGCTTGGTAGACAGGGACACTTGCCCAGAATGNCCTGAGACATATGTCAGAAGGTTTCATACTGAAGAGATGTGGTGTACTCACTTTGTTCAGCTGTTTTAGCTCTTCTGGCGACACAGATGAATAATGTCGACCNNTAGGAGAGGCGTCAGACGAATGTCGGTTTCAAGTGTGTTGATTAAAAGTCTTACCTTGCCCATGCTGCACTTCGACACAGATGAGAGCCGTGAGTACGACAGACAACGCAAAGGCAACAAGCACAACATAATCTTCAGGCCCAATGTTGCGTACAATCAAGCCTCTTGTGAACATCCTCAATCCGAGAACAACAAAAGCAATGGAAGTTGAGACAACAGCTACAATAACGCCTGTAGCGCCTCTCGACCCATGGCCTGCGTGGTCGGTCGTCATTGTGAAAGCTTACTGCCCTGTTCGAGCGAGCTTGATTGTTCCAGAAGACCAGTAAAATAGAAAGACCAAGTTAAAGGGATGATGCAAGCGTAGAGAGCGAAGGTTATTATAGTATGGAAAGGCGTTCGAGATTTAGAGAGCGACAACGAGAACCGGTTTCTTGGAATCGGCTCCTGAACAGTACCGACAGATAGAAGAAACGAAGAAGAATACAGAAGGGATGAAGTGTACGCCTAGGGAGGATAGGAGTACATATTGTTGCATATGCAGGCACCACACCTGCCACGAGGTGATCTTCGTTCGAGGGATCAGCTCTCTAGCGGAATAGACGGCGCATTCGACCCACGCCAGGATCAATCCTCGAGCAAGTGTGGACCTTCCTGCTGGATTCAAAGTAGCACGATCGTGAGAGATATTACCCCATGAGGGATAGTATAGTAGCGGGGCTTGACGGGCAAACGGTTCGTGCACTGTTCGTCGGAAGTGAGGAGACCGGGTTGGTGGACGGTGCTGTGAATTAGGAGGATAGACGTTATTAGCCAACTTGCCCTATTCACAGCGTACTCATTCTACATTAGATTGCCGCGTCACACGAATAGCTGGTCGTAGCTAATCTTGACCCGTGTGCGGGCTGATTGTGGACAAATCGCTTGGAGATTTTGTAACGAAGCTCGCAATCCAGACCTCGTTATGCGCAGCTGTTTCGGCGACAGACGAAGGATCAAAGTCTTGTGGCGTATCAGCTAGCATGAATCGGCAGAATCAGGCAAAATGCGTCTTCCCTTAACGGCTGAGGATTCCAGCCTGTGTAGTGAGGTTGAGCCTGGAGGCCTCACAAGACGGCTCGGCCAGCTGTATGGCGACATGTTACCCTTTCTTTAGATCATGTTTCAGGACACAAAGTTCGAACGGGAGTCCACCGCTGACAAACGCGCACCGTTTCGTAGACCGGATATCACGGCCGGACCAAACAGGACTCATACTCATTTTTGTTGGTGGGAAACTCAGAAGATGCAGTTATGCCGTTTTGTGACTTCCAGAAGAGAAGAAGAACACGAGTCGCGCAACTAAGATACGAGCGCAGGGACTCATAGGCGGGACTACGGACTACCGGCCGCAAGGGTTTCGAGTTGAGAGGTTTGGTATTTGGCGAGATGTTGATTCTTGGCATCGAAGAGGTTCGCGTTACTCGGGTTGACTCAGCATCCTGCATGGTCAAGTCCAACTACAGCAATGGGAAAGCCAAAGATTGATTCAGCTTGACACAACGACCGATGAAACCCGAACACCAAACTTTGGTACGTTTTTGAGTTTGATAGATTTCATCCACGATCCGACCCTCGGTAGCTAGCTTCCCACTTTTGAAAGTGGGGTGGACAATGACGATCGTGTCGAGAAACCTTGGCGATGCTGCTGGACAGCAACACGCACCTTCTGTCTGTTAGCCGACACGCGCATTGATCCAGACCACCAACCTACAGGAGCAGTCATCCTTGGGAAGGAACAACAATCATGTCGCTCGAGTCGCACTATCCTTCCAATTGTCCATTCTGTCGTATAAGCGAAGCGTACCCTGCTTCTTCTGGCAACCCAATACCCTCGGCTCCTGACCCAACCCTCGTCGATCCAAATGCCTTCATTATCCTATCCTCTGATCACGTACTTGCCTTCCTGGATATCCTGCCTATGACCACTGGTCATGTTCTGCTTACCACACGCGTGCATCACGAGAAGCTCAGCGAAGTACCCATCGGCCCTACTGCTCAAGCCCTAGGTTACTGGATGCCGCTCATGTCGAGAGCACTTGCCAAAACGCTTGATGTCGAGGACTGGAATGTCGTACAAAATAATGGCATCCGTGCCGCCCAGGTCGTGCCCCATGTGCATTTCCACTTCATCCCTAGATACTCAGAAGGCCGCCGTCCGCCATCTAAGAAGATCAAGGGTGACACGTTCGAGATTAAGAGCTGGAAGATGTTTGGCCGTGGTCAGAGGGAAGAGCTAGATGAGGAAGAGGCCGTCGTCTTGGCCCAAAAGATACGCGACGCTCTGAAAGAAGAAGTCGAGGCCTTGGAAAAGGATACTGTCAAATTGTGATCAAATTATGCATTACCCTATGCGTCACACATTCTGCAAAACAACAAAGACGAGAAGCTTTGCTGCCCTGCGAGTGATACCTTGGTCATGTTCGACAGAACACATGAGGGCCTCCGAATGCGGATCATCGATCTTCTTCTTCTTCTGATCCACCACCGTTCCAATTAGCTCCCCAAACAGCTCAACAAGCTTTTGCTAGAAGTCTTCGGGGCTATTGACGGTGTACCTCTGTTCTTGTGAGGCACAACCTCACCCTGAGCAATGAGATGACCAGCAACGATGCCAAAAGCGTCCGGGTCGAGCAGAGCATATGGTGTACTATCCTCGACGATCGAGGACGATATACCTTACCTGGAGCATCCTCCCACCTGGAATGACTGAGCATTGTCTTACTTTTCTCATGCGTACGAGGGTGGTATCCGAAAAGTCTGGGTTGATATCGGCATGCGATGTCGAAATGTGCACCACAAAATCGACGCCAGCCGACAAGCGGTTGGCATACAACTGACCCTTCTCGTCGAATTGGTTGAGTTCATTGTGGTAGACGACAAATATCCGCTCCGCACTGACTTCTTCAGCCAGGCCGCGTCTGTGGCCATGCTTACTACTTTCGTGCCCGTCTTCCCTTGCTCAGAATGGAAGATAAGTAGCTGTTCGAGAGAGACGTGGCCAGTATATCCTGTAACATGTAACTATGTGCTGCTCAAATGATATCATTCTCAATAGTCGTCTTCCACTTCCTCCATGCTATCATCAGAGTCATATTGCTCGGGAAGAGAATCTGCATCCTCGTCGTTTTCGTCACCTTCGTCATCCATGGGATCACCTCTCGTGTGGAACACAACTTCAGGCCCATTGGAAATGATCTTTCTCCTCGCTTCCTCGTCATTCAATCCACGTACACCTTCCTTCCACTCAGAAACAGGGTCTTTCTTGAAAGCCGACAAGAACTCCGCGTAGCCAACAAAACAACCATCGCGCACTTGATCCAACTTGTCAAGAGCTTCTGAAAGTTCCTTCGGCTGCAGTAAACTGAATTCCGAGCGCGCATCAAGGGTGTTGTAGATGCACCAACAAGTGTGTGTAAACACTTTATCTTTTCTGAGACGATCTTTGGTAGTTGTGTCGGCGGTTGACACGAGTTCAATCGCCATGTTGCATATAATTCTCAAAGCAACGAACTTGGCGTCGTTTGATGTGATTTGGCTGGGGTTAGAGAGACGGATTATCGCGGCGCGAAAGTCGGAGATCTGGAATGGCAGTGCTTGGGTTGATGTCTGTGGGTTTGGTGTTTGGTTTGGAGGTCTTGGGTCTTGTTCATGCTGTCGTTGACCAGGGGGGAACTCCAAACGTTTGTCTAGGAGTGCTTGCAGGCTGAAAGCGTCAGAAGAGTGATGCTAGCTTGGGCGGGCTCGAGATACCTGCGCTGAATGGTATGCTGGGCCATATGCTGGCACTGGAGCAGCGCCGCCATAGGTCACCAACCGTTCCGGAGGCGCATTCAATGGTGGTCCATAAGCCCCAGCCGTATACACTGAATCATTCCTAACGCAGTCCTTCTGCCCCCTCACTATCCTCGCCTGTTCCTGTGATTTTGCGACAAGCAAATCATACAATGCTTGATGATCAGTAGTCTTATTCGTCTCCCGTATCCTAAACGAAGTGCGCAGAAGTTCCAACACATCCGGATGTCTCAACGCTGCTGTAGACAGCAACTCCCTCAATTGAACAGTTTCCAAAGAAGACACGGCTAGAGAGATATGATCTAGCATATCTGCAGGATGGGCAAGTTCCATTGGTTGAGGGATAAGAGCACAAGGTCCTTGCATCTGAGCCATTGGAGGTTTGATATAAGCATTGCTGTTTTGGATTGGAGTGTTGTAACTGCCTAAACTCCTTCGCAAGTCATTCTGAGCAGCAAAACCAGGATTTCTTGCTTCCGTATAGTTGTGGTGATCGAGCCGGGCTATTTTTCGTGGAGGCTCGTCGTCTGTGAGATCGATCATGTTTCTTTTCACGCCCAAGAGCTTCGCAACGCGTATCTTTGCAGCTTCGTTAAGCCTGTTCTCTTCTTTCGCAGTCAATCGACGTGGCGCGCTTTGATAGGAAGGCTTCGATGAGGTGTTCATGAACGATATGTAGATACTTCGATATTGATGACTAGTGACAACCTCTTGAACATTTACATCCTCATGGCCTTGGTGCCTAAAGTTCATGTCAAATTGAGGGGTACGCGCTTCGTGCTTGGTCGCGTTAGCTTGACATCACTCTTGCAGATTGATTGTTTCGGATAGAGTCAATCGTTGAACAGTACAAGTCCACAGATAAGGACCCAGAGCTATTGGCTACGGAATATGCTCCAGTATTTGGTATGGTCGTCTTGCGAGATAGGTGCTTGTGTTCGACGATACGATGAGCGTAGCAGAAAACAATGATATGGATAAATGCTCAAGGCCCCCGACTTCTACTATGTCAAACTTCCATATATATGCTTATAATCATACCTTTCGCCAGCGATTCTGTTTCCCTCGGTGCAGCTCAAAAGCCAGCACGCGCCTCTAGAGTCGCTTTGCATCCCTACCTTCATCAAGGTCTGTCATCCTCTCCCTTGGCTCCTATATCACTCTGGCTCAGAATCTCCACTACACCTTGTCCGGTCGACGTGTTGACCTCCTGTCCGTCTTTGCCTACAAGAACAGCATGCGGCTGGCCATCTTCGCCAGGATTCAATGTGTTTCTGAGGTGACCCACGAACTTGAAGTGCACAGACGTCGTGCAGAGCCAGCGTATGCGGAAGGGTGGTGAACAGGGCCACTTAAGCTTTTNGCAGAAGAGTGGCTGGGGCACTGTTGGTGAGGGTGGGCTTGTCATGACAGCCTGTGAAACAACAAAATTAGAGCTGCAACGTGTCGAATCAGAGATGGAGTTGCTCACAACGCCTTGGAAAGCCATGCTCTTGTTGACACTGAAGAGCAGGACAACGGAGCGACAAGTATGGAAAGCATCGGTGAAGAGGCGTGTGTTCTTCTCTTGAGTGGCCCAAACGCCGTCTCTTTGCGCATCGATGACATTTTGCATGTTCCAGGATTTGATGATGAAGAACCGTTCGTCGGCGGCTGCTTGGAGATTCGAGTTAGCGAGTATGTTCTGGATGCACGCATGCTTCCTTTTCANAAGTGGTAATGACAATAATAATAATAGTGGTGGGTAAAACAGAAAAGCATTCATTTCTATTGGGCATGTGTTGAATATCCCCAAAACTCCTCGCTATAAAAAATGCTAATCATGCTGCGAGAAGGGCTTCTAAACCTTCTAGATGAACGCCAAGTGGTGCTTTGATCATGTATTCGTGTAATAGCCAGATCCGAAACAGATTTATCTTTGAAATCTGGTTCTGGGGCCGGAAGTGTACCCACATTTGTTGTTCGAGTAGCCGCCTTGACCGATGGGTTGTTCATTGACATCTGAGAATGAAGTAGAGTTCCATCCACGAGAGCGAGCGGACCATTGTTCGGGAGATCTGGGGGCAGCCCAAGATTCACGACGGCTGAAGGAACTGTCATTGGGACGGTAGGCCTGACCACGAACAGAGATTGATTGGTAGTTGGGAGAGGCATCTGGAGCAGTGCGTCGATGATAGTCGGATCTGTCAGATCTGTCGTTGGCAAAGTGGGATCNTGTGTCAATGTCAGCCAATCTTCAACGGCGCTTTTTGGTCTTGTCAAGTCTAAGCGTGTCATTTTACCTCTGATCGGATCCACGTCTGGAAGCACTGGCGGACAGAGGCTTGTCGAACAGATCGGCTCCATGCGTAACACGACCAGAAGTGTTCAAACGGCTCAATTTCTCACAACCGTTGTCTACTGGCACAGATGGCGAGCGAGGACGTTTGGCACCAGCTGAGGCAGGCTGAGATGGTGCAGGGCTGGCCTTGGTCAAGGGAACAGACTGCTCTTCGGTTGGAGCTGAAGCAGGAAGAGGTGGAGGTGGCATATAAGCAGTCGAGACGGCACGCATGTAGTCCTTGGTGCTAGGGTCGTTAGCCGCAGCAGCCTCTTGGCGCTCAAGTTCAGCGAACTCAAGCTCCAGGGCACGTTTCTTCTCTTCAAGAGCAGCACGCATCTTGTATGTCTTGAGCTTCTGTTCGCGGAAGGTTGTGTCGTGGAAACCGGTTATGGTCAACCAAAGATCGACGTCCTTGAAATACTCATCCTCTTTGTCCCTAGTGGGCTGGGTTGTTGCCAAGCTGAGGTTACGCTTGTGTAAAGGACCACTAGATAGGGGATGGACGAGCTTGGTTATGTTGGTTTGCTGGACGGGAGTCAGGTCGGCGTTCTTATCCTTGGTAACTTCGCGCTCGGGCACGGGAGAAGCGACAATAGATTTCTGCTTGGTTAGACTATTCTTTTNGTTCTGCTGGTGGTTAGAAGTCTCTGGTGACTTGACAGTCGACTCTGAAGACTTGTCACTGTTCGAGTTGTTCTGTTCAGCAGTATTATTTCTCGTGTGAGAGATAGGAGGCGACGAGGCTGACTTGTTCTCAGCCAGGTTTGTAGCCAAGAATTGTTTGGTTGTAGGTTCTGTTGTCTTGGGCTGCTTCATTGGGGCAGTCTTTTNTTGGTTCTTGATGTCATTTTGCGATTCGGCAGCAGTTGCATGACCCTCGGCAATGAGAGCGTCAACTGAGTTTGACTGGCTCAAAATTGAGGCAGCAGTTGGTCTGTTGAACTTGGATTGAGATGGCTGTACGTCGGCCTTGTTCTTGCTCAGAGTAGTCTTTGGAGTGAGAGCGGGGCTCTGGGGCCGAGATTGTGATTCGGTCTTGATAGCGACGGCGTGGACATTACTGAGAGGCTTGGAAACGTCCTTGACGGGTGTAGCCTGGCGATTGGCAAGTAACTTTGCGCGCAACTCGTGCAGCTTGGCTGTGTTGAGTTTGGCCGTAGGGACATTGGCAGATGGACTGCTGGAACCATTCACTGCTTGTGTTGTCTGCATGTGGTTGCCTGTGTTGGTCGAAGCGAGTATTTGTTGNNCTATGAGATCTTCGGTCAGCAAGCGATCCACAAGTCGAGTGAGAAAGAGAGAATAGAAAGATCTCACTGCGTCGGCCATGACTGCTGGTTGAGACGAGTCAGCTTCATAAAAGTCCATGTCGTCGTCGACTTCGGAGCTTGTGTTGACGTCGCCGCCGTAGCTGCCAGAAGAATGCATATCCATGTTAGTCCTACGAGCTGGGCTGGGTGTACGCCAGTCCTCTTCGTCTTCGTCCTCGTACTCGCTAGAGGAAGAGGTGGATGGAGAAGTGGAGTATTGTTTGGGTCTGCGCAACTGAATTGGAGAGAGGAGCACTGGCCTTCTTCCCAACGCTAGCACGGCACGGCCCGTGCCGCTAGCGCCACCGGTGTTGACGGCGTTACCCATATCGTCTTGTCGGAGAATTGCTATCTTCTTGGTCGCGTTGTCTTTGCGTGAACACAGAAGTCGTTGTTTGAGGAGCAAAACTCTTCTCAAGGTGGTCTCGTTCGATCTTGTTGAGCGCTGGCCGCCTCTCGGCGCTCGCTTGTCTCGGCATCGTGCTGCTTTGACCTCGTATGAGCATACTTATCATTCGCAGTCGTGCATGGCACACATTGCTGTCAGGTAAAGTCTTTACTGCCTACTACCTACTCCCCACTACCTTGCACTCCTAGGGTACTCAAGGACTCAATAACTAAAAGATTCAAGGACTCAAGAATAACAGAATTACTTTGGCTGTATCACCACGAGCACCGGCACCCTTTGCAAAGCTGCTTGGAGTGTGTGACCTAGGGAGAAGGTCGAGGTGAGCTTTAACCTCAGTATCTAAGCATGTGTGATGAACAGACGTTTGACTACGAGATTAAATACCCAAGTATAGAACAACAATGAAGGCGTGAATGTAAATTCTAATCAGTACCATCTAGCCCAACAACATACAACAGAAAGCAAACCTGTAACGTCTAGATTTCAAAATGCTTGACCCAATGTCCAACAACGATCTTGCCTTCGTCAAAGCCCCAGCGGTTCGTCCTTACGACAATGGCTGCATGCGTATGCCTGACCTTGCTGATATGAACAGGATACTTCGTGAAGCCCACGCTATCCAGCCCTTCAATCATATAGAATTGATCTGATGTGAGGGCGAGGGTGGGGAACTTCTCTTGACTTTTGAATTTGGTACCGTTATGCTCGGCCTTAGAAAAGCGTTCTTCATCTTCAGACGGTGGCGTTGGCAAGTAGTCTTGCCCTTGGTTAGAGTTAAGGTGTTCGTAAACGCGTTCCTCAAGATTCTGCGTTTCTTCAAGAAGTAGATTGGTTCTGTAGCGCTCGATTCCAAAGGCGGCACCACCGGATTCGTGTAGACGGACACGCTGTGCGGATCGGACTGTTTGGATTCCACTGTTGATGAGGAATAGCATGCTACCGACAGGAATGAGGACGGCTAGCAGGAGATAGAATGGGACGGCTGTCAGAGTGGACCAGCTCGTGGCTCTCACTCGGGCCCAGAAACCAAGCGGGGCTCGAAGTTTCGGACGTACTGGCTCATCGGGCCGTAGTAAAACACCATCGTATCCGGGCAATGGTTGCAGATCGACAGCGTCAAGATTAACAAAGGGATCCTTGTAGGTGATACAGCTTGTGTAGTAAACAACACTGCGGTCATTGACGATGTTGGAGTAGAGGGTGCGGTGTTTAAACTTGGCCAGACCACGGATGAAGACACTACTTGGATCTGCCAGCACGGTCAATAGTGGGCGGCCAGTATCTCGGAAGGAGTCAACAGTGAAAAGCTGGCGACCGGAGGTGCTCAAAGTGCGGGCACCGAGAACATTCCAGAGATAGTTGTGGGGACCAAGAAGAGGCGATCGCACGCCTAAATGGGGTGTTGCGAAGGTGGTGAAGTTGACGGGCTGTATGCGGTCGAAGTAGCCCTTAGAGTACAACAGACCGACAACATAACGCGCGACCAGGCCGCCCAGCGAGTAGCCGACAATGCTTATCTTTGTGATTTTTCTGCCATCCTTCTCAAGTGTCTTGATTTCTTCCTCGACCTCATTGGTGGTGCGCTCTCCTCCTAATTCAATGCCATCGTAGGTGAAGTTGTTCGAGTTGCTCTTGGTGACAAGGACGTGTAGCTTGTCTTTTGGATACTCGGCTTGCAGCGACGTGGCGAGATTCTTCAGATGTTTTGGATTACCCCAAANGTCTGTATGGCGGATATGTTAGTCAGATGATACGAGAGGAGCAAGAAGAAAGAAGAGAGTCTACCCGTGGATCAAGATACATAGATGATCAGCCATACCTCTTTCTGTCGCGGGGACGTCGGTGTTCCAACGAGACTGTAGTTCTTCCTGTGCTGCTATGAGAGCTGTACGCCCATGATCCTTGAACGATTCGAAAGACATATGCAGGTGCAATAAGGAAAAGAAACAATTTAGCTGCCTGGGTCCATCCCTTCACGGTTGATGATGACGTCGCTGTCGGCGCTTGAGAAAGTCCGACGGGGCTGTCTTGACCGCGCTTGCGATTCTTGGACAAGTTCATTCGGGAAAGCATCAGCAACTCGATGGCTTCTGGTTCAGAGAAGTGAGGAGCATCTCGAGGTACTCTTGCCGAATTAGTGACTTGCGTCGGGACGGCTACCGCTGCCTCATAGTTCAGGAAGCTGCACTTGACACCTGCCACTTTTCTGGCTGTTGAACTTGAACTCACTCAAGTAAATTATTTGTTCACCAGCCACTTTCCCTAACATGGTCATGCTCTGAACCATTTCACACTCACTCCATTCAGGTAAACATGTTTGCATCTTTCGAGTGTGTCGTAGGCACTAAATCCTTCTGTCTTCAAGTCGATTTGCCCTTGTCTGGCATCCATTGAAACACCATGTTTTCAACCACTGGTCTTTTCAAAGGCATACCATGTCCCGAAGGCGAAAGGTGCAACATAATTCATTGCATCTTCTCCCATGAACTAAGACCACAGGCCATTGCTGTGTCTGAGCAGAGTACAAGCAANAAGAGAAAGCTGTCCGAAGAAACTGACACAAGGCCGGCTGTCACTCCTGTTACTATCTCATCTGGCAACACAGCCAACCGCTCTGCAACCAAAGGACCTACTACCATCCATCAAGAGAAACCAACAACAACGGCCTCAGTCCCGCCTAAGATCCCTAAGACTCTACAGAGACCAGTAAGCCCACCTCCTAAGCCACCCGCCGCCTCGTCAAAACCAGCCCCTGCGAAACCTGCTGTCAAAGAATCTCTCAACCCTCGAATGATCCCCAATGACCCTGCCGGTCATGCGAAACGAACTTTGTTTCTCAAGCATCTTCATGCTCAGATGGAACGCTTGAACGACGAAGTGGCCAAGAGCTCGCATGCGAAGAAGGCAGACTTGACCATGGCATCTGATGAATTGATCAGAGTTGCTTTGGACGAAGAGGAGAAGACTGCGCGAGAGAATCACAAGATCTACGCTAACGTCATCAAAATGCGTGTTGCAGCACTCAANAAGATGGGCGTCGACGAATGGATCGCACATGTGATTGCGAACATCCGAGTCGATTTGCAGGGGAATAAAGCCAAGCTGCCACCGCCAATCGACACCGGCTTGTCTCTAGATCAGGAGCACGTCGTTCTCCCTCATCTGATCACCGACCAGACAAATCTAGCCAAGCATGGCTATGTGCCTACACCGCCAACTGATGAAGAGATCGCCGAGGCCAAAGCTGGCGTGGCAGCATCTCTCAATTACGAGGTATGCGATCGTTGCAAATCTCGCTTCAGGATCTTCGAAGAGCGCAGAGAGGAAGACGGTGCGTTGACAACAAATGGACCCTGCACTTACCATTGGGCAAAGCCAATCACACCTCGTCGTGAGAAGACAGATGCGATCAAGGGGCCGAAGGAGGCTATATACCCCTGTTGTCAGGAACCTCAAGGCACCCCAGGTTGTACACAATGCGAGACGCACGTCTTCAAAGTCAGCGAGGGCAAGCGACTTGCTTCCATCCTACCTTTTATCAATACACCAGAGAACCCCAAACCTGCTAAAGGACCCGACGGCAAGTCACTGAGCGCTGTTACCTTCGATTGCGAAATGGGCTATACTGTCCTTGGCCTCGAGCTCATCCGTCTAACCGCCGTGTCTTGGCCTGAGGGTCGTTCTCTGGTTGATGTCCTTGTCCGTCCGCAAGGCACCATTCTTGATCTCAATACCCGCTGGTCGGGTGTCACGCCGGAGATGTATAGCTCGGCCGTTCCATATGAGGAAAAAACGGCCATGGATGCGCTGTTACCACCACCGCCGCCTGGTAGTTCTGCCTCTCTATCTCTTGACAGCCCTGCCAGCGGTCCACTGCCCATTGTCTCAAGCCCAGCAGCCGCAAGAGACCTCCTATGCTCTTTCCTCACACCCACCACCCCTCTTATCGGACATGGAATTGAGAATGACCTCAACTCAACTCGACTCTGTCACCCAACCATCATCGACACCATCATCCTATTTCCACATCCTCGTGGTTTACCCTTCCGCTTCGGCCTCAAGATGCTTACCAAACGCCATCTCGGTCGTGACATCCAAATGGGAGGAGCCTCTGGCCATGATTCTCTCGAAGACGCGCGTGCAACTGGCGACTTGGTTCGCTTTGCAGTAGGACAAAGATTTAAGAGACTGCAAAGGGAGGGCTGGACATTGAACGATGGTGTGCTCATGCCACCTCTTCCTGGCGGTCCACCTCCTGTGGACGAGACAAAGGCTCTAGGCGCTGGATCAGGGGTCAAGAGACAGAGAATTGATGTCGAACAGCAGGGTTCAAGCAAGAAACTTAAGGAGGGCTAAGCGGGACTATGCAACTCAGATAAGTCTCGAAAGATTGAATGAGGGGTTTGCTGGACAGATGAAAGTGGAGAGGACACGGATGAATGCTTGCTGCAGGAGGAGACTATGCTTCTTATTTGCTAAACCAAAACAATGCAAATGCTCTACACTTCTTGGAGCCGTGGAAGCGCTCTCACGAGTTTTCTTCCTCGTCAGAGCTCAAGCTCTGGCTTGAGGATCGCCTGTATTTATAGCACATCGACACAAAGTGGTGAGACACCAGGCACTCGAAGGATAACCAGCCACCCCATGCACTGTCCTTCACGTTGACACGGAGTAACATAGAAAAGATGAATCGGTCGAGAAAAGAGGACTCGTTTCTTTTATTGTTTCCTCAAACATCATATATATTCTGGGCAAACTCATCCATGTGCAGTGACACCATGGAAGGTAAACCCATACTGTAAACCCTTTCTCATGGAAACCTGTTCCTGTATCTTACAGGCAAAAAAAAAAGAAGCGAACGTAAAGAATAGGAAAACACCATCCTAAATCTATACAACCCCAATCCCCATCATAATCGTCCCCAAACATTTCATACAACAACATGGTATTTTCGTGAAAAAAAGAAAAGAAGAAGAGAACAGAGAAAAGAAGAAGAGAAGAAAGAAGCTTAGTGGTGACGACCAGCCTTCAACTCAGCCAGGTGGCGGCGAACCTTGCCGGCGGCGAGCTTGGCTTTGACTTCGGCGGCCTGCTCGTCGGCGGCTTCTTTGTAGGCGACAGCAGCGGCGTAGCGTGCGTTCTTGGTTGCCGAGGCGGGAGCCTTGCCCTTGCGATGGAGAGCTGATGAGACAGACGAAGTAGCCGAAGACTTGTGGGAAGAAGATGTCTTCTTGCTTGATGTGGCGAGGGTGGTTGCGGACTTGGTGGGAGAGGTCGAGGTGCTGCTGTGGCTTATGCTGCTGCTGTGGCTAGTGCTGCTGCTCTTGGAAGACGAAGTAGCAGAAGAAGAAGCAACGAGAGACGAAGCAACAGAGACAGCGGCACCAGCGGGACCAGTGTAAGCGTTGTTGGTGCAGCTGGAGAGACCGTTGCAGCTCTGGTAGATGGACAGAGCGCTGCCACCACCACAGTACTCGGTGCTGTCACCAGTGCAAGGCGAGAAGCAGTTGCCGAGAATGCCGGCCTGAGGTGCGCGGTCGGAGGCAAGCGAGTTGCCGCAGTAGCACTGGGATGCGTATTCGAGACCTGCGTAGCTGTATCCCTTGCCGGAACAGAAGGAAATGCACGACTCGACAGTCATGGAGTTGCTGCTAGTGGAAGCGGAGCTGAAGGTACGGCTGCTCAAGCTATCGGTACCGCAGCCAACGTACTGCCACTTCAGAGACGAGGTGACATCCTTGTAGTACTGCTGGTAGGCACCGATGGTGGCGATCTTGCTGTTGGTGTTGGCACAGGTCTGGACAGTGGCGAGGCCAGGGCCCTGCTGGACGGGGTTGCATCCGGGAAGAGTCTCGAGCATGCCAGTAACCTGCTCGTCAATCTGAGGGGGGATAATACAAGCTTGGCTCTCCTCGGTAGTGAACATCTTGTTTGTGAAGACAGGGCAGTCAGAGAGAAGACCGCTGTCGTTGGTGCACTCCTCGATGGCGCTCTGGAGAGTAGGAACGTCCCAACCGTTGATGAAATCACCGTGGAATCCGTATCCAGTAGGGTCACCCATAGCAAAGACGAAAGGCTGGCCGCTACCATACCACTGGCTGCTGAAGTCACCAGTGTTGTAGTTGACCTCGTAGAAGATGGAGATCAGGTGGACGGGGTGAGTATCAGGGCAGCTACCGCTGTCGTAGCTACCACCGACAGGGTACGACATGTGGGACTTGTGGTCAGCAGAGTCAAGGTTGACACCATCCCAGCAAGAGGGGAAGAAGACCTGAGCACGGAGGCCGTCGGGGCAGTTCTTGGTAGGAAGGCCATCGCTGGTGCTAGAACCGCCGCTGTAGTCAAGGCAGACGAAGCTGACAGCCTCCGACTCGAAGTCGTTGGTGTGGTTGCGCTTGAAGGGGTTACCAGCAAGCATACGGAAGCCCTCGGGGAAAGCCTGGAGCTTGTCGTTGTTGGGACCGCCACGCTGGAGATAGTAGACAGTCATGCCGCCATAGACACCAGTACCATCACCAGACTGGTGAACGTTCTCGAAGGATCCATTCTGGTGCTGGAAGTAAAGAGAAGGCGTCCAGTAGTTCGAAAGATCGGCCTTGATTGGGCAAGAAGAGCAGTCCGAAGAACGAGCATCGGCGTAGTCCATCTCGAACTTGAAGCCATTACCACCAGAAATGGTGTGAACGTGGCCGGAGACTTGTCCAGGGGAGACAATAGGGTCGGCACGCTCGGCGACAATACGTCCAGGGCAGGGCATACGGAAGAAAGCAGCAGCAGGTGCAGCAAGAGCGGCAGCCAGGCCGAGAACCTTGGTAGAAGTGTACATCTTGGAGCTAGATATCGAAACTGGGATCGAAGATAGAAATCTAGGATATCAAATCCTGAGACAGTGAAGGTCGAAGGAGTGAATGAATGTAAGTGGTGAATGAATGAATAGCCCAAGCAAGGACTTTGGTCAAAGAAAGTATAGGTCACAGACCTAGAAGGGTTAACGAAGACAAGAGATGATCGGAATAGATGAGTTCAAGACTAGGGGAACATGGCTGAATACATATAGGAGTCAGAGTAGGTGAGAAGGCGCACTTTGAGTTTCAGGCTTTGAACCGTGCCCTTACAGGGAAGGTGAGGAGTGGCATGCGGCGGGAAAAAAGTGACAGCGTGGATCTGAGAAATTGCAGGGAGTCCAGAGCGCCAGCAGCGCCCTTCCCGCTGCATGGTATCCACTTGGTTAGGTGCATCGATCAAGTGTGCCTGGGGACCGCCACGCTTCCGAGAGCATGAGAAACCACAGTTTGGCGCCGGCTCCAGCTTGACCAGATGATTGTTTCACATGTACGCCATACCGTTCATAAAACAGCTGTCTTTGATGTGTTCAACAAGCTGAAATCGATGTTTTGTTTGCCCAGAAGAATAGGGGCATGGCAACCAAGGAGCAAAGAACTAACGTTGGCGACCCAGCGAGAACCCGAAAGTGTGGAGTTCGGCTTACCGCCGCATATCTGGATTCTGGTTCTTCATTTCCCATCACAACTGCCAGCTGCCGTCGACTCGAGAAGCTGCAGAGCGCATGCAGATCCGATGATCCAGTGTGCGTGTCTTTCATCGCGCGGACATGTCAACTGGCTTTCGCTTTCGCAGTCTTGCTTCGCAGTGGACCTCAGAGATGAAGCTCCCCACCTCCTTACCTCTACCAGATAGTCGCACGCGACTGGCAGCCAGATCCACGGAAGATCAGCCGGATGAGCTTAAAATCTGGCCGAGTCAAGACAGGCTTCACTTGCGTACACCCTCCGGCGAAGCAGAGGCGTCAGTTGATGTGGCGCAAAGACGAGTAAGCTAGACGGTGGATGTTCATTGCCTCTTCGCATCGCCAAACATGTCCTCATAGAAGAGCTTNCGATTATTGGCCTGCATNTCATCTTTACCGGGGACGGCAAGTTTTGTTCGCGTGNNGTGTGGTGTTAAGATTCGAGGTACAAAACGCATCAGCATGGGGATGGCGTGGCTAGCGCAGGAACAGGGCCGCAGAACGCGCATCTCGAAACACACTAACCCCTGTTACTCCCTACTACACATGCTGTACCTTGCTACACGGCAAACATTGGGGAGCTGAAAAGAACCACCATTGCACCTGCTGTGCTCTAGTCTCCTTGATGGTTTTTCAATTTTCTCTTTCTCCACCAACCGGCAAACACTAACAGAAAAACAATTGTCTCTTCGGCGAATTTTAGCCAATGCTCAGCCTACAGCCTGTTTCTCCGATAGACTAACGATTGCGCGTAGAACTGGACTCGTCAGTCGGACATAATTCAAGAACTGTCATGCAGTCAAGTCTGTCGCCCATGCACTCACGGCATCTGCCACCCATCGAGGCGCTCCCAACCCGCTTGTTATTACTCGAAGCATCAAGAACGTGGCTACCCAAGAGACGGAAACATGCAAGAGCCGCCGAGCATAAAGAACCCTGCTGCATACAAAAATTCGGACAAATGGGCCAATAAGAAGGTGCATTATGCGCATTTTGTCCCGCTTTTCACATTCGGACTTCGTGTAGCCGCCTCGTATTTTGCGTCCTGTCTCCTTGATTTGTAAAACACTACGAAAGAGGAGGAAGACGGTGTTTACAGTGCCCTTCGAAGTGTCTCCGTCACACTGCTGCGCAGTTGACCGCGACTCGACCGACATGGTAGGAAACTGTCGCTTGAGAGACAGTGGAGTGGTAACTGTAAAAAGACTTTGCAGCAGATATTCAGATGATCAGAACAAGGCTCCACCCCACCATGATTCGGGTGGGACTCTCTGTGCATCGGTAAGCGTTGGACCTGAGGCGCTTGCAGTGAGAGAGCTTGAAGAGTCAATAAAGCCATCGTTTGCGGACTGGGCACTTCTGCAGTTCGAAAATCGCCGGCTTGGACATTGGTCCACCTAGGCGAGGCGAACAAGGTACAGTACACATGGCGCAGCTTGCTTGTACCAGCATTCAGCGGAGTCGGACTATAGGAGCATTATAAGCTGCCCGATCGAGATTTGACTTTCCCTTCGGCATCAGGTGCATTGCAGTTCATCATGAATCGAGTAGAAAGGCCGCAAGGCGTGCAGGTAATGTCATTGGTATCTTGGTTCAAACGTCTAAAGCACAGCGTCTTGGTGACCGTTGTTTTTGTCGTAAATCATATCTACTTGAGGGCCTTCTTGGCGAAGTTGGGCAAGACAAAGGCGGCCTCGTGGATCTCCTTGTTGTAGTACTTGCACAGCTTCTCCTCCTCGGCCTCGGACCACTGGCGCAAAGGCTTCTTGAGGTCGCGGTTGGCGTCAAGGCAGCAGACCATGAAGCCGATCTGGCCAGAGGGGTAGGTAGGGATGGTGGTGTAGCCGTACTCGACGTTGGGGAAGACCTGCTTGCAGTCCTGCTTGAGCTTGGTGATCAAGGGGAGGTGGAGCCACTGGTTCTCGGCTTTGGAAAAGTCAGCAACTTCTGCTCTTGATCAAGTAAAGTAAGGACGCGAAGAGTGTTCGAAGACAAGTCAGGGGTCAAGGAAAGGAGGCTTACAACCTTGGGTAGTAATGACACCGCCCTCTCTCAGGGCACCCTTCAACAGCTCAAAGTAGGGCTTCTGGAACAGAGCCTCGGCAGGGCCATCAGGGTCGGAGCTGTCAGTGATGATAACATCGAACTCGCCCTTCTTGTCGTCAAGGAACTTGAAGCCGTCACCGACGTGGGTAGTGACGTTGGGGTGCTGGTAGCCAACAGCCATACCGGGGAGGTACTTCTTGGAGAGACGAATGACGGCCTCGTCGATGTCGCAGAGGACGGCCTCCTCGACACACTCGTGCTTGACAACCTCACGGAGGACACCACCGTCACCACCACCGATGACGAGGACCTTCTTGGGGTTGGGGTGCGAGTTCATGGCCAGGTGGGTGATCATCTCCTGGTACGAGAACTCGTCACGCTCGGTGCACTGGATGACATTGTCGAGGACGAGGACCATGCCGTAGTCGGTCGACTCGAAGATGAGGACATCCTGGTACTTGGACTTCTCGTGGTGGACGACCTGGTTGACCTTGAGGGTCATGGCCTGGCCGGGCCACATGTCCGAGATCTCGCGGAACCAGCCATNCTGCCCTTGTGTATGAGCCTCCATTCTCTTTTCAATTGCAAACGTGGAGCTCTAGCTACCCTTGATGGTGGGGTGAGTGATTTCGCTCATTGTTATAGAGGAAGGTTTCGAAAGGATAGAAATAGGAGCTTTCGAGATTCGTGAATACGCCGGTAGTCTTCTACAGGCGATGTGAGCAATACGAGAAGCAATGATGGATCTGAGTGTGTCAAGGTCGTCTTGCTCCTGATTTTTTTCCAGCCCGCTATCGCGAGCCAAGACCCCATTTTTGATTATTCTTCCCCATTTTCTCCCATCTAGAGCCTGAGTCATCTGCCGGCACCAATTGCTGCATCCCAAGGCTGCACGTTGATTGCAAGCTGATACGATAGCGAGTGTTGTGATTGCAATTCAATATACAGAATAGGCAGCTGTGTTGGGCTCCTTCCTCGCTGACTATACTGCGTACTTGCCGCCTGGAACGCGACCTCGAGGCTCTCGTGACGATCGCTGCCTACCATATCAAGCGCTGCCAAGCACACCGACAGGTGAACTACATGAACTATTGTCACGATATATAATGGCACCTCCGCGGCATACTTGATGATTCGGTATTGGCAGACCTATTCACGTTGTGCCGATAGTCGTCATTGATTTGCCGATTATCCTTTTGACGAAACCAACATCGACTTCAGCTCCTATCATGATAGCATTCTTTTCATACCTATAAACATGACAGAAGTTGGCACCCGAGACAAAAGTGTGGGCTGGTATCAAGCCGAGCTAGAGGATGTGAACCCTCAAGCCCGCTCAGTCCTCGAAAAATACTGCAAGATACCTTCGGGCGAGGTCGTGCCGCATGTGTTGAGAATTGTAAGTATCTCTTGTTTCTTGCACATAAACATCTGAAGAAGAACAAGACCTTTGAAGTAGCGCTTGGTCACAAGACACTTTACTATTTGCTAACGAGCGACAAGNCGCGAGAAAGCATGGGAAGTCTTTCCATATCCGTGCATCGGCGGCTTTCGCTTTCTGGACATGCCCTTGGCTGGCTTCGATGCATACCCCGAAATCGTCAAGAGACTCAAACCTGGCAACGAAAAGTACCTCGATCTGGGCTGCTGCTTCGGACAGGACATTCGCAGACTGGTTACTGATGGGGTACCTGACGAAGCCTTGATCGGCAGTGACCTTCATCAAGGCTTCTTGGATCTTGGCTATGATCTTTTCAAGGACAAAGACAGATTGCAAAGCAAGTTCATCGCTGCAGATGTCTTCGCATTCGAATCGAAACTCACACCCTTGGAGGGAAGCATCGACATTATTCATGCATCGTCTTTCTTCCACTTGTTTGGCTACGAAGGACAGAAGAAGATTGCAAGACGCGTCGTCCAACTACTAAAGCCGAAGAAAGACTCTCTACTGGTCGGGCGTCAGGTGGGCAACATCCGGGCTCACGAGGAAGAATCATCTGCCAGTGGAAGCGGCAACATGTTCTTGCAAAACATCGAGTCATGGAAGCAAATGTGGAAGGAGATTGGCGAGGAAACGGGCACGCAATGGGAGGTCGAGGCCACTTTACAAGACTGGCCTTTGGCGGGAAGCAAAGTCTCATGGCATAAGGAGGGAACCAAGAGAATCTTCTTCTCGGTCAGGAGACTCTGAAACGCACATCTAATTGGTGGTCTCGCCAACAGATAACGATAGGGAAGAGCTCGTAGCAAAGCGAAGCAACACGAGCTGGCTATGATATACGAGATTGGCCACGAGGAACATTATTCTCATGTGCTGGAGTGATTAATCCTCGTACCTTCTCCAACACCATATTTATCGATGTACGGCTTGGGATATTGCCAGATCAGAGATGTTACCAAGGTAACCACCTCCCTGAGTAATGTTGCTCTGTCTCTCTAACAGATTACGTGTATGCCAGTGACGCGCATTCTGTATCTGAATTTAGCACACGGATATGGCGCATCCTCCATTCGTGGTTCAGCGGATCTCTATTCAACGAGGGACAAGTTCTAGAAGGGTCCAAATGAGATCTGTTAAAGGAGTCAGTGAAGTCATATGGTCCCAGCCACTTGCAAAACAGGGTCCAACAGCTTCAGCCACATGAAGTCATTGGCTTCACATGCAGTCGAAAGTTGGATCAGCCATCATAACAATCAGACCGCGAACATTTATATAAACCTTTGTCCGCTTCGAAAGAACATTCGTTCAACAGCACTACTTCTATCTTCACAACCGCAAACCTCAAACCAATCACAACACTTCACCACAATCCCACCAACAACATGTCTGACAAGAACACCTCCACTCTCCAGTCGTACATCGACTCTGCCTCTGGCGCCGCTCAGTCCGCTCTGGGCTCCCTCATCGGCAGCAACGCCGACAAGGTACGCTCAGTTCCTTCTACGATTGATCAAGACACTGACACAACACAGACTGCTGGCGAGAACAAGAAGGCCGAAGCCGGCCTCAAGAACGACGCCTCGCACGCCGGAGCCAACATCGGTGGCTACAGCGTCTCCGCCTCAGGTGTCGCCCAAAACGACCCCAACCGCGGCGCTGGCTCGTGGAACCAGACCCTGGGCTCTGGCAAGGAGGCCCTCGGTAACCTCGTCGGCAACGAGTCTCTGAAGCAGCAGGGTGCTCAGCAGAACCAGGAGGGCAAGGAGCAAGAGGCCAAGGGTCAACTCAATGACCTGGGCTCTGGTATCGCCGACCGTGTCTCTGGCACTGTTGGTGGTGCTGTCGCTGGCATTACCGGTAACCAGGCCGATAAGGCCAAATATGAGGCCCAGCACGACCAGGGCAAGACTCAGCAGCGTGGTGTTGAGGCCGACCTCGACAAGCAGGCCAGAGCCTAAGCGTCGCGAACCAAACAAGTGTGCATAACCACAAAGAACACAATCAACATGAGACAGGATGGGAAGGATGCTTTTTGGGATGATACCACCACTGCGATAGCCATGATTAGAACGAATTCACGACAATTTCACCTTTTATCTTGCCTTCTCCTATGAAGCTTCAATGAATTTAAACATACATGAACACCTTTCGTGCTACAGTCAGTTACGACTTGCACATTTACTGCTCGTGTGGAGAAGTGCTTGTTGGGAACGCACACTGCATGCATCGAAACAGAAACTCTTGTTAGTAACACAAGCGAGCTGCCTTGTCTGTCACACAACCTCAGGCTCAACTCGACCTCGATTTCTACCAAAAACTCACAAACAACGCAACATGCAAAGCCAGAGTATGCCTTGGAGTCCTTTGACATGAAAAGCACATTATTCACGCGATACCACCGGGTCGAGAAGGTCTAGAGCCTCGCACTTGTGGCGTGGTTCTGATCGTCTCCGACCCCGGAGTTCTCACCATAAACTCCAAACCTCGGCAATCAAATCAGCCAAAATCGGGACATGGGGAAAGAGAACAAATAACAGAGGGACGTACTCGCTAAGTAGAATAGTTACACACGCATTGGCCTCCTTGGGCACGAGTATATCAGTTTTCTTCTCTTCTCCGCTGTCATTTCTTGCGATATATGTCTATTCGGTGTGCTGCGAACCTAGACTTGACTCGAGTGTTAATCACGACTCACATCAGGGATATAACAAACACTCTGGACCCAAGGCAGGGTTAAAACACCGGAACCATGCCTCTCCTTGAAGACAAACAACTCAAGATCATCATTGCCGGAGCTGGTATCGGCGGTCTCACCACTGCACTGTCCCTCCACGCAGCAGGCTTCACAGACATCCACATCTTCGAGGCTGCTTCAAACCTCACAACCCTAGGTGTCGGTATCAATGTCCAACCCTCAGCCGTCTTGATCCTCAGAAACCTTGGTCTTTTGCCTGCACTCAAGTCGACAGCCATTGAAACCAAAGAACTGAACTTTTACAACCGCCATGGAGATTCCATCTTGAGCGAACCCAGAGGCGAGAGTGCTGGTTACGCCGTACCCCAATTCAGCATCCATCGTGGCGAATTCCAGATCTTGTTGTTGGATGCTGTTAAAGAACGTGTAGGCGCTGATCGCGTGCACCTAAGCCATGCACTAGTCAGTTTTGAGCAGGACGAGAGTGTGCAAGGAGATAGTCCTTCTGGAACAATTACAGCACGCTTCGTACGCAAGGGCGACTTGGCTCTGCAGCCAGAGATCCCGGAAATGACGGGCGATGTCTTGATTGCAGCTGATGGTATCAACAGCGTGGCTCGTAAACTCTTGTATCCTAATGAAGGCCCACCTCGCNNTTTTTCTGGCCGCATCCTCTGGCGTGGATGTCATGAGCAGGAGCCTTACTTGACTGGAGCATCGATGGTTTGGGCAGGCCACGCAGATCAGAAGTTCATCGCGTACCCTATCTCAGGTACTTCGATGCGCAAAGGCAAGAGTCTGGTCAACTGGATTGCCGAACTGCGTGTTCGTGACAAGGATGATCCCGATCTTACTCCTCCCCCAGTAGACTGGACAAACACAGTACCCAAGTCGAAATTCGAAGGACCATTCCAGGATTGGCGTTGTGGTGGTTTGAGAATGAAGCAACTCATCGACGACACACCAAAGGTCTACGAATTCCCCATGAGCGACCGCGATCCCGTAGACCGCTGGAGTTTTGGCAGATTGACACTGTTGGGTGATGCCGCACATGCAATGTACCCCATCGGTAGCAACGGGGCGTCACAAGCCATCATCGACGCGGAAGCACTTACCAACTGCCTAACCAACAANCCCCGAAACATATCTCTGGCCCTGGAGCAATACCAAGCCATCCGCCTGCCACCCACCGCCAAAATCGTCATGGCAAACAGAGCAAATGGCCCTGACCACGTGCTTCAACTCGCTCACGAACGTGCTCCCGATGGATTCAAGAACATCTATGATGTTATTTCCAAAGAGGAGTTGGAGGGTGTGGGCAAGCAGTATAAATTGATTGCCGGCTTCGAGATGGATGCGGTGAACAAGAAGGCGCAGGAGACGGAAGGAGTGGCCGAGAAGGCAGGACTGAAGAGTCCTGTCAAATGGACTGTGACTGGCAAGAGCGGATGAAAAGTGTTTGTCAGCTTAACAAATTTCGATGTACAATACAAAAGCCAATTCTTTTCGTCGAGCAGCCATGGTAGTCGTTACTTATTTCTACGGATTGTCTTTCTTTCACCAGCGGTATGATGGTGTGGTTGGGACCAGTGTTGCAGGTCGCTTTAGGTCACTCCACTTTGACTGACTGCATAATCAGGTTGTTGGTTCGATTCCAATGTGGGTCAATGCTGGTCTTTTGCACTTTTGCACCGATCGCTTTGTTCGTGCTCCACCGTCCTCGACATGGACATTTCTTGGAAGGAGCGATGATCTGACCTGCATAATACACAGCAGCACATCAAGGAAGTGTAACACATATGAACATTGGACGAAAACAATGAATACAAAAAATACATATGAGAGAAAGAAGAAACTACGAAATATTATACCCAATCCTGGGCACCGACTCGAACTGAAAAGATCAACCACATCATATGCTCATCAAATCGTAATTTCCGCATCCAATCTTCCAGCTCTCTGCTGTCTCATGCCCAAGCGATCAGACGCGCGTCTAAAACTCCATCCAATCTGCTTACCCTTCTTGATGGGCTGAGGGGCGCGCTGGAAGCCTTCCTCAGAGGCGCTGCTATGGATATGTCTTGCGCCCTTCACAGTTGGAATGTCATCCTCGACAATGAATATCCACTGTTGAGGTTTCTTGAAGACGCCCTTGCTGGCAGTCGTGTTGTCAGGTTTGGCTTGCCACTCTTTGATCGGTTGCAAATCCTTGAAATCGGAGGACTTTGAGAACATCTTTGTCAAATCGGTAACAAGATCCTTGTAAAACTTGGCGGATTTGACCCAGCCACCGTTGCGCTGGTAGGCAGCCTTCAGGAGGTCGACTTGCTGACGAGCAGTGTCGGCGCTAACGGTGTCAGTGGTATGATCCTCGCCATCATCGCCAGAGACGATGAGCTGCAAGATCTCCTCGTGCACGTTGAGAGCTTCACCGTGCAAGTTTGCACTAGTGTACAGCTGAGAAAGCAGATTAGACATCTTGAGGGTGTGAGGGTGAAGTCCACCAAGCACACGACGTAGGTTGTAAGTGATGTCTTCGGCAAGGTGAATAGCACGATGAGAGTGTCCCTTGTCGGAGGCCAGGTGACGTGATACAACGAGACACTCTCCGAGATTTATCAGTGTGTCTTCACTCCAATTTCTCTGGCCTGATCGAGATTTCCAAAGAGACTCGAGAATGGTGTCAAGCTCTTTGTAGTTTTCTTGCTCACCGAGAAGCTCAACAAGATCATTGAGTTCATGATCGTGCAGTTGCAGGAAGTTAATTTCCAAGGTCTTGCATGCATTCAAGACTTCAGCCATAATTTCTCTTGAGGCTTGTAGCATCTTGGTGTGGATCTCAGCCGGGATGTTTTCCTTCATGGTCAAGTACTTGGCCACCTTGAAACCATAGCCAATCAGGCCAGCTTGCTGGTAGCCGCCTTGAGTCATGACGAACTGGAAGGTGCAGTATGCCACTTCGATTGCTTCCTGGTGCTTGCCACTTAGAACAAGTGCTTCGATCTTGTGGTCGCCGGCAACAGATGCGGCTCTAGCAGCTTGGATATCGTAAGCATCAGCGGACCCGATGTGGACAAGAAGCGATGTCAAGAAAATCTTGATCATTTCCGGCCTTGTCTTCAGGGCATTGCCGAATTGCTTGTTGAAGATCTCGAACACGTGTTGGTCGAGCTCCTGGATGTCCTCATGACGTGAACGGTCATGCCAGAAATGTCTGAGATGAGCACTGCGTAGGAGTAGCTGCTCTGTCTTGACTTGAGTGGTCAAGCAACGAGAGTAGTTGTTAAACAAAACAGACTCGGTCAGCCAGTCTGCCATTACCTCGGAGTAGTTATGTCCAGAAGAGCCCTTGAGCGTCAACTCGAAGGTCACGAGGAAAACAAAGGCAACACGACCGATTGATTTGTCAAGTTTAAAGCCGCTCTTTGCTTCTGCATGACCCGTAATGATCTGACGTCTGACAGCCCGAACAAGCTGGAGACCGTGAGTGTGGTAGCCGCAGGTGATGTACATAGCACCAAGGCTATTTGCCGCCTCGAAAAGTACCTGAGATCGTTGTTCTTTGGTGATGATCTCGAGGGTGTTCTCTTGGAGCATACGGATGATCGTGTGCTCTTCTTCTGTTGTCTTCTTGGTCTTGTAGCGCATTGAGACAAGCTCGCTGAGGATAGATAGTGTTTCAGAGTGGGCACATCCGTGGAAACTCTTGAGCTGTTCAAGCCTTTCTTGGAGCACTGCGATGGCTTTCTCGGTTGTTTCTGCTGACGAAATGCCCTTACGGTGTACGTGCACATAGGCTTCGGTCATACGGCTCTTCACCATTGACATAGTCTTTTCGTCAACCACAACCTTACTGTTCTTGGTCGTGGTAATAATCTCCTCGTAAGCGGTAACAGCTTCGACCTTGGTTGACTCGTCCTCCATGAGAATCGAGGCGTGTTCAATCCTGGCACGAATGGCAATCGAAGACGAGGCGCCGAACTTTGTTATGCAGATGTCTCGGTACTGCTTGGCGATGAGAACCAAGAGCTTATGGTCTGCNNCCTTGCCATTGTTTCTGGTGTGGTGCTTCAAAACGTAGGCGTATCTGATGTATAACAGCTCGACGTAGTTTTCGTCATAGTCATACTCCTTGGTCTGTGTTGTGAGGAGATTCCAAAGAACGTCGCAAACAATCCTGAGCTCAACCCAGTTGCTCTCATCGTAGTAGATCTGGCTGAGTCTCTTGTAGGCTCTGAACGAAAGCTTGGTATTGGACGTTCCAATAATGTCAACAATTTCACGGTAGTAGTCTTCGGCATAACCATAACCGTGCTCAAGGGTCAAATCACCCAAGAAGTACAGGAGTCCGATTATTCGCTCATGGGATTTTCCCAGATATCTGTCGAAGATCAGTATACTGTAGTCCAGTCACAGACGATCCGTTGAAATAGGTATTTACCTGCGGTACTCCAGCAGTAGATCCTTATGAAGCTCGACCAGAGCTCTCCATCTCTTGTGCTCAGTGTAATTTTGGATGATGACGTCGAGAATAATGGTTCTTCGCTTGTCGTCGATGCTGCAAGAACTTCGCACTGCTTGCCAGAGCTGAAGGTAGACCGCCAAGCTCTCTGAGTAGTGCTTGCTTCTGGTGTAGCACTTTCCAAGTTCGAGAGCGAACTCTATGGACTCATCGGCGAAGTCGTTAGGCAAGCACACTCCGCCTCCCCATGAACCAGTAAAATGCATAAGATCAAGCGTCTTGGTGAGAAGACTAATGGCCTCGGACCAATTTTCTTGCTTCATGTACATCTGGACAGCGGATCTAGCCACTTTGATGGTCTCCTGAGACAAGGTAGTGGTCGAAGAGTTGAACATCCTGCGCACGATCGTCTGCATTTCGTCGGTTGATTCGCTTCTGGAGGAAGAAGAGGACTGCTTCTCCGAGGTCTCTTGAATGATCTTGATTATGGTCTCTTCGCACTCCCGAGCGTAGCTACTCTCGTGTTTGCCGACTGCTTTGAAGAAGTTCGAGACGCGCTCAAAGACAGAGATTGACAGATTATGGAGTTCCAAAGATCTCATCAGCTTACCGATAATCATCAGTTGCTGGTAGAAAGTCTCAGATTCGCAGCCGAAGTGTTTGTGCTCGGTCCACAAGACAATAAGCATGTTCTTTGCTTCTTCNNCCTTGCGTTGTTGTCTTGTTAGGAAGTGAACGTATTCAACAGCCACTTGAAGCATGCTAATGCGAGTCTCAACATCGTGCGAATGTTGACTCCTGCACAACCCAAGTAGGCGCGTCCAGAGTGTAACATAGAGTTCTTCAGCTTCGTAGAACTCTTTACGATGCTCGCAACCTCGTGCAAGTTTCAAAAACATCTGAAACCTTGCAAGATTCCATACGACAGCGCTATCGTCGCCCACTGAGAAGATATCACCATGATATTTTGGGAGATCAAAGTCGTGATCAGCTTTCAAGACCACCATGAGTTTGCCTGAGATCTCTCTCTCGAAGTCAGAGCCCTCGCCGTATTTCTTGACAATGACAATACGAAGTTCTTTCCAGCACGCTGCTGCGAGGTCTTCTTCGTGGATCGAGACATACATCTCAGCTAGGGTCTTGGTGAAACGAATGACAACGTCACTTGTCTCGCCATGAGTTTCCTTATAAGCTGTGATGATGAATTTGAGCATCTCCTCTCTGTAGGTCACCATTTCTGTACGGCTGGTAAACGTCATCGAGTCCGTGATAGTCAGGAAAGTCTCGGTCAAGGTGACTGTAATGCGATTATGTTTTGGCAAAACATGCTGACAGATTCGCGAAGCTCGAACGAAATGATGTGCGGCTGTGTCCGGAGATGAGTACATATGGAACACATAAGCGCAGGTGATGGAGGTCTGCAGTGTCGAAATATGCTTGTCTTGAAAGACTTCAGAACGGATGCGCAGGGCAAGCTCGTGCACAGGTAGCAGCTCATTAGTTGTGAACTGTGTATCCCAGCATGTCCACTCCAGCAGCGGCATCAATGGAGAACTCGGGAATGCGGCTTGTACATCATTCGACAAACCAAGAGTACCAGTCGGCTTGAACAAAGTGGATTGGCGGAAGTGAGTTATCCAATTACGGAGAGCATATTGCAACAGATCGTGTTCTGAGAACAAACGCTCCACATCACCTTGGGGTAGAGGCTCGAGAGAGACATCATGAGGTTTAGACAGACAGGCCTTGCTGTAGCTGAGTAGCCTTAATGCCAGGTTTGTGTGAGCCTCTTTGTGGGGAAGAAGCTTCTCTCCGCCGACCTGCAAGGCGAGGAAATACTCTCTGATGGCAGGGTGCAGGAACTTCACAAAGCCTGCATTGTTGGGACGTAACCATGCAGATGTCTTCGCAAATTTGCTCCTGAGATCGATTTCACGACGCGTGTTGGTCTTCTTTTGAAGGTCGACCTGAAGGACGTCATACAGTTCATCGATAGACAGTGGACGCTCGGTCACCATCATGATTGAGATCAAGGTCTTCGTGTCGCCATCAAGATTGTCAAAGTCGACACGCTNTTTGATGATCTCGTCAAGTTTTTCTTTGAGCGAGTTGAAGTTTTCATCCAAGTCCTTTGGCAGCTTAGAGGGCATGAGGTCGTTGATGGCCAGCAACAACCAGAGGAAAGAACCATTTGCTTTCTTGACTAATTTCTCCAGGAACTTTTGTCGGTCAGTGTCATTTTGCTTGTGGTAAGCGGCGCAGTCTCGGAGCTTATGCTTGGCAATATGTTGGATATCGTCGTAGACATGATCGGGTTGTATCTTGAACGCCTTCCAGACCTTGTCATCTTCGGGCAAAATATCAGACCTCGCGAGGATGATGGATTGGAGGGAGCGATGAGAGGTGGAAAGCTTCGCCATACGCTCACAGATCTGCTTCTCATCGCCACGGAGGTGATCTAGACCGTCAATGATGATCATTGTAGGCTCAGAGGAGTCGGAGAAGGCTGCATCGATAGCTTTCCAAAGGTGATGTTCCATGTCCATAGAATTCTTGCTGTTGTAGGCCTGGACGATAGCTTCGAACATGCGAACGTTACCTAGGCGGATGTCCATCAACTGTAGTGCCAAGCTCTTTGCCAAAGCCAGCGATGTAGTCTCGCTTGGGACGTCTGAGTCGAACGAGAACATCACAGTGCTGTGCGTCTTCTGACCCAAGCGACGTTGCAGTCTCTCCTGGATCCAGGTGGAAAGCACTGACTTTCCACATCCAGGCGGACCGGTAATGGCGAGTATTTCCCGATCGCCACGGGTGAAGTTGAGCAGTTCCTGTTGGAACCATTCACATGTGTATTCGTCATATTGAGATACATAGGTGAGGGACTCGGCGGATATGGTTCGGAGAAGAAAGGTTGTCTGGTCGAGCCACTTGCGGACTTGATGGACTTCTCCGGCTGCATCACCACCGAGGGCATGGCTCCAGATATGATTCATGANTGCTAGATAAGATTAGCGATAGCTGGGACAGAACCAACATCAAACGTACCGGATCTTACGGTTCTCAAAGTTGTTGAGATGCTCTCGGAAGAGGAAAGTGAAGTCCAAGGTCACAGCACCGTGCGAGAGACCGCGAACAGACCCTTGATAGTGAGATGCCACATCGAAGACTAGGAGATGAATGTCGCGGAAAGCTCTGCTGACGTCCTCCCGTACATCGGTACTCAAGCTCAGCTGGGTTTCATATGACGACAAGAACGACAAGGACAGGCCAAGCTTATAGAAGACTGAGAAGGTCGTATTGAGTGCACTAGCATTCGCTTCTCCGAGAGCAATAATGCTACGCAGCAATGTATAGATCTGCTTCGTCGCATACTGGCTTTCAGGAACGAATGACTCGATCTTCTTAGCATAGTTGTCGATCTGCAGAGCGTAGAACTCGGCCCAACGAAGCACTCTGTCCCACAAACTGCCGCGGTGAGGCATAGAGCTCAGGCGCTCTCGGGCAATGTAGTCTGAAAACGTTTCGATGTTCATGTTGCGCATCAGTGAAGCATCGATTGTGTCAAAGTTTTTGAAAATTCTTGCCTCCATGTGCATAACATGGCTATCCTGGCTGCGCATAGGTGAGCCATTGTTGGAGAACGATTGGTAAGCGATAGAGCTATCGAGGCGGCGATTGAGTATTCCACTGCTAGCAGGACTTTGAGGAGATGGGTCATCAGCTGCAGAGTCCTTACGCTTCTTTGCAACCATGAGACTGTCCAGAGCTGGTGTTTGATATTGATATTCCATATTGTGTTCGTAAATAGGCTGGATTTCTGTAGGGGCGGTAGAATGGAAACTAGGGACGCGGTCTGGCATCAAGGCCGTAAATCAGTCTGGGGATTCTGATATGAGGTTGACAGGGAAGATTTGAGTTGCATATATACATACTCAAGGGATTTGTCCGTAAACCAAGCATGCTCCAGAGCGAAAAGAGAAAAGAGAAGCAACCACAGCAGCAGCAAAGGGAAGTCTGTTCAGTTAAACAACGAGCTCTTCCTTGTCGCGGCATACGACATCATAGAGCGGACGAGAAAAAGAGCCGGGGTCGATTAACATTTGATATATGCTTGATGACTCCATCGAGCTGAGTGGGTATTCCCTGAAAGCCTCATAGTAGCTGTACAACGGTTAGCTGACAGCTGAGCTGGTTCGCTCCAAACGGACACCAGCAAAATGCAGGGGTATACTACGCGCGTATTCAGCTTCGACCAGGCATAGTTCGCACTCTCTAGGTGATAGTCCTACCTCGAGAAGGTAAATGGGGTCAATTTCCGGAAAAGCTGTTGTTGATCGATATCATCAAGCACCATTTTCCTCACTCATGTCTTGGTGTTCACACTGCACTATTTTGACTTTGACATGAAGACGTTAGTCTCTCGGTTTTGCTTTGTTTGGTACCTACGAGGTGCGGGCCGCCATGGAGAGATTCACAGCGTTGGATCGTAGACAGGACTGGAGAACCTCAGTGACTTTGGTTGATTGCCATGAACATGATTTCATCCGTGTGCAGATGGATGGTATAGGATGACCATTCAGTACTCTGTGGCTTGAGCTGATGCATCTCCCTTTGACCTGCTTCGAGAATCATTTGACGTTCGAGAAACATCAAGGGTGGGACATCAAGGTGGTACAGTGCAGGTTGCAGAAGTTTAGGGGTGTTTACTTGATCGTGGTTGCCGACTGGTACGAACGGGGCGGGCCAGGCGGGGTACCGGGTGGTCTGGGAGCTTGTCGTTCTGACGTTCACTGCTGATCGCCATTGTGTCCATACCCGAACGAGCGCACGCACTAGAAAGTGAGGCAAGTTCAATTGAACACATCTCTAAGCAGTATTCGGCATACGAAATATGATTTGTTAGCTTGGCTATCGCAACGGTGACATGGGGGATGTTGCTGCAGAACGCGCGAAACCGAGATCTACGTGGCAGGTGGGGCTGAGGCTGGCTGATCGCGACAGCTGAAGCTTAACCTTGCATTGAACTTCAGCTCATAGATAAAGCACACGACAGATTCGTATCCCATAAGCGACTGACCTATTGGGTCACCATATTGAAACGTCTCATGCTCACTCACAACTTTCGAGTCTGGTGTCTCGCTGTGTCCGAAGCTAATATAGGACGCTTCGTTTGAGGAGCCATCGCGGAGCGATGATCATGTCGCTGCGCTCGACTGCATGCCTGCATGCATGCATAAGCTAGTCTTGTCCAAAAGGAGCTCTGGATCTGGAGAGTGATGAGTCCACCTCCCCCAAAAAGGGCTATGCATCAAATACTGAAATCAGAATTCTGCAACAACGTTGGTCCAAGCCAGGTATCCTTACTGCGCGCGTCAGTAACTGCTTCACTGAGACACAACACGATTGTCTCGGAACATGTTGCAGTAGAAAGACGCCATCCGCGAATGCTTTCAATATACCATCTATTCAGGAAATTGGTCGAAACGATGCGACCAATGCGTGGTATGAGATGGAGGTCGTGTGTCAAGCCTTGATCTCGTAGTGTTGACTGGAGGTTCGCTGGACGCAACAGATCTCGTGTGTGATGGTCCTTCATACACTACTGACCTCCACTTGACACCATTCATCTCTCGGTCTGACCGGCATATCTGTGGACCTGGTTTGCTGGACAGCTGATATCGGACCCTAAACGAGCACACACATCCCAGACTTGTGGAAACAAATCCCAGCAACGTGAGTCGATCGATTGGAGAATACCGAAGATCTGCTCACGCGAAGATCTACGGACGTAGGAACCGACGTGCGATCTCCTATTGAGCCGCTTTCTCCGTTTTATGAGCCTCTGCAAGTGTCAGCGATTGAACTCAGCGAAGACGATCTCATCATCCGGGTGTCCTTAATCAATGTGAATAGGGTCTCTGCAGATCGTTCCAAAGCATTCTGAGATCAAAACTGGTGGCATTCGCTTGTGTCACGTAGGTATTGACGGAGCTTGTTCCGCACAGTTTGGTATCCAACTTTTGAACGCTGACGAGTCCTGCGTGCTTGTAAATAGCACTTGAAAGACATTAAGTTGTCCTCGATCTCAAGACGGCATTTTGACATTAGGAGACCAAATCATGATACATATGTCGCCGCTCTAGAGTTGGGTATTAGAAAGAGATGTTTAAGTCATGACGGGGCATCGAGATCTGGCGCCCTTCAGGCACCGATTCTTGTGGTCAAGGTCCGACCATGCCCGTCAATCAAATGCAGAACTCGTATCGTTTCTGGCATAGTCCGAGATTTTGCGAGTCGTAGTGTTTGGTGTTAAGCAGAGTTTCGAAGTCGTGAAATTTTATGCGACAGCCTAGCGATACGTCATTTTGAGCTGCTGGTAGAGTGACCCTGTCTTGGGTCTCCATTCATCCACACAGGTGTTTATCCGTCTCGAAAGGATATACAATTCCCTGCATCATTGTCTCCAACCTTTTATAAAGTTGGCCTGTTTTCCTTTGTTATAGCGGTAGTGGCTTGTGCGCCCGAAGCTGGCTGTAAATAGTTCTCGTGTCGCCACTCATTCCAATTCATATTTGTGGCTGGATACCGTAGATTAATATCTCTATCGTATCCTTCCACTTCTCCCATCGATTTGTCCTTCTCTACCACACACACACACACACACACACACACACACACAAAGGCCAGATGACTAAAACATGGCCCCGCCTTTCGCCGACCCACCCCCCTTTGATAACAGCGGCCGCGGTCCACTCGCTGTGCCTGGTTTTGGATTTCCTGTGGAGCTAGAATTACATCCAGAGGATCGATTTACTCACGGCGTACGCGAGTGGTTTCAGGAGCCAAATATCACAGCCCGGGAGCTTGCCATGCTTTCTTTCATGGACAAAATTACCGACAAACCTACATGGTCGACAGATGTTTTTGACGACAAAGCTACTTCCCAGTTGTACCAAGAAGCACTGCGTAGCCGTCTTATCAGTCCACAGACATGGGTCTGGTGCCTCTCAGAACTGCAAGATAAGGCTTGTATCTTCCAAAGTAGTGGTCGCATTCTGGTCTACAACACTGGAGTCGCCATTTGCAAATCAGACGTCGTGGTGGATGAGGAGACACGGACCCTCATCAAAGACGAGCTCTCAGTCTTGGAATCATCATTACCGTCCGATGCCGCCACCCTCGATCCCTCTCCTGATACTCCTCGGCAAATACACAGGCTCATTGATCCTCTCCTCTATCCCCTCATGTACGGCAAGTCGAGAGTCTTGGCTAAAGGGGGAATAGTACCTCTTAATGACGTGTTCCAACACATAAGCAAGTGCACTATTGCTCCAAACATTCCTGTCAAAGGCTATCATCGTATAATTTGGGTAGGCCCTTCAGAGTGGGAGATGCATCATCAAAGAGAAATGTCATGGTCGACGAATTTCCAGCGGTTGCCTTGCGAAGTAGACTTCTTACAGTCCTCCGGCACAGGCGTTCGCATCACCTCATACATCAATGGCCTGCATCCTCGGAACCAGGCTCTATATCATGCTATTGAGAAACTCATTTCGGCTTCTATCGAGCCTTGGAATGACGTCTTGATCAAACAAGGTTGTGGGCGCTTCCCAACCCGCATTAAGTTGTATGGCATCTCATATGAGCCTCCACCACCTGACTTCGACCACTTTACTNNGGAAGCAGGGAAGCATCCTGGGAGTGAACCTTACTATGCTGCGATTGAAGAAGCCAAGGCATACTGTGCCCAGCCTGACGACTGGCCATACGATTACTCGGACGACGAAGAGCCATTTCCTTGGCCTGGAAAAGGNAAGCCTGATGATTTCGATGCCTGGTGTAGATCTGGGAAGGACTTAGCCATGCCGGTGCGGATGAAGTACGCTGACCTTACTCACTTTGTGCATCCTGAGCCAGGTACTACGTACACCTATCAGCAGTGGAAAGCCGGACAAGCATGGGAAACCATCGAAAAAAGAATGCCTGGGGACCACGAACCGGATGTAGAGGGGAAAACAGTGCAGATACCCCATGAGGCATATAGGGTGGCCCTCCAAGAGTCTTTCCGGCAGAAGGGATTGCAAGTCATAGTCAAGATAGACAGGATCGAACTGAACTCCAGCGAACCCAGTTTTCCAGGCAGCGACTGGCACGTCGAAGGCTTACATAATGAGCATATTGTCGCCAACTCTATGTACATTCTCGAGGAGGAGAATACATCGGAGCCTCGCATCGATTTCCGTCAAGAAACAAGATTGGACCCGGACGAATTCGACTACAACAAATATGACCTCGAAGCTTTGCTGAAAGTCTTTGACGTACCTTACAGAAAACAGATACTTGGAGGATCTCTTAACCCGCCTCCTTCGTTGCAAAGACTGGGATCTGTCGGTCTTCCCGTAGGTCGACTGCTCGCTTGGCCAAACGTACTTCATCATCGCATTACACCATTCGAGCTCATCGACAAGACCAGCCCCGGTCATCGCAGCTTTCTCACCTTGTCCCTTGTGGATCCTTACTATCGCATCTGCTCGACCAGAAACGTGCCCCCTCAAAACCATGAGTGGTGGGTGGACGAAGCTCTATCCGCAGCCCTGCCAACAAACGTTTTTGTACCGCGCGAACTTCTTGACCACATCGACTCGTGCACCGACAACTGGCCGATGGGCTTGGAAGAAGCAACAAAGATTAGAGGACAGATGGCNAAAGAACANAAGGATCACGAACGGTACATAATGAACCACCCCGCCGATCGCTATGATTTCAACGTAGACGAGTACAATTGGGGAGAGTTTCCTGATTTACCTTCCATGGATCTTGGAAGTTCATAGTTGATCGATCTTTTCCCCAAGTTCAATCGCGTACACCAAGTCTCAATTCAGATAAGTGTATAAGTTAGGTATAGCACATTACTGCTGCCAACGGATTGGGGTCGTATGTGAGCATGCATAAGATTTATGTTTTGCTGTGTGAAAGGGGCGCTTCCGAGTCAGGGTGGCACCATCCTTTGTCTTGATTCAAAACAGAGAACATGATCATCAAGCAGTAAGATTGAATTGTTCATTTCACTGACTTATAGTGTTCACAGGAACGGAAAGACCATACTCCAGTCCTGGTACAACAGCAATTCAGAGTCGTCTGCGAATTATTTTCGGATTACGATTACAGCAGCCGTAATGTCATCATCGTTTCTCTCATTATTGTGAACATTCAGTTACAAGCTCGAGCTTAAGTATTTAGCAAGATCTTGCAACTGCGCTCTTGAGTTAATGGTGGTAGAACGTCCTTTCAGTCGTGGAGACCATCGTCCGAGCGCTTCATCTCTTCCTCGGCCGAAGAGAAGCTCTTGTTCTTGCGGCGATCACGAACTTCGTGGAAGATGGCAGTGATAGCGTGGAGAAGACTACGTGTCAAGTCAATACATTTACTTTGTGGCATATTCGGATCTTGTATCACGACAGGCGAGCGAGCATAGGCATGCCTCCCGAATGCTTGGTACATTTCATGAGAAGTAACTTACGTGCTGAAGATTGCCAGGCCAAAGGTTGCAAGCGGCAAGTTACACAAAGCATTGTTGCGATTGTTGGGATCATTGCGTGCGTTGGGGGTAGCACAAAGACTGCTGAGACCTCCGTGGGGTCTGGTCAAGACAGCGACGGCGATAAAACCACCGACAAAGAGCAGGTCGAGGACGATAAGCATCCAGCGAAGGAACTTAGGAGCGCCGCCCTTGAGGCAGAAGTTGATGATCAGAGTTGAGATGGTGTAAGCTGTTGCAGCTGCCAGAATGCCTTCGACTGCGCCGGAAGAGTTGCGCACATTGCGAACGAGACGGTAGACCTTGTAGAGACGAGAGGAGAAGAGACCGAGAGNAACTAGAACGGCGCCGTCAGCGAAAGAGCTGGGGATTGGTTACGCGTTGGCTTACATGACTGAAGATAGGAATTGAAGAACGCGCAATATCTTTTGGAAGATATGGTTGTTACGGATACGATTGAAGAGCGAAGTCATGATGATGAGCTGTTACTGCGAGTTGTGCTGCTTGTAATTGTCAGGGAGTGGTGGATGCAAAGATTCAGAGGAGGTGCTTCCTCTAAATTATATGGTTCCTTCACTTATGCTAGAGGATGACGGAACACTTTGCTGCGGCTTGCTTCACTGGGAAGTTGCGCTGTACTTCGTGCGATCGATTGAACCAAAACTCTTGATTTCACAACGGGATGACGAGCTACGTGGAAATGAGTTTGATTATCCAAGCCTGTACGTTTTACGCACGAGTGGGAGCACAAGAAAGTGACTCTCGACTTGTAGTGGTACTCACTACATCATCAACATGCTTGTATGTTTCCCCCACCTCGGCATCGACATGAGCATAGCAAGAACTGGCAGCTTGCTGAAACGTGACAATGGCGGCTGTGTTGTGAATGCAAATAACCAGGGTAAAAGCTACTTACCGCTCACAAGTCTGTCCAGCGCGTGGCCAAGCGGAGCTGCAGTCCACAGGGATCCTGATCGTTCGCTCTCAGCCGCTCAGACACGATCATATCTCACGATCAGATCCGTCGGAACAAGGCAGATCTACTCTGCTCTTGACTGATTTTAGCGGTTGTAGTGAGAGCAGTATGAGCCGAAGGTTGTGATGCGCACGGGAAGCTTTCGCCAAGCAACGCCACATGATGTATTGTTAGGCTGTGGAAGCAGATACACCGTCGAGTCTTGCTTATCTACCACCTACTTCACAGAAGGAAGTTTAGCGTCTACCAGACGGCCAGGAGGCATAGCCAGAGTTCAGATCACGATTGCCTAATTTTCAAGACAATCCTTACCCCTTTTGATAAGCAGTAGCACAATCGTTCTTACTGATTAGGACGGTCCAGTGCGGCTCAGTATAAGTTTCCTGTCTTCGATGTAATCGTCGTCATTCTCCTTCAAGTTTGGGCATGGTTGTAGATGCTAGCCAGGTCGATCTCAGGTACGAACAACCAGGCACCGGTGCTGCAGTTGGATTGACTTTTTCCAGAGCAAGTAGAGTATGACGCGGGGCTGCGAGACTTGCTTGCAAAACGACCAAGAGACAAGCTTTGATATGGAGCATCTGCAACTCTCTTGCTTCAGCGCATAGATGGCCATATACATTCTCAAGAACATTCGCCGTCCTTTCATCAACACAGTCTCCGACAGCCGTCAACGATGAGCACGAATGAAGCACCAATACGACCATGATGGGCTCTGATAACCTGAGAGAACGAATTGTTGCAGACTTCGACCTCGGCTAACCAAGCTGAACAGCGAGAGAGTGTCCAGTGCGATGGAATGAAGTTCCATAGGATGACGGCGCGGTCATGGACCCCAGATTGGATACTATTCACAGGTAAAGCCTGTAGAACTTGGTACAGTAGGAAGATGAAACTGTTGAGCGTGTATGTTTTTTCCTGGAAGGATCCAGATCAAGTCCAATCCACCCCACTCTACCGTGTCCACTTCAAGGAGGTCATGATGTGACTTGTAGAAGCGCTGGATCGAAGGTTCGGACGCAATGGGAACTGCACGATCAATCATACCTAACTCACGATATTCGCATTGTCATGCGCGCTCTGGTTTTCTGCGATAGCGGACTCGTGGAAATGTCGATGCACACGGATTGCCTGAGGAATCTGGCTGCTGGCAGAGAGCGCGCGGCAATCTCCAATCGAGCAGGCGGTGAGAATTCTGCCGCTGATAGGAAGAAGCTGTGCGTTCATCGTTACTTCCTGTCCTGATTTCTGAAACTCGTCCATCAGAATCTTGGATGAAACCTCACGTTAACACGGGTCAAGTATATACAGCAGAGACAGTCCAATCTCCGTGTGCGCACCTCAACACTCTGCGTGGACGAATGAATGTTGGAGAGCAATATGGACCCTGGTCGCTTGTTGATGTCAAAGCTCTCGGCTAACAATGACCGCCGCCACGAACTACCGAGCACAGAACTCTCGACGAACCCTCAGTCCTCATGAATCCGCATCCGGTGGTTCAGGAGTCCTGTCATTGCTGCAAAACCTGAACGTGTCGCTTGTCTCCCTCTCTGAAATCGATCTGATCGACTCATGCCTAGCTCACGCTCTCTGAAAACTGCAAATCATCTCTCGATTCGACAGCACGCACGGCCATAAGTATGGCAACAAGCTCTGGTCAGTGGTTTGTTAAACCCTATGGCGTGTCTTGTCTATCGAACTCTACCCGCACACGACTCTGTCGCTGAAGAGAAGCGGCAAACCATTTCAGCCATTCTCGTCCGCATTTCCTCCAGCCAATGCAGGCCGACACACTGAGGCCTGTAGATCACCAGAATCTTTACACCGCTGTCCACCGCTGCATATTTGTTCCACCACTTGTTCAGACCATTTCTCGCAGATAAGCGTGGTATCCGGCTCTTGAAAACTTTGACAGTTGCTGGAAAGATTAGCCATTCACCTGATGTACTATTGTCTCGTGGCTATAATTGATTGAGCACTATGTACCCTGACGATCCCTGAGTCGCGACTCACGACCCTTGACTCGAGTCTCGCTACCAAGCTCTTTTGGTGTACTGCCTGGTCTGTTGTTGAGACGAACGCAAGCTTCAATCATCAATGGGCGTTGCGACTCCACGGCGCCATCGGCCTAGGCTCACAATCATCAGAAACGTGGGCCTGACTTATCTAAAGATGGCAAGGCTTTGGCAGAACAGATTCAGCGTTGAACGGAGGCGGTGGCCTACTCTCTGTCGGTGAAAATATCGTCTTGAGCCGCCAACTATGTTCTGCGCATCTTCATGCATCTGACTACGCTCTCGTGCGGACTATTGAACCATGTGATGTCTGGCTTGACCTATGTCAACAGTCATTTCACGTCCCTTCAAGGCCCCTGGCTCGCCTCTATAACGCCATATTGGACCGAGTTTCGGTTCTTGTTCCCGTGCAAAGATAAGTGGAGAGGCCAAGATGATCGGGGTAGGCGAATGTGTTACATCCCGAGCATCTGGACCGCTAGCATATATTCTAAAGAGGCTATACTACTGTTCAGACGCCAGCTAAACTAATCCGAACATCGGGCTTAATCAAGTGTAGAGACCAACCGACAACCAGGAAAATTGACTGCAGATCAGTGTGGGCACCGAAAAATCTCTCGAACCACGCACCCTATCGTGACAGCCAGGGTAGGTCACGGACGGCAATTATAAAGAGAGCAATTGATCCCTCCAGGACCCATCGTGTTAAGCTTAACATCTTCTATCTTTCAGCTCAAACACATCCGTCAACTGGAAACAATGTCTTCCACAGCTGCCGACGTGAACCGTCCTTCAGCAGATGCTGTCTTTGAGAAGTCACACAACCACAATCTCAACATCACCTCCTCTCACAATGGCATGACCATCTCGCCAGAGCTGTTCGAGAAGCTGTACCTGACCCCCAAAACTCCCCGCCATGGCAACAACATCAAACGCTTCGCCAATGCCGTACCTATGGGTTTCACTGGCTTCGTCATCTCGACCTTCACCTTCTCCATGATCCTCATGGGCTTCGCTGGTACCAGCAGTCTCGCTGGTGTTGTCGGTATCTTCTTCTTCACTGGCCCTGTTCTTCTTGGTCTCGCTGCCATCTTTGAGTTCATCCAGGGCAACTTCTTTACCGTAAGCCACATAACGTCGACGATATATATTAAAGGTGTTAACAACGCTGTANNGATGAACTCTCTCTCACTCTTCTGTGTCTTCTGGCTTTCTTTCGGCATGATCCAGCTTCCTTCCCTTGGCATCGCTGCTTCATACTCNCCCACTGGTAACGCTGCTGAGGGTGCTGCCAGCGCCGATTACAACAACGCTATTGCTCTTTACCTTATCGTCTGGGGCTTTGCTTTCATTACCTACTTCATCTTCTCGCTCAAGACAAACGCCATTTTTGCTGGTATCTTTGGTTTCGCCTTCATTGCTGTCTTCATTCTTGCCGGTGCTTACTTCAAGGTCGGTACTGGTGACTACGCCATGGCTGGTAACCTCCAGATCGTAAGTTGATGTTCTGTTCTTGACACCATGGTGACTATTTTTAACATCTTTTGCAGNGCTGGTGGTGCACTTCTCTTTGTTGTCGCAGCGTTGGGTTGGTACATCACCTTCGTCATCATGGCTGCTGAGATGCGTCTGGGCATCAACTTCCCTGTCGGCGACCTCAGCCACCTCTGGCCTGCCACCGACGTCGAGTTGACTGAGATTGAGAAGCAGGCTTAAGTCTGATCTTCTCCAGTGCGTTGATATCTGTTTGAGGAGATGATGATGGCGCTTCCATCTCCGTCTTGCAGTCTTGTTTCTTGTCACGATAGCCTGCGAGCGATATACCCACCTCAAACTGTCTTGTTGAGTTTAATGTTAGTCATGTATTCTGTTATGCAAGAGTGTAATTGTTTTTGAAACCAGGCTTTGTCTCATTTCATTGTTGGGTATCATGTGTCGCCAATTCTGTATGGCCTTGAGTATTAACAAAGGAAAAAAGCAGGAACTCATTGTTATCCTCCCGCCACTTTCGGCGTGTCTCGAAAATCATTGCAAAAACCATCCTTCTTCCCTCTCCCCTTGATGATGAACTTGCTGTCCCTCAGCTGTAAAAAGGCACAATGCTGTTCAGTGTTGGTGCTTCAGTCAGTGAAACCAGCTCCTTCAGGAACGCCGACGTATGGGAAACCCTTGTGGATACCACTGTTGACGAAAGAGTTGTGTGTGTTAGGTGGGACACCACTGATATAGCCGATGTCGGAGTTCTGCATCAGACGTTGGCTCGCGATTGTCTTGTTGAATGAACCTTCATAGCTCATCCAGAGAGCAAGAACACCGGCCACATGAGGTGCTGCCTGGGATGTTCCAGACGCGGGGCGAGTTGTGGCATCACGCCAGTATGACTCGCAGCTTGCGGGCGCGAGGACGTTGATCAAGGGTCCATAGTTGGAGGACCGAAACCAGGTGTTGTACTCCAATGATCCTCCAACCGTGATGACTCTGCCAGATGTGGCAGGGTAGACGTAAGATTCGGTATATCTCTTGAATCCCAGAACCATACCATCGTTTCCAGCAGCAGCTACCATGAGAATTCCTGCTGCATCTGCAGCCTTGATTGCACGTCTCACGTCGTCAAGATCCGCATCAGTAGCGTTGAAACCAAACGACATGTTGATGATTGATCCCTTGAAGCCAGGCTCTGTTTGTTTCTTGATGTTGTGTCTCCAGATCGCATAATTGATGGCGTCGCGGACTGGTTTCGAGGTGTTTAATCCGGTAGCATTGCTTGTCTTCAGTGAGATGACTGCGCACAACTTGCAGACGCCAAATCTGTCGCTGCCGACGATGCTGGCGACATGAGTACCATGTCCATTGTAGTCCTTTAGATAGTTAGTATTGATTTGTTTCAACTTGAGCGCACCAAAACTCACCACAGTGTCCGGCTCCTCGCTCACAAAAGAGTCGTAGGTGAAGAATCTGTGATCGTGCAGATCAGCGACGATTGGATCTAGACCAGTATCCAGGACGTAGACATCGACACCCTGTCCGCCCCTCTGCATGTAGTAGTACTTTGATTCAGCTGGGACCGCTTGGTCGCTTGAGACGTAGCTGAGAGCCCAAGAAGCGTCCTCCTGGGTTAGAGTTTCGTAAGAGGCTCTGGAATGGGTGCTGTGAGACTGGTTCTGACGGAACAAGTTAGCAATCACACATATCCTCGAAATTCCCGACAGTCAACTTACCTTAAAATCAGATGGTGGGCTGGGTTTTCCTTCAACCCAAAAACCCGGGATGGATGACAGGTGAGACGAGACACTGTAGACTTGTGGATCACTGCGGATCAAGTCAAGGACGGCCTGCTCAGAAAGGTCGTGGGTCGTGGTAGTGTTGTGAAAGTCGATGTCGTAGCAGTCAAGGTTTTCAATGTAGCGAGAGATGTTCAACTGCTTGCCGATGTACTCGAAGTGAGATTGCAGAGGGTAGCCTTCGTCCAGGCAGACAACGAACTCGTGTGGAATCACTCTGCAATAACGTCAGCTGAAACCGTCGAATAACACATGTGAGGGCGCAGCAGTGAACGTAGTAGTACAAAGACCTTTCGAAGATCTTAAGTGGGCAAGGTGCGGAAGAGGGATATACGACTTACTCGCCAGTAGAGACATGAGCGAGGAAGCCCAAGCAGAGAAGCTGGAGAACCAGCATGATGAGAACGTGGAAGTTCTTTAGAGTGGCCATCCTGAAGGAGGCGTGGATAGATGTTGGTGGTTGAGAAGAGAAAGGAAGAGCAGATGTTGGTGGTTGGGAAGAGAAGGGAAGAGAAAGGAAGATCAGATGTTGGTGGTTGAGGATAGAAAGAAGAGCAGCAGCGAAGCAATGCTGCGGCTTAAATATCAAGGAGCGGAAAATTGGTCTTCTCACTCAGAAGAGTGATCGTTGACGTCCAACTTCTCACTTGAATCGATGAGTAGTGATTGATGAGTAGTGAAGACTGAAGGTCCTGGAGCGTTCAATACGAGCTCAGTCTACTGGCAAGCTGCTCGCTAGCTGCCTTGAGTCGGACTGAAGAAATGCCTTGTGACTATGCACGGGCTTCCATATCATGGTTTTTCATGCCTCTATCACCTCACGGGCTCTACCTGCCGTGTCTTTTGAGTATGCTGAACAATATCAGACTTCATTTCGCACATTGTTCGAATGAAGATTCATTTGTACGTGAACATACACCATCGAACACCAACCAGTCTCGAGCCATATCTCTGTCAATAAACAATGAAGGAACTCGAAACCATACTGTGAATATTCAGGAGTGATAGGGAACCGGGGAAGTGAGGAAGCTATGTCCCTGCAAGTTTCAGTTTCAATGTGAGCGTAACCAGTCAACCCTCACTTAAACCATGGTTGCTCAATAGTGAGGGTTATACCTCGGCGTCATACTTCCTTGACAGTCAGTAGTCTGTTTGTTGCTATGTGATGGTCAATGCCAAGACTTGTTGGCGTCCGGCCACTTTCACAGTGCGGTAGTACCAGAACCAGTCGAGTTTGTCTGCTCCAGCAACAACGCGCGACGGCAAGCACCTTCTGTCTCAACGCGTTCCATCGACTCTTTTTACAGCACAGCCCATCACAATAGAATGATGGTCCTGTTCTCCTTGTCACATTTCCTGCTTGCCTTGCTCAGTCTAAGCACCTTGGTGCACTCATGTCGCCCCTCTGTATGGGCTGTCGGACTCAAAGGAGATCAGACACTTGACGGTCACCTTCGCATCGTAGGCCGCCCGGTCGATATTCAAGAACGCAGACTGGACATCAATGGATACACGGCTTCCATCCAGGACGACAACAAGGTGATGCTCGAGGCAATTCGCGATGATCCCAGCGTTGGTTTCGTGGTCAAGGTTCCTTCGAACTATTTCCGCAAGTTCGATCAGTTCATCGAGACTGAACCGGATTGGGATGAGGATGATCGCGAGGATTACCAGCATATGCTACAGCCGACGTATCAATGGGGCCGATTGTACAGCCGAGACCCAGAGAACATCGAGTCGGGAGGAAGGTAAGTGATGCAATATCATCGCTAAGGACAAGACATTGACAGTACGCTCGAAACAGAAGGGTGCCTCTACAATGGGAAATCCGACTTGAAGATGGTTACNAGCCTTGATGCTCACATCAACCTCATCACTCATTTCAACCCAAATTCGGTGTTGATCAGTCCAGAAGGTATCAAGAACACGTATTCTCTCACGTTCAAGTCCGAGGAACAGGAAAGGAAGTCCTTACCAATAATTCACAATGATTCTCGTGTCGAGNNGGAAATCTGGCCCAGTCGTTGTCACCAGAATGTGATCAAGGACTGGATCAGAATAGATGGAGAGGATATCCTTGACTGGGAAGATGGATGTGTCTTTCGTTTAGGTTATCGACAGTGGAACAAGGTATGTACCCGAGCTTGACAGTATTGCCAGCGGTCCTAACACAGCTTGTCGTTANNGGAGCCGGTTGTCAGCATACCAAGCAAGCCTCCGACAATGACACTTCATCCCAAGATACGCAGCCTGCGTTCGAAGGCACTCAAGACCCGCTACCAGAACCATCCACGGAAACCAACTCCAGCTCCGATTGTGTATTCTTGGGAAGCAAAACTTGCAAAGGACAAGGAGGAACAAATGCACAGGTGGTTGCTTGAGCATGAGCTGTGGAAGAAGCAAGCGCAGTATCATCAGTCACAGCAGCTTCAGAAACTCGCAAAGATGAAGGATGATGAAAAGAAAAGAGGGATCGGAGGAGAGGGTGCCTGCATTAGGCAGGGAGGTGGAAGCGGTGTCTAAATCTTGGCGTCGGACAGGGTGAGGTGGGGCAGCTGGGGGTCGAGATGGCACGCCGCACGCACGAAAAGTGAGTCAAGTTGTTGCGCTGTTGCACCTTCCTGTCGCATTTAGTTACCGCCCGTCGCAATACACAAGAGGTCGCTCCTTCCTCAATACAAATAAATCAGCGCGACCAAGTCTCTCAGCCAGCGATCACAATGTCCGAAGGCACAGTCGAGGGCGCCCAGCCCCAGCAAAAGCCCGCTGCCGACGCAAAGGGTACGCCAATGCCCAATGGGATCCAATCGCATAGTCAGCTGCTGACGNNGATTATTCTTACAGAGCAAAAGGACCAGAAGAAGGCACAGAAGTCGCAGGCTAAGCAAAAGAAGGAGCCCAAGGTCGCCCAGGGCGGTGGAAAGAAGAAGATGGAAGGCGCTGCTTTGATCGGTATCGACGTGGCCAAGGAGGACGACCTTTCCGAATGGTACCAGCAGGTCATCACCAAGGGCGAGATGCTTGAGTTCACCGACGTTCCCGGCTGCTACATCTATGAACCCGGTTCATACGGCATCTACGAGCGCATCCAGGACTTCTTCAATGCCCGCATCAGAAAGATGGGAGTCCGCAACTGCTACTTCCCCCTGTTCATCTCCGAGGCCAACTTGCAGCGTGAGAAGGATCACATCGAGGGTTTCGCTGCTGAGGTCGCTTGGGTCACCGAGGGTGGTAAGAACAAGCTGGAGAAGAAGCTCGCCGTCCGTCCTACATCAGAGACTGCCATGTACGGCTACTTCTCAAAGAAGATTCGCTCTCACCGCGATCTTCCCCTCAAGCTCAACCAGTGGAACAACGTTGTCCGTTGGGAGTTCAAGCACCCCATGCCCTTCATCCGTTCGCGCGAGTTCTTGTGGCAGGAGGGTCACACCGCTCACATGACCGAGGAGGATGCTGGCAAGGAGGTCCTCCAGATTCTCGACTACTACGAGGCTATCTATCACGACTTGCTGGCTGTTCCCGTCGTCAAGGGTCGCAAGACCGTCGCTGAGCAGTTCCCCGGTGCCCACTACACCACCACTGTCGAAGGTTTCATTCCCTCAACTGGCCGTGGTATCCAGGCTGGTACCTCTCACTGCTTGGGCCAGCACTTCGCCAAGATGTTCGATATCACCGTCGAGGACCCTCACGCTAAGGAGGGCGAGAAGAAGGAGAAGCTGCACGTCTGGCAAAACTCATGGGGTCTCACCACTCGTTCCATCGGTATCATGATTCTCACCCACGGTGACAACAAGGGTCTGGTTATTCCTCCCCGCGTCGCCGAGATCCAGGCTATCATCGTTCCCGTCGGTATCACCGCAAAGACCACNCCCGAGGACCGCGAGAAGCACTACGCCGAGACCAACGCCATCAAAGAAGTCCTGCTCGAGGCCGGTGTCCGCGCCGAGACCGACATGCGCGATGACCAGAGCCCCGGCTGGAAATTCAACCATTGGGAACTCAAGGGTGTTCCCCTCCGTATCGAGTTCGGCCCCAAGGACAGCGCCAAGCACGTCGTCACCGTCGCCCGCCGCGACCAGCTCGCCGCCGGCAAGAGCGAAATCCCCATCGCCGACCTCGGCAAGGACGTCCCTGCCCTTCTCGAAACCATCCAGAGCGACATGTTCCGCAAGGCCTCTGACGAGTTCCGCGAGCACCGCAAGATCATCACAAAGTGGGAGGACTTTGTCCCTGCCCTCAACTCAAAGAACACTTGCATCATCCCCCACTGTTTGGTTCCCGACTGCGAGGACGAGATCAAGGAACTCAGTTCGGGCAAGATCGAGGGCCAGGAGGTTGATGCTCGTGCTCCCTCTATGGGTGCCAAATCGTTGTGCATTCCCTTCGATCAGCCTGCCGAGGGACTCGTCCAGGGCGAGACTAAATGCACCAACCCCAAGTGTGAGCGCAAGGCCGAGAAGTGGGTCATGTTCGGTCGCAGCTACTAAGCGCATAGCTTGCTGCTAGACTTGAGAACGTTGATCGCTTGGAAACAAAAAACATGATTGGAAGCCTTATGCATGAATTGGGAGCTCATAACCTTTTTTACTTCTTCGCAATGAAATATGACATCAAACGCCAATGACTTTTCACCACTGCAAACAAAATGTGAAGACATGACTGTAGTATTGTATAAGAAGCTGATATGATAATGAGTCTTTTTTGGCGTTCCTCATACATGTAGAATAACTACTTCTAACCTCTAAGACCAGCAAAGTAGAATTGCTGCAGAGCAGCGGAGGCCATGGGGACAGGGTATCTAAGGGCTCTTGCCTTCTCAACAGCAGTTTCCAATCTCTTTCTGACATCCTCGGCAGCAGCACACGACGCCAAACTCCAATCGTCCTTCTCCAACATGGCAGGGATATGCTTGGTGTACATGTCACACCAACCAGCAGCCTTTGAAATGATCTCACACATGAGCTTGCGGTCCATTTCCAGGTGTTTGCAGAATGCCATTGCTTCTACACTGGCGGCGAGATGGACACCGGCCAGCAGGTCGTTGACGGTGTCGGCGCTGACTTGGTGGTTTGAGTGCATCTTGACATCTGCGGTGGACTTTTCCTTGACTAGCGAGGGTGAAGAGGAGGGGATGTACATGGTAACCAGCTTTGCATCGTCGTCTCTGAGCAGACCTGCTTGCAGGCCTTGGAGATAGCATTGCTCAGCACAGTCGGCAAGGGGTGTGGGGAAGTAGCCTGAGCGAGCAGTGGCAGTAACAATGCCAGCGTCCTTGAGGATGATGCCCAGGGCTGACAGAGGCGACCAGTCGTCTGCAAGCATGTGCGGTGCGCGGTTCTCGAACATGAAGGATGTGCCATCGTTGGCCTTGACGTGCTCGTATACTTTTTGGGTGTTGAGACCGACGGTGGCAGCGAGACCCATGGCCTCTGAAGAGAGNNGGATGATGTTTGTGGCGGCGAGCAGTTGGTGGATGGTCTTGACCTTTGTGCCGCTGCTGATGCCGCCCTGGATGCGGTAAAGGTTGCCAGACATAGTGTTCAGGATGTCCTTTGCTGACTCGACATCTTCTTCCTTGCCGGCGGCGAAGATACTGAGGGTTCCGTTTGCAGCACGGATAGTACCTCCTGATACAGGGCAGTCAAGAAGCTTGACATCTGATCTGCCAGCATCGTCCAGCTNTTGCCTCAGTTCATGCAAGTAAGAAGGAGGAGTTGTTGACAGCAGGATAACAGTCTTGTTTTGACCAAGGCCTTTGATAGCCGGGTTGTCGCCGTCAAAGAGAGCAGAGCTGGTTTGGTGATGGTTGGCGACCATGATGCAGAGGTAGTCGACATCTGTGGCTGTCTCTTGTTGTGTCTTTGCTGCCTTGCCGCCCTCCTTGACCAGAGCATCGACTAGCGGTTGTGCCAAGTCAAAGCCCTTGACGTTGTATCCCTCTCTTGCAAGGTTGATGGCCACACCACCTCCCATGGCACCGAGGCCAATGAAACCGACATCTTTCAAACCCATCGTGTGTGATTTGTCTTGGTTGTTCTTTTCGGAATTGCTTTGATTCTAATCACCTGCTCCGGGTAGATGGACAAGGAGATTTCGTATAAGAAGTGATATCAGATGTTGCAGAAGAGAACAACAGAAAAGTATTGCCTCTAGAATATAAAGGGCGTGACGGCATTAAACATGTGTCGGGAAAGTGGTCGCGGGGTACCTTTCCAAACCCCCACCGGAAAGAAGTGCGATCCCCGTCTTCCACTGCCGCCAAATTCGGCGGCTGTTTGGCCGACCGACTTTAGCCGTTTCGGTCATCAGATGGTTTGCTCCTTGGGAAGAAGGCCGAGTTGACGGCTTCCCAGCTTGAGTAATGGAGACATGCCCTTCGGCATCTGCCTCGGAGCTGTACACCGGACAAAAGAGTTCAGACAACCACCGAGATGATTCAAAGTGTATATTATGAGCGACGTCTGGTGACCACGATATGTAAACATTGTCCAGCCTTGGCTTCTTCATACTGCTCTGAGATAATTTCTTTGTAACGAAGAGCTATAGAAGAGCAAAGGCCAAAACAAACCTCCACTACCAAAGTCATCAAGGATTCGTTTACTGGTTTCGTTTCGGTAGTGGAGGGATGGGAGCATTGTGACTCTGGTGTGTTGATGGCGAGAATAGAATTCGAGAGTCCCAGTGTCGATTCCACGCCGTCGTATCAGTATCAGCTATGCGCCTAGATCGACTGGCTTGTGATGACTCCAAGTCCACTGCGCATGTAGCTGAGAACCCTCGTCATTGTCCCGCGCAGCTCGTTGAGACGCACGTCTGAGAATCATAGAAATTCTGGCAGCCCTCGTCTCTTATGCTGTTCGGTGTATGCCCATTTTCATGCTCGATCAGTCTCCAGTATTGTTACGAGCAAGATCGCCCTTCAACGTTTGCCAGTGATGATTTGTTCTCCAACCTTCGGATCATTCACAACCTTGAGTTCTTGCCGTCCCATTCCATTGCTCTTGATTGGTGTCGATATGGTTCCGGGATCTCGTGCATCTTCAGTATCGTCGTGCGCCTTGTATACGAGTTCTTCAAGCAGCTTTGACGCCAACCTTGACAATCTCAGCATCCATATCTTTTCCACTCTTCATGTCCTCAGTGGACATCAAGCCACCGGGAATTAAGAACACAACATCCTCTCTAGGTCCCGAAGAAGTCTTTGTATCCTCGAATTGGCTCTTGTCGAGTGAGTAGGCAATACTCAACTCACAGCGACCGCACTTGTGGAAGTAGCGCTTTTCAAAACCGTCTTCGCAGCGGATGACAGTAGGTTTGGTGTCGGTGATGGTGTTGGCTAGCGATGCGTAATGAGAAGTTGACGAGGTTGTAGAGAGGTCGGGAAGAGGGAGGATATGCGACGAGTCCGAGGCTCGAGTTTTGAGACTCTCGAGGGTTGATAGGCTGGCTAGTACGAGCTGCGTGCATATGCAGTGATATGTGTGTACTGTCATCTCGGGCAACGACATGTTGAACTTTTAAGTTGATTGTTGATTGACAGTTTTACTTTCGAGTTCACTCTTAGAGAAAGTGTCGAACGCGCCAAGACAATACGTCACCCTGTCGCGACCTAGTCACGTCTTCCTCTCGTATCATGTCTTTCTTAATTCTCAAGCATTGGGATCCAAAGATATGCCCTTAACACGTAGTGAAGCTAGAAGATCGCAAATTGAGGAGTTTGCCGAGCTCAAAGATCCGGAACCACCAAAGAGCAAGGGAAAGCCCAGAAGACCTACTCTGGAAACTGACATCACTCAAGACGAATAGTATGCAACAGAAGACTCCTACGAAGCCAAAGCCAACAAGAAAATCGTCAAAGCAAAGAAGAGTCTGTTCAAAGGGAGAGCAGAAATCCGCCCCTGCCGATGCCTTACAGCAACAGGAAGGTCGAATAGGCACAATTATCAAGGACAGGGACCTCGCCAGGGAAGACATCATGGGCTGGGGAAAGGCTCAAATGCAGCGGGCGAGATGGGGAGAGGCATCGCCAGAACCCGAGCATTTCGAGATCAAAGCATTTCATGCAGGGCAAGTTATACCGGAGAGATAGAGGACTCAAGCAAAGAAGGCAACTGCAACTTCCACTTTCGAGCAACACGAGAATGTGTTCCTTGAAGCAAAAGGTCAGACCGATTGAAAATAACAACTATCCAGCATCTGACATGAGAATTACTGGGATATCCAACAACATGATGTAATGTGCCAAGACGGAATACATGAGCTCAACCTTGTTACATTTCACGGGAAACGGTTCAACTTCCTCCACAACACACCATGCCAACAACAAGAAGCAAACAAGCCGCAGAGGAGGCATCACAACTACAACCGGATTCTGGTGCATACGTCAGATACCAGGAAGAGCGCAACAAACCCAAAAAGCGGCGTGGAAGAAAACAGAAATTCTTGGATCCAGAGACCGAACCAAGATTGGTGAGATGCAAAGAGCAGGTAGCCAAAGCTGAGGATGCTTTCAAGAGAGCGAAGGCAGATGAAGCTCCAATCGATGTTCTGCAGGAACAACAGGATCGGATCAAACTTCTTGCTGGAGACAGAGATTGCCGCCGAAGTTATGCCCTGGGATGGGCCAAACGACGTTCTCAGAGGATGAAAGAGTCGTAACCCATGTCACCCGAGCCAGAAGTCGAATATTTGACAGCATGGAGGTCTAGCTTAGAGGAACAAAAGATGTCGGACCTCCTTCGAAGAAGCAGAAGAGAGCCGACCCCTCAAGTGCTGAAAAGGATAACGAACCCAAGCCTCACTCAAAAGATCAGAATATGCATCTGCCCAACATCAAAACAGTCATGATCGACAATGCTTCACTCCTCGCATTGTGGGCGGCCCTCATAACTCAGAATCTGAATTACTTATCTTGGGAAACCTGTCTAAGTGCTGGCAATACGGTCCTCCGCCTTATCAAAGACAACATCACCTACGACATCGCTCAAGCAAAAGAAACCGTCAGATCTTCTAACCGCGAAGAGTTCAAACCACTCGGGATATCAGAAAGACTCGAAGAGGTCGAGACTATGGGCTTTACATTGGTTCTCAAGACCGATGTGGCTGTTCTCGGTCAAGAGACCATACCCGGTGATGAGAACACCCTCAAAAGTAAATTCGCCACGGAAGAAGACCACAAAACCCTCAAAGGCTGGCTCCAGAAAGCAGTAGATCAATTGTCCAAGAACGACCTGATGGATAAAGCTTTGGAGCTGTACGAATGCTTCGAATCAACAATCGATCAAGGACAAGATCGTTTGGAGCACAAAGGCGGAACTGAACGTTCTTCGCATCCATGCTGGCACCCAGAAAATATGTAACTCGAGTACTTTGGGAATCTCGAATTGGAAGGTGGAAGAGGATATAGCAGAAGGAACAGCAGAGGGAACAGCAGAGGGAACAGCAGGAGACGTAACTTGAATTCTGCTCAACAGCTCGTACTAAACTCGAATACTTATAAAACTAGACTTTGCGTGAGCTTTGACTCGTCATGTTGGAAGTTTACTCGTCCAGAACGTAGATTCTTGGAAAAGGTTGCTTTCCATCAGAATAAGACCTTTTACGTTTTCACTTTTGCAGATGTGAGATGTTTCCTCTCACTTCTATATCCTACACTTCAATACAACGAGCCAACATCTGGCCGGTTGTGTGAACATCTATGATCGAAGCTTTTAAGCATCCCCTTCATCTTGATCCTTCGGGATCCTTCCTTCAGCCTTCTCAGGCAAGAATCTAATCGTCACAAACAAGAAAAAGGACATAATGATCATGACCAACCAAACCAAATATCCATCCAGAATCTGTCCCTTGACGCCTGTGGCAAACAGACTAGCAAACAAGCCTGGTGCTACGGCACGAATACCTGCCACCAGACTCAGAGCTAGTGCATTCATGGTTCCCAACACGGCAGGCGATGGAGAAATGTTGTTGACACACAACTGGACACAGGTGAACGCCATGCTCGCACTGCTACCAATTACCATGAAGATAGGCAAGAGGATCCAGAAAGGGGTTGTGACGCCTTTTCTGAGTGCAAATTGAAGACAGGGGTTGCCGATGTAGCCGATAGGGAAGATCCAGCCACTGTATCGCAAAACGCCGCCTGTTCCCCAGCGACGTTGCATTGGTGGGAAGACGAAGAGCAGCCAGATTGCTTGCGAGATTCCAGCAAGGCCTAGGAAAAGTGAAATCTGGATGGGTGAAAAGCCAAAACCACCGAGAGGGATGCTGGTGTACCAGAAGACGGGAAGGACAGCAGTGTTGGCAAGACCTTGAAGTGAGACAAAGCACCAGAGGANAAGGGTAAATGCGACGCCTGGCTGTTGCAACAATTGCCAGGTCGACATGGGTGGTTCTGCGGGCTTACCACTGTTGTCCTTCGCGGACTCCAGGGTCTGCAAGATCATAGTGTTAGCTTGAACCTTGAGCAACAACCAGCATGCTTGTGAGCTCACCTCGTTGAGATATATTGCTGAAATGACAGCCGCGCTGAAACCAAACAAGCTAGCTACTATATTTGGTAGTGCATACGGATATTGTTCGAAGAACCAGATGCCTCCGAAAACACTAGGGTACTGCGTTGCAGGAGTGGACAAAGCACCACCNNTTGAGTCGAGCGTTAGTGAGATCTTAAAGTCGGAGTGAGCAGTTCGATACATACCTATGACAGGTCCCAGAAAGATGCCCACGTTGCCAGCAAAGGCGAACAGGCTGAACGCCCTTGCTTGAGTCTTGAAAGTCGAGTTCTCCGACAGCATGGTTCTGACAGTACTATCATGTGAGTTAGTATGCTTACTCCTGCGGTACATCGAATGGGAGTCCTACACAATAGTCCCAGAGAACACACCAGCAAGACACCGGAACAGGATCATCTGCCACACAGACTTGCTGAATCCAAACAAGCAGGTCATGATGGAAACACCAATGACAGAATACACTAGAACGGGCTTGCGGCCATATCGGTCTGAGGCGCGACCCCATGAGATCATAAAGATCATTTGCGTGAGGGAGAAAAGTGATTCNNCTAGGAGACACTTGTTAGCATTGCCGAGTTGCGTCAGTCGTCTCGTCGCTTTCTAGTGTCTTCGGGTTTATGCCTGTCTAGCATTTCAATCAAGTTGGATCAAACTCACAATCAAACCACTATAAAATCCAACATCCTCTTCTGCAACACTTCCAACTTCCTGAATCATCTGATTGATGAAAGGAAAGATGGAAAAGAAGGCGATCGGTTCAACAAGTCTAGCATAACAAAGGAGCATGATCTGTCCCATAGGCAAAGGCTTGTCTTCATCTTCATTTCCGGTTTCCCCTCCTTCTTCGACGGTGGTTGTGCCGACTATCTTGTTGATGTCCAGTGTTTCCGAGTCTGTTTGGGTAATTGGATTTTCTGACGATGCTGCCAACAAAGGTGTGGTCTCGGAAGCATGTGCCCTGGCTAATGCTGGGTTTGGGTGTGTGTGAGTTGCCGCGCCTCCTGAAGCCACTATGAAGGCATCTCTGGTATTGCTGCCAGACATGACTGATGTTGAGTAGAACGGTCCAGATCCACTTATTACACAAGCGATCTCGTGGCCAATAGCCTTTCAGATGGATAAATCTTCGTACAAATATGTCGTGTCGAACGAGCGAAGATATCGCGACTCTTTTGTGTGCCTAAAACGCGGCAACGCTGGCAAAGTATCGACAAGCATACAAGATGAAATTGTGAGGTATCAATCACGAGGAAAAGAATAGTGCGAATGTTCACAAGAAAGATTGGAGATTTGATCGAATAGATTGAATCCTGCCCCAAGAGTACCGAGCTCTCTCTGTCTTCGGCAGGTATCTACACCGATGGGCGTGCGGCATTGACATAATAGGAAGGTGACACCGAAGGATTGAACGAAGGAAGACACTTGGTCTGTGCTGGAGTGGGTTTTGACAAAGACCCTTGGATGATTAATGCTGACAAGCTGACCACCATTTTACATGCTTCGATATTATATTCCCGCAGAAGGAGCTTGAAGGATGATTACACACAGTATCATACTACGAATGAGCGAGATGATATTCAACAGTGGCAGCATGCTGACTGGTGCCTACTACAAAGGGTATCTATTTGAATGTGATTAAAGAATGCTACATCACCAAGGACTTTTCATCAGTCGGCAACAGTCTTTGTTGCCTCTGTCTCGTCAGCAGCATCGGCTTTGGCGACCTGCGAAGGCTCGGGAGCAGCTTCGTCCTCTGCCTCGACAGCAAACTCTTTTGCTGGCACATCGTTGTGTTCTGTCTCGGTCTTGGGCTCTGACTCTGCCTCTGTATCCTTGGTGGTTTCTTGCTCGGTCATCTCTTGCGATTCTGCGTTTACAGGCGATGCTGACTCTGTGGTCGATTCCTCTGCCGCGGCAGATGCAGAAGCATTATCGTCTGGTGTCTCTGAAGTGCTGGCAGCCGAAGCTACATCGGCATAAGAAGGAGGATCACTAGCAGGGTATTCGCTAGTCTCGTTCTTGCCTTCCGACGCGGTTTCTGACGTGTGTTGTGAACTGGAAGCTTCTGCTGCATCAGTCTCAGTCTTGCTGGTTGGCTCTTGTTCTTCGGATTGTGATTTCTCGGGTTGCTCTGCAGCAGAGCTTTCTGGATATGGTGGAGGATCTTCGGCGGGTATCTCTTGCTCTTTCTCCTGATCTTCTTCTTGTTGGCCAGCGGGTTCTTCGTCGTGTCGGGCAGTCTCGACTCGTGTGAGCAGGAGAGGACCATGTCCAGTAGGTTGCTCGCTGTCTTCATCCTCTTCCACCTCTTCGTGAATGACAGTCGAAACAGACACAGAACGATCGTGACTCATGGTGTGTCTGTGTCTCTTTGTGGTGTTTCCAGTGGCAAGTGTGAGGTTTCCGGCGGGCTCAGGGTCGGCAGAATCTCGCTGTAATATGCTGGGAGCAGCACGAGTAGCAACGGGAGTGGTCTCGATGCCCTCTGCCTCGGGAGGAATGGTGTAGTTGTCTTCGGGGATCAAGCGATACTCGTCGCAGACAGTCTTGAACAGCAGGTACAATCCTGTCTTGGATTCGACTCTCCAAAAGACGTCTCTGTGAGAGAACCAGGCATGGGCAAAGATACGATATACACGGCGGAAGACTTCGGTCATTTTACGGATCTGTGCTTGGGCCGAGAGCGTCTCGGTGCCCAGACCGAGTCTGCTGGGGAATAGCTTGGTCGAGGTCAGAGCGGTAGCGCACCAGTCGAGAGTGTGGCAGCAGTAGTCGATGGCGCAACATGACTTGGGGGGTTCGTGGGCGGCGCAGAGGTACTGCCATTCGCTTGCGCGCATCTCGGGACATGTGGCAGCCGAGCAAGGAGGATCGTCGGCGAAGAGACCGCAGGCCATCATGTTTGCTTTTTGTGTAAGGGAAGCGACACAGCTCATACAACCAAATTCCTCGGTCGACTCCAGGCGGCGGTTGGGCTAGCGATTGGGCCGTGGCTTTGTCCATGGCGATGCGGCATGATCGCGTGTGTTCGTTGTGTAGAGCTTTGAGGTGCTCAGTCAATTGGAAGGCTGAATCGATCTAGACGGCGTCTTGTCAGCTGCTGTTGTTCGTTTGTCGAAGTTGGACAGGTCAACACACTTGGTGGAGTTCGACCAGCGGGGGACCCTCTTGCATATCTTCAGCCCTCGTGCCGGGTCTGATCCTCCTCGAAGCATCGACGTCAGCCTTGTGCGAGGCTCCTAGCATCCTCTCTTCGCTGTCGAGGCCTGCGCTGGGCGAGATCTGGTCTTCGGCGATAGGCGGCGGGCTTGGTAGCCTGGGAGAACTGGATGGGGAGGCCATTATGGATCGGCCAGTCTGCTCAGGGAGGAAAAGAAACGCCGTCTCCCCTGCTCAGGTGGATACAACCATGTGATTCTGAATGTGTTTGTATCTGTCTGGAGACATGTCGGTTGCGACTTGTCCGGCGCCTCGGCAGCATCCGACCCGAGGGCTCACGTCATCTCTACATTTATTTCATCCACTGTTTTGTCTTGCTACTCAGATACAACCAATCATGGATTCCGATATGGACTTTGACGACGATGCTCCGCCTATGCTGGTTGCTGCCGACCAGCCAGATGACACAGAGAATCTCTCGGTCGATGTCGATGACATGAGCTTGACCAGAGTTCCCATCACCATCATCACAGGTGTGCAGCTCTAGTTCCCGAAGCTCGAACCAAGCTAATGTCATGTAGGTTATCTTGGTGCCGGCAAGACCACTCTCATGAACTACATCTTGAATGAACGCCATGGAAAGAAGATCGCTGTCATCCTGAACGGTATGTGTCAATCCATCTTTCGTTCCTTCGAGACTAAGAATCTGACAGTATAAATTTTTGAACANGAATTTGGTGATTCTGCAGATATTGAAAAGAGCTTGACTGTCAGTCAAGAAGGCCAGCAAGTCGAAGAGTGGCTCGAATTGGCCAATGGCTGTCTATGCTGTTCCGTCAAGGACACTGGCGTCAGTGCCATCGAATCGCTTATGGAAAAGCGTGGAGCTTTCGATTACATCTTACTGGAGACAACAGGCCTGGCTGATCCTGGAAACTTGGCTCCTCTCTTTTGGGTTGACGATGGTCTGGGTAGCACAATCTACCTCGATGGCATTGTAACCCTAGTAGATGCGAAGAACATCATCCGCTGCTTGTCCGAGCCGACACCAGCTGAAACCCAATCGGATGGTACAGAACATGCTCACGGCCCTCATCTCAGCACCGCACATCTACAGATCTCGCACGCAGATGTGATTGTCATCAACAAAGCAGATCTGGTCTCAGAAGCTGAGCTCGAGCAAGTCAAGGCCAGGATCTCGTCTATCAATGCCTTGGCAAAGATCCATGTCACAGAACACAGCAAGGTTCCAGCTTTAGAAGGTGTTCTACTCGACCTTCACGCCTACGACAAAGTGGACGCCGACAGCATTGACTTTGCCAGCAAAGGCCACAGTCACCTGGATCCCGCCATCTCGACGACTACACTGACATTACCACCTTTATCGTCAGCCCAGCTAGATAAGCTGGATACATTCTTGCGTAACATTCTCTGGACGCGCTTCTTCATCTCACATCCAGAAGCCGAGGGCGTGTCAGTCGAGTCTGCGGGCTCGAGGCCCGAGATTCACCGTACCAAGGGACGTCTTGTGATGCAAGAAGGTGGAGTCAAGCTTTTGCAGGGCGTACGCGAGGTCTTTGAGTTCATAGATGCTGCAGATGTCAGTACATCAAAAGCTAGCGGGTCTGCTGACAGAGGTAACGGCAAACTTGTCTTCATCGGTCGTAATCTGGTCCCTGCAGCCTTGCAGAAGAGTCTTGAAGATGCTGTCTTAGGTTAGCGTATTCCAGCAGGATTTTATCAGCTTGAACTGCTAGGTACACATTACTCGCACCACGTGTTGTCATGAACAGCTTAGCTCATGCAGATGATTTTAGAAGCAAGTTGGATTGATTATGTCTAGATACATGTCATATTTACAAAGTAAGCACCCCGACCTTAATTTTTGAGGTAAGGAGTGCCTACTGTAGCTCCACTTCCTCCACTTTGCGCTGCTTGTTGACTACCAGTCGCAGCTGTTTGCCAGTTTGATGGAAGATGCCCTTGCGAAGCACATCTGTGTAAAGCTCATAGGCTGGATAATCTGTACATCGTTGGTCAGTAAAGAACATTAGCGAACTTCGTTCATAGGTAACCTACANGCCATTGACAAACTGAATCACCTGCTGATCTTTCATACCAGTTCCCTTTGCTTCTCGCAAGGCACGCTCTTGCTGCAAGCGCCACTCATAAACGAAAAGCGTATCGACAGCATCGATAAATACCAAGGCACCGAAATANNGCTAGCGGAGGTCAGCAGAGATTACCATCAACAAAACCTGCACCACATACTCGGTCAAAGAATCATATTGCCTCAACGCATCGTTGATGAACGACACATGCTCCAGTTCCATTGAAGCCAGCCTTCCATGATAAGCCTCTTTATCAAAAATCCTCGCTGCCTTTGCGCCCTCCCATTTGGCCACTAACTCCTGGTCGCTCAGACTTCTGAAGCCTACACACCAGCCCTCGAATATCACGACTTCGACTGGGGGCTCGCCGTCCTTGTTGACCACTTCCCAAGTCTCTGGATCTGTGCGATCGCCTTGGCCATTGTGGAGAGACTTGTCGTAGGAAGGAATGCGAATGTTTGGTTTGCGGGCTGTTAGTTGGGCGAAAACCTCTTTGCCGAGAGATATGTCGTGAGTCGAGGGCTGACCGCGGTGTTGAACCAGTGGGTTTTTGGGTTGAGACTCTGCAAGTGATTTTTGCGCGGAATGAGGAAGATAGAGATCGTCGATTGAGAGAACTACTGTGGGTAAGTTGTGAGGAGGCGATGTTAAGGTTTTGTAGAGAGCTGAGACNNCTGGGTGATTTGGTTAGAGATCCAGTCAATATGCACAGTGTGATTCGACATGTAGAGTTTCCGGTCAGATGAATCATCCAAAGTAAACCAATGGGGCAGGGCAGGTAGAGGATTAAGGACACCGGATGTGTCGGAAGTGAGACCAGACGAACTTCAGACTTGCCATCTTCCCAGCCTGTCTAGTACTTACCAGAGTGGTCTTTCCAGCACCTTGAATTCCATTCAGACCGAGGAAGAACGGTGGAGCATCAGTGCCTTCTTTCTTGTGATAGTCACAATGTGCCTTGATCTTGTCCAGAATGAAAGGTATGCAGTGCTCAGACTTGTCGTCAATGATCTCAACAGCCATCTTGTCGTCTTGTTGTCGGCGCGTGTGAAAATCGGTATGATGGTTGTCAAGGGCTGGACGAAGATAACATCCCCACTGCGGACAAACACTGTACCGGATGAGTGACGTCTTGGCAGAGAACCACAGACGATGCCAATCATTTGATATTATCGAAATTCATGTTCACTTGGATATCTTGTGAAGTCGCCAAACGGCTGAGTGATCAGTGACATGCATGCTGACGAGCGTGTATTCATGTGCAAGTCTTCTCACATGATCGTGGCCGATGGCAGGTCCTCGATTGTTCTTTCTCCAGACCATTTCATCATCCCCCGCACTCTGTCGGCAGTTGGCATGTGAAAGGAGCGAAACAAAGCAAACAGAGCTCGAGTTCATTTTAGTGGGCTTTCCAGCTATCGCCAAGGACTCGATGAGCGCTATAGCCCGATACAGTAACCGAGGCAGTCAAACATGCCGTTCTTGGACTCTTTCAAGCGAGTGAAATAGCAATACTGTGGCTATCCGGTTGCCGTGGAAGCTACCGGGGGCCGAGGCATGTCGACGACCGACGAAGCTGGAGATCATGAGTGCTGTCGCTGCTCACCTTTATGTAGACTTGTCCCTCGATTCATTTCTTTTTCTCCCCTACTCATCTTTCGAGATATTCTAATCTCATCACCCCACAAAATATGGCACACAATTCATACGGCCTCGCCGGGACTGAGGTCTCGTCGAAACCGCTTCGTTTTGATGGACAGACAGTCGTTGTCACTGGCGCTGGTGGTGGCCTCGGCAAGGCATACGCTCTGTTCTTTGCTTCTCGTGGTGCCAACGTTGTTGTAAACGACCTCGGTGGCTCTTTCAAGGGTGAGGGCAAGTCATCNAAAGGTTAGTGAGATTCTGAATACGTGATCAGAGAGCATCTGCCTGACTGGGAATAGGCCGCAGACGTAGTGGTCGAGGAGATCAAGGCAGCTGGAGGCAAGGCTGTCGCCAACTACGACTCAGTCGAGGATGGTGACAAGATCATCGAAACGGCCATCAAAGCCTTTGGCAGAATCGACGTCCTCATCAACAATGCCGGCATTCTTAGAGATATCAGCTTCAAGAACATGAAGGACGAGGATTGGGACTTGATCATGAAGGTCCATGTTAGAGGTGCATACAAGTGTGCTAGAGCAGCATGGCCACATTTCAGAAAGCAAAAGTACGGCAGAGTCATCAACACAGCATCCGCAGCTGGTCTGTTCGGTAGCTTCGGTCAGACTAACTACTCTGGTGAGCTTCAATCTACTCGATGTTTCGAATCCAGCTAACACGGTCCAGCTGCCAAACTCGCACAGGTCGGATTCACCGAGACACTCGCAAAGGAGGGTCTCAAGTACAACATCCTCGCCAACGTCATCGCTCCTATCGCCGCATCCAGAATGACACAAACCGTTATGCCGCCCGATGTCCTCGAGAACCTCAAGCCTGACTGGGTCGTCCCTTTGGTTGCAGTCCTCGTACACCCCTCAAACACAGAAGAGACAGGAAGCATTTTCGAATGCGGTGGTGGTCACATGGCAAAGCTCCGCTGGGAGAGAGCCAAGGGTGCTCTGCTGCGTGCAGACGACAGCTACACNCCCGGTGCGTTGCTCACCAAGTGGGATGGCGTCAACGACTTCAGCGAGCCCAGCTACCCCACCGGAGTTGCAAATTTCATGGAGCTGCTTGAGGACGCACAGAAGCTCCCAGCAAACCCTCCATCCAAGAACCCCGATTTCAAGGGCAAGGTCGCCCTTGTCACTGGTGGTGGTGCTGGTCTGGGTCGTATCTACTGCTTACAGTTCGCAAAGTATGGTGCAAAGGTCGTTGTCAACGACTTGATGAACCCCGACGATGTTGTGCAGGAGATTCAGAAGCTCGGTGGTGAGGCTGTAGGTGTCAAGGCTTCGGCAGAAGACGGCGATGCAGTCGTCAAGGCCGCCATTGATGCTTATGGTCGCATTGACATTATTGTCAACAACGCAGGTATTCTCCGTGATAAGGCCTTCGCCAACATGGACGACAAGCAATTCGACCAGGTTCTGGATGTTCACCTGAGAGGAACCTACAAAGTCACCAAGGCTGCATGGCCTTACTTCTTGAAGCAAAAGTATGGCAGAGTGGTCAACACTACCAGCACCAGCGGTATCTATGGCAACTTCGGTCAAGCCAACTACGCCGCCGCCAAGTGCGGTATCCTTGGTTTCTCCAGAGCTCTTGCTAGAGAAGGTCAGAAGTACAACATTCTGGTGAACACCATTGCACCAAATGCTGGTACAAACATGACCCGTACTATTATGCCCGAGGAGATGGTTCAGGCCTTCAAGCCTGACTATGTTGCACCTCTTGTCGTGCTTCTCAGCTCTGACATGGTGCCTAAGCCTGGCACTGGTGCTCTATACGAAGTCGGTTCCGGTTGGGCTGCACAGACTCGCTGGCAGCGAACAGGTGGACACGGTTTCCCTGTTGATGTCCAGCTGACTCCTGAGCATGTCCTTGGACAGTGGAAGAGGATCACCGACTTCAGCGACGGTCGTGCTGACCACCCTGCTGACGGCAATGATGGCTTGAAGTCAATCATGGCCAACATGCAGAACAAGAGCTCCGGATCCAAGCCTGCTAAGAAGGAGGGTGGCAAGAACGACGAAGTCCTTGCAAACATTGAAAAGGCCAAGAAGGCTACAACTCAAGGTACTGAGTTCAAGTACGACGAGAGGGATGTCATCCTTTACAACCTTGGTCTGGGAGCCAAGCGCACCGACCTACCTTTCGTTTACGAAGGCGACGACAACTTCCAAGTCATTCCAACCTTTGGTGTCGTTCCTCCTTTCAACGCAGCTCCTCCCTTCTCCTTCGATGAGATTGTACCCAACTTCTCACCCAACATGCTTCTCCACGGAGAGCAGTTCCTCGAGATTAAGACCTTCCCCATTCCTACTGAGGCTACTTTGGTAGCATACCCTAAGCTGGTCGAGGTTGTTGACAAGGGTAACGCTGGTGTCGTGACATATGGTTCCACCACCAAGGACAAGAACACAGGCAAGGAGCTTTTCTACAACGAGTCGACTGTCTTTATCCGCGGCTCAGGAGGCTTCGGTGGTCCTAAGAAGGGTACTGACAGAGGCGCCGCAACCCGCATCTACAAGGCTCCTGAGCGTAAGCCAGACGCCGTGGTCGAGGAGAAGACCAGCGAAGACCAAGCCGCCATCTACCGTTTGTCTGGTGACCGCAACCCATTGCACATTGACCCTGAGTTCTCCAAGGTCGGTGGCTTCAAGACACCCATCCTTCACGGTCTCTGCTTCTTCGGAATTGCTGGCAAGGCTGTGCTGCAAACATTCGGCGAATTCAAGAACGTCAAGGTCAGATTTGCTGGTGTTGTCCTACCGGGACAAACCCTTGTCACTGAGATGTGGAAGGAGGGCAATGTTGTCGTGTTCCAAACAAAGGTCAAGGAAACCGGCAAGCTCTGCATTTCTGGAGCCGGAGCCGAGTTGCGTAATGCCACACCAAAGAGCAAGCTTTAATGGATGTCGTGGTCAAAGTATTGTAGTATTCTAGCGTTGTTTCTGAATGTCATCATGAACTCTCATCATCATCAAATCTTGGTACAGCTTATAATAGTGTTCTTATGGATGCCGTCGTACTCGGTAGAGTCGGCACTGCTATACATGGTTGTATGTAGATCAAAGATCGTGACTGTCATCACAGCTGTCATCAGGTAGGAATGTCCGGAAATATCGCTTGAGCCCAGCATCTCCAAGCAGAGTCTATCCTAACTATGGAGCTATACGGTCTTAGCAGGAAGGATCTTCGTCTTCTCAGCATGATGTTCGAGTCAGCTGGTGTTCCATGGCGAACCAAGCCTTTGATGGGATGCGACTATTGATAGCTACGACACATAACCGTCAAACGACGGATACGACGCATTTCGCCAAACTGGCTAGCAAGTTTCACGGTTTCTCTGAACAAGAATATCTCGACGTGATCAAAATCTCGAAACAATTGGCGAGCCGTTTTCTCAGCTGCGCTGTCTCGTCCCATACCATTTGCATTCTGTAGTGAGACGATCATGGTGTGAAGCAAGGCGAGGCGTGGTGAAGGACCCCTCTCGAGTCTCGAGAATCGAGAGGGATTCCTGGTCCTCGTGACAAGTGGACTGTGCTTCTTTGAATAGCTTGGATGCATGCAGCGCCTCGGCCCGCGCAGCAGATCTTTCTCGACAAACCCTTTTTCTAAAAAGAGATGCTGCCACCACAAAACATTCGAATTAAACTCAAAAGATGCTTCCATACTGATGCGCCTTCAAAGGTGTTCACCAGCTTTATCGATTGTTGTTCGGGTCTTTGCTTTGCGAGAAAGCTTGAGTACAGAGCTTAGATTGATGTGCCGCTCATCTCATTTCCACTTACCCCTGCAAGAGAGATCTGGGGAGCNACTTTGACAGCCATCGCTATTCAGCAGGAGGCCCGATTGGCATCTGCTAATCTTTATTTCCANCTCTGCGCTTGGCGGTCTCGTAATTTNTTGTTTGCTTGGTTGGCCACNAGCATGGTTGTTTAAGTCTGTTGCTCCTAGCCAATGGTGTGGTGACATTCGTATCCACCATTCCATTTTTGACTCCCACGTTCCAAGCTGTATGAATCGAACCTTCAGCCGAAGCGGCTTGGCTGGGCCCATATTCACGANATGCCCCGCCGCTGGGCCGTCGCGCCTTGAGAAAGTGAAAAGAGTTGTGACAAAAGTAGAGGCAGAGATAGGTTGATAGCNAGCCTCGGGCCAATTTCCTCCTGCGCTACTTTAAAGGTGGGTTCTTCCCTCTCGCGCCTGGCNACAAAGAAAAAGACTCCCTTCGTTACATTCCATCATCTCGGCCTGCATCGACGTTGAAAGCAAGAAAACATAAAACGTGCGTTCCCCGGACTNTTCGCTAGACACAGAGCATATCCATACCGCAACCTCACGCGTGGTACTTCGCTACTTGGGATATCTCGTNNGATTTTTTCCATCGACTGGACTNNACCTGGACCTTATAAGTGCTTCTTGACAGCAACGTCTCTGCTCTGANNTCATCGTCATTGGTCACTTGGCTGAAACAATATCAACATCTGGAATACTGGATACGGCCAACGGCATTGTTTTTGCTATCTAACGGTCGTTAATTTCGGTCACAACTGGGCAATCTGTTTACCATCACTGATCTGGGCTGGCCATCAGAGAACCAAAAGTTCACTCAGCGAACACCCTTTTATCAAACCGAACGTTTTTCGAAAGTTGACCCCTTTGGTGTGCGAACTACTTTGGAATTTCTACATATTTACCAACTGTTGCCGCCTCATTGACAATCCTTCTCCCTGCATCCTTCCAAGATCGATCTTTTCTATCATCCCCGAGGTCCTCCGTTATTCACCTGCAGCCTCTTGACACAATAGTCGTTATCGAAGATGCTCTCCCGCGTTCTGTTTACTGTGGCCGTTGCCGCTTCTACCGCCATGGCTGTGGCTCTTCCTAAGGAGGTCACTCTCCCTCAGGAAATCGTGCCTCAGGCAGTCGTTGCCTCTAAGAATGATGTCGAGGCAAACCCATGGACACTCGTCTCTCCTGATGGTACATGTGGTGGTGACACCAAGTACACCTGCCTTGGCTCTCGCTTCGGTGACTGCTGTAACACATACGGATTCTGGTGAGTTCAACTTGAGATTTGCACCTACCAGGTCTCACACTAACGCATATCANNCAGCGGTGTCACAGATGCTTTCTGCGGCGCAGACTGCTTCAACCTGGCTGGACTCTGCGACGCCGACCTGCAAAACTCCAATGTTGTCAGCCGTCCCAAGGCCACACATGTACCATGGAAGCCTACCGTGCATCACGACCCCCACTTCAAGCCCTCTTACGTGATCGACAATGGCGAGAGAGCCCCCAACCAAGTCTGGTCATGATTTGTGGGAATATCAACTGCTTGATCTCCCAAAGTTCTGAACGATCCAACACGACTTTACACACATGAACCATGACTCTTGGGGCCTATCTTTTCTGGGTCCATCTGTACGCAATCGTCCAATCTTTCTTCCAACCTAACAGCGAGGCGTTTCAAATATTCTGGGCGGTTCGACATCTCCTCCCTTCCAAAGAAGAGGGTCTGAGGCAAAAACCAATTTCACTTCTTATACATCGTTTCATGCTCCTCTCATGGGATCTTATGGATTGCTTTGGATCGTCCTCTGGTCCTTGAGGTGGTCATACTCTATTCTTTTCTCTTTTGTTCTTTTGCTTCTTCTTGTTGTTTGCAGCCCTTCTCTGGGACTTGCGATCCGCGCTTTACATGTATTGCTCACTGGCTGTGTATAATGTGTTTTATCTATTACCGTTCGAGTCATGAGCACCTGGCTGCTTCAGACTGTGGATTCTTATATACCCCCCTTTTTGTGTTCTAGCAAATACGCAGAACTTCAGAGAACTTACTACCATTTATCAAAATCTGACCTGTGGTTCCAAGTGCTCGTCATGCATATGCAAAACATCTGTCATAGCGCGCTGCCTTTCATCTCTCCTCCACAAAACTGCTGCGTTTCAGCTTTGATGACTTTCCCCAGAAAATGTCTCGGTTTCATCACGAACATACATGATATGCATACCTCGAGTTTCACAATCTCGCTTCTTTGCGATGCAGAGGTGATTAGCTCACACGAGCTTTCGAATTGTTCTACTCTGTGACGTTGCTTGCTACAAAGGAAGGACCCTTGTCAGGTGTAATGCTCCCGATTGTTCCCTTCTTATAGCAAGAAATTGTGGATGAGAATAAGACACTACATAGACCATGGTTTCACTTTTTCTTAGAATGACCTTTAGTTATAATAGGTATAAGCGGGTTAGCGTAAGGGAAGGTGTAAGGGAAGGCGTAAGGGAAGGTCAGCTGTGGCCCAATCGAGAACGAAAGGCTTATATAACATGAGCACATGGTAGGAAGCAGATCGACAGAACGATCAGTAGGGACAGAATGTGATAGAAATTGTACAATAGAAGCTTTCTTTGCTTTTTCTTTCCGCTATCTTTGATCCTCAGAGTGAAAAACATCAAAAGGCTTTGTTACAGACACACAAAATTTGAGAAGAACAACGCCACACCTTGCAGAAACCCCAAAGCCCTTGCACACCTATCCTGGATCAACATAAAAACAAAAGATCGACCTTAGTGCTAACCCATCGCTCAACGCATAGCTTGAGCAATTCTGCCTCTCAGAGTGTCCACGGCTTGCTGACTTGCCGCGTCCAGGTCTTGGCTCCCAGCAAGACTGGTGAGAAGCTCGTCAATGCCAGCGGCACTGTCGTCGCTGCCAAAGAGAACGCTGTCGCCGTGGCGTTCACTTTCACGCAGCCATGCTTGAATCAGGTATACGAGGTCAGTGGCAAGGATGCGACGATGTCTGCCAACGAAAGGTTGCTCGTTAGTGTAGTACATCTGCTCGACAACGGGTACCAACGCTGAGGGACGAATGTCGAGCTCGAGGAAGGTATCCATGACCCACATTGGTGAAGCAGCGTTGTGTTGGTACTCGAGGGCGTAGCGGAGGAGCATTGGCAGCAGGATAGGGATGGGGAAGGTAGCCTCTGCGGCATGTAAACGTTGGCCGAGGGAGCGCACCTTCAGCGCTACTGCCTCGAATGGTTGCATCTGGTCGCTGTTCTCTGCTTCTTGGTGCACCTGCTCGATGAGTAGTTGCCAGGTCGACTGAATGTCTGCAGGGTTGCGGTGGTCTGCACAGTGGTAGATGAGAATGCAGATGTCGTAGTAGCCTGCTTGATCGGCGTACTGATTAAACAACTCGGCGACTTCTAGGATCTGGCCATCGAGTGCCTTCAACACTTGAGGTCGGCGTTGCTCTGTCAGACGTGGATCTGACTTCATACGCTGAAGAATGTCGTCCTGGATGTTGCCCACCTCTAGGAGGTCGGTGATTTCGCGAAGCAGTTGTTGTCTGCCTTGTGCAGCATCAAGCAGGGAAACTGTGCGGATTGAGGCATTGGTTCTCGCACGGCTGAGGTAACCAATGCGTTGCTCGAGATTTAGGTCAAAGCCACTCTTAGCAAGCAGTAGTTGTACTGAAGCGGCTTCGAGGAAGTTGTTGTGATGTGCGTAGTAACGCCAGAGCAGGTCTGCATGGTCGGGATCTTTGTCCATACGTCTGCGCAGATAGCTGATAACATATGGCGAGCTGATTTCCAGAAGTCTGTCATTCCAGCCCTGGCCCATGTACCAATCGTACAGGTTGTTTTGGAAGACTTCATCTTCCGAATTGTTGATGATTTCGTAAGCCTCGGATTGTCTCTTGGCAGTAACGGAATAGGCACCATCAGGGTTTGCCTCTGATGTCTGCTCGAGAGACACAATGACTTGGTGAATCAGATCGTAGCATTGCTTTCTGCCCTCGAAAGCCTTCTGTCGTGGGTCCTGAGAGTTATTAGCTTGATTTGAGAAGCAAGGATTAAGGTGACATACGTCTTCAGGGCAGTCGTCTCTTAGCCATGAGAGAGCACGGTTTGCACGGTCAGACTCGTGTGCGACAGTCAATGCAAGCTGGATGGCACCAGCGANAAAGGACATAGGGATGTATTGTGATACAGCCCACTCGAGATGCTCCATAGAGAGCGAGCCAGCCACCTNTTGGAAGAGTCGCAAACTCTCGTTCAGCAGTCTGCGACTTGCTTCAGACGTGGGTCCAGCCTCGGATGCTCTCTTGACCTGCTCCTGAGCCTTGAAGATGACAACATCATCGGCGCTGCAGAAGCTGCCGCAGCGTCTTCTCAAAGCTTCTGCTACTGTATCGACATTCGACCCATTGGCAATATTGCGGTTCACAATTGCCTTGACGAGCTCTTTAGCCAAGTTTCTGCCATCAGGAGAGCAGAACAGGCCCTCGTAGGTCAGTTGTCTGGCACGCTCGCGAGAACCCTCGGGAAGAGATAGAACGATTTCATCGACCTTCTCGTCAAAGAGAACAAGCACAAAGGCAATGCCTTCGATAATGCTTGAGATGAGCTGGATGAGGGCATTCATCGCACGGTGTTCACCCTGCAAAGAAAGTTCATCCTGCTTGTTGGCGACGCGTCCCAACGATTCGGGTCCAGACAAGCCTTCAATGGAGCTCTTATTCTTGTTCAAGAACTCTTGCAAGGAGTTCAGGGCACGTTGAATGTTTTGCAGCTTAGCGAGGGCTACAGTTGAGGTGACAACGAGTCCACCAACAGGAGTAACCTTTTGTGTCAGGACTGGAGCTCTCCAAATTGACCGCACCAATCGTGTAATGTACAATGCCATACCGTCATGTCTAGGAGAGGGGCGGACGTTGTCAATAGCAGGAGTGTTGTTGTCCAAGACAGAGTTCTCGTTAAGCATAGGCTTGCCTCCCTGGGTGATGAAAGCTTCTCTTGCAAAGTCGACAATGTCTGGTTCTGTAATGTTGGTGATGCGAGCATCAGCGTTGCCATCAGAAGCTTCGCCGCAAGCAACAGCGAGAGCAGTAGCAGCAGTCTCGGTGCGACCATAGTTGCGGATAAACTTTTTCACCTGACCGTCGCGGCCTTCAGCATCACCACCGTACCGAGCGAGAGAAGCGAAAATATCAACCAGTCTGCGGCGGCGCATTATTTGTACACCAGTGCTGGTAAGAACAGCGATTTCGGTAGGAGATTGATCGAACTGAACAGCGAGCTCATTGGCAAAACCTAGAGGAGTAGAAGCTGCAGCAAAAGGAGGGCTGACCAGACCGATACCTTGGGAGGGATAAGGGAGTTCAAGGAACATGCCGATTTCGGGGAAAAGAGTAGCATGGCTAGCATCGCGAGGCATTTTGATGCGTCCAGAGTCAGGAGCGGTGAAGAAGATGGAGTCTCTGTGAGGGTCTTGGGGATTTGGTACGACCCAACATGAGTAACCAGGGGCATATCTAACGCCAGCCTTTGTGTTAGCGAGAAAGCGAGTATTAGTGTCCAAAGTCGAAGGGTTGGAAGAATACGGCCCGAGCGAAGTGGAAGATGACTGGGGTTGCTGAGGTTGAGGAGCAGCTGTTTCGCCGTCTTTAGGGGGNNGGAATTTGATGTGGTGGACCTGCATGCTGGTCGGGGCGGAAGAGGAAGAACTGCCATAGAAGGCACCCGAGGTGGCACTCAGGAAAATGCGACAGCCGGTGCTTGTCAGAGCCTGCAGACTGAGTCTGTTGGTCTCTTGAGCCGAGATAGGGCTGATGGAGACGAGTGAAGTGTTGCGTGCGAGGAGATCGGAGCTGGGGACCATGTGGGCGATCTGGGCCAAGAGGCTGGTAAAGGGACGTGACAAGGCCAGATCAAGGACGTTGTTTGGCTTCATGTGGTAGACGCGAATGGTCGAAGAAGACGACAGAGTGTAGAGCAGATCGCGCGAGTCATCGACAACCATCTGCTTGATGTGCTCTTGCTCTGAGCGAGCACCAAAAGGCAACAGCTGGAAGGCAGATGTGATGCCCGAGTTTGTGTGGTTGATCTTTGAGCATCGGCTGGCGAACCATCGTTCCTCTTGCTGGTAAGTGAGCTCCCATACATCAGTAGCCTGGTTTCCGCCGANAAAGATGCGCCCAGTCTTGTCCGACGACTCGATGTAGCTGATGGAAGTACCCTTGACAGGTACTTTCATGTTGGTCGAGTAGAGCTGGACAGCCCAGCCACCGTGTGCAGATCGGGCGGCTGCTAGACCGATGAGGAGGATCTCAGCATGAGTTGCGACAACCAGCAAGTGTGTGATGGACTCGATGAAGACGCCCTTGCGCGGCTTGACCAGCTTGACTGCGGTGATGGCATTGGTCTGGTCCTCGAAACCGATGAGCTCGGGGTTTGGATGTGTGTAGTCCCAGAGGTATAGCGACGAGTCAATAACGATGAAGGCGTGATTGAGCTCTGCGAAGAGGCCCAGATGTGTCGAGACTTGGGCCATGTTCGCTTGTTCGAAGATTTGCTCGGGAATATCATAGCTGCGGGTACGCTGGAAGGGTTGCCAGGCGTTGTTGAAAGTGGTATCGTAATCATTCGAGATGCCCTGACCGACGTAGTTGTCGAGGGCTGGGTACTGAGCCTCGCTTTGAAGGGCTTCGTTGACTGTGCGCGCGGCGCGTTCGATGGGCGCAAGGGTATCTTGGGTAGCAGTGGCAGGTCGCTGAGCTGGGGCATCGCGTGAAGCGACTTGACCGGAGCGGTATCCAGCCAAGGTAGCAGCGGCATTGGAGCGGAAAGAAGGTGGTTGCGGCATCTGGCCTGAACTGCCAGGTCTACCAGGAGCCGGGGTATTGAAGAAGGCACCTGGCAGAGGACGCTGGGGCGTCGGTTGTGGTGCTGCCAGAGCCATTGTCGATGCAGAAGAGCTGGTCTGAAGAGAACATGAACTTGTTCCGAGCAGAAGCGACCATGAAATGCGAGCAACGACAAAGCTTTGGCGACAGAGACGCGCCGGCGCACGGACCTTTGATGCTGTCACTCGTCAAACACAACCAAGTCCAGAGAGAACCATCTTCGACCAACACCTTGTCTCGAGAAACAATGCCCATATGTATCGAGTGTCGGTACCCTGTAAGCAGCCTGTACACCACATACAGTAAGGCCGATGATCGTACTTTGGGAAAGGGTGTTCGTTTGACTCAGTGTCCGCGATGCAAGCGTTTTGCAGACAAATACGTCGAGCATGATTTCGTTGTTCTGTTCATCGATCTGGTCTTGATCAAACCACAGGTAGGCCCTTGTGCTCTCTGCTTCTCCTGCTAGCCATTTTCGTCTTTCTTTCTTCATCTTGACTTATTTCAGAGTTCTATTCGAGCCCAATTCTCAAATCATCTCTCCAAACAATCTTCTACGGGGACTAAGAGAGTCTCTACCCAATACCAGTACTGATCTATACGCNNACAGGTCTACAGACACCTTTTGTTCAACAGACTAGGTCGAGAAGATGGTCGTTTCAACGTACGTCTTAATGTGTCACATGAATGAATCAATACTCACTGCCGCAGNCCTGCCATAATACGCCTAGGTGTCTTACTCCTTCTTTTCGATGTGTACTTGACATGGGCTCGTATTGAAGAAGCTATGCCCTCTTCTTCAGCTACCGACACCATCTCTATGCCAACCCCATCTGATCCATTTGCTCACCCCACGAGTAATGCTACGGGGTCGAGCGATTCGAGTACATCAGGTCTACTCCCCACTTCTTACCTTCTTAGCGAGCAGCCTATCATCCTGCAATACGTCTTCTTCCTCTTATTGTGCGCGCTGGAGACGGTATCCTTTCACCTGCCTATCCGCACTCTCTTGTCTCTGCGCTTGCCTCGGCCATTATCTTACGTTATCCCTCACTACCCGCATCCTGCTGTTATAAGCACGGCACTCCTGGTGTCGAGTTTTACAAAGCTCTTCCCACTGCTGCTGCTGATCTGGAAGTACGATCTGCCGAGTAGCGCGAGTGCTGTCTCCTGGGCTGTCATCATCAACAATGTTGCCGCCCTGGAGATCTTACTCGAGTGCGGAGTGATTAGAGCTGCGATACTGGCTGCAGTTGGAGCTGTATGTCGAGCAGGTGTTGGCTGGGTTAGTGTTGCGACAGACTTGCATGACTGGTCCAAGCTAATGATAATGCAGGGTATCTTGAGAGCTGCCGGTGTCGGGTCGGGTGTGGCAGCTGCTGGGGTTGTCGAAACAGGCGATCTGCTTGAGTTGTGGCAACGACTCGCACTACACGTGGGTATAGCACAATAATATGGTGCAAACAGTATACAGTTGCCAGAGGATGCAGTAGCAGAAACAAGGGCTGCCATGTGACAAGCCCATTACGAGTGATATGTCACAGTGTATCTCCCAGTAAAAGTCAAGAAACGCCAATGCCATGTAGAATGTTGAAACAAGTCCTCTGCTCTCTTCGCGTCTTTCTCCCTGCGTGTAGTCGATGCGTCTAATCTCTGTGGACGTACTCGGGTCTCAGATCGCTTCGCTGGGGCTGGATGAGGGGATGCCACTGGGCTAGGAAGGTGATAGCNNTATGGGAACAGTCAGCCAGATGGTCCAGCGACTCGAGGGACGAAAACATACCCCACATGAGGTAGCAGCTCCAGGCCGAGAGGATGAGGGTTGAACGCCAGACACTGTTGACGCACTGTTAGCCTTGCGCCCTTCACATGATATGCGCCTTGTTGGATCTTTTGCAATGTCGAAGCAGCGGTACAAGAGAAGCAGTGACATACGTTTGTGTCTCGCCCTTGGGACTGGCGAACCAGGATACGGCGCAGAAGGCCAAGATGAAGAGGAGGCCGACCAGAAGACTCCACCTACGCATGCATTGTCAGCTGCCAGTTCAAGAGTTGGTGTTGCTTCGAAAGCGATTGTCAACATACCCGTTAGCCATGTTGATGTTGGAGTATAGGGACAAGGAGATGGTCGTCCAACAATCGTTTGCCGTCGCGGTTACCCAAAGGGTCGCCGGCCGTATGACGCGAAGCTTGGCAGCTCATCAACCATCGCTCCTCCAACGAACATCCTGATTATATTTCATCTTTCAAGATTCGCAAATTTTGGCCGTTTCAACTGAGGATGTATCTCATGAGCAACTTCTTCCGGGTTACAGACAGTTCGACATCTTCGTTGTCTGAGAGTCAAAACAACACCTCATCATGATCACAGCCTACCAGCCACGATCATTTGGTACCGTTGTGGTCAATGACAAGTCCATCACTGCCACAACGCGAGACTGTCGCCCGAGACATACCGAAGAGACCGATCAATCCTATTGACAGTTTACAGCTGGTCTCGGTAAGGGACACGCACTCAATAGCTTGGTATGTCTGGCCTTCTTCATGTCGCTACTAACACCCTGGCCTACCGCTGTGGTCGAGTCTCGGTCCATCTTTGACTTCGGCCAAATCAATGTAAACATCATACAATTCCCATAGTGTGGTGTGCTTACACATAGCCATCTCGCCGCCTATTCGACAGCATTGTTCATCGACCAGGCGGACGATCCACGCATAACTTCCCTTGGGCGTTCAAAGAGCTCGAGGCCCTTAGTCACGCATCAAAATCCGCCTTGTCAAGTGAATCGGTGTAGTCAACAAACAGAACACCCAAGACAAAGTCAACACAGGCACCGCTGCCAGATCCATCTCGATCCTCCTCGATTGATCATCCCCGAGAACGCTGGCCGCAATGACTAGATTGATACAACAAGTAGCACTCACTGTGTGCCACCAAAGCGATACCACTTCCAGCACCATAAACACGTTTGGCTGTGTGAAGTAAACCCGCAGAGATTTTCCCATCGAGCAGTATCTCATGTTTCTTATGCAAAGAAACATGACAAGATGGAGCAAAACAATCAGTGCAAGACAAGCACCTCCTTTGCAAGCCTTTGCGAACCAGGATCCGGACATTGGTACGTAAGGTGTTGGGTCGTCAGTGAATACTCTTTCTGGGACAACAGGCCGTTGATGGAGTTTCGGTGCATCGAGATCTGGAACTCCTTTGACCAGCATGATCAAGTATATACTGATGCAGAAGCACAGAAATGCCAGAACGAAGAAGATCAGAATGGCGGTGAGGTTTGACACATGTGCGAGAGGTCCAGCTTTGGTCAGGCATTGTTTTCCGGCTTCAGCAGCACTGCCAGCTGACAGTAGAATACGACTTGACGACCGAGCCATTGTTGTGAAGTGCGAAGTCTGGATCGAGTGAAAAAAAGAAACTTGAATCGAAAAAAGAGTGAGGAAGATTCGCTGGCTGCCCGAAAGTGGCCTGGACTCTCTCCAATATCAAAACGTGTGACGAACGCCTACGCACGGACACGAGGGCCGTAGCACAAAGGCTTGCAGAAGGATCAAGGTGAGGTTTGGCGATGGTATCGCTGATAAGCGGTAGGTCAGGCTGAGCAAACCTGAACAAGGCCAGGACTGTTGTATAGACAAGCGTTGATGGTCCTCTGTCCAGCGGACTCATCAAATAACTGCCTATTCTTGCAAATCCTTCCTGCACATCGTGGCATCCACGATCTGTTCTCTCCTGCTCGACTTGACCATGTTTGTCGCCAATATCGACAAAGATCACATGAGCAATGCCAGCAAGCTTGAACGCAGCTGAAGATGGCCCATGCAATGAGTACATAGTCCACAAGCCTACTGGAATTTCTATCCAGAACTTGGAAATCGCAAGATCATTCGGATCTGTTCAATACTTCCTTGACCGGTCGAGCCTACCACAAAGCCACCCTAAATAATATCCAGGATGCTCCTTGATCTACTAAGGACAATTGGCAACTGTATCAACACTGGAGGGCCTTCTTTGTGGCTGTGATCTCAGCCATGGATTTCAGACCTGCACCGGCACCAGCGTCAGCACCAACACCGAAGCCTAGGATGAGGATCAAAAGAAATATGCTTGCACCGAACCAAATACGCTCTTGTCACGTCCTTGAACTAAGCATTCCACTATGTCAACAATCACGGCTGCACAGCGAGGCTTCAGACGTCCTCTGCTCCGATCATGTACGTCTCTCAGCCGTGGAGGATCAGTACACCGCCCGGCAGCAACTTTGTGCTATGGATTATACTCTATGCTACCAAGGATTCTTCATAAACAGGCGAGATGGCCGAGCGGTCTAAGGCGCCAGCTTAAGGTTAATCCAATACGCTGGTCCGAAAGGGCGTGGGTTCAAATCCCACTCTCGTCAATATCCTTTTGCTCATCACTGGTATAGATGCCTGTAATGAGTGAAGACAGCGAAATGGGTCGAGAAGCGATTTTTGTGAATCTGGACATGAGATTTGGTGAACTTTTCCTCGCGTGCGAAGCCTGGCTGCATGTTCTGGCTTGGCATATTTATGCACATGCACAACTTCCACTTTCACACTACCAGTGGGGGAAGGTGTTCGGGAGAGGTCACTGTGATCGTGTAAGGACGGTTCACGAGGGCTTCTTCAACGGATCGCAGGTTGTTCTGCCTGCGCTGCCCAACAACGATATGGAGGTTGTCGTTGGCCTGGATCATAAGCACTGGGAAAGGTTTGAGCAAGACGAGCTGTGGTCAAGATACGCTACGATGTGCTAGCCGATCGTTGAGACACAAATGAAACGGGGGCTATCTCGAGAAATGCGTGGAAGTTTTTCATCAAGGAGTCGATCAAAAGAGCACCGTCAAGGCCAGGGCGTACGGTTGACTCAGCAAAAGCATAGAGAGTAGTCATATCACCAGCAGAAGAAATCTTATACACAAGCAATTGCCGCCCATATACTTAATCTTGCGTCCTGTCTCGGAACCTATCAATGAGCACTTCTCACCTGTTGCGAGTTCAATTTCTTACGATTGCTCGTATACACAATCTGCCACAAATTCCTGTACTCTTCACCTGAGATGCTGCAATGACTGGTACATGTTGTCAACGTAGCCCAGATCTTCTGCCAAAACCATCATCCCCAACTCAGAATGCTTTGCATATCTACAAGAAGAACATCATCAATGTTGGGCGGAGGACCACGAACGAGCTCGAGCGAAGTCCTTGGTTCGTTCTCAGTAGTGATATCGCTGGCTGAACATGAGCAGTGTATATCTCGAGACTCCATCCGGGACAGTGTGTGACATTATGTGCCCGAGCGCAGAACGTCAAAGAAGAAAAAAGCTCGGTCAGTGAGCAAACGGCTCGATCGGTGAACAGCTCAAGAACGAAATCCTTTTTCTGGTCTGGTGAGTGAGCGTAGGTACATATGCAGTTTTGGACAAAGACCAAGGTCACATGGGCTGTTGGAAAGGCGTGGGAAGATCTTGAACTTTTTTCTATTGAAATATATTCGATACAGCAAATACAAAAACCAGGTCGTCTATTTGACAGACTCCATCTCGGGACCCCTGCCAGCCAGCTCTCTAGCAACCATCATCTCGGACCTTGAGAGTCCTAGGTTGCCGGCATACTCGCCAAAAGTGACGACAATCTCGTGCAGGCCATCACGCAAGAGCTTCAACAACTCTTCAACTTCTGGAACGTTGCGGTTGCCGTTAAAGTCCACGTCTGTCCAGTGCGGTGGCAGATTTCGGACAAAAAGTTGGATCTGTTGTGTGGTAATGATGAGAGTGCGCACAATGGTTGAAATGTCCTTTTGGACTTGACCGAGGTTGTCTTCTTTTAGACTGGCGACGGCAAGTCCACAGACGGCCTGTACGGCGTTGGAGACGATTGCACCAGTGCTCACAGGAACACCAAAGACAGTCGCGTTGACGCGACGAGCAAAAGATTGACGGAAGGGTATGCCGAGTGGTGTTCCAATAAGCCAAGAGATCAGACCGTTAGCATTGTTGACCATACCGGCTCGACCGAGTTGTTCCTGCTGCTCCTTGGTCAAAATGCGGTCGGCGCCATACTCGAGCAGTTTTTGTGCTCGCGGGCTGACGGGGTTGGTGGAACCATGGGATTGGCCGTAAGATCTGGCGACCAAGCCGACAGAATTTTCGAAGGCTTGCAGGCCAGTCGAGGGCGGTGCTGGTGCCATAAAGATAGCATCTTCTCTGACAGGCCGCGAAGAGATTTTAGGGAGGGTCTGGATAGGCTGAGGAGGTTGTTCTGGTGTGTGTGCAATGGCTCCTTGTGAATCTTGGATGCGTTGAATGATGGACTGAATCTCGAGCAAACAAGTACCAGAGACTTGAGACCAAGTAGATCCACCCTTTCTGTCAAGCTCGGCAAACAGAGTCTTTCTACGTTCCTCGAATTTTCTAGTGATCATGGCAAGCTCCCAGAAAGCCATGGTCTTGGGAATATCTTTCTTTGCTTTCAGTCCAGCAATCAAGCTACCATTGGGATCTTTTGAGTCTGCGGTCAGAGGCTTGTCCTTCTTGACAGGTTCTTGAGCAGTGTAGATGGTGAAGGCACGATTGGAAAGCTCCCACAAGGCAACCAGAAGCATTGAAGACCAAAGGAAGCGTGCAATAAGAGAGAAAGGGTCGGTAAGACCTGCAGGTCTTGTAGATTTGGGCAGGAAGAACAGCGTACGGCCAACCTTGAAGGCGAGGGCCCAGGCAAGGTTTCTCCAGATGGCAAAGTAGACAAAAGGACCGAACAAGCAGGTGAGACTAACAAGCTTCACAGTGTGGCCGACGATGCTCTTAAGTTCGTCCCTCAGCTGCATGACTGGCGAATTCTTGGGTGGAGATTGCGGTAGGCGGATCAGGTCGTAGTCTTTGTAGAGATGGATGGCAGATTGAGCCAGAGCCAGGAAGAGAAACTGAGAGCGGAGGAGTATAGGGCGCTCGTTCAACTTGGGGCGTTCATAGGATCNTTTAAAAAGTCAGCGTGCGTACAGAAGGAGCGTGTTTTGACAGACATACCTGCCAGGGTCGATCCATGCAAGATTGGCATCTTTGGCAGTGGAGAAGATGTAGAGCTCTGCAAAGACGAAAGCAGAAAGAGAATACCAGAAGCAAGTAAGTATGGTGGTCTTAGACATAAGATAGCTCCAGCAAGACTCGAAGGACGAGATGGTGGTTCGCGGACCAAAGTGCAGCTGAGCAACTCGGAGGACAAAGATGGAGAGCGACGAGATGAAGAGGAAGAGAGTGCGGACACCAGCAGGACCAAGAGGAAACCAGGACCAGAACAGGCTGGGGCTAGCCATTGCAATAGAAATGAGCCAGCATGCTGCAAGACCAATCAGAGCAGCACTGGTAAACCTTCTGTGCAAGGACGGAGTGAGGAAGTCGCGGTATGGGCGAGCCAAGGGCGCCGCCTTGACAGGAGCCGGCGGATTCATGGCAACTCGCACCACTGACAAGAAGAAAACCAAATCTTGGACTTTGTTGATGGGAGCTCTGTTCAGACAAAACACAAAGAGAAGCTGCACATGCGCGCGCCAAGCAAACACCGTTTCGCGCGCAGAGTGCAGTCGCGACCCTCAGGTACGTCACCCTACCCGGCGTCGTTCCTTCCTCAACTCTCTCCGCATTCCGCAGACCAGACGACCACCATCGCCGAGGCTAGTGCAACCACTCCAGGCACCGACTTTGTAGAACCATCTTCGCTTCGTGACTGCCCACTGGACAAGGCTCTACACTCTAGACCTAGACGACCATGTCCTTCCAAGACTCGCCCAACCTCGAAGGCAAGACAGAGCGCTGCCTATCTCCCAATCGCTTGTCTATTCTAACACCTTGCTANGCCCAGCCTACCACATGGCGCCGCTCCGATGACCCCGAATATCAGGATGATCCCGAATTCAACTCCTTCACCACAGACCTTTCCGATCGCTTGTTCTCTCTCACCGCAAACATCTCGCGCTTGTCCAGCCAAGTCGCACTGCTCGGCACCAAGCGCGAGACAGATCGCGTGCGCGAAAGAGTCCAAGATCTTCTCGAAGAGACGTCGGCAAGCTTCAAAGACATCGGTGATGGTTTGAANAAGGTCCAGGCATGGCACGACTTGGGTGTATGTCCAATTATGTCCCAGCGCGTCAGCCCTCCTACTGACAAAACCACANNGCCCGCCCAAAAGTACACCCAAGGAAAGCTGAACCAGGAGTTCAAGGCTTCTTTGACCGAGTTCCAAACCCTGCAACGAACTGCCCTCGAGAAGCAACGCGCCTCTGCCACTGCTGCCCGTACAGCTCTCGAAGAGTCCGGTTCGCCAACAGTCGAGCGATCGCAACAGCAACTACAACAACAGCAGCAACAAGAACAGCTGCGCCTGGCGGATCAGTCTGAGGTCGACTTCCAGGAGTCTTTGATTGTCGAGCGCGAGGCCGAGATCCGTAATATTGAGCAGTCTGTGGGCGAGCTTAACGAACTGTTCAGAGATGTCGCTCATATGGTCCACGACCAAGGCGGTCAACTCGACATCATTAGCAATAATGTCACGAGTACCAGAGACGACACTCAGGGTGCCGATCGCGAGCTGCGCACCGCCAGCAGACATCAGAAGAATGCCAGGAACAAGATGTGCTGTCTGCTGTTGATCCTGGCCGTCATCCTGACTGTTGTCATTGTCGCTGCTGTTGCTGGTTAGATCTTCCGTCTCGCTCTAGACTCGCTCATTTACCTCTCTGATTGCTCACGCCTTTGGTGTAACCTTCACAACTTCTCTATTATACCCTTCCGCCTTCTCTAGTCTCTCGATCACTTGTATATACAATCGTCGCATAGCAATTTCTCCACATGATATTTAGTTCACAACCTTGTACCATTTACACTCTCCGTGTTCCCAAACCCTGCTGCTTTAGGAAAACAGTCCATGAAGCATTAAAGACCGCAATGATCTGCACATCTTTGTTGACTACAAACCTTGACCTCCACAAGTCCAGAAGTCAAAAGTGCCTTCGATCCGGTGGTTGTATCGTGGCAAGCTCCAAACTCGTTCACTGGTCATGTGGATAACACGTGGGATCATTACTCGAGCTTCAGATGTGTTATGTGATGGACATCTCCCGGCCGTACGCAAACTGCTGCTTAACTCTTGCGCGGAGTAATTCTATGCGAAAGGTAGGAAACATGGATTTACGCTTCTAGTAGTTTAATGCCAACGATGCTAGTTTAACGGTCGGTCAATGCGGACACTCCGCATTTATTCCTTAAATTCGTTAATTTGTGACTTTACTAATTCCTTACTTTCCTAATTATCTTAATATTAGCCTTAATACTAGTAATAATAGTATTAATATTACTATACATTTAATAGTACTATCTACTACTAAGAAGGATAGTAGTCTCTAGTAAGATAATACGCTATAAGAGGTCTTATCTTAAGGGAGCCTTATTAGCTAGTCTCTAGTAGAGGCGAGTATTATTAGCCTTAAGCTTATTAATACGTTTAGTAAGAGTAGCCTACATTTAGTTAGATATAGTAGTAGTAGTACTATAAAGAATATTACTTATTTCTTTAACCCCCTTTTTAGAAGGGTTAGCATTATAGCTACTATAACCCTTAAGTCTATAGTATATATAAGTAGTACTCTAACTATCCTTCTCCTTAGTAAATATATAATATACTTTCTTAGCCTTCTTATTCTTCTTATTCTAGTACTTAGCGTAAACTTATAGAGAGTCCTTACTAGTAAAGTCGTTAAGTATAATAGTATTAGTATTATAGTACTTATAAAGGGTAGCGATAGTAGTAGTAGCTCTAGTCTTATCGTTACTAGTAGCCTAGTCTAGGAGCTTAAACTAATAAGTAGTAGTATAAGACTCCTATTTACACTTAATAGTAGGCCTTACTAGACCTTTAACTAAGGTAGAAAGTATACTAGTAGTAGGAGGGACCTTAGTATAAAGGGCTTTAGCTTTACCCTTACCCTTATTCTTAAGAGTAGTAAGAGTACTATCTATATTATTAGAAGGTTAGTATAGTAGTATAGTAAGTAGTATATATTATAGTTTATTATCCTTATTAAAGGAAAGGGTAAGAACCTTCTTAGCCTTCTTAATAAGGTAGCGACTACGTAGCTTATCGTTACTATTAGTATTAGTAAGAACCGACTATATAGGCAATATAGCTACCTTATTAGAGGCGGCTAGTAAGGGCTATTAAGAGCCCTTATTCTTACTACGTTAAGAGTACCTAACGCTCTCTATAGTAGTAGCTAACTAAGTAGCTAAAGGCTTAGTAATAGTAGCGTAGTAGCTATAAGTAGCGAGAGTTTTACTAGTATAAGTACTAGTATAAGTAGTATAGCGAGTAAAGGCCTTAAGAGAGGTAATAGAGTAAGCTATTATTAATATTAATATTAGTACTAATATTAGTACTAATATTACTACTAGTATAATAGTAGTTACTAAGAAAGGAAGGAAGGAGTATATATAGTAAGAACTAAATTTAAAAGCTAAGAAATAAAGTAAAGTAAATAAATCGCTATATTAATATATAGTAATTTAATAAGAAGAGATGTTCTCTATAGTACCGCTATAGTACTAATACTAAGAATAATAAGACTTTTATTACTACTTAAGGTACTAAAATAAGCTAAATAATATTAAGGAATAATAAGAAGATTTCTAAACTAGTAGTAGTAGTAGTAGTAAGAGTAGAGAACTAGTAGAAAACTAGTAGAGAACTAGTAAAGAACTAGTAGAAAACTAGCTAGTTCTTAGGTACTATTATCCTAAGCCTAAGCCTATTAATAAGTTACTACTTATAAAGGAATATAAGGCTTATATCTATATCTCTAACGCTACTACTACTACTACTACTACTACTACTACTACTACTACTACTACTACTACTACTACTACTACTACTACTACTACTACTACTACTACTACTACTACTACTACTACTACTACTACTACTACTACTACTACTACTACTACTACTACTACTACTACTACTACTACTAAGGTAGCTACTACTAGATTAGCTACTACTAAGGTAGTTAGTCGTCGTTAATATGCTCTATCTATTATATAAATAAGGTATCTTCCCTCTCTCTAGGTTTAGATATAGTAGCTAGATAAGTTAGTATAATAGTAGGCTTAAAGTTAAATAATACCTTATATATAGGAAGTAGGCTAACTATATAGCGTCGCTTAGAAATCTTATATCTAATAACCTCTTTACGCTTAGCTTAGAGTAGCGTTATAAGGGGCTTCGTTCTATTATTATTTAAGCCTCTAATAATAGAACTCCTATATATGCTTAAAGAATTAAGCTCTTTAAAGGGCTAAAGCTTTAGTAGGGTTTAATAGTCCTTAAGCTTCTCTAGCTTTAATTAATAATTAAGATTTAGTAGACGACGCTATAATAGGTATAGTAGGTAATAAGGGAATAGGTATAGTAAGCGATAAGGAAATAGGTATAGTAAGTAATAAGGAGTTAATTATAATTAATGTTTATTATTAAAGCTAAGCTCTATATTCGTTAATATTAGCTAACCTCTATTATAAAAGTTATTAGAGATTCTCTATAGCATATCTATAGCTAGCGCTACTAAGAATATACTATTTTAAACTCTAATAGTAAAGGAGGCTTCTACTTAAAAGACTAAGCTTAGTTAGGGTTATTAAACCTTTTTAAGTAGAGCTTAATAATACTAATCTTTCTAGTTATTCTTAAAAGAGTAATAGTATAGTAGCGAATAACTCGTATTAAGAGGGTTATAGATTAATTATAATAGATTAGTTAGTAGTAGCTTATTTACCTTAGGCCTTTATAGTAAAATTAGTAACTAGAAACTAATCCTTAGTTTCTAAAGGATAGTTAGAGTAGTGTTTAAGATACTAGTTAAGAAGGAAGTAGTAGTAATAGTTAGGTAGCTTAGCTTATATCTTAATATTAACTTCCTCCTCTTAGTAGCTTATTAACTATATAAATAGCTAATTAGGTAGAGCCTATAGCTTTCTATAGTTACCTTAAGTAATTAAGTTCTTATAAGCTTTAACCTATAAATATATCTAGTCTTACTAAACCTTAGCCTTTAGCTTTAAAGTAGCGACTTTATTAGTCGACGTAAAAAAAGAAGAAGGTATACTTTGAAAGCTTAAAGAGCTAGTAATAGCTTACGATACTAATCTAGTATTAGTATTATAAGTAATATTAGCTTAAGTAATACTAATAGCTAATTTTCTTACTTACTCTATAGTAGTAGGACCTCTTCTTAGAAAGATATATTAGCTATTATAATAGCTATATATAATTAAAGGATAGTAAGTAGTATTAGATATAAGAATTAGCTTAGGTATAGAAGCTTTACTAATATTAGTAGGTTATTATATAGTTAGTTCTTATACTTATAAAGAGAAAGGTGTAGTATTATTAGGTAGCGTTAGATTAATAAGGCTATAGTTAGTATAGCGTTACTAGTCCTAGTTATATAGAACACTATTAATAGTATAGTATCTACCCTAGTATATTATAGTAAATTAAGAATAAGCGTATAAGTAGTAAGGAATAAGGAAAGTAACTAGGGAAGGAACTAAGTAGAAGTAGTAAAAGGATATATCTATTTCTTATAGAGTTAGTATAGGATATCTATAGTAGCGCTATAACTATATAGGCGTATAATCTAATATACTTTAAAATAATAATATTATAGTTATTATATCTATTTTATATAGTTAGCGTAGGATATCTATAGTAGTACTATAACTATATAGGCGCGTAATTTACTATACCTCGAACTTATGTTATATAGCATTTTCTTAGATAATAGTTAATAGATTATATATCTAATTATTAATATAACTAGGAAGGACATTATATATACTTTAGAGCGCTTCTATAAGGCTAGTATATTATAGTTACTAGTTAGTAGTACCGACTAGTTAATTAGACTTATAGAGTATTAGATTAATATTACTAGCATGTTTATAGCTAAACATCTTCTAATAGAAGTATAGGTATACTTATTTATAGAGTTAATAGTACTCTCTATTAATCATAATAATCTAATTAACTTTCTTAGCCTTAATAATACTATTAGTTTTAGGGAATTAGTTAGCTAGCTTAGTACTATACCACTTAATTATATAGGGTAAAAGGTACTTATTACTATTAAATTCTTTAAGATAGTTAATCTATAGTTAAAGCATTAAAATATTAAGCTCTAGTCCTTACTTGCTACCTCTAGATAGCTCTACCTAGTAATATAGTGTCTCTAGCGAGCTAGGAATTATATAGGGACGGTCGCTTTATAAGCGTATTAGATGTCGATTCTATAGCTTAGTAAATAAGGAGGTAGCGTAGTAAATAATTAGTATATATATTATAAGGAACGTAATATAACTATAGAGGTAGTAACTATTATATAGGAGAGGATTAAAGAAGGTAGTTTATATGCTAATACTACTTATTAATAGCTAATTCTACTAGGATTCGATATGCTAATTTTACTTACTAGTTCTATACTTAAAGTAGTTAGTAAATAAGAGCTCTTAGCCACTATTTTAAAGCTCTTAAAGGCTATAGTAAGTATCCTCTATTATTACTATTTTACTACTATAATTAGTATAGATAAATAGTACTATATAGCTAAGTCCTTATACGGGTTTAACGTATTAGTTAAGTACTTAGACTAC